GAGAACGAAATGCACCATCTGTGGGCAACGCTGCACAAAATCCTAACGCGATAGGTTAAGAAACCGAATTTTGCGGTCGATTTAAAGAGCCTGGCCGCTATTTAGGACACCCGATATTTTGATCGACCGGGCTTGATATTTTTTTTTCTTTTCCCGTGTTGTTGCTGAACAAAGATGTTGGCTCCCGTAAAACCGACCCCGCTGCTCTGTGAATTGTGCTAGAGTGCCTTCATACACACACGCGCTTCTAAATTGTGCAATCGTCGTGACTGTGACCGTGGTTTCAATACTGAGAAGATACCTAGCCATATAAGAGTTTGCGAGCCATTTGGATGGAGGAAATCGGGCATTCGGCTCGCTTCAAGTTTGACTAGGTATTTTCCCGTCATTGCGCCTCAATCTTTAAAGTTTTGCCGTGCACCTGGCCTACCGAAGCGAATATTGTTACGTCACATCAGAAATGTTCGTCATGACGCTCACCCACTTTGCTCGCGGATGCCATGTAAAAAAATAACAAGAACATTGAAGCTGAAAAGACCGCATATTTGTTAACGTGCACCACGTGTATCACTACTGCGTGGTGCACGTTAAAGACCCCAGGCTAGCGGTTGTACTGTACTGGCTAAATATCTCATCTACAGCTGAGAGACTCGTCACCCGTTGTGGCAGAACAAGTTCTAGGCTGTATAAACATACACACAACCCAATCTTTTAATATTTTTTTCAGTTCTCTCGGTTGCTTACTACACGCATCGATAGACGCTGACAGACGCTTGTATTGGATCGTGGCTCCTGCATTATAGAACGCTGTAGAACGCCGCTTTAATGATTGCGTCCTGCAAGAGTGGCATAAGTTCTTAGACGGGGGCGGAATAGCAGACGGACGAAGGCGAAAACGGACGCCGAAGCGCAGCTGTCGTTTCCGCGTCTCGTGGCATTGCAGACGACGATAGACGGTGGTGAAATAGCAGACGATCCCGTAGGCTGCCGTTGGTCTGCTCGTAAGACTAACAGGCGGTGTTAGGCTCTCAGACTTGACTACCGGATAACGCAAAAAGTAGACACTACACTTGTTAGCCTGTTCGGTCGAGCAGCCAAGCCAGTCCAGTAGTAAAGGGCGAAGCCACTGATCTGGGGGCTGGGCTTAGAGCGGGTTGTGACCTCCACCGAAATTGCGTTTAACAATGTAAATATTGCGCGAAATAATTTTTTCCGTGGGAAACGTTATTTTAAAAAATACGTGTCTTATCAATGCCCTTTAAAAATATATTTTGTTCCCTTGCAGTGCCTCTTTAGAGGCGAACAGAAACAAAATTTTCGCTCTTATTAAAGCGAAAGCCTTACTTGCCCCATTAAACGACAAAGCGGAGTAAGTGGTCATAAAAATGCGATCGAGCGGCTCGCGCCGTTCAATGGTATGGTCAAAGACACCTTCGTCCCTGCGGTCGTCCTAGAAGTCGTCCTAGACCTCTTAGATGGCCTCACTTGTCACTATACGAGAAAAACAAGCGGCGTCGGCGTCGTTGTGCCGAAAGATGGCCATAAAAATACGTCATCAAAGCGTCATCAGAGTGATGTCATCAAGCCTCATCATACGTCATCAGCGTGATGTCACTGCCGGAGTACCGTGTGCCAAAGAAGAGCTTCGAACTTCATCTGTTCTCGTTGCGTGGTTCGTGCGATGGACTGTAAGGCGGCAACGTCTACATCTACGGCCTCGACATCGGCACCAGCTCCTACGTCTACGGCGGCTTCCGCAGACAAACGTGGCCGCCCACGCAAATACACCACAGCCTCCTTAAGCGCCTTCCTCTAGGCGTCGTCCTAAACGTCGTCTTCTTGGCACCGTTTTCGAAGTCGTCCTAGACGTCGTCGTTAAGGTTGTCCTGGTGGTTATCCTAGAAGTCGTCCTAGACGGCGTCCTTGACGTCGCCCTAGAAGTCGTCCTAGAGCTTCTCCTACGCGTCGTCCTCCAGGCGTCGTTCTCGACGTCGTCCTTCGTCCTAGAGATCGTCGTAGAAGTTGTCCTTGACTGGCTTTCGCCTTCCTACACATACGCAGTCTTAAGTGTACTCGTATAATTTTTTGTTATTGTTTAGACGTGGCCTATCTTGTGCCGGCAGCCCAGAAACACAAGACTGGACTAGTGTTTCTGGGCTGCAGGCAAAGCAGTCAAGAAAACTAAATTTAACACGAATGAGCAGATTTCAAAACTGTGTCCAGTGGCGGTCTCTGAAACTCCGTTGGATTGCCGCGACGTCATGAGTTCCTAAGAAACAGCGCCACTTTTCGGCAGTATGGTTCGCTCCCGGAATTACTTAGTCCCGAATGTGACTTGGTGGAGAACGCTATAACGCGCTTACTATGCTCCGTTCACCCATAATCTGAAACTGCAGCCAAAACTACAAGCGCGAGTTATCTAGAGTTAGCCAGCGCTGATGGCTTTGAGACGTGCATTTATATCGCGAGCGCTCGTTCAGCGGAAGAACGCTTCAAAGCAGCGACCTCAAGCTCTCGCCCTCAGATATTACTATACTAGGCGAGATTGTCACGCGTTGACGCCACCAATCAGCAAGGCGCGCAACTACAGTACCCTTGACCGTGCATGAACTGTTGACGTCAGGAGCGCGATACGCATTGCGTTCCTCACTGGCCGACTTTGAAGCGGGGGGCAGAGAAGTCGCGCTCACGTCATTTCGTTTCCGCACCCCTCTAAATGCTGTCCAAACAGAACACAATAAATACCGTGCACAGCAAAAAAAGAAAAAAAAAACGTTTATGTTTTAAGAAATGTTCTGGCGCGTGCGTACGCTTTCAGGGACGCCGACAATCACGCAACCAGCACGGCTTTGCTCCTCGATGCCACAAACTCTCCTTTCTTGTTTTCCTGAGGTTGGAGACTGACAACAACAGCGGAGGCAAAAAGCCAGTATAGAGCGTGTGAGTGGCTGCCTGGTCCACGTGATAAACACGTTCCAAGCTTCCGTCCAAGGACGGTAGCGGAGAGTAGATTCCTCTACCCTTTCCACCTCCCCCCTCTCAATAAGAGACGAAAAAAAGTTTTAAAACTAACCATAACCGGAGAAAAATCTTCACTTCCAGTACAGCAATTTGCTGTGAATTGCAGAAAATGTGTCCTGTTTGGACAGCCTTTTAGCCGGTACAGGATGCTACTCATGGTTCAAGCTCACGCCACTGCAGGCTTTGTGAATGACGAGACAGACATGTTGAGTCTTATAATATAAACCCTAAGACAAGAAGAAATAACATAACAAACAACATGACACAGAAATGGCATTTTGTACCGTGTTGTCCTTTATGTTATTTCTTCTTGTCTCAAGTTTGAGGTTATTATGTTGTAATTTGAGTCTATTGTCCCGGATAGATCTTTTCTTAACCTGTGCATCGATACATTTTTATTACAGTTTCGTTGTCGACAGGATGTTCATATCGCCCCCCTTGGTATTGATGCGAAAGTTGTGGGGCCCGTTGGTCGTCCTTGCCCTTCGGCCGTCATAACGACCGTAGGTCGGAACGCTCGGCCTCCTCGCCGTTAGCTTCGACCTCTTAGTGAAGCGTAGGAAAGTCCCTGGTCCTGGAGGGCCTTCCTCTTTATTCTCTTCCGGTGGACGTTCGCCGCGCCCCCCTCTCCCCCCTCCCCCCCCCCCCCCCCCCCTCATCAGAGAACCTAGATGTTTTAAGCGATGACGACGCCGCAAGGGGAGGATATTTTCGCGCGTTCCCGACTTCGGGAACGGTGGGGCTCCTGCCGCGGATCTGATCTTCGCTCGCTCTGAACTCCGCTCTAGGGACACTGACGACAAGGTGAGCCTTTATATCCGACCTTGTCGGCGCTTAAGTTTAAAACAGTCATGCCTTGGCGTTCTAATAAGCGTCGTTGGACCCAGTTCTATTGTGGTACTTTCTCCTCCTTTTTAGAGAAGCGATCATCGGTGCTGCTGATGTTTGGACCCGCCCGTAGCGATGTTATTGAGAGACCTGTGGTACGTGGGAGTAGGCTTGGCATCCCCTGATTGAAGGACTGCCACTGAACCCTTCGTTTACAACCACGAATGACCATCCCACATATTCTGGCGCCCAACGTGGGGCGCCAGTTTATGTGGGGTTTTCGTTACTAGCAGTGGTACTGACAGAGTAACCAAAGGGTTATTTCAACAGCGGCGCCGATCTGAAATCGGGAGACGTCGCTTAGTAGCGCACTTTCGCAACTCCGCGGCAATGTAGACGACAGTTAGGTTACATTACCGCGGATCCGTTCGATAAGTACCTACGTCGGTGCCAATAATCGCTACACTGTCTCTCTCTCTCGAACATATTTCAGAAGAAAAGACGCACGCAACAGAGTAAGGGCAAAGTCCAAGGGAATTTTTTAGACAATCTTAAAATCATTGTAATGTCCCATTCAAGATGTCCCCTGCACTGACAGACTAGCCAAACACCAAATCCAAAAGTTATTTCAACAACGATGCCTCGCATGTAAGGACTCGTTCTTACCTTGCCTGCGCGGGGGTCATCTTGAATGGGACATTGCAGTGCTTTTAAAAGTGTCTAAAAATACCCTTGGACTTTGTTCTTACTCTGTTACCTGCGTCTTTTCTTCTGCAATACGGGGTCCTTGCGGAGTATGTCTAAATGATGCGTCAGAAAACAACACGGCTATCATCGCCACTTGTTTTCTAGGATACAGCAATAAGCTTGTGATTTCTTTTTTTACAAAGAAATGTTTCGTCAGTAGAGAAGATGCTTTCTCACCTCATGCTTGACTGGTGGGAGGCAGGCAGAGCCAAATTGGGCATGAAGACGAGTCTGCATTTGTTATTACTTTTGGATTTGCGCACATGTTTGCTGGGCTCTGTTTTATATTGTCCTCGCATCACAGCGGAACCATGGCGGCCACTTTCAATCAAGTCACATTCCGAAGCCATATTGGCCTTAGGGTGGACAAACGTGTCGGCAAAAAATCTGAATGTACAAACAAACCGTGCTTCAGATGTTTTATTTACATTCCCAATTGCGGGCGCGATGCACCACATAAATTATTATTCGTCAGTTTTCTGTCTAATTTTACGTAGAACTGGACAGCTCGTTCTTAAATCAATCTGTTGCACATTCCCAACGCTTCCTCGATACCAAGGCCATAGTGCTGAATTTTCGGCGTCCCCCAAAGAAGGGCAACGGTGGGCAGAGATTGGATACGAGTTGTGCGTCATCATTCGGCTGGGAATCGTGTCCAATCAGTGAGGGCAGGAGTCCAATCCGTGCGCTGACGCAGCGGTCGTGTTCAATGTGTGCCTGTAGGCCTTCCTTAGGTGACGCTGAAAACTTCAGCACTAGGACTTTGTCTCTAGCAAGTGTTGACATTCTCTACTAGAGGTCTTAGAGACGAAATGCCTTCGGATGATTTTGTTCGAGGTTTTTGCGAAGTAAGAAAAACGCGACTCATGTTTCGTTTTGCCCGATGAGACTTTTGACGATGTGCCCACTGAGATGAGTCTAGGATATCGACGTGCCTGTCTGGCCACCACGACATTTGCTGAGCCTACATGGCGAAGCTCAGCCGGCTGTCCCGGAGAGGTCAGGCGTTCACTTCGTTGCAGGCGGTGCTGTTGCCTCCGCAGTGGCACGTTCGTCCCCACTGGCCGCTGGGCAGGCAGAGGTGGCGACATCCTCCGTTCTGGTGACTGCAGGCGTTGGTCACTGCGTGCAAAATGACCCTCCGAGCTGAGGACGGATACTATACGAAGAGGAATATGACGAACGTCAAAGAGGCTAGCTCGAATGCGTGACCCTGGCATAGAGGGAAGGCGGTGGGGGGGGGGGGGGCGGGGGGGAGGGGGGGGGAGGGGGGGCAGAAATAACTAGGTAGACTTTGTTGCCTCGTAAGGTCAAGTCAAGCGTAAGAATCGAGATCCTGCGGTCGGGTTCGTAAAAGCCTAACTAATTTCTTTATTTCAAAAGTGGGAGATCAGCATGTCCCCATCTGCCTCCCCTGTAGATGAGAAATTTACCCGGTGCAGTACGACCGCTAGCCTGGGATCTTTAACGTGCATCACGCAGTAAGGATAGGCGAACGCAAGCTGGTACGATGCTCATCCAGCCTCGACCTTGTTCACGGCAACATGCGAGGACTTATGTCAATAGATTCATTCCAAAACTCGAAGCGCCTCTTCGCGGCTTAATGGTATATACGTTATGCATTCTGTAAATCAGTGGGAAACAAAGTCTATACACGCTCCGCTCCTGGCTCACAGATTCCCAGAATTCAACGCGCGCGGTGACGGATTTATGCAAGTAGTTCTATTGGCTTCCCTTCGCGCCTATGGTGAAACTAAATTCCGCGTCCTCGGTCCAAGAGGTCCCTAATCAACGGGGCACTGGTCTTATCGACCAACACGTTGTTTACAAACAAGCCAGTGACACCAGAAAGTTCAGTTGGTGTATACGGCCTGCAAGTTCGTCTGCTCTCTCTTTGCGCCCCTCGTGCGTTTGTCTACACCCCGACCTCGTCGACGAATGGCGGCGCGCGCTTGGCTGCCTCGTCATCGCGCGGTTCCTACGCGTTCTTTATGTTGCCCTCTGATCGGCCACGCTCCTCCCTGCGTTCCGATGCGCAAAAAGACGCATTTTGGAACACTTGCTCGCCGTATACACCTTTCCGACGCTCATCATCAGGCAAAAAATGCCGAGTAACTTGACTGTGGACGCACGCGCGCAGTCAAATATTCCGCAAATGGAGCCACTGCGCATAATCAGAACACGTTCCTCGGCACAGTTAACTAAGATGGCAGTGCGCAGGAGACGATTATGACGTCACATCATGACCAGGGTCATCAACTGCGAGCGGCGATTTTGACGGTGTGTACAAAGCACAATAGAAGCTTGTGGTCATCGCGTGCAACCAACGCCGTCAAAGATGTCAGTCTGGCATTCCTCGTATGTCCGTTAATAAAAGTACGATTAATCGTACTTAAGACGTCATAGGGGGGGGGGGGGGACTGAACAATCGCGGAAGACAAACCACAGCGACGCCTTTGAACGAGCATGACGCCAAAAGCCCCAGCCGTTGACAGTGCCTTCAAACGGCCCTCGGTTGCAGACCGCCGCGAAAAGAGGGTGCGGCGGGGCCTAGGCTTACATTGTGGGCAGTGTCCGGCGACGGCGGTGATGCCGTATAGCTTCCCGTTGCCTCCGAGGGGCAGCTTGAGTGGTTCAGCCGTGCCACCGTTCCTGTCCACAGTGTGGATGAAGGGACTGCAGTGGGAAGGGCCCAACGAAAGCCGAGGGAAAAAACAAAAAAAAAAAACAAAAAACGTGAGTAAACTGCAGGCGTCACTGCGTCACTCAGTACGAATGTGCACCATTTTTGTACGTGAAGTCAGGAAAAAATGAAAGCACCCGTTAACTATATTTTTTTTTCCAGAATAGTGCTTAAAGAAACAGAGATCAGGTCGTCGCCAAACCGAACGCGATTTGGTGTATTCAGCGTTGAACAAACAGCTTTTTTTTTCTGCGCATTTGCGTGTGGGTAGCCTATGATGTTCTTATGTTCCAGAAGACTACAGGTTCCCATCTGTCGAAACAGCCTACAAAATATGATCAGTTCGGCAAAGCATACAGCATAGAAAACAACAAAAAAAAAACGAGTTAAGTTCAATGCAATTAACTACCGCAAAAATAAACGAAGCAAAACGAAATAATGAACCACCGGAAATTTTGATATGCATAAAAAGGATCGATTAAAACTGCATGGATGACTCAATTACCCGCCTCCAGCACAAGCTTCCTACCTTAGTTGGCGGTGCGTTGGCGTCTCGTAAGCGTTGAGTCTGCACGCAGCCAAAGCACTTCGGAAGGGAAGGTGCGCGGGATGGAGCTCGGATACCCGATGGAGTCGCACTCCCGTTCTCATCTTGAGAGAAACTATAAGGCCGGACTTATAGTTTCTTTCAAGTCACTGCTCACACGTCATACAAAAGACACGGTGTTCGCCGGTGTTTTATGATGGCCGAATCCTCTTCGTTCCCGCCTCAAGCATGCTCGAAGCTTGTGCGCTTTGTGCGTGCTTCTAACATGTCTGCAGGCGGTTTTTGTAGAACCAATGTGACCGTCATGCAAGGAAACAAATAGCGGCCTCGGACAGCAGAAAGTTTTAGCGAGCTGCTTTTGCACATTCAATGCGGTACGATGATCCCTCCGGGAACTTCGCATGTGCTGCTGCAGAAGATTCGCACATGAGCAGTTCGTACAGGAGGACCCATCGTACCATATCGGACGGGCAAAAACGGTTTCCTAAAACTCTTTAGTGTCTGAAGACCGTCCTTTGTAGGATGTATTAGCAGTACGACCACAGTTTAACATGTTTGTTCGATGAGGCTTACATGGCCCAGTCTGTCCAGAAGACCTTGCCGGCGGCCAGGGCCAGGCCGAACGGGTACTGGGCCGGCGTGTAGACGGTGCGGCGACCGCCTCCGCTCAGGTTGACGCACTCGACGGTGCGTCGTCCGGCGTCCGTCCAGCACAGGTCGTTGTGCTCCAGGTCCAGCGCCAGCATGTTGGGCAGTTCCAGGCCGTCGCCTTCGACCAGCACCGAGCGGCCGGTGCCGTCCATGTGGCACGCCTCGATGCGCGGACGGCTCCTGTCCCAGTCGGTCCAGTACACCTTCCTGCGCAAGGGAAGACAAGAGTCTCTGAAGGCTTAAAAGCAAACACGTAACGCAATCCAACAGCGATATGGTTGCGAGTACGCACCGCAGCCTTACGGTACACCCCCTAATGGCGCGGAGAAACACGCGGAGAAGACAGCTTTAATAGACACGAGTGTGCGAGACAAGCCTTTAAAGTGTGCTCACGATGCCTTGCGCCCCCTCCCCCCCCTTTTCCAGGGGAGGCTGCGGCGTTGTAGACGACGTTGCAAACTTCCTTGAAATCCGCCAATCACGGAGTGAAAATATTGATTCATAAGTTTACTCTACCGGGATTTCCCAACACGCTGCCCTAGCTACGGCAACCCAGGCAGCAAGCCGGAAATAAAACCTACCTTTGCCCACGTTTGGCAACCGAAAAGGCGTATTTTGGGCGTAATAGGTTTTGCTTTAAGGTGCTGGTTAACACCACGGCATCTTTCCTTGGTCCTAACAAGTCAGAGAATAGTCAGTATGTTTTTTATCTGCTTCGCCATAGAAGTCGCGAAGTGTCACACAAAAGTCAAACGCCCCAGTTGACAATCTAACGAACAAGAGTGAAGCATAAAGGTGGCATTTATTGAGGGATTGTGGCCCAGAAATGCGAGTCGAAAACCGAATAAACAGAAGTGAAACCTAGAGGCTGAACTCCATGGAGCGAATTATGTGACGAATAACGGACGAACGCCGCCCGGCGGCACGCTCGCTTTGCGCGCGACGTAGCAGCCACTGTGTTGATTCCACGCGCAGAGCAAAAGCCGCCGGGCAAAATTCGTCGCTTTTTCGCAACATATTCGTCCATGGAGTTCAGCCTTTACTGTCATTTGCTCGGGAATCGGGGGCTCAAAGAGTTAACTGACATCTGGCGATTCAGGGTCAAGATATAGAGTCTTAAGCCACAGGATGACAATTTTTCTGTCTCTTTTCCTTCTGCGGGCTCTCCAAGGGCCTAAATACTACGACCAAACTTTGGCTCAACGTTACTTTGCCTTGGTCCGAAGAACTGTGCTGCTTGGAGACTCACCCGAGTGCCGGATGGACGGCGATGCCACGAGGGTTGACCAGGCCGTCGTGGACGATGACGTGATGGTAGGCGCCGTCCAGAGAAGCTACCTCCACAGTGTCGTCCAGGGAGTCGGTCCAGAAGATGTTACGGGATGCCCAGTCGACGGCGATGCCCTCGGGCGACCGGAGTCCGCTGCGGAAGGTCTCCGGGGACGAGCCGTTCGAGAAGGCGCGTCGGATGGTGCCTGACGCCGCGTCCGTCCAGTAGATATGTCCGTCGGCGCAGTCCGAGGCGAGTCCTACCACCGTCTGATGCTGTTCCATCAGCAGCAGCTTGCCCGGGTTACCTATAGGTCACAGGGCGAAGTAGAATATCATCTGTACATTTAGACAGCAGGAAGTTAGTTAAAGCTCCAATGGGCGCCTAGCGCCTGAGCCGCAGGTCAGTGATTTAGCCAGTGCATTTCCACTGCTACCCCGGGGTTTTTAACGTGCATCAGGCAGTTGTGATTGTCCGAACGCACGTAGGACAAATCGCTATCTATTCGCGTGAGTAAGAACTGAAAACGAGCCGGGGCCTCCTGGCGGAGTGGAATTACGCATTTAGTGGATATTGTCTCGCACTGAACAAGATATTTGAGGCGTTAAGCGCCGTTCACACTCTTGCGACCGAGTAAGACCGAGAGAGACCAGACCGGTTTTTAAGCCTTTTGCGACTTCTTAGGACCGGATGCGCTGCAACGGAGCTGGTCCTAAGATATCGCAATAGGCTTAAAACCCGGTTTGGTCTCTTTCGGTCTTACTCGGTCGCAAGAGTGTGAACGGGACTTTACAAGTTCATACGCGTGTTTCGATACTCCGTAAATATCAGTAATCGTCCGTTCATAATTTAAAACAAAACCATCGTAAAACGAGAGGTTTCTTTTCTCCTGATTTGGAAGTTTGGTGCGGAATTCGGGCAACACTGTTCAAGAAGTCGAACTTCATCGAATGTTTTTCGACGGTTGCCCGAACCTGTCGAAAGTAGATCCTCATAAGCGAACAATGCCCGCGACTTCCCTAGAGTCACCGACATCTTAAGGACGCTATTATGATCGCGCTTCTTGATTCGTGGTTCGTTCTACGGCCTTTTTTATTTTGTGCTGCCGGAATCTCAATGACCGGGGAGCGATGATAAATCGCTTGAGACTCTCTTATCACGCGTCGCTCCTCCTACCTTTGGTGGGCGCCAGCGGCATCTGTAAGATGGACATGCCCTGGCCGAAGAGCAGGTAACCTCCCTGGTCCCTCGGGGCCGGCGCGCACGCCCGACCGTCACCCGTGAACCCGGGCTGGCACTGGCACACGGGCGAGCCGCCGGGCTGCCGCACGCAGTCCGCGTTGCGGGCGCACAGCGACGGGTCGTCGAAGCACGAGGCGGCCGGCAGGCAGCGGTAGCCGTCGCCCTGGGTGCCCGGATCGCAGACGCAGCGGTGCGCCCGCGACACCGGGTCGTACAGGCACTGGGCCGAGGCTCCGCACCGGTTCACCAGGTTGCACGGAGTTCCTGTGGAGGAACACCCGACTCGTCGCCATCCTGTCCGCGACTGCGAGCCCTCCTGACTTTCGGGCCCTCACTAAACGGCTTCGTTTGTTTTTTCACCACTACGCGACCAGCAATCTCGTTGCTTAATAAAAACTTGCAGCCTTTCCGCTCTGGTGAAGAAGGAAGACCAGCGAAGCTGTACTATGATGGGAATAAAGTAATGGCCGGCCGCAAGTCTGCAAGCCAGAGGGGAAAGGCTCGAAAGTTACCCCCATCTATGAGCGACAGCGGCAACCAGACAACCGGCAAGCCGACTGTCTTGTTGCCACCGTCGCTCATAGATGGCGGTAGCTGTCCAGGGTTCTGTGTCAATAGATCATTTGAGGACGGACACGATCCTGGGGAAACTAGCCCTTAAGAGCTCCGCTGTAATAAATTAGCGCGAGATCCTCACTGGGTAGCCTCGAATGTAGAATATTATGTGCCGTTTGTTAAGTTCGATTCGCGGATACCGCGCAGAAGGAGGCCTGCGTCTTCTGACCCCGAACGTCACCAGCCACTATATAGAAGTCACCGGCAAGATGAGCACGGTAGGGAGGGTGTCTCTCAAGCTCGGATGTCCTGCCTCCGGCACTCGCTCCTTGGCTTTCGTCGCGCTCTGGATACGTGTGGAACCTCGAGGTTCACAAGACGCGGAACTTTCATCGAAGATGGATATATTTCTCGCTCAAAGTAGGACTACTAAAGACCTTCCTGTCGTTCTCTCCCTGTTAGTAACTACAGGCGGACATACTGCATCCCCTCATCGCCGCAGGAAGGCGCCGACTGAGTCCTCTTACCCGTGTGCGATGCGTCATGGCGGGGTTCGCAGACTTTCCCGTCGCCGCTGTATCCGTCGTTGCACTGGCAGCGGTAGCGGCGCCCGTCGAACAGGCACTGGGCGTGAGGATCGCAGTTTTCGAGCGTTGAGCACTCGTCCAGCGGCCGGCAGACGTAGCCGTCGCCCTCGTAGCCCTCGACGCAGCGGCACATGGGACGGCCGTCGGCATCGCGAACGCAGGCGCCGCCAGTCGGGGCACAGCGGCTGCAGTCGCCCTCCGCTGCTGTAACGAGACGATGCTTCCTATAGCGACACCGACTGGACGCACCCCAAAGGCTCCGAAACAAAACGCCGGCCTATGGATCTTCAGGTGGCGGGTTCGATTCCCGGCCGAACTGACGGAGGTTTATCGCGGAGAACTCGTCGCGTAACCGAGCCTCCCCAGGGCCCGTTTGCTCGAAGCTGGTTAACTAACCGCGGTTAACCGCATTTCCCTACGACGGGGAATTTTGGGTCACGTGACCGGCAGAGTAAGGACGGCGGGGAAACATGGCGGTGCCCCGGTGAGTGAGCTCCGCTCGCTTTGGAACTAATACGTCGCAGTAGCTGCAGTAGCGGGCGCGTTAGTCAGCAATGAATGGTGCAGGAGGTTTTCGCGCTGCATTACCTCACTTAAAACGCAAAACATGAGCAATGACCTCGCCGCATTTTTTAGATAGACTTTCGACTCTGACCATTCCTAAGCCTAAATGAACGCGATAGTTGTCGGCATGGCAACGTTTTTGGAAAGTGGATTGCCTTGACTCAATCGGCCGGGTATTGATAGCACACAGAAGCATGGAGCGTTCCCATAGACCTCTTGCCAAATTTCAAAAGCACCGAGGTGCATGCTACGAGTGTAGTTACACGCGCTGCACCTGCTGGCGTCTGCAGTAATAACTGTTCTGAAGCAAAAAGCCTAAAACAAATGTTGCCGTGCACGGGCGTTCGTCAACGATTTATTATGATTATTTACTTCAAATCTTTTATAAGTGGAAGGCCAGCGCGCGCGGATCATAGAATTACACTTCCAGCGTTCTTCTCGATGTTCGGGTAATTTAATAGGTCAATTTTCAGTGGAGCCAAGTTACAGGTTTTTCAATTTATGAGTTCTTACATGCTGGCCAACCATGCTGCCGGTGTACCGCCCGCCTTTCACTGCTCACTTCTTTCTCATCGTTTTTAGGACTCAACTTCGTCGTCCTCTTTCGAAGTCGGAAGGAAATTTCAACGAGGCTTTTCTGCCCTTCATACAGCCAAATATTTAGAAAATTTCCAAACAAGGGTTAATTTAGTTTTACCTTGCCAATTATTTGTACCGCGAGCAATAAAAATGGTTTCTTAAGCTCAAATGTATGCCACGCTGCGTCGCGAAAACCAGGCAGCGCGCATTTTTTGGGTCCCCCCATTTCGGGAACCTTTCCACAGAAGCCACTTATATTCGCTACAGCCAGTAGGTGACACCAGCCACCGCCCCATAATAAAACACGGAGCTATCGCTCATCCAGCCCTCTTCAAACTTGGCTAGGTACTTGTAGGTACCTAGTAGGGAAGGTCGGTTAACTTTTAACCGCGGTTAGAGTTAACCGGCTTCGAGCAAACGGGCCCTGGTGGTCGAAATTATTCCTGTCCTCCGCTGGGTCGTGCCAGATGCCCCTCACCATGGTGTGGCTCGTCAAACCCCTCAATTCGGGTTTTATTTGATTTGACAGGCTGCTGGAAATAGACAGCGGCACAAAGTATTTAGAAGTATATTTGTATATCGTTACGATATTCTGATGACACTCGATAACGGTACTAATACGCAGAGACGTTGCCAGGCGTTATCGGAGAAAAACACACACAAGCATGATTATAATTACTAGAATTCTTTATCTTGTTTGCTCTACCGAATGTAGAGGACACCGCTGTGCATCACAGTGCACCTGTTTGGAATCCAGACGAAAAGCAGCCACGAATGACGTGTGAGCATCACGTGACCTCCGAAAGTCACGTGACCTTCAAGACACGTGACTTCCGGGAAACAACTCTGCCGATCGACGAGACTTGACTCGTGCAAATGCCAACCTGTGTCCTTTTCAATGAGGCTCCTTAGCCAACGTGTCCTTAAGACGCATTGGCTCAACTGTCGCAAGAGCTTTCCTCGCGGTACTGCTCGTCCAAACTGACTGGCTCACGCACGAAAAGAAAGACACCCCGGTGTAGACCGGAATTCGCGCTCGTGCTTTCGATGACGCGCAGCATTTGACATCGAGTTACACAGCGCACCGACTTACGTCCTTGCACGCACTGGTAGCCGTCGCCCCTGTAGCCCGCGACGCATCGGCACTGGTGCTGACCCGATGTCACGTTCAAAACACACTGAGCCCTCGGGTGGCAGTCGTGGAGGACCTCACAGCCGGGTCGCCGTCCTGTCCGAAAAATAAAAATAAAACAAAAATCAACGTTAAGACATGGATTGCTTCGATGTACCACCAAAATGTGCCATAGTAAAAACGCATTAGTGACATTACACGCAAACCTGGACAGCGCGGCGCACACGACATCACGTCGCATGAAGTCACGCTGTCACGGGACATCATGGATGGATGGAGAGATGAATGGATATTGACTGTTCTCTTTGTAACGGACGGCAGCTTGCGCCGCCTTGCCTAGTTTATATCAGTTTAAAAAAATTTCACAAAATTTTGTCCTTTGGTAATAAGCATAAATCCCGAATTTCGTGCAATATCACACTTCTCTAGACCTTTTCCTCCAATGCTCTAACCTCCTCTTTGTCACATCTTGTCGAATCGTGGGTTATACCAGACAACACCTGGCACCGAGACGTCATATTATACCACGACTTGAGACCCAACGTTCCTAGATCTCAGATATGCAGTATTTCAAAGACATGTATTTGAAACACGTATGTAAAATACTTCGAGTATTTAGTATTCGTTTACATAATGTGGAATGTATTTGTCAATTGTATTTAAATACTTCAAACTGAGTAGTTCAAATAGGTGTATTTCAAATACAGCCCAAAATACAAGTTTGGGCACAGCTCTTCACTGTCAACCATAGGCGTAGACTACGGGGGGGCATCGGAGCTCGTGCCCCCCCCCCCCCCCTTCACCCCCTAATGACATCCGGCCATGATCCTTACCGAGACGCTGTGTACGTGCCATGTAACGAGCGTCTAGTAGTGGCATGGAAACAAAATAACGCACACAGCGACGGACACATGGCGATATACATACGGTCTAAAATGTACCCCCAAAAATAAACTATTGATAATTGCCGGTGTAAAAACATTTGCGCGGAAAAGCCCCCCCCCCCCCCCCCCCCGGACAACGTCTCAGCCTGCCCCCCCCCCCCCCCCCCCCCCCCCAGAAAAATGGAAAGTCTACGCCGCTGCCGTCAACTATGATATTGGGCACTTTTCGTCAAAGAAAACTCGTATGCAAAGAGCATGAAACTTGCGGATAAACATTGAAGAAAACAAAAAGAAGAGTAGAACGAGGACTTAATGGGGATGAGCACAAATATGGCCTCTTTGGGTTGGTGATTTTATATTTTAAAAAGGTTGAATTAAACAGGAATGTTGCATGGAAAGGCTTTGATGCATCACCTTAGCCTTTTAAATTAGTCCTACACCGAATACATTGTCGTTCCTTACGTTGTGTACGCGTATGAAGTTATGACAAACAAATATTATCTCCAGAGCTGCAACATTCTTTCTAAGCACATGATTCTAAGTATATTTGAACCTTTTGCCTGCTTTGCCTGGCACGCTGCAGTGTGCGCAACTGTTTCGTTTTAAATACCTTTCTTAAAAGTATAATTCAATTTGTAATTAAATACATTCTTGGCGAAGTATTTTGAATTTTTATTTGAATGCATTTTTGAAGTGTTTGTCCCATTCCTGCTAGATATATCAGAAAGTTTCAGAACAGAGGGCTCCAAAGCGTCGAGTCCCCCAATCAATTTGGGGCGTCGTTCTGCGCATGCGCAAAGTGACGCCCCAAGCTGCTATTGGGGAACCCAAAGCGTGGGGTTCCCTATTCCAAAACTCCTACAGCCAGGGCGGGGACGAAAAAAGAAAATCATGATTTTCTTTAATCAAACAAATCAAAATTATTTAAGTCATATTATTTTAATACAAATCACAGCTTTTAAAATAAAACGTGACTCTATATCAATACATGTATTTCTAAACATGGCAGATTGATTGATGAATCCGTTCGATAATTGATAACAATGTGGAAAAAAAAGTCACTGCATATTTAAGGGGCAGTATAATTAACAACTTTCTTTTTATGTAACCCCGTCACACTAGAACAAAAACAACTTGAATTTTTTTTTTTGTTGTTGTTGCTAAAAGTTTTGTTTACTTTTCTTTCATCTTCTAATTCGCTCGCCATAAGGCATTACCTCTATAGTTTTTTTTTTTCGTATTTTGATTTGCTCGCAATAGAAGATTACGAAAGTGACAAAGTGAAAGGCTTTCTGCTCATGTTCAGCATGATACAGATTCTTCTGGTTCGGTAATTTTCTTTTATTTTGGTCCAAAAACAAAGGTGGAGAGAAAACATAAAAATATACACAAACAATAAATAAAGACTATTTTTGGATTATTTTTGCGAGAAAGATTTGGTTAAAATTATCGTAGTAATACTGGTATAAATTAAATCACGATTTAAATCGTGATTTACTTCATCTTTATTTTTCCCCCACCCTGCTAACAACGTTGCTGATACTCTGACGTCACGAGGTCAGAGGACTGCGACATCACTCGACGTCATGACGCAACGTGACGTCGCGGTGCCGCACGACATAAAAAGATCACGTTACGTCATGGAGACATTAAGACGTCACCATGACGTCACGGTGACGTCCTGACGCCATCTTGACATCATAATGACGTACCGATGACGTCACGGTGTCAGGTAACGTCACAGGCCTTCGTGACGGGCCTTTGTGACGGGACTTCGTGACGGGTCTTCGTGGCGGTTTTCTCATAGACATTGGCTGATAAAAGATCGAGGTACACCTAAGCACTTCTTATGAGTTGTGAGTGCGAAAGCATGTACATCAATCGCGCTCTACGCGTGTTGGCGCGCTGACTGGCGCTGCGTGTCCGGCGAATGGGAGCCTGGTCGACGCGAGCTAGCCAATGGGATCGCAGCAGTGTAAAAGGTGCCGTTGGCTGTGAACGCGCGCTAGCCAATGGGATCAAAGCGATGTAAAAGAGCCGTTTGGCGTGGTTCAAAGCTGATGACGTCTGCTCGCTTCATGAGACAGTTAATACTTTCGCATTAAAACACGTTCTGTGTTAAAAAAGAAATCCGTCGAGGGCCGTCCACAGCGACCCTACCTTGCGGGTAGCAGACGTAGCCGTCTCCCGAGAAGCCCGGGTCGCAGGCGCAGAAGTAGGCGTCCACCTGCCGGTCGTAGACGCAGTGGGCGTCCGGGTGGCAGTCGTCGGCCTCCAGGCAGGACTGTTCTACGCAGAAGACGCCGTCGCCACGGAAGCCCGACCGGCAGCGGCAGCCGTAGCTGCGCGTGCGGGCGTTGTATTCGCACTGGGCGTTCACGTCGCACATCAGCGGGGACTGGCGGCAGTCGGTGGCCGAAGGCACGCAGCTGCTGCCGTCGCCCGTAAAGCCAGCCGGGCAGCGGCACTGCGGCGCCTGGTCCGGGCTAGGCTGGACGCACTCGGCCGCCGGGTCGCAGCGCAGGCTCGCACACGTCGGCTCACCTGCGCGCGCAAGCGACGTCCACTGTCTCTCAGACCAGGCTCAGGTATTTCCGTTTGAGTGAGGACCGACTGCGCTGTACGACTCCCCGCGTTCCACCCCTACGCGGACCTCGGTTGCCGGTGCAACCATCCCGACGTAAGCAACCATGAACTGCCGAAACGCAGTCGTTCACGGTCAAAGGCTAATGACTGAACACACCTCATTTCACTGCGAAGAGAGTCATTGGCAGATCACTCGCCGTGCTAGCGCAAGCATGGTTTTACGATAGTCCTCAGGATGTCTCAACGTTCCAGGGATGTCCTGGGGATATGTGCATGTAAATATGACATCGGTGCCACCTGGAATAGCCGTCCTGTGTACTTTTAACTACCCCTTACAAAATTTGGCCAGCACATGTTTGAAATAAGAGGATATAGGGAACAAGTCCGTGGACACGTTACCCTGGCAGTTGACGCCGTCTCCGTTGTAGCCAGGCCTGCATCGACACGCGAAACTCCCTTCAAGGTTCATGCACTCGGCGTGGACGTGGCAGTTGTGTTGGCCCGAGGTGCACTCGTTCACGTCTGGGAAAGAGGAAAACAGAGCGCGCCGTAAGTGCTTCACGTTTAGAGCGGCTTGCCACCATCACTTCGAGGATCTCCCACAGATTGTCGCTTTGAGCGAAACAACGTGGTACGAATGTAGCTCCGCAATTCTCTTCGACATCATTAACGGGTAGCTTGAATCCAAAAATTTCCCCACCGAGCAGGGACGGTTGCGCCATCTTGTGCGAGGTTTGAACAACTCTGAGTCGTCCCGCGGCCGCAATCATTGGACGCGATTTCAAGCTCATATATCTTCGAGTGCCCTGCTGAACTCTGACGCAGTCCTCGAGTCATATTGTTCGGTGGCCTTCCCGAAGCTGCCTATTTTGGCCACCAGCTGCGCTGACTAGCAGCCGACCGAGGCGCCTCCTATGCACTGCCTTGGGTCTATAGCCACACGCTGCTTAAGAAAGGCACGACGTGTCGAGTCCAGCGCATGTCATTATCGCCGCAGCCAATCAGATTGCGGTATAAGCCGATAAGCACACCAAAGAACCAATCACGAAGCAGGAACATAATTAACCCCTCCCTGCGTTTCTTAAAGTATCAGCGAGCGTAGTACCCACGAAACTGGGAAGTGTACGCGCGGATGGATGGATGATTAGATAGATGGATGCAAACGGTTGCACTTTTTATAACGGGCGGTAGCTTGTGCCACCTACAGCCTAGACACTAAAACAAAACAAAACACAAAACTGTGAACCCTCCCTTCGCCCTTCTAAGCCAAATTGATGCCCCTCTGCAATTTTGTAAGTATCACAAAGTGGTGTGGGATATCACCAGAATGACCTATGCGGAATGAGAGCAGCCATATTGCTTGCATCCCGTGTGGAGGACTGTCCACCCGGAGCACCACTCCCTTCGGCTTTCAGCGGACACGATCACGCACCGCCACACACGCGCTTAAAGCGCTTCGGTAGCCAAGCGGATCCGTTCGAGGAGAGTTCGCATGGGCTTTTACGGGGGGCACGAAATCGTGTCCGCTAAAAGTCGTATGGAGTCGTGTTCTTTGGGGACAGCCCTGGGTTTTCCGCCGCCACCTCCAATTCGAGCGACAGCGTTGTGTCCATACAGACACCGTTCGAGACCGTGTCCGACGTTTTACAGTGACGGTACCGCTGTCGCGTCAAGATAGTTTACTTGCTGGACCCTCACGACTAACTCTGCGTATTCAATAGGGGAAGAACGCCAGTGAATCGTTATACATAAATTAAAATAAAAGGTGTCACGTGCGCTTAAAAGAGGCCTTCTCAACCAATGGCAGCAGAGCATTTGCAAAACTAGCGCGTTCTGAGATCGCGAAATATAAAACATTTTAGCAGCTCTCTGACACGCCCACAGACAGGTGAGATGGCGGTCGATTTTGATAAAATTGATCCTAACAATCTGTTTACATTGTACTTTGAAAGCTATACTTGTGGTGAGAACATTTGCGATGGCGAAAACGATCCAGGTCTCCAGACCAGTAAGATGTTTGTTTAAGGAACGGGGCTACACTGGCAAGTGAGTACTTCAAATGGAAAAAAAAAACCTCAGTTTGGATCGTCATTCCGCCGGAAAAGTTGAGAGCTCACCAACGCAGATGGGAAGCTGTCCCCGACCGTGCAGAGTTTCGTAGCCCACGTTGCACTGGCAGCGGTGTCCCGTGCCATCAGCCACGCATGAGCTGTGCGCCCCGCACTGGATCCCTTGACACGGATGGTCACCTAGACCGTAGGGGAATCCAAGACACTTTACTGGTTGGTCGGTTTAACTCAACGGACACCTCGTATACATGACTTGCACTGGTCGTCACTGCATCATGTTGGCGGTCATTCATACTTCTTGCCAAAAAATAAACAATTCTAGGATATGAAATGCATGCTGCTGAAGAAACTCTGCGCTTAACCAAAAGGCTACTGCAATGGCCGCTGATACGATGTCAATGCAAGCTATGTGTAGGGAATGTGGCGTTCGTATTTTTTTTTAATTGGATTATCGGTGTTGATTTCATTCTGTTATGTCTCGCCAGTAGGTCGCATGCTCGATGTGTGGCTGTTGGGTAGTCAAAAGTGAATCCACCGAGTTGCGTCGGCAAGGGTTAGCTAGTACAAGTGATGATGCGAGTAGAAGCCAAAAACGTGCAAACGAAACAAGTCCAGCACGTGAGCAAATCTGCACAAGCCACAAGCAAGATGTAATATCGGACTCACCATCGACGGGGGAAACCTTTGTGGTCTGTGCATAGCGCACGATGCCGTCCTTGGTGTCCAAATCGATGAAGTTACGGCCAACCTGGACGCGCTGCAGGCCTTTCTTGCCGACGGGGGCGTGAGGGCAATCGGAGAATACGATGGTCTGGTCCACAGTGTACTCGACTGGCAGCGAACTGCCTTCCAGGCTGAACTGGTTGGACAGGTGAGCCTTCACCACGCCTGCGAGGGCAAGGGCACCAGTCCCCATGGTTGGAAACGGTGCAGCAGCCTTCAGAACAATTTTTTTCTATAGTTGGATACAAGAAAGGAGGCATCAAATAAACACCCCCACGTACCAGCCATGACATCGAACCGCTGCGCGTACGAACAAGAAAAGATGGTAGCCATAAGACAGTCCGCTACAGGGACGTCAGGGTGACATGCGGCACGGTAGCGGACAGTTTACGTATTGCGGAAGAACAGTGGCTGGCGATAATGAAGATAGTGGGGAGCTTTTGGCGCATTATAAACTTGTATCTGACTATAGAGAAAGAACTGTTACGCAATCAGCGCCGGTAAAAAATACAAAAAAAAGCAACCTGGAGACACATGGTCGAAGTCCTGGGAGTAGTCATCTACGGTGACCTTGGACCCCTGTGATATGGTGGGCAGGCTTCCACGGACTTCCACGTTCACCTTCATCATGTTGAAGACATCCACGCCCAGGTAGTGCTCGTGTATCGTGACCTGGTGCCCCGTTTGCTTGAAGCGCACCTCGGCAGTTCGGTTGAATTCGCCTCCTGTGGCCCGCAAAGCAATGAACCGGTTAGAGAGCAGTCGAAGAAAAGAAGTCGCTGAGTCTGGCAACCAGGCTACTGACGCATGACAACCTCGCGCACAGAGTCGAGCGCACTGACGTGAGTTTGGTTTTCTGGTCTAATGGTTTCTGGATATACAGATTAAACCCGTGAAATACGTTTTAGAATTAATTATGCCTTATTTGACTTATATATTTAACTTGTGTATATCTGAAGGTGTATTCCCTGAGCGTATGCAAATAGCAAAGGTTTCCGTGCTGCATAAGAAAGGCGATAAAAATGATATAAATAATTATAGACCAGTTTCCATACTGCCTGTTTTTTCAAAAGGGCTAGAAAAACTTATTCATACATGGCTCTCAAAATTTTTTGATAAGCATCAGCTAATTACAAAGTCCCAGTTTGGATTTCGAAAGCACCGTTCCACTGAGCTTGCGTTACTTGAAGAAAAGGAATTTATTTTACGTAACCTAGAAGATAGAAAACTAGTCTTGGGAGTTTACATTGACTTTACGAAAGCTTTTGACTATTTGAACCACACGCTCTTATTACAGAAACTTGAATGTTATGGAGTACGCGGGCAAGCCCTGCTTTTATTGATTTTTTGATATTTTTAGATTTTGCAAAAGCATTCGATAAAGTGTCTCATCCTAAATTGTTGCTTAAAATTAACGCCTTGTTTAAGAACCCCATCATTACAAACTGGTTTTGCTCGTATCTTTCATCGAGAGTTCAATTCGTTGAGTTGGGAGGCTGTGTGTCTAGACCCGCTCCAGTTGCTTCTGGAGTTCCACAAGGTAGTGTGCTAGGACCGCTTTTATTTTTAATATTTATAGACGACATACGCTGTGGAATATCAGTTCCAATTAAGCTGTTTGCGGATGATTGTATTTTGTACAATCAAATAGAAACTGAACAAGATCAACTAAAACTGCAAAATGAACTCCTCAAAATCAAACATTGGTGCGACGAGTGGCAAATGGTGTTAAACCCTCGAAAATCAGTCGTTATGTCTATAACAAGAAAAAAACATATCCTAAATTATGATTACTTTATAGATGACACCAACCTACCTCGTGTAGACGAAAATAAGTACTTAGGAGTTACCTTTACAAGCGACTTAAGATGGAATACACACACGGAAAAAGTGTCCAGAAAAGCTAACCAGGCACTATGGTACCTCAGAAGAAATCTTGCAAGTGCTTCGCCAGAAATAAAAACATTAGCTTATAAAACACTGGTGAGACCTATCCTTGAATACGCAAAAGTAGTGTGGGATCCATGTACAATAGCTAACTCGTCGAAACTTGATAAAGTCCAGCGGCTTGCTTCCAGGTTTATCTTTAATAAATATAATCGTAACCATTCCCCCACTGAACTCTGTAGACTTGCTGAACTTCCTTCTCTTGAATTAAGAACAAAGTGCGACCGCCTGAAATTTATTTTTTTGATCATTCATGGTCTAGTTAAGATAGACAAAAATAATTACATGGACGTACGTGTCAGTGAATGTACGAGACATCGTCATAGCATGCACATCAGGGAACCATCTGTCAAAAATGATTGTTTTAAATTTAGTTTCTTTCCTAGGGCAATAAAGGAATGGAACCAACTCCCGAATTCCGTCGTCACTATGACAAATGTCTGTGATTTTGTTAAAAAATATAAAGAGTATAGTGCTTGATAATGTGCCGTGACTTTGTGTTTTGAATGTATTTCTTTTGCTTTTTTATTCCTCCGGGTGAATCACTTTTTTGAAGTGTCAGTGCATGATTGTTCTTTTACTTCTTGTATGTATTACCACTCCTGTAAAGGCCTTGTAGAGGGCCGACAGTATCAATAAATAAAAAAAAAATATTGCAATCATATCTCAAAAATCGTAAACAATATGTGTGCTGTAGTAATTTTTCATCCAGTATAAAACCCATAGTCTCTGGAGTACCACAAGGAAGTATATTAGGCCCTTTTCTCTTTAACGTATATGTAAATGACATTGTGAATATTGACCAAACAACTAAATTGATAATATATGCTGACGATGCAACACTTCTGTATGCTGCGGACGATCCTGAGGAGCTCGTGTCAAAAGTAAACCTATTGTTAGGTCAGATATCGGTATGGACAAAAAAGAACGCTTTAAAAATAAATACAAGTAAAACTAAAGCCGTACTATTTCGACCTAAGCATAAAATTCTTCCTCCAATAAACACCATTACTTTAAACTCGGTAAATATCGAATTAACTGATAATTTTAAAACACTTGGAGTAGTGTTTTCCCAGAATATGTCCTGGGATAGCCATATTGAACATTTAAATAAAAAATTGTCAAGAACTGTGGGTATTATATGTCGGCATCGGTATTTACTTCCTACATCTGTTAAAATATTATTATACAAATCATTATTTTATTCCCATTTAAATTATTGTTCGTTAGTTTGGGGTACTACCACTGCAACTAATCTTGAGAAGGTGCACCTGCTTCAAAAAAGAATGTTGCGAGTAATTGCAAACGTACCTTATCTTTCGCACACGGAAAACCTGTTTAAAAGTTATCATATACTCAGTAGTCACAATCTTTATAACTATAGGCTATCCACAAAACTTAGAACAGAATTTCTTTACAACACTTCATCCCTGGTAGAATTGTCTGCTTTGCAACAACATATCGTACCATACCAAATTCGTAATCCAGATTACTGGCACGTACCAACGTGTCGGCTAAACACTGGAAAGGAAATGTTAGCATACCGAATCCCAAAGCTTCTAAATGTATTGCATTCTAAAGGTGTCTTTATAGATAGATTAAGCCTGGGTGGATTGCGATCTGTCATGCATGATTTTGCATATATAGATTGATGCGATTTCTTTTTTCTTAGTTTAAAAGTGTGTTTTGTGTTGATTTGCGAATGTTAACTAATATGGTGCTCAGTGGCGTTTTCTAGTTTCATGTTGTTTTCTTTGTTGTTTTTTTCGTATTCATTGTGATTATGCACGATTTTTTGTATATTGATATTTCCGACGCTTCTGCAGAATGTACTGGGGCCAAGAACTCGTCAAGCCGTGTAGCGCGGCTTTTTTTCTTGGCTCCACCATTAGGTGTAATGGAAATAAACAGTTATTATTATTATAATGAGCATGCGTTAGCGAGAAATGTCATCGGCACGTCGAGAGGACTATAGCCGGCGTCCCCCGCTTCAGAACGGCGGGTAACTGATATCTTGCCCGGGTAGCGCTCGCTTCGCGACTGAAGCAGAACGAGAGCTCTCGCTTGCTTAGCGATTTTGAGGAAGGCAACGCCCAGACGGAGTGTTAATTTCATGCAAGTGCTTCTCTGTTTTTCAGAGAAATTAGGGTCTCACATAGCAGCCCCCTAACGATTCAGTCAAATGCAACGAACTACTAAAGGTCGTTCCTCATTGCTATAACTGGGCGGCTTAATCAACTCGAAACAAACTTTAAACAGACACTAAGAAAACCACAAAGAAGGATGAAAAACTAAACTTCGACATACTGACGCGACAAATAGTGACGCGAGAATTGACGCAATGGTATGGGCCCCCGGCAAAAACTTTTCCCTATACAAGCTGCCACGATTTAGTAACGTCCTTTTAAATGCAGGCCAATGTCGAAAGATGGCCGTTGCTAACTTGCAACGGAAACCTTAGTCGGTGGGTGTACATCATGACCTATCAAGAGTCCATATATAATAAACCCTTTTATACTGATAAACGTTTCCTGACTGACTGATGTGTGGCCTGATGCTTTCAAAAAGTAACTCTCCACGATACTGGTGGCGCAGCGGGATGGTAGATTTGTTGCCATCTCTAAAATGCAAAACGATGCAGGGAGATGGTGCTAATATGCATAGAGCGGTGGTGGCGCTTTCAAGGCTAATGATGGACACTCATTGGTGACTTGAGGCACACATCTAGTATTTCACCAATAAGTTTGCACTATCCTTGAACAATTAATTGCTGCCTTCAGTCGAGGCTGCTGCTCTAGTGCCACTAAACAAGCTACGTGTCAGAGTAGGGACCCTTCGACCATCTTGTTGCTTAAAATTACTGTCGCAAGTTATCTGTAGCATTATCTGAAATCGCAGGAAGTGATTTTTCACCCTCCAGAAATCTTGCAACAGACGGTGGCAGAGCAAAACAATGTTGTCTGAGCTTCCTCGCACCTACCTTGTATATCGACCTTAGGAAGATGCCTTTCCTTATCGTAACTATCGCCGATTGCATCGGCTCTGCACTAGAAAACAAAATGGCGGCGCCCACAAGTCAAAAGGGGAATAGGGTGTGGATACTTTAAGCGTAGGCCTCTGTGCGCCCTTCTGCTATGTGATACAAGCGTGCCTCCAGGAATGCATACCGGTGAGCGTGAAACCGTTGACGGCGTCTGTGCCCTGCGGCAGGGCGAAGAGCCAGCCGACCACGTCGGCGAGGGTGAGCAGCGCCCTCAAGTCGCTGGCCAGCGAGACGGGCGCCACGCGGCTCAGGGCAGTGTATGAGCGTCCGTCGCCGGTCACCACGTAAGAGTGGAAGTCCACCTCGGCCCCGATCGGAAGTTCGTTCACCATGCCCGTCAGTTTGCCGTTCACCCGCTGCGCCGCACCTGCGCTAGCCAAAGAGACGTCCGTCTTTGAAGCAAGTTGTTTAGTCGACAGCGGCGGACGCGTTAATTCAACACATAGAGAGCCTAACCCGCTAGGAACGTAACCAGCTGGTGCGGGGAGCAAGGGGGAGGATATATAAAAATCTTAACCCCCCCCCCCCCCTCCAAAAAGAAAAGAAATATTCGATTCAATATGCGAGGGACCATTCCGCACGCCCTGTTCCTTAGCTTTCCTCCCTCCCCCAACCCCTATATGGTCACCTGCAGCTGACCATTCAGGGGGTAGGGGAGGGAGGAGAGCTGACCAGTGACCCAGTCCAATCTCATCAGATTGGACTGGGTCACGTGATGTCGGGGCACGTGACGTCGTAGTGTCCCGTGACCCCACAAGGTGGCATTGGGGAGTTTTCGTAGACGGCGTTTCCCCCTCCGCTAAGTCCTCCGCAGCGAAGAAGCCGCTACTGCGTCTGCGCGCCAATGACCTTGACTGTCGTAGCGGGTTGCGGAAAAGGTTGCGGGACGGCAAAAACCACCTACGAAAACTCCCTATTTCGACGTCACATTATGTTAATGGCGTCACACCACAATCGTCGCAGTGGCGCCGTCACATCGCCGTTCGCTAAATTTGACGTGCGATATCGCCAAATTTATGTAACTAATTTCTACATAAGACATATCCTAAAAAACACATTTCCGTGGCGCAGGAAACGCTTATTCCTTTCCTGTGACGTAGTCTATAGTAAAAGGTTGTTTTACAGCCACCGCGTCATTTGGCACGAAGGAGGGCCGGACTGACCGTCCTTGATACAGTTCTTTCCGTTGCCGAAGGAGCCCCGGTCGCAGCGGCAGCAGAAGCCGGCCTCGTAGTCGACGCAGACGGACGACGGAGGACAAGGCACCCTGACGCTGGCGCACGTGCCGCCGCCGCCGTCGCTGCCCGAACGTCCGGCAGAGTCCGGCTCGGCCCCATCCTGACCGGAGATGCGGAACAGCCACTGGCCGGGCACGCCCGTGTTGCCCATCCTGCGAGCGAGAGTCCTCCCCGTAAGGCTCGATATCCTGCGGCAAAAACGATCTCCGGAAAAGTCTACCAAAACCACATCAGCTCCTGACGCAGGATGTGGTCGGTCTTCGAGTCTGCACAGAGCACGAAGGTATGCAGAAGCCGCAAAGAAAAACGGTATTTAGCAAGAAGGGTGACCGCGCTGTAATTCTAAAGCTCACCGCGAGGGTTCTTTTTTCTTTAAGACGGTTGATGGAAGTTCACTCTAGAACAAAAATATCTGACAAAAATCTGTCTGGTTGGGGGGACAATAACCGTATTGACGTAAAGAAAATCAGCATCATCAACGTTCATACTAACCTCAGACCAAAACTTCTCTTGGTATCCTGATACACTCAGATCACATCAGGAAACATAATTTTATCCCTGGGTTCGTTACCGACCCGCCTATATACGTGTACCACCAGTACAAAGAGAAAGTCACCACCGTATAGGAGAATGAAAAACAAACATTCTGTTTCTCCACGGAACTTTCGGTAGTGGTCGTGTATCACCAGTACTGCGTGATGGACTTTAATGACCTCAGACTAGGAGTCATACTGCACTGTTAAAATTTATCATCTACAGCATTTAACACTGTTGCCAAAAACTCGGGCAGACAAACCTCATGACGTCTAAAAATGTAACGACCAATTCTTTTGCCTGAGAATTAAGACTTGGCTTTAGTTATATGTCTTTCTTTAATGTAGAGCACTCTTGGATCGCGGTATCCTTGAATGAGCATGCCCGCGACAGGGTTCCTCTAAACCACAGAAAGAAAAGGTTCTAACTTATCCAGGTTGACCACGTGGTCGGTGCCGGAGCCCCGGAGCAGCGTGTAGCGTGTCTTGTCCCCGGACATGAATCCTGCCTGCGCCTTGGCATCTGGCAGGGATGGCACCTTGCCGTCGGCCTGGATCCACTGGATGCCCCCTTCGGGGTAGAGCAGCAGGGCGTACGCATCTCGCTCGTCGAATCCGATGACCAGCTGGAACGTGTTCACCTGCGTCCCAATATCGCGCTGTGGCGCTCTCCTCTTTTCCGTGCATAAAGTTTCCGACATTCTCTATTGCCTACGAAACAAGGCCTGCGATTTTCCACCTCTGGCGTCATCACTGGTGAAAGAGGGCATTACCATCCAGCTCGCGTTCAAGTCATCGCAGGCATGTCCAGAAGTATTTCACATTAAGAGCAATGCTGGTGCGTGGCGACGCCTAGAAACACGCGTCCGCCCCTTTGTCGCGTACTCTTGTTGAACTTCCCCGTGTTATCCGCATGGGGCAGATCGGGAATCCACTAACTCTGACGTAATCAGCAGGCCTTGTCTTCTAGGTCGTATGCGGAGAGAAAGTCGTCTGCTTGTTGCGCAGGAGTTGCGGCGACGTCAGAACGACGCCGAGCCTTGACTGGCTTTGATGGAAAAGATGATGGGTGCACCTCAATGCAAGATGCCTTCAGGTCTACCCACTGTTTTTGTGTTTTTTTTTTGTTTTGTTTTTTTCAATTAGCCAATGAAATATCGGCGTTCTGACATCATCAAAACCCCTGTGCAAGAAGCAGACGAACCTGCTCTCGCACTGGCCCAAAGCAGGTCCCCAAGGAGAAGAAGTGTTTGGCGCGTACCTTGTCGATCTTACGCTCGTAGTATCCAACGGCGTCCCAGGTGGCCACGAAGAGGCTTCTAGCTCTGAAGGAAGCGGCGGCGTACTGGCTGCTCACCAGCGCGGTGAAACGCAGCAACAGGCTCTCCTCCTGGGTCTCCCGGTAGAAGACCCGGCCCGTACCGCGCGTGTCCACGTCGCAGTACAAGGGCGCGATCAGCGGGTACTGGAGCGGGAACTCGGCGCTGAAGAAGCTCGGCACATCCGTCAAGAAGGACACCAGGCCGTTGTCGTTCACCTGCGCGCAGCGAGCGGCATGCGATCACATTGGCGACACTGCCCAGCTCCGACAGGAACCGATTGTTTTCGCTTGTCTTTAGTTTGTGGGGAGATCATTGCAAAGTGCGTGTTGACAAATAAGAGTTTCTAGTCTCCTTTTTTTCGTGGCTCGTAACTCAGGAGATCGGAAGTGTCTAGTCTGTGCTCACACATCTAATACAACATACAAAAGAGAGTGCGTACACACTATCTGAGACGTGTTTCTTTCTGGTCCCGTCACATTGGCCATACAAAATTTTCTGCAGGCATGTTTTAAGCATGCATTCGTATGGCGTAAACATGCATAGAAGACTCTTTGAGACCTTTTCCGCAAATACTTCTTCATCACGTCTACAACAAACACTGTCTTTTGTGTGACAGTGTTTGTTGTAGCAGTAGCAGAAATGTCTATGGGGAGGGGCAAATTTGATACCTCCAGTTCAGACGCCACTAGCAAGTCTTGCATTCTGTGCATCAAAAACAAGAGACAGGCCTGGAGTATATTGCGGCGTTACGTTTCGTTACTTTATGAGATATTTGGCGATTGACCTTTCCCAGAGTAAATGGTCAAAAGACCGTTAAAATTGACGCATAGCTAGAAGCCAATTTCATTGGTGCATGAAATTCACCGAATTCATGGCATAAATGCATTTTAACGATTCACTGGCCTTACTCGACGCGGGCCAAGCAAACATATCGTATTGATTGTATCGTGCACCTACTGTAGTTAAAAAATCCTTTACATTTCGAAGTAACGTGTTTAATTAAGTATTGTAATTACGATTTTAAACCGAACGGGTTTGTGGAGAACTGATTTAAACCAACTTTAATCGCAATTACCCCCCCCCCCCCCCTTTACTGTATTTCCTTTTGAACAAGCCTTCTCTCTCTCAGTTCATTCCTTCAAGCTCCTTTGCATTTTATCCTCCGAGGTAGACTTGACTCTGTTACGTAAAAACGTCGGACAGTAGCTTTTGTATCGCAGTCGTCATCTCCATCGGCGCGCCTTTCAACTGTACAAGAAAAGACGGCCACTCTTGTCTCGCTTGTTGCGGCACTGGCAAGAAGCCCAGTGGCATGCTCTTCAAAGCGAAGGCCCGCTCGTCCGGAGATCGACTATCGTTCAAGCAGTTCAGAGTGCACTCGAGGCCAGTGCTGTCGCTACGGCCGATAAGATGGGCCGATGAAATCACAGCCAACTATTTGTCGCCCACGGACGTTCTTCAAGAGTCGTCTCAATAAAGTCTTACAATCTTGTTTTTTTTCTTTTTTGGGGAAGCTTATTAGGACAAGTAGAGGTTTCGGGACCGGTGCATTGACTCCGAAGAGCACTGTGCTCAATCAACAGCTCAGTGCGACCTTTGAATAAATGATTGATTGATCGGTCAATCAGATTGATTGATTGATTGATTGATTGATTGATTGATTGATTGATTGATTGAAAGTGAGACCTGCGGTTACTCTTCAAGTTCTACCTTTCAAGATTGACTGATTGCTTGTAAAGTGCTAATAAACCTTTTTTCTGAATTTAGGGAATTGTGGAATCTATAATAAAAAAACTTTATGCCCTGCGCTTACTGCTCTCGAAAAGTTTTACAGGGCTTTGATATAGATGATAGCAAACCTAGAGGGCATACATACTGTAAACGACTCTATTTTCGCGGGATCAATATTTTGCTATTTTGGCAAAGTGTGGATTTCGGAAATATTTCGCCGACACAAAATTTCGCGAACGAGGGGATGTATGCTGAGTATTTGTTACCACAGGGAAAACCTATTTCTGGGCTTTATTTTTCGCGATATTATTCGAGTCATGAAATTGGTGAAAGTTAGGTCCTGGCGAAAATTTAATTTATTATATTCGGTTCTATCTTGTCTAGTCTCTAAAGGGAACAGGGCACGATATATTTTACACACTATCACATCCTATGAAATTATGGCGATAACATCATAGGCCATGTCATTAGTCATTGAGCAATGCGAGATTTGTCCTTACAATCTCTACAATACACTCAAATTTGTCAAAATAAAAAAAAACGGTTTTATTATTTTAGGAATTGATTCACGCAATATTTTATTTTATTGTGCATCAAAACATTATCAAATGTATTTTTGTTCTTTTTTTTTTTTTTGCAGTACAGAAAAACAAAAAGGTCAAGCCAGAATGCACGCCTGCCTCTCCTAGGTCAGGAACCACCCAGTGAGAAAATGGGTACACGGTAAGCGTAAAAGAGATGGATTGGGAATTCGCTGAATGTCCAAATTACTGCTGAGGTCGACGAAGATACGGGGAAAACATTTTGGCCATGAACTTCGCTTACACACGCAGATAACATCCTAAGCACATTCTTAGAGTGCATTCTAGGACCAGATGATGTCTTTTAGAGCGACCCTTTGCCGCCCAAATGCCAACCGAAGCCAAACCACAAATCGGGGAAGCAAGAGCCTTCCAAAGTCTCATCGCCAAGCACCCAGTTCCAAACAACAAAACAAAAAAGCAAAGGTCTCAGCCATGCCTGCTATCAGACAAGGCGGCATCTTTAGGTCCCTCCAGCAGTACTGTTTGCGCCTCTTCGGGTCGAAATCGGACGGAAGCGCGACACCGACCCCCGAAAAGCTCGAGCTCGACTCACGTAGAGGGTGGAGTACTCCGTGCCGTAGAAGGTGATGGGGTGACTCAGCTGCACTTCGGCAGAGCTCACGTCGTTCTCCTTGGTCAGGCTCTGGTCCTGGGTGATGCCGAAAGGGAAGAGGTCCGACGTGGGCAAAGAGCGGGCCCCGTGAAGCAGAAGCGCTAGTAGGAGCACCAACTGCGGTCGCGGACACGAAGCCATGGCGGCAGGACGTCGACTGTCTTGTCGACACGACCGCTATCTGGCCCGCCTTCGTCCCTGCAGGCGAGATACGGCTGAGCGCCACTCCAGCCGGCCGGCGCCTGTCCCGCTTTCGAAGAAGCGCATCTGCGTGCCGGGGCCAATACCACCCATAGAAGACAAGGCCGGCGTCTTTGCCCCCCAGACGTCATCACTAGAGGGTCCCCGCATTGCCGTCACCAGGACGGACCAGACATATGCGTAACGCGCTACAAGATAGTTACCTATTCTGGTAATGAAGTAACGACCTAGTTATTTTTTTTAAGAAAAGGAAGAAGTAACGTATGTTTGTTACTTTTTGCTACATTAAACGAGTAATGGTGTTTAGTTACTGCTGGAGGGAGGAACGTGTACGAAACAAGTACCCAACCTACAGTTCTCACCCCATCTCGTGCCAGTAACTTTCACGACGATACAACGCTAGATAAACAATGAAAAGGTGTGCACAAGGTAAGTCTGAGCATTCGTGTCTTGTTTGTATGGACACCCCCATCCCCCCCCCTAAAAAAAAAAAAAAAAAAAAAAAAAAAAAGGGTGTCCATAATGTGTGTTTTCTATGATAACGAGACGAAAATGTATGCATTTACCGAGTTTGTCCCCGGAAATGGTGTCTATGTGGAGCGTAACTTCGTCTGCTTCTTTCGCGGGGGTTGTGGTGACGTCAGAGAGAAGCCGAGCTCTGATTGGCTCTGATTGGAGAGCCAATCAGAGATCAACGTTCTGACGTCACCACCACCCCTGCGAAAGAAGCAGACAAACTTACAACCAGACCGATATTAAATAACTGTATAGCCACGGTTATTCCCGGATGAACGCGTTTTAAAAGCGATAAATTGTTAACGGCAACAAATAATGGACGCGGTTACTGTTTTATCAAAGAACTGACCATTGTGAATAACGAGACAATAAGTTATTACTTTAATGCTGACGTAACGCGTACTTTTTGAATCGCAGTGACGAGTAACGTATACTTAGTTACTTTTTGAGTGAATAAAGAGTGACGGTATTGAAGTTACTCAATTTTGAGTACCGTGTACAGATGCCTAAGACAAACGCGCCTGCCGCTTCACGGCGAAGCTTTGGCGTGTTTGCCGCTTGGGACGGGTGGGGGAGCCACTAAGGATGACGTCATTCAGAGGCCTTTTCTTCCAGGTGGCATTGGCTGCAAGCACATACCCTAGCTGGAGCAGTCAGTCAGTCTTCGTCTGATCCGACGGCGGCGCTATTTTAGTCGGCATCGGGGTGCTGAGGCGACCATGACGCCTCCCGAAACATCGTGTCGGGGCGGCTATTTTCTTCGTGGACGAGTACACACAGGAAGTTCCCTCTTCCAGACAATGGGTTCCAATGTTTGCGCACGTGGCGGCCCGACGTTTCGGTGAAATGAGTCAGCTTCGTGTAGATAAAGCCAGTTCAAGGGAAAACTGACTGGTAGTTTGTTTGTTTGTTTGTTTGTTGGTGGGAAAGGGGGCTGGGCTGAAGTCGAGCGTTTCAGCGAAATTTGGTTTTAACTTGTTTCGCGCTTCAGATTTTACGGGCAGGCCCTCTTTTGGCGTCCACGGTACGAAATGTTTGCACTTAAGGCAATGTTAAGTGTTTTGTAATGAATGCATCAGAGCAAGCTGGCTGGGGAAGCTAAGCCGGATACGAATCCGAAGGGGGTGTTAAAATTTCCAAACGAGTTTTTTTCGTGATAGAGCTGTGCACCGACTGAAGGTACTGAAACGATCGATGGGTAACATTGATTTCGCGAATTAATCATTTAATCGCTTAGCTGGTTCAATGTGGCGGCTGATGAAATTGATAAAGCATTTCGAAATTATAAATATATACTTATAGAGTTGGGGAATACAATTGCTGGGATTCTGCAGCTTTAGCGTACCGGAACAGGGCAATTTTATCAGAATTAATTTTGTTTCGGTCATTAGTTTCTTTGACGTACTGCTGCGGGCATGCTGGCAGAAGTAGAAGGAAGAACAAAAAGAAGTGCATGCCCCGGTTTAGTAACGTCGACTTTGCGGCTAGTATGTAATTTTGAATTGCGCTAATGGCCAGCAAATATCCATTTCATTAAAATATCAGACAATGGATAAAACTAAGGAGCGCAATGCGTTACTGATACCCCCCCCCCCCCCCTCCTTACCTGCTATCCCTACATTCGAAACATGGGAAGCAGGACACCGTGATAAATAGAAAAAAATATCTTCCACCAGAAGGCTAAGCTCGCTGATGACAGAAAGTCCTAGGTGCTCCGTATTATTATGCCCCTCACCACCACCACGTTGTGGGGAATATCAAGACAAACAGACTAGCAGCGGAAACGACATCTAATTTCTATCACCGTTGCCCAGCCTTCAGCTGAAAAAAAGACAGAAACAGCTCCAATTCGGTCAAGACCTCTCAGATAAAAATTGCTGGATTAATTTTTTTTTTTTTTTAGGCTTTACAAATTTGGGTAAGAAGGAGTGAAAGCTACGCTAGTGCTGTTGTGCAAGTGAGTTATACGACAAGGGGGACACTATATTGGAGGTTAATCGTCACTATAAATAAAATTATTAATGAAAATTATGAATTATATCTTTAATTTGTGAAAATAAGCATATAGGTATTTGGCTGGTGGTGCGAAATCACGAACGATAAGAGGCTGAAAAATCGCGCGGGTGCGCTTTCGCAGCGGCAGCCTTGAGGCCGTTGCACGCGTGCCAAATTCATTGCACCTCCACGATTTTCACGTGACCCAAAGCTTCCTAAACTGTACCTGCTTAATGGTTTTCGATGACGCTCAGCAAGTTTCTAATTGCAATAATATGTTTATATTCACAAATTAAAAGTTAAACAACAAATTTTAGTTAAGTAAATGACTCATAGTGACGATTATCTTCGATGTCCCCCTGGCCGTACCACTCACCTGAACAGAGCGCATTAGCATAGCTGTCACGACTATTTATCAAACAATATGTAAAGCCAAACAAGAAAATACACTGCATATTTAGGTGCGAAAAAGTAAGCACGTTGACAATACGGCGTCTCGAGGGAGTAAAAGTCTCGCTTGGGGAAGGTTCTACTCTTATGGCGATTGATCGATTAAGAAGTTCGTCGGCGATTACTACGTAAGTCTGTTGATCGGCAAGTTCATCGATGAAGCTCGCACTCATAAGAAAAAACCGGCTCCCAAGTTGCTGCCCTGTGGGAAGAGACGGACACATTCCCCTCGACGGAGCGCACGTCGAAGGAATGGGCAGCGCCGGAAAGAAGCGATCGTGTGTCAGTCGCTGCTTCCGGCGGGCTTTCGGGAGCGTTTGCGTGAAAGCAGACCTCACCGAGTCCGTCTGCTACTTCCGAAGGCGGCCATGAAACTCATTCTCGCGTCCTGGATCTCCTGGTGCTCGGTACAACTCGCGACGGCGGCCAACCTCAAGTGTGGCTACTGGGTGAGCAGAGCACGAAACCGTCTTCACTTTGCTCGAACGGAAAACACATCGCGTCAGCCCAAGGATCTTCACAAAAGAAGCAACAACAACAACGACGAAAGAGGAACTCCAGTTAAATTCCCCATTAATTGCTGACGTTTCGGGTAGAATTTCAAAACTCCATCGAGCAACATTGGTGGTCGCCATTTTTGTGGGGGGGCACGAAGCGTGTACAATTGGATCCGAGTCTTGTCCGAACGCTGACGTCACACTCGTTTCCGATGTACGAGCTGAGCCGAGTTCACCCCAAACGGTGTTGCGCAGCCCCTCGAATCCAACGCGTGCTAAGAGTATGTGTCCAAGTAATGGCGGATTCGAGTGATCGGCGCAGTAGCTACAAGATGGCGTCTACTTTTGCAAAGTGTTTACAGCACGGAGGATGCGAGATTGGAGGGTTTTTGAATCATTTCAAAATCTGCCAAAGCAATGGCAGATAGGGTACCGCGACAAGAACTGTGAACGCCTCATTGTTTCCGTGTTTTTTTTTTTTTTTTGTTTTTTTTTTTTTTTTCTTTTACGTTGATCATTATAATGGGTTGCAGGTTAAAGACGCGTTGGGTGTTACGCCTCCAGCACGTGTTCGCCGCCCTCCGTCGTGTTTTGGTTGCTAAATGCGTTATACAAAAGCCAGCGCGTGGACACTTTCCGGCACGTGTTTCTTTCGGGTCCTGGCGCGTTGGTCGAACTTAAACTGTCTTTAAACAGCTTCGAAGCGTGCGTGTGTATGAAGCTAACATTCTTGGGACATGCTCCAGGCGTGAACGCATGTAATCATGTCGTTATGTCTGTGGCGAATACACTGTTTTTGTACAATGTATGAAAAGTGAGACAATAATAATAATAATAATAATAATCCATCAATCAATCAGCGTTTATTTCAGTGTTCAGGAACAACCGTTTAAGTCTTAGTGCTGGTACACTTATGTGTTCTTTTATTAAAACAGGAATACCAGGGCGGTGGTGGAACGCAGTCGACTAATCTGACAAATTTGAGGACAGTTCGAGCAGTTGAAACAAGCAGAAGGACGACGTAGAAGCTTCATCAAAAGCTCGCATATTCTAAAGAAAGGCAAGTAACACGATGTCGTAGCGACACACGAGTACTTGTCAACCCTTTTCGAGCATTAACTGCTCGCAAACAGAGAGATCGGAAGTCCCGCAGCGCGAACCAAAAAATATCGAGTGCCTCAGAGTACATGTTGTAGCACTCCGCCGATCTAAGTATAGGGCTTAATCAATTAAAATGCCGAAAGGTATAAAACGACGTTGGATGCGGTTTAGGTACACATGCAACTCTAAGGCTCTCTTCTAACAGGAGGCTGGGGCAGTTAATAAAACCACGAAGAACCTTAAATTAAAATAGCGAATTCGACTTAGCCCGACGCTGATGCAGGTACAGTAAGTGCACAAGTTCGGAATCCGTTTCACAGTTGAAGCGATGTACACCACTCCTAACGTAGCGATAATTAAAAATAGAAATAAACTTATTTTGAACTTTGTCGAGTGCCAAGGAGTTAGTTTGAGAAATTCCGTTTCACACAACTGAGGCGTACTCGAGTTGTGATCTAACTAACGAGCGGCCCAGGGTCAGAAACACATTTTTAAATTCCTTTGTTATGCGACATGTGGCGCCTAACGTGCAGAGAGACAAGTTTATAACTCTTATTATGGAATCAGCAAACCTCAATCTCGAATCAGACGTAACCTCCGGTCCTTCATCTCAAACAGACGCGGTAACAACTCACTGCAGATGCTATAAGCAAAAATGGTATTCAATGTCTTCCGTGAAAATGTCATAACTTTGGTTTTCGATCCGTTAAGACAAAGATCATTAACCGAGCATCAGTTGTAAAAAGAACATACGTTCTCTTGCTAACTATTTGTTTGTAGAGCTTTATGTCATCTGCATACTGCCGAAATCAAGACTTAGGAAAACCGGAGGAAACGTCGTTTATGAAAATAGAGAACAGGAGGGGACATCGAACAAGGAGATCCCTGAGGAACGCCAGAGGAAGGCTTGTTAAATGAACAGGCTATCTTGTTAACCCAGACGAATGCGATTCTACTTGTCAGATGGTTTTTAATCCAGTCAAGAACCGAGCCATACATTCCGTAGGCTTCGCTAAGAGAATAGTGTGATTAAAAATGTCGAAGGCTTTGCTCAAGTCAAAGTAGATAACATTCATAATTACAAACGACCTGAGAAGCGGTGGACAAAATTGTCGCGAGATTTGTAGCAGTTGACCTGCCAGGACATAAAGTTGTGTTGGTTATGGTTGGCTATGGAAACTTAAAAGATATCAATTGATGCATAACCATTTGAAAGAGCGTGGAAAACGAAGGGAGGTGAGAGATAGGTCTATAGTTCAAGACATCAGCCCTATTTCCTGTCTTTAATATTGGAACGACAACGACTATTTTCCACGTTTCTGGAAATATCCCTGACCTCGAGGGGGTATTACATATAGCGCACGAAATAAGCGTGAATATTTGAATATTTCATGATAAGGTTTAAGAATTGCTGAAGGTATTCTATCGTTCCCCCGCAGCTAATGCGGCTCTCATTTTTTAAATATAACCCAACACATTCTTTAGCGACATGAGTGCTACATGCCGAACCTAGCCAAGTGAGGCAACGTAGGAGAATCGCGCAGTCGGAGCCATTTTTATAGACTGAACTAAAGTGAGCTGCAGACCACTCAGGTACATTCCCCGCATCTCCTACATGAAAATCCAGAGCCATCTCCGACCTTACGTTCTTCCCAAGGCGAGATCTAGCGTACTTCCAGTATTTCTTTGGATCTTTCAGAATAGCTGATTCTATAGACTCGCGGTGAAGTTTTCGACCACAGTTAATGAAATGCTTGCGTTGCTTTCTACAGCTCTTGAATTCTGCTTCCCACTTTGCGAAACCGTTTTCTTGAATTTTTTGCGCAAGAAGTCGTTTCTGATTAAGAACGTTTTTAGTTCTGAGAAAAACCAGTTAAGAACGCGAGAATCCTTTGATGTTTTTAACTGAATGTATATTTCCATTGCCCCCAGAATAATTCTCGTGAGGAAAGTGACTTGCTTATTTACGTCGAGGGGCTTCGGTACAAATTCCCAGTTGATATCCGTAAAATAATAGTGCATTCCAATGAAGTCACCTGCCGGGACATTTTTACGAGGTGTGAGGAAAGCATCTTTCAGAAGGAGGGTCGCAAACTTGTGAAATACAGGAAAACATCACATCAAGTGCAGGATGATATATATCTTCAGGGACCACTGGGGATTCACTCGGAACAACAGAGACGCGTTCTGTACTAGAAAAACCTGAATCTAAGGATTTTGTCTGGTTGTTAAGAACATAATTATGCTGTCTAAGATCTAAAAAACGAAGCAAAGTTCAGTAGATGGCTGCATTTCTGCTTGCAATAAAAGTTGTCAGTGTGAACATTTATATCTGTCCAATTAATACCCGGATTGTTAAAGTCTCCCATTATCAAGAGACTGCACCCTTGCAACTGATTCACCGTATTCTTAATTTCAACAAGACACCTGCTAAATTCATAAGGCGTGGCTTGAGGAGGGAGATAAAACAAACCGATTATTAAACGCCCTCGCTTTGTGCACCCAATTTTAACCCATACAAACTCCGGGAAGTCCTCTAAGTCCTCGAGTCTTTTTAGGTTGTACCGCCTGTCAACCGCGATCACCACACCGCCACCTGCGCTACCTCGCGGAGAAAAGACCAAACTTCAAAATAGGGAGGAAAGTAATCTTCAGAGCTAGCAGTGGGACGCAACCAGGTTTCAATTAAACAGATAATATGGTAGTAAGATACGATAACGTAAGTAAAGAAACAGTCGGCCTTCGCCCGAATACCACGAACGTTTTGGTAAAACAATCTAGTCTGTGCTCTGTTTCACCTTGTGTTGTACCACAGCAAAGGCTACAAGCGCGAGCTCCTTGCTCTAGGGCACGTCTCGGCGGCACAAGCTCTCGTGCATCAAGGGCAGCTGCCAACGCTATGAGCTCGCGTTTCTAGCCTTCGCTGCGATACAGCATAAGTTGAAACGGAGTATAGTCTTACTCATCAGTGTTCTCTGCAATGGCCTTCGCGAGTTACTCAGACACGTGGAGTAAATCCTTCCGAAGAATACCTCTGAAGGGAATTCTTCGGGAAGAGTTTGATTATAATGATGGCGATAATAATAATAATACAGTTTTATTTCTTTCATAATTTGATGGCGGCGATCAAGAAAAAAAAAGCTGCATACTCATCTAGACATATCCTTGACCACCCGCAGTGCACAGCGACGGGCGAGCAGCAGGTAATAAAGATCTACGGACAAAGCAATATACAAAAGTCACCATCACAAGTTCAGCAGATATCAAATACAAAGGCAGTAAATGCAACTAATAATCATAAGCATAAAAAAAAATTATCGAATTTCTCTTATTGAGATCTTGTTTTTATTTCAAATGTATAGATTCGTATACAAATTTAGTAAATTAGGGATATTGTATTTTAACATTTGTGTGCCATAGTTTGGTATTTGGACAAAGTCTTCGGCTTTATTCCTTCTCATAAAAAGACATAAAAGGGAGTGCGTTCCTGCTGTCAAATTTTTTTTCTCGGTTATTTGACTTTCTAAGGAGCTAGGACACGAAAAGTAAGCGGGCGGATTATTCTTGAAATGAAATGCTCATTGGTTACTTAGTCACTTTTGTCTAGCGACGTGGCAGCACTGCCAATTTAGTCAGAGCATGGTGCCCTGAAAACCACGTGATCATCATATTAAGTTGAACTGTCTCTCATTCTAGACGCCCCCCCCCCCTCCCCCCCCTGCTCGCCCCAAGCTCGCCTCACCCAAGAGCTGGTCGCCAGCTGGTCGAAGTCAACATGACCAGCTTCCAATATCTCTTGATAACAAACACTCTCGTGGCTACTGCGATCAGTGTCCAGGACTCCGATGAAGCGAGCGATGCCGTAGATGTCACCGTCCCGAAGCCGCGTGCTCGAAACGTAGAAGGCAAACGTGGAAACTGAAGAGCGAAACGCCGAGAGACCCCAGTCTGCGAGTGCGTGCAAGGGGACTCCGCGCGTTGGGGGAATGACGTCATCGACCCAACAATTATGGTGGCCTTCCCGAGTGAGATGAATCTGAGGGTCCCGCTTATCCATCGATATATGCACGAAAGTGTCGCGTTACTTTTAAAAGAAATTTAGCAAAACATATACGAACAATACTGTAGAAGAACTTGTAGTTGGGCTAGTTGGTAAACGTTGGTATTCATGTTACAAGGCGCAAAAACACGGACACAAGAGGCGCCTGTTTGTCTCTTTCTCTCTTGTGTCCGTGTTTTTGCGCCTTGTAACATGAATATACGTACAAACACGGGATCCTGGCAGTATTGTTATCTCACATCTTGTTTTTAACGGGTCCCCTAACCCAACGTTCGACGGCGACTCGCATTCACTCAGCAAGAACACAAGTTCCAGGAGAACCCTGACGGAGCACTCCTGCACAAAGTATGTGTGCCCAGCTCTCGCCTTCGATAGGTGACGTCATCCAGCGTGTACAACCGCCTTGTTGTCTGTGAGGTCCTATATGTACTCACGGGGAGACAGTGGGTGAAGCCTGAACCACTTTCCGTCTTGACGATCGCAGACCTGTCCCGAGACGCACGGAGGACTGGTGAACCTCCACCTGGTGCCTTACTGGCGCCTGGAGTCAGTCGGGTCGCCGGAACTCGACGCCACGGCCGGTGCCTCCATCTCCGCCGTCATCAACGAGCTGGCACCGGACTCTCCCCGACGCTTCTCACTAGACCAGGCAAGTGACCTGGTGCTTAGCCGAAGGGCGTCGCGAACCCGCCATGGTTCGCCACGTCGAAAGCTCAGTAACGCACGCCTTCACACTGCATCCGGCTCACCCGTGTCCATACTGGACACAAGCTTCAACACCATCGGCCCCCGCGTTTAGGTTGCCTACCTGGCCCGCTGGTGGGAAGACCAGAACGTGAGTTCGAGGACGCGTCTGCGGCGTCTCGTGGACTCCGGACGTCTGGAGCCTGTGGGCGGGAGCTGGGCGCAGGGCGACGAGGCGACGCCGCACTACTCCGCCCTGCTGGACGCCCTGACCGTGGGACTCCGCTGGCTACAGGAGTCCCTGGGGGAATGCGCCAGGCCCCGGGTGGGCTGGCAGAGCGACACCCGGGGGCATTCAATCGAGTGGGCCTCGATGCTCGCACAGGCGGGCCTCCAGGGCGTCTTTCTGGCAGCGCTGCCGGAAAATCTCACGCATTTCGTCTGGAAGGCCGACCTCGGACTCGGTAGGAGGTTTACTTTGTTGTAGTGTTGGCGGTAACGCGTTACGCGTAACAGCGTTAAGGGTAACGCGTTCGTTTTTTGGATAACGTAGTAACCTATACTCGTTAGTTTTCAAATCAGTAATAAATACCATGCTTAGGTTATTTATTTTGAGTAATGGGTAACGTAGTTACGTTACTCGTTACCTCTTCTTTCAGAAACGTAAAAATAAAATGGCGATTAGTTTTTTTGTTGTGTCTTTAGGCGCCAAGTCATAAATTCTTCCACTCATCCCACATCATCCTTAAAGATCCTGCCTCTCTTGGTCTCACCGAGAGAGGCGATTTCTTGAACTTATGACACGTAGGTTATGGACATACCTGTAAACTCAAAACACTAAAACGATTTAATCCACAACGTAAAAAAGTAACCCACAGGTAACGTATGTTGTGTTTTATCGGCAACGGCCACGCGTACCTTTCGATTACCGCTGACTGTTGGGCGACTTGGTACTGAAACTTTGAGAACGTGGTAGCGGTTCGTGTCAAAAAAGCGCTACCATGTTCTACAAAGCGTATCCTTTATTTCGAGGTAGCGTAGGTCTGTAACGCGATCCTTTTAACTGCAAATACGAAAATACGAGTAACAAGTAACGTATTTCGTTACTCTTTTTTTCTGTAACGCTTACAATACCGTTTGGAGCCAACAGCTTCTAAATAACAAGACCGTATGCTACACTTTCTACGCCACTGCGTGGAAAAGATAAACTCGAGTTCTCCGTCATCGTTTGGCTGGGACTCATTTCGTCAATGATTGAATTAGCCGAATGCCGCCGCAGCGCTTGAGTTTAATCTGTAATCCGCTCTGATCGACAATAGGCGATGCACAAAATACATCGCTGCGGGCCATCCAGGAGGCGTTGTCGGAGCGCGCGCTTGACTGCTCAAAACATGGCTTGCGCGTGACTTCATCGCCCCATGCTGGTGGTCGTGCCTACTTGTCCTTGCCGAGGACAACAATGTGCGAGTTGCCAAACACACGCTGCAGAAGGTACGCGCTCAGCAGCGAGGCCTCCACAATGGCAGCTCTTGTGAGATCAAAGCAAGCCGTGTATACTTCGTCTTACCTTACGAGGGTGAGTAATGGTCACCACGAGCCATCCGAGTCATTCGAATCCTTGGAACGTAGCACGTGACCGCTCGTCGATGCAACCCTCCCGAAGGTTAAGTGACACTCACGCGGCGCTGGATCAATTGGCTCCGATGGGTCTGCAGGCATAGCCTGGCAGATCACCACAAGACGCGGCCGCCGAAATGGATAAGGTATAGTCGGTTACAAGTCAAGACGGTAGGAGAAGCTCCTCCCACAAGTGTGATGCGCCCCCTTCAAATCTCTCCGCAGTCGAAAGAAGAGTTCACTGGAAACGCTCCTGTTTCCGCTTCAATGGATTCCCACTTGTCTCCGATCCCACTTTTTAAGAAAGCGACCTTTGTATTCATCGGAGAGGGAACCGAGCCCCTGAAAGCAGCCTTTGTATCCATCGGGGGGGAAGCAAATCCCCGAAAGTCGTATTTATTTCCGTCGGTGGGGGAGAACTCTAATCTCCCTCTCGTGGCTTCCACAATGCTAAGTCAAAGTCGAAAGATAAAGCAAATATGTACAGAAAGGCAAGACCCTCCTCGTGCGTTGTCCGCGACGTCACGGAAACGGTGGGACGCTATTGGATTCAAAGGTGGCGGAGGGATATCCGATTCCCTTTGAGGGGCATTTGCCGCTACCTTCTTAACCTGTAACTGACTATAGAGCGGTAGACAATGGATGAGAGGAGAGCCACGTGACGGGCGCCCCGCTGCGGCGAGACGCCGAAACACACTTCTCCCGAGCGATAGAAGGTCCGCTCGTGCTCCTGGCGTTCCTCGCGCTACCGCTTCTTTACTCGTCGGGTTTAAAAACCATGTTTCGGGTCCATGCCGCTGCAAAAGCTGTGCGCTGACGACCAGGTTCCCCGAGAAATGCTCTGTGCTACCAGATCCTCGCGCTCGGAATCTGCGACCGGGCGCTCTATGGCTCCGTCGTTTAACTGCCAGGCTTTGTGAGTATACACGAACTCATCTCTGCTACGTCACGGCGCGGTGGTGGCGCATCAGGCGCACTTCCGATCTGGGGCTGTGGGCGGAAGCCTGCTTGGGGCTCGTGCATTCCTGTGCTACTTTGGAAGCAACCGGACAAAAACCTGCATTCTCGTCAAAACGCCGCGACTCGGGCTATACCAAAAGAGTCGAGAAAAGTTTGAAGGTCAGTTTACATGAGCTTTCTGCCTGCTCGGTTCGTTCGAGAACGTGAACAGGGCCCGTGAAAAAGGAAAAACAGGCGCCGTCGGACCACCGTTGCTTGGGCGGCGGGAGTATTTCCCTTTAATTAGTATTGGCTGTGTTTACAGCAGCCGTATTCCCTTTTTCCTCGATGCCTGTCTAACCCCTGCAGGGGACGCTGGGGAGATTTTCGGAGCGTCTACGCAGAGCGGCTGGCCAGAGGGCTTCTGCTTCGACGTCGACTGCCCAGGGGACAAGATCACGGTACGTCTACTGCAGAGGCAGTCAGTCAGCCACTGGTCCTTGATCTGTGTCACAAGTGTCTTATCCATTGTCTCATAACCCTCGATATGCTAAAAAGTCAATGCTACAAGCCGATCAGTTCATTTACGAGCCAGCTGTATACCAACACCATCTAGAAGGATGAAGGCCTCCGGACTCCCCACTCTTCCTCCATGGAACCCCACCACAGTCGGATGGCGCCGACGCAGCAATTGGACCTGAGTCCGTTACCGAACTTCCGTCGACGCGTTCATTGGATACGATCGCCCAGCCGAGCACTGACGCGGCACTCGTATCCGATCCGCGTCTGCACTCGTTGTCACATGTGATGACGTCATAATTCTAGCTTGTGGGCTTTGATTATTCTAGGGGGTTTTGACAATCGAACAGCGCCAAAACTGCATCGTCATCGCGCTCGACCAATCACACACAGTGAATGTGTCCCAATCCTGCGTTTTATTGTTTTTCTGCGCATAGTCGGTTTTCTTGTTAATAGCAAACACTCCATTACAACGAGCGCCGTTAATCTTGCATTTCATTTCATTTATTGGCACCCTCAGGACCCGAAGGCATTACAGAGGGGGTGGGATTATGTCGTACAAGTGAATAAAACGCTGAAATCACGAATCAAGCTCCAGTAGTACGGATTTAGCATTTTTAAAATCAACAGTATTAACAATTGGGGCAAGAGATGGGGAAAGGTGATTCCAGTCAACAGACGTACTACGAGGTATGAATGATATGTAGTAGGTATGAGTGTGACACTGGTGAATTTCGACTTTATGTATGTGATCATTGCGTGATAATATGTAGAATGGTTCCAGTAAGAGTCTTAAGGATTGGGTTGGGAAAAACTATTTTCTGAAATAAACATAAACGATAAAGCTTTCGACGTGAAGGTAAGAGTAGGCAATGATATGCTATTTTTCCTAGAGTCAACGCTTGATGTACGATGGTAATTACCGGGTGTCTCAAGTAGTGGCCAGGCTCTTTAAATCGACCGCAAAATTCGGTTTCTTAACCTATCGCGCTACGATTTTGTGCACCGTTGCCCACAGGTCATGCATTTTTTTCTATAAACTTTGCAAAAAAGGAACTTACCTGAGGAAAAATTAAAAGAAAGAAAAAGGCTTAACTTCAATGGAAACACAGCGAAGTCACCGGTCTTCAAACAATAGGGCGCCCTATTGATTGAAGACCGGTGGCTTCGCTGAATTTCCATTGGAGTTTAGCCTTTTTCTTTATTTTACTTTTTCCTCAGGTAAGTTCCTTTGTTTCAAAGTTTATAGAAAAATATGCACCACCTGCGGCAAACGCTGTACAAAACCGTAGCGCAATGGGTTAAGTAAGCGACTTTCGCGATTTATTTAAAGAGCCAGGCCACTATTTGAGACACCCGACCGAAAGAATGAAACACACAGATCTATTCTGGACAGCTTTCAAGGCGCCGACAAGACTCTCAGTGTTAGGATCCCAAACAGCAGAAGCGTACTTAAATTTTGGCCGGACCAGTGTTTTATAGAAAAAAAAGTTTCAAAGTCAAGGGAGTCTGGAAAAATTACGTTTTAGATAGCCAAACATGCGGTTGGCATTGGAAATGACGTGGTGAATATGCGATTCCCATGTGAGGTTAGATATGATGTGAGCGCCCAGATATTTGTAAGTGTCAACCTGCTCTAAAGTCATATTATTAAGAATATATGAAGGAAGATTGTTAACTCGCCGGAAAATTATTATGCGTTTACATTTCTTAACGTTTAATTAGTGTTTACATATCTTAACGTTCAATGACATGTGCAAAGTGTTACGCCAACGTGATATGAAGTCGAAATCATTTTGAAGAAGTAAGATGTCAGAACTGCTAGCTATTTCGCGGTATACAACGCAATCATCTGCAAATAAACAATTAGAAGAGTTGACACTTAATGATAAATCATTAATGTAAATCAGAAAGAGCAGAGGGCCAAGCACAGATCCCTCATGTACTCCCGACGTTACTAAAACTTCGAACAAGTCGGTATATTACAATTTATAAACTGTGAATGATTAGTCAAGAATGAGCGAATCCACGAAAGGACATCAGGTTTAATGTTGAGTTTGTCAAGCTTAATGAGACTCTGTCAAACGCCTTGGAGAAGTCCAGAAAAGCACTGTCGATCCGTAAACCACGATCTAGAACCTGATGGAAACGATTTGTTGGTCTTACAAGTTGCGTCTCGCATAAAGATGATTTTCTCAAACCTTGTTGATTAACGTTGAAGAATTAACTAGATTCAAGAAACTTAACCAGCTTAAAATAGATTATATGTTCCATTGTTTTAGAACAAATACTTGTGAGTGAAATGGGTCTAAAGTTAGAGTGGGAGTGTTCGTCTCCAGCCTTGTGTAGTGGAATCACCCTTCCAGTTTTCCAGTCGTCAGGAAGCTGACCTAGTAAAAGTGATTGCTCAAATAGTTTAGACAAAATGATTGATAAATATTTTTGGTATTCTTCAGATAATTGGAATCAATATCATCAACACCAAAGGACGATGATTGTTTAGTTGATTCTATAATTTTTAAAATTCCATTCGTATCAAAGACAATTGGATACATGGGAAAAAAGTCATAGGAAGGAAATAATGGACAGAATGCATCAGTAAAATTGTTAGACACACTAGAAAACATGTCATTAAGAATAGTCGAACACAATGTATTGGGATCATTTCACCGCATTCATTTTTAAGTGAAAGTGAACGCTCATCCCTGGGATTCATAACACTCCAAAATTGTTTAAGGGTTATTGATTAGCATAGATGGGAGGCACTCATTAAAAAAGTAATATTTAGCCTTCCCGACTGCATTTTTGTATTCATTGGCTGCGAGATTATAACATTGCCTGTATTCCTTCGAGTCGATGCGCTTTGCTGTCCTGAACAAGCGTTTCTTCTTATGTGAGAGCCTTCGCAGTTGAGGAGAGAACCACAATGACTGAATGTTTGTTATAATTGAGCGTAATGGAATGTGCTCATTAAATAAATAAATTTATTTGTTTTTATATAAATCTCAATTGGTTTGAACGGAACTCTCGAATAAAGCTGACAAAAAGTCCTCTAAAAATTGCATAGACGTCGATTAATCGCTGCATATTTGGCGCTTCTGTAATCCCGAATTCGTTTGACCTGTTTCGCATTACGGCACACGGGAGTTGCAAATGAAAAGGGGAGCAACGCGTGATCACTAGGACCTAAAAGGTATAAAATATCAGAAATTAAATCAGGTGTGTAAGTCAGTAACAGGTCGAACACGTTCGCCGAAGAGTGTGTTGTCCTTGTCTGAAATTTTACAATTTGTGAAATGTTAAGGTCAGAACATAGATCTAAAAACTGGTTATATTCGGTTGAGGGAGGTTCCGATGAAGAGCTTTAATTGAACCAAATGATGCTGAGATAATTAAAGCCGCCATAAGAAAAAGGGGTAAGCTTGGAAAGCGAACGTGAGCAAGGTTAATTGTATCATGCAGTTGTTCAACAAAAGTATTTGATCGTGTAGGGAGGACGATAGCAACAGCCTAATACTAGCTTTTTGTGTCCAATAAAAAGTCCTACCCACATTATTTCGAGATCACATTTTATGTTTATTAAAAATAATTAAGTTCAGGCACTGCTGCTATCAAAACTACCCCCCCCCCTCCAAACCAGAGCGTTCCTTACGGTCGGTGCAGTAAATATTAAAACTTTTACTACATTGAAATATTTTGGAATTCTTAACTTGAGAAAAAAGCCAAGTTTCAATTAGTACAGCTAAACCAGCATCACAAGAATCAATCATGGAGCACAAATCGTCGCGTTTTTTATACAGGCTTCGGATGTTAGTAAAAACAGGTACCACATTCGCTGATCTCCCAGCGAATGTGGCAGTCTGTCCTAGTGGCCTTAGTGGTCTCAGTCGAGTGGTCCGCTGGTCTCCTAGCGGACCACTAGGCTAAGCCAGACGGCTGAGAAGGGGGACTGAATGCAGTGGAAGCAAGCGAACATTTCTTTCGAAGCGCGAGAATGATGGTGACACACATCCTCAGTCTTCTTGGGGGTTGTAGGTATGGCAGTTGTTATTTTGATAAAGCTTGTTGAAACGCAGTTTAAAAGTACTTTTTTGAGACTTGCCAAATTCTATCAACTTTCTTCTAGCCAGGCGAGTAGCAAAAGAAGAATCTTCACTGATAGTCATGCCTACCGTCTTTAATTGCACCTTGCAAGAGAAGATGAGAACCCTTGTTTTGAAGGAAGAAAACTGTACGATGATGGGGCGACATTTGTTTGCGACAAAGGCACCTGTAAGCGCTCATTAGCAAATGTTCCGTTTATGGAAGACGAAGAGCATTCGGACGATCAGGCTTGTTACCTTTTGCTCAGAATTAACCCACTTTTCTGAAGCAAGATCAGCAATACCGTAAAAGATAAGGTTGTTACGACGAGACCGGTCCTCCGTATCATCAAGACAGCTCCCGCAGAGAAATGTTTTCATTCCGTAAGCTATCAGCTGCTTGACTGGCGATAACGAGTTTTTGCCCTTTTGTTTCAAGAAGGGTTGTTTTAGTCTCAACGACAGGCAACCTTTTGCTAATTTCAGTTACCTGTTCTTGCATAACTCTCTAGTTTTCCTTTATTTCATTTACACTGGTAAGAAGCGCGGATTAATTGTCCCTGTTCAAACTCTAGTGAGAAAGTATTCAAGCTCTGTAAAAGTCGATGCATTTCGCTCAACTGCTTAGCCTAAACCTCGCTCAAGGGACCAGGATTGGCCTTAACGTCGCCACAAAACAGGACAGAACGTACAATGTTTCTGACACACTAAAACAAAAACGCAAATATTGGTGTGTTGCACTGATGCTGCTGGTGGACTGGCTCCATTGACTCATAGTGTCGGCTTCTGTACGACTTGAAAAGTGAAACGAATTATAGAAATCATGTATATTGTCAAAGTGTATAATATCACTGTTCTCTGAACGGGCGCTCTGATGAGCACGTTGGAGACATATGCCACGTGGTTCCTATCCGGCTCGTGATTGGGCCTGGCTTGCCGTAGCATATCGGTCTTTTGGTACATCGTAGGGAGTGAGACAAAGTATGATTTCGGGTGCGTGCGTGTGTTTTATTTACTCTTTCATTGGCCGTAACAGCTAGAGCGGGCCGCAGTAAAAACTGTGCGGCTTTAAGAGACGCTTCCAGTGGCCTACGAAGCGTGGAAACGCGTTGGCTCAATAAAACTCACCTCCACCATCAAAAACTTTTTTCATCCAGGTTATCCAATACTCCAAACGAGAAATCTCACTTATTTCTTTATTAAACGAGGTTTTTTTGTTTTTTTTTTCTTTTCGTGTCACGTTCTTATTAGTTAATTGTCTGAAAAGTTGAGGTAGCAGTGCCGATATGGCAAGGTCGTCCCCCCAACCACAGTTCTTTTTTCTTATACTGTCTCATGGTTCAAGATCACTGTATTCGTGATGACATCTTTCGTAAAGCAAACCAAAATTTGTGGTCGAGGAAAAGTGGAGAAGTCACAAGAAAGCCAATCCAGTTGGCGCACAAGGTTGTCTTTTTTGATCACTTGGCTTGGTACATGGTCCAGAATGAAAACCCTTTTTTCGATGGTGATGTTGAGTCTACGTTTTTCTTGCCATCTCCGTCGAGCGTATCTGCTTTTCGCAGTTATCCCAATCGTATGTTCAAGTGCTGCAAACCATGTATTCCATGTACATGAAATGACATGCAACCATGTAATGTTCCATTTTGAACCATTTTGTTCCAATCTTGCAAACCACGTATTCCCCATCGTTAAATTCTACCGTGTTTTTCACTGTTATTTTGTTTATTTTTTCACCACTCCCCTCTGAAATTACTGAATGTAATGTAATGTAATGCCGTGAAAGTAAATTGTAATGTAATGCTCCGAAAGTAAAATAAATAAATAACTCGCAGTCGACTACCAACGTGAGCCCCGTTTAAGTCAAATGCTACTGTTCGGCGTGTCTAAACTGCCTAGACATCATTTGTAGAAAACGTATCAAAAATGTTACGTGAGGAAGAAATAATAAAGGTTCCATTTGCCTTTTTGTGTCTCTCCAGGTAGCTAATGGCATGGCCAAGGCTCGGAACTTCATACGTCATTACACAAGCAAGGTTGGTGCATGCAATCTTATTTAGATATCGCCTCCCGAGGACCCAGCACTTTTCAGAGGCGGTCATTTTGATTTGTAAACATTTTGTCTCGCAAAACTTGGGTCTGTAGGCAAGTATGACCTTTCAATGGAAACGTTCGTTTCATTGTTAAACGTTTATGCTGCTTTTTTTTTTATTTACACAAAAAACAGGTCTCAACTCTAATTTGACTGACCTAGCAGAACGAGTTAGAACGCTCCATCTATATCTGTTTGCGAATATAGCCCAAAAAAGCGGTTATTCATGTTATATATTAAATCGGATGTCTGCCAAATAATTATTGGAAATATTTATCCCTGATGATGTCACATAAAATGATCACTCCCGAAGCAGAAAATATGGCAGAGGTAAACCGAAAAAGGTCAACGTTTTTTTGTTTTGTTTTTTTCTCCAAACTTTGCGTTTATCATAGCCTCCTCCTTGAGTTCGTTGTGCGAATTTTGTCTTAATAACATGTTTTGAGTCGAGCTGCGAAACAAGCCGTAATTAGTTGGCAAGAATATCTAGCAGACGCATAGAGCTATACAAGCTTAAACGAGCGACGCGGAGCTCAAGTTTGTCTGCTTCTTTTACAGGGGTTGTGGTGACATCAGAGGGAAGCCGAGCTGTGATTGGCTCTGATGGAAGGATATTCGGTATACCTCAAGTCAGCTTTCTTTGAGATCTACCCACTATCTTTCAATCAGAGCCAATCAGCTCGGAGTCTTTCTGACGTCACCACAACCCGTGCAAAAGAAGCAGACGAACTTGCGCTCCGCCAACCGCATACAAGACAAGGCTTGACCGTTTCCTTCTCCAACGTCATCACTAGCTGGTCTATGCAGCGCCGCCTAACCATCCCCCTCTGCGTCGCTGTGAGCGCGTTCTTCAGCGCCTAACAATGAGTCCACTACTGGCCACGCAGTGACGCCAAGACTCAATTCGTTCTACTTTGCTGCATACTGGCGCTGAGCTTCAGCATATACTTGCCGCTTGGAGCGGGTCGGAGATTCCCTAAGGATGGCGCCATGCGCCTGCCTTGTCTTCCTAGTGGTACGCGACGAGAAAGTAAAGGAAGAAGGAGATCTAGTAGCCTTTCTCTCCACCGTACTCGTCGAACCCGTTCGAATGCGAAAGTCAAACGCCAGACACCGACGTTCCGCTTTCTAACGCGCTCGACGAGTGCAGTGGAGACAAGGGCGGCTAGCTTTACGTCTACCCTCTAATCCTTCCAATCAGAGATCGGCGTTCTGGCGTCCCCCGCGCGCTCTCCTTTACTCCTTTCCCTCGCTTTCTCGGTGCGTAGATACAACTTGCGTGGATGGTCTCGACCCCCCCTGGTAGGGTGCTTCCCCACTAGAATCCAAGCACCGCGGTAAAGCGACAGTGCCAGGGACCCACTCGCGTTCGTTTCTTCGATCCCGCATAATGCCATCCCCTAAGGCCGCGGTCAGATTGCTAATACATCATACAAAAGAAAGCACGCATCATATGTTTGTATTTTTAGACTTAGGCTAGGTGGCGCAAGCTACCGCCCGTTACAAACGATATAGCTATTAACACCCATCTATCCATCCATCCAGTCTGCAGACACAAAAAGCCCATGAGCTTTTGGTTCCCTCCCGACCTCAGCCAGTGATTTCGCGCGCTTGCCTGCCTCGTCATAGCGCGTTCCCTGGGCGTTCTCTACGTTGTTTTTTGATTGCCGAGTCCCTCCTTAGGTTTTGATGCGCCAAAGGCAAATTTTGAAGTATTTGCTCGCCGTATATGGTCGAGACCAGTTGCATGGCGAGCATAGCAAAGTGTGTCTGTGCTCAGCCCCGCAGGACGAACCAGGTGCTCGTGCCCCTGGGAGGTGACTACCAGTCGGCAAGCTACAGCTTCCACACCATCGACAACCTCATCCGATACGTGAACGCCAAGGTGAGCTTCGAAGCTTGCGTATTGACAACGATCTTGTAGGGCGGTCACCCTGTTAAAACAATATATTGCCCTTAGAAGGTTAGGATCTCCTGCGGCCATAGCAGAATCGGAAAACACTTCTTCAGAACCTGGTAGGTCTTTCGTCATTCCAGCTAAACAAAAATCAGTAACGGCATGCACGTGTATTTACCATCTTTTCCCGTACTTTAACATACTTCCCCCTTCGCGGCAAGCAGTACAAATAAAATCAAGTGTCCTCAAAAAAAAAAGAATTAGACATGAAGGTTAATACAGTATGAATCTGGTCTGTAGTTATGTGGTGACACTGGCTCACACTGTAGACGAGAACGAATGTGCGGCTGTGGTTCAAATGCTTTGTGCTGGTGTAAATGCACTGTTCTAGGCTGCGGCGTTTCGATGCCAAACGTCGACACTCTGCATTCTTGAGCAGTGCAGTCTTTAAGCGTGAATCAGCGTCAATTTGCGGTCAGAGCTATGGCCGCCTATGCGCTCGCTCCACTTCTGCGCCGTTCGAAGCCTTGCACTCGAGCTCTTCACGTTCTTTAGAAGCCACTGACTCTGATTGAAGGATAATGTAATACGTATTGTTATTTCTTCCATGGGCGCTTTAATGTAAAATACGTAATGACTTAACGAAGGACATGGTACTTTCTGGTGTTACGCAAAAGTGTTACAAAAAAGCATTAGAAAAAATACTGCCGAAACCACTATGGTAGGTTGTCTATGAATTGCGATAGATTCAAGTTTACCTCCTTTTTTTGTTACAAGGCCACGGATGATGTCAAGTGCAGTGTCTAGGTCGACGTCGAGGACAAAGTCCTAGAGGACGGCGTTAAGAACAACGTACAGGACGACCTCAAGAACGGCGTCTAGGACGACCTCTGGGGCAACCTGTAGGGCAATTCAGTTTCCCCGCTACATTTAGCGGGGAAAGTGAATTGGTCCGTAAGTCTCGTGACTTCAGGTCACGTGACATATGCCTATGCTATATTAGAGTCCAGATATTTTGATTGTAGACAGAAATCCGTAATGATAGCTTAATAATGCCTATCGCATTAAAAAGCATCGCACGAACAGTGATTTGCTAAATCTGGAGGGGGAGACACATTGGTAACCTAATTCGGCGGACGCTGCTCCCGTAACATCGTCAGCTTGACGGCGGCCACGTGACCACCTATCGCTACGTCCCACATAACAAAACCGCAGAGCCGAGTTTTCTGCGTTACCTTGCGAATGGACACGAACGCTCCGTCAACCTTCAGCCGCGGTTCGTCTTCTGACCGATGGATCGCGAGTTCCTGCCGAACCTTCACGCAGCACTCGTATTCAATTTGAACCCTTTCCCGGCCGCCCGAAGGTGACTTCAAACATCCAGCACTGCGGCCTTGCTATGTGGGATATGTTAGACGAGTTGCGTTCTCGCCCTCGCAGCACCGCGACCTGCCCAAGGCGCGCGCCTTCTACTCGACGCCCTCGTGCTTCCTGCGAGCCCTGTTGGAAACCAACGAGTCCTGGGAAGAGGTCGACGAAGACCTCTTTCCGTACGCCGAGCGGGGCCGCAACTCGACGGACGTGGCCTTCTGGACGGGCTACTTCAGCGGCCAGCCGGACCTCAAGAAGACGCTGCGCAGGGCCAACGGCGTGCTCCAGGCCTGCAAGCAGCTCTCCGTCCTCGGCTCCGTCTACAGCAACGACGTCCGGGCGCTCCGTACGTGTCTCGGCGACCAATCCATGGTTACTATAATTAGTCTAGCGAGAAAGTGTCATCCCTCTTTGCCTCGAGTGGCTGTGGTAAGTCGCGTGCATCCTAAGGGGTGGTATGTAATCGTCCCAGCCAATCCGCAATTGAATTCACGCTTCATTTCTTGGTTCGTCTGTAGTCACTGCCAGGATTAAAACGGCAGTTCGTTACTTTCCGACGCCCGAACTCCACACGCGCTTGTTGCCTTCCATCGTTCTTCGGCTGCGCGTGTACTCTTTACTCTCATAAGACGCCGCAGCATTATCGAAGGCAGGAGGCTTTCGATAGAGGCAGGGCAACTGAAATACCTCTTCCCTGCCGTTCTCATTTTGACAGTAACTACGGTGAGTGTGCATTCTTGTGCCATAAGCTCTTCGCGTGCCTTCTTTTTTTACTCTTTTTCAGAGGAGGCCGTGGCCTTTGGGCAGCACCACGAGATCATAACGTACGTGAGTTCCTCCAATCCGTTTGAGGCAGTAGGATCACCTCGTCGTACTGCCGAGTTCAAGGCCACCGCGTTTACTTCAGGGGAACCGGGCCCCCGGAAGCGCTTCATCATCACCGTACGGTTCTGCTGAACGGCATGTCTGGCTGCCAGGTGAGTCGAGCGAGCGACGACAGACCTTCGATGACCGGGCGCGCCGTTTCCCCAATATCGCGTAGAAGACAACGCCCGCTTATTACATAATCGTGGGGGCATCATCGACGTACTCCAAGTGGCAGGCACGCCGAAGCTTAACGCGAGTGCGTGACGAAGTGGCAGACGTTTGCGTCTTGTCGTCATGGCGTCACCTCATGGTGGCATCACGCTCGCTATAAGACGACGCAAGAGGCTTTAGCGGTGGCGTGAACGCGTGGATCCATGCTATAGGATTACGTTATGGGGGGAAAGGCTCGAGATTGGTCTTCTATGTGGCTCTGATTTGCCGCGGTGTTGGTGGTGGGAGGGTTGCACCGGACAGACGGACGAACGACAGTTTTCACCGACACCTCCTAGCCTGCTAACGATCTCCTGTCAGCAGTTTCACTCGTTCACCGACAGCTTCTTTTGTCGCTGGTTTGTGACGACGCGCGTGCCAAAGGTCTCTACCGAGCTTAAGAGTGTAGTATTCGTTGAATCTTTCCTTAGCGGGTCACAACGAACGTGTGTGACCCTATGTCAAACGAAACGAAGTTTACTCATAACAAATCTATATGACGGTTCACCTACCATTTACATATATGGTGTCGCGTGTTGTTGTTGCTGTTGTTGTTGTTGTTGCTGTTGTTGTTGTTGTTGTTTTTGTCTATTTTAATATTAAAGATTCCCTTTTCAAAGGAAACAAATGCATTATAAACAATTTTGTTTATGTCGAGAAACGTCGGATGTACTCGCTAGCCACCGCACGGATTCTAGAGTATTTTTGTGCAGAGAAATCGAGCAATTCTACTGAGTGCCTCACACAAAACAGAAGTGAATGACGCCGAATATTATTTTATTGCAACGCCCCAAACTAAACAGGAAACATCAAATGAAGAACGTGAGAGCAGCCTCGCGTGTAATAAAACTCGATCATAAGACTACTACGCTCTATGTGTCAGTAATGCTTATCGGTGCTTTCGAGTTTTTTGCGTTTTAGTATTGCCTTTAAATGATGACTGGGGCGTGTGCAAAACTCCTACACATGTCTTGCGCTGACGTCACAATAGCTGCCATTGTGGAGGCCTTGCCGCTGAGCGCGTTCCTTGTGCGGCGTGCGTTTCACACCATCAAAATTGTCTCTTCTCGACAAAAACAGGTAGGAATAACCACCAGCATTGTGCAATGAAATCACGAGCAAGCCACGTTGCAAAGTTGATGCACAGAAATCTTGATCACGGAAGTGACGTCACACAGATCGCCGCCTGCTGCCAAGAACCACGCAGTGCGCACGCGCGTCCTTCTGCTGCCTTGCTCGTCTGCTCGCTTCAACGCGACGCGATCCTTCCGCTGCGAGCGTAGTTCTACGGAAATTTATGCAGCGTAGTAAACCTATGCACCGACCAATCTTTTTTTTTTTTTTTTAACTGGATGGCGTTAAGGAACTTGTGTCCCAGAAAAGTCGGCGTGAGTGGCTTGACGCTAAGATTTTGATTGGTCAATAGGGTCATGACATCACAGCCACATGATCTCGCGCGGGAATTTCAAACAATTCACAACGCTCACGTGACACGTGACGTCACGCGTGGAGTGAAAGCGATTAAAACATGACATGTAATGCGAAGTAAAGGTCGCCGCATGTCTGAAATGTTTTCACTTTATAAAGTATTTAATTTGCTTTAAAGAAAAGTTTGAAGAAATTTAGGCGGGATTCGAAACCATGACCTTTCGATTGCGAGCCAGACACGCTACTGACTGGGCCCGGCAAGGCGCGCTTGTACGGCGAATGAAAAGGCGATGTGAACGCTATCGAGTTCCACTCTTATTACTATGAGACCTTATTACTGCGAGAGCACTAACTGTCCCATGGAGCGAGCCGACATCATCAGCTTTAAAGCCGCGCCAAACGGCACCTTAATTCCTTTCTCCAAGTGAAGCAAGCTTCCAGCTTTGAAACCACGCGAAAGGCGTAGCCAAACGGCACCTAATTTCCCCGATCCCAAAGGAGCGGAGTAAAGCTGATGGATTTCGGCTTCGGTCCCATTGGCTGGCGCGCGTCACAATTTCAAAGTACGAGGCTCCCATTGGGCGCTGCGCGTCAGTTTCAACGACCGCCACCCCGTGGCGCTACGTGTCCGCGCCGTCAGCACGCCCGTAACACGAAGCGTCCAAGGTCAGAGCGGCGAGGAGAGCGCGCGCTCTGCCGTCGGACGCAAATACGCCGCAGACGAAATGAAGGAGTGGAAGAATGAGGTGCATGCTTTCGCATTCACAACTCATAAGAAGTGCTTAGGTGTACCTCGAGCCATTTGTTTTTTTACCTTCACATTTTCTAAGCTCAAAAATTACGTTAGCAGACACACTCCTTCTTTCTCGGCTTAGAAACCGGGAACGCGGTACAGAAACGAGGTTGTAATTTGGGCTAGTTGATCGTTATACATGATCAAAAACAGCGCTCAAAGGGACAGGACAAAGGGACAGACAGCAAGTGTGTATTTTTCGTTTTTCATCATGTACAGCGATACCGAAGTCGCCTAATAGAGAGTATTCCCTGGCGGCCATAGCTCTGTGCGCGAGTGCTGACCGCGCGCTGACGGTGATCTTCCGCAGTTCTGTTGCAACGTGCACTCCGCGCTATCAGGATTGCCGGTCTAAGCAGCATGTTAATGTGAGCTCGTTCTGAGCATGCGCTCTAATCAGCGCACTCAAATATGGCGTCCAGTGAATAGATCCCTTTCGAAAGTGTGCCCTCTGTTGAAAGCTGTGGAATCCCTGCACAATGGTGGGAGAAAAGACAACGCAATGTTGGAACCTTAGGAACTCTACTAAAGTTTCTGTTCGAAGCGATTAGAGGTTTCCCCCAAATATTTTAGATTCGAATATCGAATAGTCTTTCCGCCCCTTTCACTATCATTGCATGATGCTTAGGCGAAAACCCAGCTAGACTTGTGAAGGTTGTTCCGCTTGTTCATTTATAAGCTAAGTTTAATATATCTATATTTATTAACTGACACTTCAGAAGGTCTGATGCCTTGGGATGGCAAGTAAACAACGAATTTGACATAAAATGAATCCTATAGAGATGACCAACTATACCCAATTGAGTGAATTTACAAATCTTGCTATATAATATGTTTTTTCTTTAATCTCGAATTCAACAAGAATGAATCGCGCATGATGAACGCAGGTTGTAAGGGCATCTCTGCCTAACTTAGTATAGACCTGTTCCGCTTACTCTCGCCCCCGACCGCCAAGTAGGCATATCCGGTATGGGCGACGAAAAAATATCAGAACGTTTCAAACTTCAAATAGTAAAAAAATAGAGGGGAGGCAAAACGAGAATGCGTGACGGTTACGTTTATGTCCTAAATGCGTTCTATTGGCGTGGCGACGGCAAAGCAATGTTTTCGCCCATACTGAAAGTGACGACAATTCAAGATGGCGGCGCCCTTCCGAAAAAGGTCTATACCCTTGCAGAACAGCCAGTTTAATTTTGAAACTTTTACTACAATGTAGATATACACATTCACAAAGTTTCCATTTATTTTCAAATACAGCCGGCACGCGTGCAGCACCCCACTCTCAATGTATTATTTTCTTCCAAGCGCGCAATTGCAACTCATACTTTTCCAAGTGTGTATTGCGGCGGGTTACCCCGTTGAGTGCGCTTATTACCGAGCACGCATGTAATGCAGAGAAGCAGCACCCGCGGAGCTCGCTTTTGCGGGTATTGCTTCTCCGCAGTGCATCGGTGCTCGGTAAGAAGCGCACTGAACGGGACTAACCCGACGCACCCAACACTTCGAAAAACGCGAATAGTGCAGGGGGTCTATGTTCGGCAAATGTTTCGTTTCTCCTTAAAAGAAACGGAGGTGACGGAACTGACGATTGGCGTCTGACTGGTTAGAGGCTCAAATGACGAAAGTTTCATATTTCGTCATTTCAACCTCAAGCCAATCAGACGAGATATTTTCAGTTCCGTCACTTCTGCTTCTTTTTAGGAAAAACGAAACATTTGCCGGATATAGCCCCCCAGTCCTTCTCGAAGCGAATATCGCATAGTGTATTATTCGAAATTTCGAATATTCGCACAACCCTAGTAGTTTTAGAATCTTACATTCTGTGGTGTCGCTTGTCCCACCATCCTTTAATAAAAATAAATTGGCGGTATTACGTGCCAAACCAATTACGGCCATCTGGCACACCCCAGCGGAGGACTGAGGATTAATTACGACCACCTGGGGATCTTTTGACGTGCAACCGAAAGCTCGGTTACACGGCGCCTCTTCCGCAATAAGCCTCCGTCAGATTGCGGGCACCTCGTCCGGGATTCGAGCCCACCACCTGGGGATCCATAGGCCGACGCTTTGCCTCGGAACTACCGAGACGCCTAGACCTTTTAACAATGAGCAAGTGACTTTTGAAAGCGGTCTGTACACACCATAAGAGAGCGGTGCTTCGTGGCCCGCAGCGTGTCATAGCGGAGGCCCTGCGCTTCCTGGTGTGGGAAGGCGGAGTGAGCGAGATACGGATGCTCCAGTGCCTGGCCCCCGGGGACCACTGCCCGCCCCTGAGCGTCCGCGACGCCTGGCTGCTCGTGTACAACCCGCTCAGCCAGCCGTACAGGGCGCCGCTCAGACTCGCCGTCCATCCGGGCTACGAGTTCCACGTCGACGGCAACCCCACGCAGGTGAGCGTCTCTCCGTTGCTCCCGACCACCGGAAGACGGCACCTTATACTCCTCGGGAGTAAGTACCTAAAGTCACTAGATCCGGGGAAAGTAGCGCCGAAATCCCCGTGTGGTCGCCATTTTGGTTCATGGAATGGACCTCTCGATTTTTGGTGAACCGATCCAAATTCCCGGTACGCATACCGGCAAAATAAGCGTTCATCTTGTTACCGCCACAAGAGACGGCCTAGGTGCTTGGCGACATTGAAAAAGAAATTTCCCTGACATAAAATACGCAAGAACAACAATAGCGTTGTAAAAGATGTGGGGAGATAAGCATACGGTATCTTGATTGCACGTACAGTGCCAAAAGACGCTGAAATTGAAGAGGAACGTTTTCAGCACGAGGATGCTTTATGGCGATCTTTAGGCGTGGCTCGTTCAGACGGACCTTTTCGAAGCTTCAAAAATTTGAATGGATCGAAATGGCGATTTCCGCGGCAACTGAAACGAATCAGCCAATCAATGACCTTAAATGGTTTGGCCGTCTGTGTGTTAGTATCTGTTTGCGTCTGGTTAGCAGGCAGGGAAGGTAAGGGCGCTACTTTCCTCAGATCCAGTGACTTTAGAAGTACCTACAGGGTGTTTCTGATGACCGAATCCCGCTAACCGACACCGACGTAACTCTACTTAGATGTGGCAGGCAGACGATGATACTTTTGGAAGGCTCGCAGCATCTTGATGCTGGTGAAGTAAGCGCGAGTGATGGCAAGTCTGCCAAAGATACATTCCCCTGCTTGCTGCACGCGTTTGAGGCGGCTTGTCTCGATGTCGGTCGTTTCTGTTTGTCGCTCTAATGGGGACTCGGGCACAACTTCTATTCGGGTGAATGAAACTTCTCTCAAAGATGTCCTTATGCATGTGGTGCATTTATCGTACTCGAATATCGTGAGTTTAGGTGAAAGTCTATAAAATCATGTTGCTGTTTTTTTTGTGTGTTTTTTTATGCACAGGGAGTAAAACGTTAAAAACCGTCTGGTTGACATTACTGCTCCCAGATGGCACCACCTGCGCTCGGATCTGTCGAATTTGTTTCGAGTATTTATCTCGCAAAAGCTTTCACGTCTCTTTTTTTTTTTTTTTTTGCTTTATTTTTTTTTTTTAATTTACACTAATAAACTTTTTGTATGATAAATGCACCGCCTAAACACACCTTTCTCAAAAGTCTAATTGCAGACAATTCGTTGGTTTATTTCATATAGTTATTATAATGTATACGCTAGAGGTTCAACTGGCGCTAGTGTCTATGCGAGTTCCGAAATGCAAATTGAAGCAGACAGCAACCAGTCTACTTTTGCGCTGCTCCTGTGCATTCCTATGGGAAAACGCGCGTGCATTTTGTCTCTTCGCACATGAAACGCTTCTGTTGTTTGGGTCGTACCGAATAGTATGTAGCTGAATTAACACTGTAAAAGTGTAATCGCTTTATTTACAGCATTTTTCTTCGTCAGTGAACGATGTATCAGTTGGCGATGTTTCAGGCCCGAACCTCTGTTCCACAGAATGTGTGTAAACACAAGCGACGAGTCTAAGTAAAGTAACAATCGAACGGAATATAGAGTGTGTTAGAGGTTCGCCAGCGTTCGGGTGACGCTTATATATTGCTAATATGCCAGTCCTGTCACTTATATAAAAATGACCCTGTCGTACATCTTTACAAGCGGCTAGAAACATTCAAAAACGTGAAGTATAATGTCCATCGGCTATGAAAGGTGCCTCTTATTAGTTGCTATGTCGGGTAGCTTTTAATAGGCACATGTTTTTCGGCTTCTCCCTATTTTCAAAGATTTCGAGCGTGCAGGTGATGTTTTGAACGCAGAACAACCATCTTCGAACATATTCACGAGCAGAGAGAATAAATCGGTACTATATGTTGTTTGCAAATCTGACTACATTAACTTGACCTTCACTTTATTTTGATCGTCTTCATGCACAGGGGGTTAGTGGTCCAGTGTTACTGCGTGGTTCTTGCCGTCTCTTTTGGTGTTCCACATGTCCACGTTCGCTCAGCACGTAAATTTCCCATGCAGAAAAGAGCTGACGCCGTGTTCGCGCTAATAGTGCCCGACAATGCGCATAAAAATGCACGTATGAAGCTGTTTTAGCAGTGGGTTTAATTACATGAATTTGACAGGAAAAAAAAACACTGTAACTAAACAATATTTGCGTTGCTCGAGAAATGTTTCAAACTGTTTATTACCTTATAAGTATTCGCAATATTTGCTTTCATAATCAAGCGCAGAAAAAAAAATGCACCCACCTTTCCACGTAGAAATGCTTTACCGGAAGTCAACGTTGAACTGGTTGCTGTCTGCTTCAATTTGCAGCAGCACACTAGCGCCAGTTGAACCTCTAGCGTACATTACAATAACTGTATGGTCTATTCAGGCGAATTTTTCTGCGCCCAAAATAACGCTCGGATGCACCCTGAAAAGTATACCTATAGACAGATTTCGTTTCTTTTCGTTCTCAGTCACGTGGGTTTCGTATCTGGTATGCGAGACGAAAAAATAAAACATTTCAACCCGGTATGTGCGAGAAAATATGCGTCAGGCAAAACAAGAATGTGTGACAATCGTGCGTTTTTCGCGAACACCTTCCAGCGGCGTGGAGATATCAAAACGATGTTTTAGCACGTACCGGAAGCGACGACATTCAAGATGGCTGCGCCCTTGTGGAAAAGGTGTATAGAGAGTGCCTGAAGCAAATCTAAAGTACGTAGGGAGCATAGATCCTGGAGGGGGAGCAACTAAAATCATGGAGAGCGATTGCAATTTAATGGCGGACGCTTCCTGCTCAGATCTGTCCAAAGTGTGCGCATACGTTGCATCGTCGCATGGCGAGGAGGAAAACAAGCCGAGATGTAGAGACGCTAGTGAACGATTGACAATTCCGTCTCTTTTCGGTTCTCGCATTGTAAAGCTGGGCCCGTAAACTCCATGATCCCTATTGAGCAGTTCGACACACTCCGTAATATATATCCAACACAAAATGACAGAAAAAAAATATTTTTTTTAATCGCAAAAGTAAATTCCGTTTTGCCGAACGCCCAATCTCCACACAAATGTAGCGCTAGCGGTAGGTACCATATGCCAAAGTTTATAGACTGACCCTTCTAAAAGTTAAAAGTCAGCAGCAGTTTTCGGGAATGTTTCATGCATGTGTAAATGGCGGCCCAATAAGCCTACAAATGCATGGAGATGAAGAACGTCTTTTTCTAGCGCGAGCGACCATCATTTTCTAACCGAATCTTTCCAGATGCAGCTTACAACTTTCGAACCCCATAACGGCAAGCTCTGGAACTTTGACATCTGGTCCGAACCACTAGCGCCACATTTGTGCTGAGAGTTCGCGTGCGGCGATGCGTGGTTTATATTTTTTGGTGGTAAAAACACGGTTCTATGTCAAACAACCGATACGAGAACGCTCACTGTTTAATCGTGCCGTTGCTGCTCCATATTGGATGCCGGCGACGCGTCGCCATTTTTGACTCAAACGCATCCCATAATGCACAGCCCTGGCGGTACAGTCGGTGCTTGCCAACGTTAGTACTTGCGTAAAATATTCGATGATCGCCTCCTGGCGGCTACCATCTTTGTTCACTTGGCTGAAGATAGCGTCCCGAGCATACGCAAGAACTCACTTTTGTGAAAGATCGTAGCTGTCATGCGCGTCTGCAGTAGTGACTGGGCCACTTCGCCTGGTGGCAAGCGCCGGAAGGGTGTACACAACATAGAATTCACCCAAGCGGCCCTCTACATAAGGGGCCAGTGGACCTCGCGCAATCTGCTTTTAGCCGGAATCTCGAAGGCGTTCACGTGCAGCAATACCCCGATCGAAGGACAGACTGCCAAGAGATGGACAGCCCTCTCTGCTGCAGAATACCGGTGTAGCAGCCATCACATCCGGGTCACCAATCTAGAGAGACAGAACGTTTTCACGTAAGCTCGGAGTCGGTCGTACCATCTCTTCCGTCCTCAACATCGAACGCGCCACCAATTGATGACCCGGATGATCGACTCCGAGCACCTGCCATCCAGGGGAACGTTCTCTGCTGCACGGGGCATGGCAACGGCATGGCATTTCGGATGTTTTATGCGGGGAGGCACATCTACCACAGCCCCCGCGTCCGGAACCTCCGCCACCACCTCGTCCCCGTCGCGTCCGCCGCCGGCATCTCTCAGCAATAGGCTGCGACCGCCTCGCTCACCCCGCCGGCACGGCAAGTCTGCGTTCGTTGGCGTTTCCACCACTGCCGCAGTCCCTGGTGACGTCCCGGCAGTCGTGCCCATCTGTGTGGTGTGGTGATGGCCTGGCACGGTCGCGTGCTGCCACAACATGTGGGGCGTGCCGCACCGCACCACGCAGGGGGCATGGAAACTCACGGCGCACCAGTCTCTTCATAAGGCACGTCGCTGACCGACCAAGGGCTCTTCATCACTGTTAGGTGAGGCATCTGCTCTCCACTCGGTGCGTCATCTCCGGGAATTACACTGCATTGGTCCCGTAGCTGGTCGCCATTCCCCCTAAAGCCCGACTGGAGATAGAGCCTGCTAAACTTCGGAGCCACAGCATGCACCACCGGATCGTTGTTCCCGCTGTCTCCACTTCGCCTGACCTCAACCTTAACCAGAACCTTCCCGGTCCCCGCACGCTGTCTTCAATGTCCACCGCTTTCTGTTGCGTCATTCCGCTCGCAGCACGCCAACAGCAACAGCACCACTCCTGGAAGCTTCATCGCCTACTGCTCACGAAATCGCTACGACCCCTGCAGCCTGCTGCAATTCTACAGGCGAAGTCTCTAGATGGGGGGGGGGGGGGGGGGGGGGGGGGGGAGCTACCTGTAGCATTTATCACGTCCGGGTCACCAATGTCGAGAGACAGAACGTTTTCACCTAAGCTCGGAGTCGGTCGCACCATCTCTTCCGTCCTCAACATCGAACGCGCTACACCAGTATGGGTCTGCATCGAAAGGCCGAAGTGACTTTCCGGTGTATTCGACACTGGAGAAGGTAGAATTCTACGACCAAAGCTCCGCAGAGCAAAAACAAAAACCAAGCATCGAGAGCAATTCGAAGCTTCCAGTGACTTGCGTTTTAATTGCCTTCATTAATCCGTGACTAGACGACCTTGTGATTGATCGCTCATTGCACCGACCGAAGCACATCGTGGTAAGTCGCAACTTGTGGATTAGTATAGACGCTTTATCTTGACAAAGAATAAGATTGATTGATTGATTGATTGATTGATTGATTGATTGATTGATTGATTGATTGATTCGTCCTGACAAAGTGAAGCCCCCTTCCCCATGCGTTTCTAGGTTCTCGATACGGAGTCCGCAACAGAGGAGATAGCGTTCGAAGCCGACTTACCGGCACTGGGGGTGAGGGCGTTGCATCTGGTTCGGACGCCTCGGCCACCAGCCCAACCTGTCCAGCATACCAAGGCCACTGCCGCACCTCCGGAGAACAAGCTTATCGTGCTACGGAACAAGGCAAGTACATGTGCTGCCAGGAAACGTGTGCCGCGCGTGCCAATTACGAAGGCCTCGGTTATTAGGGAGTTTTCGTAGATCGTTCTCGCCATCCCGCAAGGCCCTCCGCAACCCGCTACGATAGCGGGAACTCCACAGTCAAGGCTATCGGCGCGCAGGCGCAGTAGCAACTTCTTCGTTGCGGAACGCTTGGCGGAGGGGGCAGCGCGGTCTACGAAAACTCCCTATTATTTCGATTGAAAAGTAACGATAGAGCGGAGATGTTTCGGTGTCGCTTTCGTCCTGTTCATATTTTTGGACGTCACGACCGGGATCTTTTTCATCGGTCTGAAGTACTGTGAGCTAATGCTCGCAATGCAAAACCAAGTGATCCTGCAGGCTCAATCCCCAACCCTGCCCGTTTTGAATTGGATGTGCATTGTACCTATACGCCTTATATTTCTGCAATCACTGCTGCGCGATGCATGTTTAAAGCCCTACATTAGTAGCTTAGCAGTCGTGCTGCACTGGCCAAATCGTCCATGTACAGCGGGGGAAAGAAACGCCCCTAGGTACACTACATTCATTGACAGAGCGAGAACGGCGGGGCGTTTCTTTGGGGATTCTGGGTTTCCAGCAGCTGGTTGTCGTCTGTCATGCTTCTGCTTTTCGTGGACGCTCAGGGTTCACGAGACGTCGAAACGTTGTCGAAGGTAAAATGCTTGCGCTGTAGGCGGGACGACTCAAACACTTCCAACCGATCTTATCCTGCCATGGACTATGACATCCATCCTGTCTAAACATGCCCGCGACACAGTTACTGTTAATCTAAACAGGCGAAAATTGCTGGACGTATGCCTCTTTCATCCAAACCAAACCAAATTTAGCGTTCGTGTTTGTACAGCGTCAGGTCGGACTACCGTTGAAGTGCTGCTCCGACACCGGTTTACGCTGTAGATGGGGAATTTAGCCAGTGCAGTGATACTGCTATAGCCTGGGGTCTTTAGCGTGCATCACGCAGTGGTCATACACGACCGCACGCCGGTATGCGATTCTCATTCAGATCGAAACGAGCAGGGTTGGACATTGAACCCAGGAACCCCGGGGCTCTGCAGCGCAAATTTTCGCTCCACGTGCTCCGAGCTGCTGCGCACTAACACACTCGGCCACCGATCACTCCCGCCTCCTCGCTCGTGTCAACCCAATTGCGCCTCCCTGGTGGTTTCTCCCAGCGCTACCGGCTGCTGGTGGATTCGTCCACCTGCCTGCTGAGCGGCCTGATGCAGCGCAGCGCGTCCCAGCTGACCCTGCGGCAGTCCTTTATGGCGTACCACGCCTACCAGGGAGACAGCGCCAGGGCGTCCGGACCTCGCGTCCTGAGCCCGGTCAACGAAGAGCCTTTCGAGCTGGGCTACAACGTCACCTGCCACGTGGTCAAGGGCGCCCAGGTGAGGATTGTAGCCGCGTCCCAGCATTGAGGGGTGCCTTGCTTCAACGGATACTTCATTTCGGGATAACTTGGTAAACGGCGAAAGCTCTGTACAAGCAGTACAGAGTTCCCCAATCATTGGACAATTGCTGGCAATGGTCCCTTGGCCATCGCCAGACAGTGGTCAGAGATTGGCCGATGACTGGCCTTTCTCTGGCCATTGAACAGTGGCCAAGCATTGGCCAATGAATGGCCACTCTTTGACCCCTGGCCAAAAGACCATCGCCAGCCATTTGTCATTGCTTGGCAAAGAGCCGTGCTACTTGGGTAGGGTCACAGTGAGCCGAGTGTTAGAGTGCGGCACATGACGACTGACCGTCCACGTGTACTCTCAGTATCGCGACTCCAACTAACTATAGGTGGCGCCACTCATTTTCCAAGATGGCGGGTTTAGTGAAGGTCAGAGATGCGTGCCGCTGTTGAGCCTGTCTAGTGTGCTGGCTTCACTGAGCGACATAAATTATGTCTGGTAATATGAGGAAGCTAATGTTTTATGAGCGCAGGTCACCTCTTTAACCTGAAAACAAGAACGGTGTTTAGCGTATTGATTACGGAAGGATGCGCGTTTTAATTCTCGAGCAAAACCGAAACTTACCTCTATTTTGGATTTAATTTCTCGACAGAGGTCTTAATTTCGGATTCTTTCATGACTCAAGATGTGTCTCACATCGTAATTATTTACTTAGAAAAGTTGTTGCGGAAACTTTATTTTGTGACATACTGTTCGATCCAGGCTGATATTCGTAGTTGTTGAAAAAATCAGTGCTGATATCTGTGCGTTCTCGCTGCCTTTTTCTCGCTCAGATAATTGTCATGGGAAATAATGACAATTATTCCAGCACAAGAATAAGAGAATAATTCCAATTTTTACAATATGTCCACGAAACGCATAAACTAATAAACGCTGCTCTCACCGCAACAACCCAAGACGGAATCCGAGTCAGACAGCTGAAGTGTGTGTCTGTGTGTTTTTATAGCACCGCGTGACGCGTAGGGCTTCATATTACATCCAGCGTTTAACTGTTTGTCTGTCTTGATAACTATGTCAGAGTTTTTCATATACTAAAAAGAAAACAGAATTATATCTTTCTGGAAAGACTATTATGGTTAAACAGAGTATTCTGGTGATCTTGGCGTTAATTAGAAGCATACATTGCCGTGATTTGTATTAATAATAATATTAAAATTCACATATATGAATAAGTAATTCTTCAAGCTCTAATATAATTTGTTGCTTATGATCTAATTTTAAACGCGCGAAGAAATATGACAATGAAAACTGTGCTAATTATCATCACTAGTTCCAATCACTGCATTTTAATTACAAATAAAATAAAAATAGTCGAAAATCAATAAAAACATTCTAGCTAATGTGAGAAATCCATGTAAATATACATTAATTGTGGGTAAAGTATATCGTGCTATCAAAGTCGCGACATTTGACAATCGGCGAAACGTCCAAAGTCGCCACCAATATACTTCCAGACCAAATGCCCAAAAGTAAAAAAAAAAAAGTTCTTTTTTTAATTACTAGTTTTATCTTAACATTTATTTACTTTTGTATTTGCTCGCCGTCGGTCGCACACCGCTTGCGTTTGCTTCTATGCGCAACACTAAAACTCTCCAATAAAGTACAATCCCATACCGGCTGCAGCACTACATTGGGACAGTGAAGTCTGTTGTTTGCATTCGGAAACGACATTTCGCGAGCCATGATCGCGAGCAGTTCCGCCATGCCCGCTGAGCAGGAGAATCGGGGGACCCTCACTAGAGCGCTACCCGTTTCCGCCGCGGGAGGGCGAGCGTCGTGCTGGAGACGCAACCTAAGAACGAAGGGCGAGGGTAAGACGGGCCAGGGAGGAGGAAGCAGACGGAACGCTAAAGAGAGAAGGAAGTTTCCCCCTCTCTTCTCCAGCGTTCCGTCTGCTTCCTCCTCCCCGGCCCTTCTTACCCTCGCCCTTCGTTCTTAGGTTGCAAACCCCGTGCACTGCCGTTTTGATGGCATCGCAGTAAGATCGAGCGCAGACACAGGTCACGCACGAGTGGTGCGTCACTGGTCGAACGGACCTCGTATTCAGTCAACGCATTGACGTGCACTCGGCGTCGATGCCATTCGAGTGTGATTGGCGGCATTGCGTGGAGGTAGAGCAGGCTTTTTACGGGATTTGGTTATTCTAGACGGTGTTGGCACTCTTCCCGCAGCGATCTGTCACGTGCTTCGCTTTGTCACCCTGATTGGCTTGAGGGGTTTTCGTAACGTTCGCTCGGGCCTTTCTTGCCATGAGCGGCTAATAAAACTCGATTAAGAGAGCAATGTGACGTTCACTTGTTTTGCCAATCCACGCTGAAACGAAGCCTCCGGAACTCCAGAAGAGGCGACGCCACCCAGCGGCAGAAACGTGACTTCGAGAAACGGGGAGGTCGCGCTCGTCGAAATGCGCAGCGGAAACTTACGTGACCTGGAGGCGAAAATTGTGAAACGGGAACGGGGATTAGAGGCACGAGGTTTCTGGGGAAGTTGCCTGCGCAGCCGAAAGGAACAACACGGAGCCAGGATTTTGAAAACCATAAATTACGTTTAATGTTAAACAGACGAGGGACAATTATAGTCACTGACAGAATGAGAACAGCAGGGCGTTTCTATCGAACGCCCGGCCTTCAACACGCGCTCGTTGCCCTCCACCATGCTTCGGCTACGCGTGGACATTCGAGACCGACGATACGCTGAATCGTTACTGAAGCTAGAAAGCTCGCGCCGGAGGCTAGGCAACTGAAACTCCTTCCGGTCGTACTCATCTTGTCAAGCTATTGTAAAATTGACGATCTTGACGTTTGACTGTCCATTGTCGGCCTCGGCCCTGAAGAGAGACCACCGCCACACGTTGTGCTAGTCTTTTTGTGCCGGCCTTCTTGTGCCGGCCTTTTTGTGTCGGCGTTTTTGTGTCGGTCTTTTTTGGCAGCCTTTTTGTGCCGGCCTTTTTTACGTCGGCCTTTTTGTGCCGGCCTTTTTGTGTCGGCCTTTTTGGGCCGGCCTTTTTGTGCCGGCCTTTTTGTGCCGGCCTTATTGTGCCGGCCTTTTTATGCCGGCCTTTTTGTCCCGTGAGGCCTGCACCCAAAGGCAGGAGTTGCGAATATCGATGTATTTATTATTTGTAAACAGTGCAAGCTTTGCGCGAGCTTCTTAACGCCTTCCGTGTGTGCAGGTGCAGGAACTCCGGCAGAGGTTTTCATCCTGGCTGGTCCAGGTGGTCCGTCTGTACGAGGACCAGGACGTCATCGAGTTCGCCTGGGAAGTGGGTCCCGTGCCCACGGACGACAACAAGGGGAAGGAACTAGTGAGCAGGTTCGAGAGTAGTGTCCGGAGCGGCGACCGCTTCTACTCTGACACCAACGGACGACGCAGCATCGAGAGACGGTTAGGACTGTTGGATGTAGGGTGCCCAGATTCCAGGCGTGTCGGGGCACCCTAACGGGACAAGGACTGAGGCGTTTTTGTGAGATCCGCTTTCATTCTAGGCGCATCAAGGGTAGTCCCGTGGCATCCGACTTCTATCCCGTCACGTCCTGGGCCTATCTGACGGTAGAGGCTTTTTTTTTCTCAATTCAAGCTGTTGTTGTTGTTGTTGTTGTTGTCGTTTTTGTTGTTGTTGTTGTTGTTGTTGTTGTTGTTGTTGTTTTAACAGGAACGCAGAGGAAAAAGCAACAAATACGCTTTACAGAAATTTGTTTTTGACAAGGACAACTTAGAAACAACAGGAACCAAGAGAATGTCGTTCAAATTAATACAGCAACACCATTTTACAAAAATGCTCCGCGGATGGTAGACAAGAGAGAAAGTAACCCATCAATTAGAATTCATGATTTGACAACACCAATAGCATAACTTTACAGGAATTGTGAAAATACACTATTTCACGGCTCGCTGAAATTTCTACTTTTAACTTACAAAAAAAAAATATTAAGAGGGGATTTTGATTGATAGTTTGTTTACTCTACCGTCTCGCTCCTCAGACATGTTCAGGCTCGGAAGTGTTCAATACCATGTACCCAGACGATATGCTGCCTGATTGTACAGCTGCAACGGAAAAAGAGTAGCACAAGAGACCGATGACCGGAGCGGCAAAACCGCGACACGCGGCGCTATTGTTCCCGAGCTCGCCGATAGCGAGAGTGCAAGTCATGTTGCATTTTTCAATGTGGGGGTGGCCGGCAGAAACTTAAGGGATAAGATAGCTTTTAAAATGCAGGCTTTAAAATTAGCTGCTTTCTGCCGGCCGCCCCCGCGTTGAGACATGGAACGTGTCTGTCACTCTCGCTATCGGCGCACTCGGGAACAAGAGTGCCGCGTGTCGCGATTTTGCCGCTCCCGTCGTCGGTCACTTGTGCTACTCTTTTCCCGTTGCAGCTGTACTCGGCTGCAATCAGGATGTCGGTATTCGGTAGCAAAATACACACGATTAGCAATCAGTGATATATTTATCAGTTCCTTCTCGTGTTCTCTGTGCACATGACTATGTGCGACGCCCCTCTAGGCCACTTTAGGATATTTTTAATAGCATATGTTCTTTCACGTTATAGAAGAACACTCAGCACCGGTGGCGAAGCTCACGCAGGCAATAGTAAAAATTAATTAATAAACCAATCAAGCAATCGTTTCATTAAAGTCAATGCATATGGCATGTTATTGAAAGACCATCTGGGCCCATAGCAATCTGGCTAGTTTAGGCCGGTTTAAATAAAAGATTACGATGACAGGTACTTTTATTGAGAACACTGAAAATACAAAAAAAAAGACTAACAGAATTTCGAGTTACTCAAATGGTCAGGTAATGTGAAAAAAAAAAAGGCACAGATGAAATAAATTAAAGAAATATTATTATATCAGTGACGCAAAGTATTTATCTGAGAAGCTAATGAGTGTCAAGACGAGGGGACATATCCCTTGTAGGAAAATGTGGTGCTTCAAGGAAAAGTTGAAATTAAGTGAATTTATGACTGGAGAGGAGGAAAATATTCCGTATTTTAGACAGTAGAATTGAAAAAAAGTCGCTCGCCATATGCGTTACGACTTTGGGGGATGTTAAAGTGGCCAGATGCGTTAGCCCACTATCGCTGAATGAGAGAACGAGCTGCGTGCAGCTCTCGAGAGTCGGCTGGTTGTTTAGGCCGACCCCGACGGTAGTACTGCTTCCCTTTCGCAGAGCGACAGCCAAGACGTGCAGCTGACCGTGTTCCCGGACAGGTCCCAGGCCGCGTCGAGTTTGAGCAGCGGGCAGCTGGAATTCCTGGTGCAGCGAAGACTACCGGGAGAACCCGGCACCAGCATCAAAGGACGCCACTGGCTGCACGTCGGCACAGTCCAAGACGCTCAGGTTGGCCACGCTGGACTGGAACCCCGTCCTCTTCTATGGTGGGCCAAAAGGGGGCTTTGCACTCCAGGACTAGAAAAGAAGAAACTTCTAACAAAAACGGACAGATGGAGGATATTGTATCCCACTCTGTAGGTATATTGTTCAAGTGTAAATAAGAATACAACCCCTAATGTTTTTTTGTTGTTTTTTGCCTGCGCCATTTTATTTAGAACCCGATGTCCTAAGACTTAACTGGTACTTTCCACTGTGGCGTTGCTGCCAGCTATGGTGATAGGGATGCAGGAGACATGAAGCGTGTTACCACTGTCGGTCGTTAAGAGAAGCAAACGATTGCCGCAACTAACCTAATCTAACCTAACGGTCCTAACCTAACATAACCCATCATAGCTATTTTGCAGGTCGCGTGCAACGCTTGGCTACACTGTCTGGAAGATGTTTTTGATTGATATGCTTTGCATCAAGTACAACCCATGAATCGAAAGTGGGCCTGAAGTGGCAGCGGATGACATCACGGGAGCCAGAGTGTCATGTTGTCAGCTGTCGCGACCCTGGCAGTTAATCGTACAAATTCTGGCAAAAAAGAAACGAAGGAACGCGAGTGTTCCTGTTGTCGCATTATCCCAAATACTGGTCGACGAAACTTCCGCGAACTGTCAAGCTAGAGAGTGATCGGAACAGGCGTCTGCCATAGTCACCCCCACCGTTGTGCCACGTCCAGTATCCCGGCAGGCAACAGCACGTCATAGTGCGACGTTATCGGGTGGAAAAGGAGAGACCACAATTGAGGACGCGGTAGACCCACCGGTCGAACGCGCGTTCCAGGCACCACTAGCTTGACCACGCACGTGGACAGGTGTCCTGATGTTGGTACCCCACGCAGGAGTCCCTGAGGAGCTTGGCGAACCGCATGGTGTGGTCGCCGCAGTTGTCCCTCGTCGACACCGAGCAGAAGCACTTTGTCAACCTGAGCGTCAAGTCGGTGGGTGGGAGTCGACTACTTTTATACACCAAGGGCTCTAAACTCGTGAAAAACACACAATTGCGACCGAAGTTCACAGTCAAATCAAAGTCAAATTTGAGGGTTTTACGTGCCAAACCTACGACGGGCATCTGGCACGCCCCAGCGGAGGACTGAGGATTAATTTGGACCACCTGGGGATCGTTTGACGTGCAACCGAAAGCTCGGTTACACGGCGCCTTCTCCGCAATAAGCCTCCGTCATATTGCGGGCACCTCGGTCGGGATTCGAACCCGCCACCTTGGGATCCGTCGAAGTTCACAGAGCGTACCGATTAAGCTATCCCAACAATGACTTCGCGTTTCTTTTTTTTTTTTTTTTTTTTTGGTTGGCATCCAATTGGCGCGTTCCGCGAACTTTCGGCTCCAACTTTGTGTTTGACGAGTTTAGGGCCCCACCATAGTGTTTACAAAGAAGCCCGCTTTGCCTACACCAGGTGTGGGCACTGCGCCTGCGCAGAAACCAAATTTGGGAGGAGTGAGGCATTTGCGCATGCGCAGTACCGACAGCAGCGCCACCGCAGTGGAGTGACGTCAGTGAGAAGTTGAATTGGTCTATACAGGAAAGAGCATCGAACTCGCCGCGTTACGTTTCGATTGAAATCCGAACGCCGCCGACGCTAAGATTCGATAGAGTCAATCAAGCAGAGCCAAAAGAAAAAAGCGCAGGTATCGCGCCGAATTCATTGTGCGTGATTGGTTTAGTCGCTGATAGCAAACGCATATAAAGACGAAGGGCGCCGGCTGGATGGATGGATGTTAATGGCTATACCCTTTGTAACGGGCGGTAGCTTGCGCCGCCTAGCCTATGTCAGCGACGATGCACTTTTGGTGCTGTCCAGAGCCGTATATGTAGAGAGTTTGGCCATTCGTTGGGAAGTATAAGAGACAAATGGCGAGGCGCCATTGGCCGAAAGCGGGCGGGCGTGTTCCAGGGCGTCTTCACGAATTCGAATGTGGCCAACCAGAAGCCGGAAATAATACCCTGGCGGTGGTCGCGAGAAACAGACCTAATAAGTGCGTCGGAGTAACTCTCGGTGATTCAAAATATGGTGCAGGTGATGTTCCATCACAGTCATCCAAAATCATGGTGAAAGAGCGCGACTAGCGGAACGATCGACATAATCCGTACGCCAAGCGCCGAGGGCCGGGAATTTGCCGTCCGAGTGGTCACATTCTGTCCGAACAAAACATAGTTGAGCGCCGCATTCGTTTCTTACATCTTTCTGGATGATCATGATCGAGACATTACGTGTACCCTGTTTTCAACCATGAAAGGTTACTACACCTCTCTTACAGCTCTCTACAGCTCTTACGGGCTTATTAAAACCATATACCAACATATACCTTGGACCAAAACAGTTTCTCGTTACCACCGCTAGGGGATTTTTTTTAGGCTTCTGGTTGGCCAAGAGAGCATGTCAAGCCCACTTTCTGTGTCGTGCACGCCCTGGCTCTGCCCGCGCCTCATATTGACCAAACTCTCTCTACACACGGCTCTGGTGTTGTCTCATTGCCTCCATCGGATCGTATAGCACTGGCTGATGTCACACCTAGGAGAGATGAATCATTTTCTTTATTCCCGAAGAACTCGCGGTCGATATAGTGTGTGTCCACTTGCGCAAACCGTTCAAAGTGTATGGAGAAGCCATCCTTCCCCATCACCTTGGCTGCGGAGGCTTTGAACTCCTCCCGACTTTGTTCGTTGTGCACGCAGTGTTCGCGAAAGATGAACATAACTTATTTCCTACTGGGCGCAGTGGAGCGGCCTTCGTGCGCCCCTGCCTCGGCACTTGCACGTGCTCAGCCTGGAACGAGTCAGCGGGGACAAGGTACTGTTGCGCATCGAGTACCAGGCGCCGGAGACCTCCAACTACACCCGCCCGGTCAATCTTTTCATTTCGGTCAGTCTCACGGGTTATCGGCCGGACGCTTTTCCGATCGTGAAATCCGGTGCAACCTTCTCCACGCCAGGAACGCGTAGCAAAGTAATGTGGGACATAGGAGACTCGCCGCCCTACATAAAGAGCCGAGAAACGACTCGGATTCGGTGTTCTTTTGTAAATAAGGTCGCTACTTCTCACCTTACTTTGAACTAGATTTCTTTTATAACCATTGTATGTTTGCCAAGGGCCACCATATGCCGGCCTGGTAGAGAAAATCGTACGACATGTCCGATCTGATGGAGCTTCTGCATCGACAGTTGCTTGCAGCAGTCGGCTGCAAATCCGCGAAACTCCCGACTCCCGAGTGAATGCCCAATCACGGTGGACAGATAAAGAGAGGAAAAATATAAGGCATGCGACCACTCGGGGAAGGGGGGGGGGGGGGGGGGGGGGGGGGGAGGGGGGGGGGCGTTTGTTTGGAATTTATGGTACGTTAATAGGAAATAGTGATACAACGTTGAAAAGGACGCCATTCCTGTGAAATTCGTCAAGTCATTCGACAGCATCGTTCACTTTGTTTCTTAATATTGCTTGGAATGGTAGAATATGAGGCACATTATAACTTTCCTTACAACCGAACGGCGTTTTTGCTTTTTATCCTAGTATTAATTTTATTTATTCATTTCAATACCTAGAGCAGTGGCTTTCAAATGGGGGGTCTACGGACCCTTTGGGGTACGCAAAGGCATTCTAGGGGCCCACGAAGCCTTGCCTTGCCTTGTCAGTCAAAGCCGGCAAGAAAAGTTGTCTTTCTTCAAATTGAGAAAAAACGTTCCACTTTTTGGGGTGAGTTATCTAGCTTGTATGTCAATGAGGGAGGTGTATTTTACACTCGCCCTTAGTTATATCTATTTATAAAAGTATTATCATAATTAACATATAAATTTTCCTTCTCCTCGCCACAAATCGGGTCCTCCATCATCTTTGCCGATCGGTCCGCGAAACATCAACGGTTGTGAACCACTGACCTAGAGGGCACTACAAAGGGGGTGCGTATGTAAATCAACAAAGAAAATAAATTAATAGCCCAAAAAAGCAAGTAATATTATGGTATATAAATAAATTATACGAAAGGCTGGTTACACATTTGACTAAAATCCCTGTTCTGGGACGAGAAGGGACGGACAAACACGAAGTTTCAAATTGAGACTGTGTTTGTCCGTCCCTTGTCGTCCCAGTCTCGGGGTTTTTAGTCAAATGTTTAACCACCGCCAGCTCGTTTGTGCCCTAACCTTTTGTTCGGGCTGGCTACTTTCAAAGATGGTCCGCGTTGGTGACCTTGATGCAAGCGATGATGTTAGGAAAGGGGGTTCTATTCCAAGCTGGTCTTGGGCAGAGAGGAATATAATTAAACAAACTCGTGATGTGCCGAAGAAATGCCAGGACTGCTCTTTAATGCACCCAAAACAGCTTTTTTTTTTTTTTTTTTTAATGCTGCGCAATCTTCTGCAGCGCGTCCACAATCATTTGTCTTTTTCTCCCGCTATCTGCCATTTTCACAAAGAGCATTATTTAACTATGTATGAAGTGTTATCAGGTGTAAAAGTCTGAAAGTGAGAAAAGAGTCCTCGATGTAGAGCCTGAGCAGTCAGACGCTGCTTTCACGTTCAAAACAAAATAACCCCTTTTTTTATGTGTAGATGAGTTCTATATTTTTTTATGGCTGGCCCATTTACCCGAACGATGTAGTTCTCCGAAGTTTTTCACTTAGTAGCTTAATTAGAAAGGTTAATAGCCCAGTAAAATAGCTCACTAGAAACGTTAATCGGCCAGGTAAAAATAAGTTCAGCTGAAGCTGGATCAAGAAAAGGTTCTAGCTGGGTCAGTCTTAATTTCAGATAGATCCAGCTGGGACCAGCTCCTAAGTTAGCTCAAACTAAACTGATTCTCAGGAGATAGCATGCTAGCGAAACCAACAATAGAGAGATACACCTTTCTTGAAGAGCCATCACTGCGACCCGCCCGTTTGTAAAAACGCAACTATTATCGAGCCGCATGCCTTGGCGTCTGGAACCCAATAAGCCAATCTGCAAAGGCATCCGATGCTCTGATTTCGCCAGTACCGAACTCTCAGAAATTCTTTAGGCTTCTGTTTTGAGCGCGAGTGTGCGCGTGTGGAAGTGAGTTTTAGTTAGCATCATCCTATCTCTTGCATCACAGTCGTTTCACTGTACTCTCTCGTCGCTACATCTTTCTCTTCCATCTTCGCCTAACCGGCGCAGACTGGAGAACTAGGACAAACGTCTAGGTTGACCCCTCTCTCTTTCTGTCAACAACACTAATCTACGTTTTGCTTGTAGCGGCTCCTGACTAAGCAGGTCCTGTACCACGTGACGGAGACGTCCCTGGGCTCGACACAAGACCGGGACTCCGTGCTACGCTTCATCTGGCGCCGTCGAGGGGCCGTGGCCCCTGTGGCTCAGCAGCAACGCATGCGCGTCTGGCTTAAGCGGGGCTCCCGCTCGCGCTTCGAGGACACCGTCCGCATCCTACCCGGACACATCCGCACCTTCGTGGCCCGCATCGAAAGGCGCAGGGACGTGCATGCCTGAAGACCTTCCTTGTCCACGCCTGCATGCCTGGACAGGTTTTCTTGCCTCGCCACGTCGCGTCACGCTGGTGGTCATTTCTACCTGTTCTTGTCCAGCAGAACAAATTCGGTAGTGTGGACCGACAGTCTACAAAATGTATGAGCTCAGAGCGAAACTGCCAGAATGGTAGATGTGAGATCAGGGCACGGTGTAAGGATCAGGGTGGTATGACATCTAACCATTTTGTTCTTATCACTTTTTTCATGGAACGCGTGAAACCGCGTTTCCCGGAACGCGCTTTTGGCGTTGATTGTGCTACAACGGAATTTTGTTTCCGGCATCGTTTTTTATTTCCCCTGCGCGCTTGAGTTGTTGGCATCAGGTACTACAACGATTGTCATCCCCCTAAGTAGGACATTGAGGCGCCCCAGTGAGATCAATGCAGGCCATGTAAAGCGGCGTTGGATTTCCTGCGTGAAAAGGCACACAAGGTGTGAGCATTCCACTGTGAAATTTAAAAACATTATATCATCCTTCTCTCCTTCGGGAAACTTGTACAGGCTGATGGCCATTTGTCCGTTTTACCGCCAGATTGTGCCCAAGTGCACACGCCCTGGCATCTATCGGCGCGAGCGCGTAGCCTTGTCCATACTACTGCTCGACGCTTATCTCGATATTTGTTTTATTTCGCCGGCACTGCATGTGGCGAAGGATGGCCCCAGTCTACGTCGGGACGCCCTCGTAGCCGACTAAATCGAGGCACGTCCACGCGGGACTCAACTCTACCAAAGCTTTTCACTGTGACGAGAGAACCCGAGATGTGACTCATCACAAATGTACTGCGTCGTTTATTGAGCATACGAGATAGTTATTGCTAACACGCTGTTCTTGTTGAGGATGATTGAATTATGTAGTACTCCCGCTTTGACACTTCCGTTGATTCTCGTGGGAGCATGGATTCGGCTGTTGTGACGTCCACAGCGGGTCTCCCAAAACGTTTCCTGTTGCAAAAGGAACGCCCCTTCCCCTTTATCGTGCATTCTTTAAGCTGTCCCTGTGGCAGCCTGTTCACTTTGAGTAGATGGCACCACGAAAACTTTGTCGTCCAATAAACTTTTTTTCTCCATTAATGGGTCTTGCTATAGCATTTTCACCATGTCAGTGCGACATCTAGGAAACGTGTTTAGTTCGAGCGGGTAGTTGCGTAGTTTACTATTTTCCAATCACTCTGACCATGATCCAAACTGACAATTCCATCGGGATCACCACGTGCTCTTAAGTCCGAAAACGGCCCGTTCGTTACTGTACAATAAATATCGCGGCAAAATGGCGCTATTTCAATGAAAAATGTGGATTTTTTTTTCGCTCTTTCGCTTGCATTAATATACATATATGTATACAAGAATACAGATAAATGCAAACACGTCAAAACCATGGGCTAACAAAACACAAACACGCGCACTGGTCAAAAGACAGCATGACGCATTCCAATCAGTTGTGTGACACACGTAACGACAAATGACACCTTTTCAACATTTCACAGTTTTCTCAAACCCCGGTATCTTATGTCGCCCCCTTGGTCGAGAGGAAGCCGGAGTCCAAAAACGGCTTCCCTCGTCCAAGGCCCCCTTCCTCCGTGTGCTGTAGCAATCGTGCTTTTCCGTTTCATCCGTGTACGCACAGCATGAAGAACATCATTGTCTATGGCTCGAGCAGAGTATACAGGTTTCCAAGCAGCCACGCTTCGAAGGCTAGTCTAGCCGCCGTGGGTGGAAACGCTTTGTTAGGTTACCAGTCTGTCAACTGCAAGCAAGCCTTGGTAAGGCTTGGCTATCAGGCACTCTGCACACACCAGTAGCAAGATGGCGGCGCGCCCAGGAGACATAGCTGCTAACGTGTAACAAAGGTGCATAGGCGTTGGCACTGGAGGATGTAGGCGACGGGAAGAAATGTGCAGCACCTCAGAGTCTGCACAGTGCACAGCATTTGGCAAACTGTACACCAGGTGCCGCACAGACTGGGAGCGCTGGGCCCCCGAGCACCTCCTTCACGGGTCCTTTGTTTTCGACACGGAGCTCAAAGCCTCTCGAGGCTCGGTCCAAAGTGTGCATCATATATCGGGGGGGTCTGCAGCCAAGGAGAAAGAAGAGTCCATCGTTTGGATGAAAGTCGCTCCAGCCGCTCCAGGTAATCAACGGGGCAGAGTTCCAGGACTGCCGCAAAGTCCCACAACTGTCCGCACTCCTGGACTACAGCAAAGTCCCACGAGTGACAAAACTCCTGGACTACCGCAAACTCCCACGACTGTCCGAACTCCCGGGCCACCGCAATCCGGCGACTTTCAGAGATACTGGACTACCGAAAAGTCCCACGGCTGTCCGAACTCGCGGGCCGCCGCAGTCCGACGACTTTCAGAGATCCTGGACTACCGAAACGTCCCACGACTGTTAGAGCTGCAGAGCCGGGGGCCTCAGCCCCGTTCACTGGGCCACGGCGGCGCGTCGAAGCGCACAGTCCGCGAGGATATCCAGCCGGCCAGGGCCCTCCGGTCGGCCAGGCTCAGCTGCATCGGGTCCGGCAGCCGGGGATCGTGGTTGGCGCCGGCGTCCAGCCCTTCCGAGCACTGGCCCGCTGACCATGGGGCCCAGTAGTTGGACCGGGTCGGATCGTCCTTGCGCCTCCTGGGACGAAGAGCGAGAGGTTATATGCGGGTAATTGGGAACGCCTTGCAACGGCTCGGCTCGATGAAACGAGTGCACCGGAAGAAGAAAAAATGAAAACTCCAACGGGCTGCACAAATTATTTGCGCACAGTTGGCCCCTCCCGTCCATCAAACACTTCTCTAGCACCCCAGAGTGAGAAGTCTCTAACACCCTAGTCACCCAGAGGAGTTAGAGAACACCGCACAGTGAACAGACTTCGACACCCTAGCCACGCAGAGGTGTTAGGGAGGCTCACTCTCTAACAGCTCTAGGGTTTTGGAGAGCAAAGTTATCTAACACCCTACACAGAGAGAACTCTAATAGCCTAGCCACCCAGGGAAGTTAAAGAACACCTTATAGCGAGAAGACTAACACCCTAGACACCCAGGGGTGTTGGAGAGGGGTGTGCTAACACCCCACAGTGATAATACCCCAACACCCAAACCACACAGAAGTGTTAAAGAGGCTCACCCTAACACCTCCGGGAGTAGGAGAGTGAGATTATCTAACACCCCTCAGAGAGAGGACTAACACCCTAGCCACTCAGAAGAGTTAGAGAGGCTCACCCTCTAACACCTCTGGGGTGTCAGGGAACAAGATTCGCGAACACTCACGAAGTGAAAAGACCCTGCAACACTAGCCACACCGAAGAGATAGAGAGTCTTGCTCTCCAACACCCCACAGTGACAAGACGAACACCAGGCAAACAGAGGAGTTAGGGAAAATCTATCTAACACTTCTGGGCTGCTGGAGAAGACTTCAACACCCTAGCCACCAAGAAATGCTATTGAGGCCCGAAAGTGAGAAGGCAGCATTAACCAGGGAGATTCCCTGCACGACCGGAGGACGCTTCTTCAATGCACTTTGAGTCAGCCTCGAGGCGGTACAGCTCCCCGTGGGTACCAAAAAAGCGACAAATTGACGTACTTGCAAGCTTTTGGGTCTGGGACTCCGAAGATACGGACGCTGGAGCAGCCAACGTTGTCGACGAGTCGCACGGCGTGCCAGAGGCCGGACGCCTCGGTGCCGGACAGCGCGTACCTGTGGACGACACATGTGGCCGACAAATGAGTCTCTCAACTTTTAATTCGAAAGCGCGCGAGAGTACTGCCGTTTATGCGCTATTTTGTTGGGTCACCGGACGGAAAGGTGATCATGTCTCGGCTTCAGAATTGTAGTGCACGGTGAGATGAGCCAGCGGAAGGCCTCACATTCCTGTGCGCCCTGGCGACGCCCTGTCCCTTCCCGAGGACGGTGGACATGGCGTCCCGGCGGGACTGTCGCACTACAGTACCTTCAGTCAGTCGCGTCGCAGTGCACAGTGATCGGTCATTTTAATGTACAGTCATTGTTTAATTATTTCTCGAAGGCCACACGCTGTGTCTACTCCCAGCGCGAACACGTGGTCCTCGCGTCCTTCAACGTCACCCCACCTCTTGGCGCTCTATGGCTTTTGTGGCCCTTCCGCCATTCAAACAGAATAAATAAATAAATAAATCAGCCAGTCAACGAAGGACGCCTCCACTCCTACACGGACAGATTGTCAGGGAGGTTCACCGTAGGTTGTACCATAAAGATACCCTGATTTGGCACCTGCGCGCCTTCACCCACGCATAGTCCTCTCGCCGCCCCAACGTGGATGTCCCTCGAGTGAAATCTCTATTCAGCGACGTTGAGTTTCTGCTAGCAGAGTTTCCGCAACGTTGTTACAGTGTAGCGTTGGCGAAGCCTTGGGAGAGTGCGTACGTCCTTTTGGCGTTCCCTTCACACGATAGCGCGTGCGAGCGAGATCATAGCCTCCTCTATACTCGCAAAGCCTGGCAGTTCGACGACACAGCCATAGAGTGCCCGGTGGCAGATTTGGAGCACGGGGATATGGTAGCACAGAGCATCAAATAAGAGCCATTTCTCGGGGAACCCGGACGTCAGCGCGCATCTTTTGCAGCGGCGAGAACACGAAACACACTTGTTCGCTCGGAGGAAGTGCGTTTCTGCGTCTCGCCGCAGCGGGGCGCCAGTCACGTGGCTCTCCTCTCATCCCTTGTCTGCCGCTCCACTTTTTCCATTTCGGCGGCCGCTTCTCGTGGCGATCTGCCAGGCTTTGTCGGTATATAGAGTCTATGGCGAGATGCAAGATGAAGCTCTCGCGCAGCATTGGATGCCACAGTACTGTGAAAACTACGCTATACTTGAGAACGACGCACAGAAAAGCTGTTCCCGGATATCTGCGACGAACGCGACCAAAAGCGTCGCTACGAACGGCCTTTCAGATTGGGCCAAGCACTCACTATACTGTTTCACCTTAATTAAGCGCATGAAAGCGAGGCCGAAGCTACAAGCGCGAGCACGTGGCCCTGAACTATGCTAGCACTGCACGAGCGCAAAACGGAGTATATTACGTTTTTAGTGAGATTATTATCCCCTTCGAATTAGTAACCCATTAACATGGCGAACTTAAAGATACCTTTACCGTAGATCCCTTTGTGATTGTAGAAACAAACCATGCTCTGGCGTCGCGAGGACACGCCATGTGCAGAAGATCGCGAGCCGATTCGCCACCGCAGATAAAGTTCCCTTATAGACGCTTTAAGCACGCGCCAAATCGAGCCGCCCATTGCCGACCTTCTCTTACCGAAACGCCGAGGCACTGAAGCGGGCGTTGATGAGCCTCCACTGAGGCCTATAGGGAGGTGGACACAGTAGCACCTAAAGTGGCACTAACCTGTCCAGCTGTGGCAATGATGAAGTGAGGCGAACGGAATAAGAGGAAACAAATACTGAAGGTCGGTTATCGCGGCGCCCATGCACAGCTGCTACAAAGCGACCTTCACGATTGTCTGAATATGGTATAATAATTCTGCTTTTATCGACGGAAATAAAAGTGTAACATATCAGACTGTTAACTTCAACGCTTGTGGTTTTGCAACTCCGTTCCATTTTTACGATTTTTGGGGTTATGATCTGTTTAGTCGAAATCGGCAACCCTGAATCACGAGATTTCATTTATTTTTCGGTAGCGTGTATAGTTTTGTAGATATCGCGTATCCAAGTTTCGTTCCGGCGGCACGGCGAAACTGAAACTATACCGGCTCGAGCAGTTTGGCAACACTGATAATCAGCTGCGCGTCGACGGCATGACGTAGATCTCGTCCCGCGCTCCTGAGCAGACGCACGGACACGGTCGGCTCAGTCGCACGTGGAGTTTGAAAACAGAAGGTAAGTTGCACATTTTCTTTTCTACCGCTGCACTTTGTAAATATGCACCAAATGTAGTCAGTTTTGGTGTGTATTTATAAATTTGCCGGGCCGAGAAGCGAATCCGACTGCTATAAACAATATGAGGCGGTCAGTGCCGGCGTAACGTGACTGTATTTGCTTCTTGCTCGCGGACCTAGAGAAAAAGAAATAATGGGAGAAAGATGAACAGGTGGTATCCACAAGCGGTATAAGTTGTTAAAGCTAAGGTGCTTTTATGTGTACGCTATAGTTAGAGCTGCTGCGACCTGCTGCAACCGGCCGCTCGTGCTGCAGCAGCCGGCGGACGGTACGCGAACAGCGACGGCACCGCGTCGTTCCTCAAAGACGCGTGTTTCGTGGAGAAACCCGCAAAAGTCGGCAGCGGCAGATCCCGTGTGTAGCTGCTGTCTGGCGTAAAGTGCTGGGAGGAGAGCTTCGCGTTGGAGCTCGGAGTCCACGGTCTTCCGAAGTATATCCGGCGAGTGGCACCGACCAACACCTTGTGCTTTTTTTTTTTCTTCGGTCTCTTGGAAACTGGTGGAACCGCAGCTCCGGGTTTCGCGCCGCGGATTGTTGGGGCAACCCCACAGTACTACAAGTCGTGCTCGACATTGCCCAACGCGAGTCCGGCGAGTCTCTCCGGCTCCATGACAAGCGCGTGAACGAGCAGCACCGCTTCGCTCTCTTCCGCGCGGTCGCGGAAGCTACGTTGGAGTTACATGAACTGCCAGGACGCCAATAAAAATTGGAGAACACAGGATAATGCGGTAAGCACCTCTTGCCGTCAGCAGAATCGAAGAACGCCACGGGAAACGAGGCGTCCGCGGCGTCCGTACTAGAGCATAGGTACGTCATTTCGCAATGTTGCTCCACTTGCTCATCCGGTGCCAGCGTTGCTCAACCGCTGTCGGGCCGCTAACCCAGCCGGTAGAACATTTGTAATATTGGTTTTAATCGGGAATGCAGCGTCGCTTTGACGTGATATATTACATATGACCGTATTTTGAACCCCTGAAGCGATATCAGCCATATCTATAGGGCCGACTTGTTGAGTGGAATTGCCCTTTTAACATAACTCCAGCTTGTTCGCAACCGACAATCCAAATGGCACGATATCACGGGTAGGAACCACGAGAGAGCGCCACCGAAGCGTCTTGTTGCATTACCTCGCGTGCCTTTACTTCGGGCTTCTAGGCGTGCCTATAGACCTTTTCCACAAGGGCGCCGCCATCTTGAATTGTCGTCACTTCCAGTATGGGCGAAAACGTTACTTTGCCGTCGCCACGCCAATAGAACACATTTAAGATATAAGCCTAACCGTCACACATTCTCGTTTTGGCTCCCCTCTATTTTTTTACTGGTTACAGGTTGAAACGTTTTACTATATTTTGTCGTCGCCCATACTGGAAGTGACGACAATTCAAGATGGCGGCGCCCCTGTGGAAAATGTCTATACCTACCCGAGGCTGAGCGCCGACTGGGCGAGGCTAGCGGCCGCCCTGTGCTCAGCAGCACGTTTGAGCCGGAGCAGCTGCACGTGCCCCGGCAGTTTCTTGGGGTTCCAGCGGTCCGGTCGGGCCGTCCCAAACACCACCAGCCTGCCCGGTCCCAGAGCACTCGTGGCGTGCCGCTTGCGCTGCGCCTCGTGCAACCTGCGACGCGCACTCGGGCGTGAGCATGGCCTGTCGCCGGACAGCTCGGACAGAAATACAACCCGTTTTCGTACAGCGTAATGACAGCAGAGCCGGGAAATCAACCTATGCCGCAAAAAATCTACAAAAACAAAAGTTGATCACAATAGTTTATCATTTGACTTCTTTCTCTGAAGGCGATTTGGGGAAAAATAAAGAGAAGTTAACAACAATGAGAACAGGATAACAAGCTGTCAGAGGAAAACACCTGGCAGTATTCTGTTCTTTTTACGAATGTGAGCTAATGCTATGTACACGCGGACTAAATGCCGTGCTCCAACGATGCCAACTGCGCGTTGTTACTGAGCAGCTGCTGCACGGTGCCGATTCAGGAAACGGTTGGGCATTCGCAACAGACGCGAGTTGAAGAGACCGTGAAACGATACCGGGTTCGCATCTGACCTACAGACTGCGTGTCATCGGTTAGCAGTGCACAAGAAAGCTAGCGAATGGGGATATGGTACCAGAAATTCTGTTTTTTGCTGTAAATCATCGAAAATAGGAGCTGGCTTTTCTACTTCTCCCCTCCCAAAATCGTCTAGCACTTCAAACACCACGGTTGAACCCGCCTCGAAGGCATGCGTCACTGCTTGGTTTGCACTCGCTAACCAATTAATCCGTCGATTAACGTTCGTGTTTCGCGTTCCCGGCCAATAAGCGGGGTGACACAGAAATCGCAGAACCGTCTAAGAATGACCGGAGTTTGGAGCATTGCCGGCTCTTTCATTGGCTCATGCCGTTGATATAGGGTGTTCTGGTGAGTCGTTTTGAGGCATACGGTTCGTCGCCGACCGAATCGCCGGAGCAGCCGGGCATGCGTGCAGAGTTCACTCTCGTCATGTGCCACGAATCGTAATATGTTCTACCTAACTCTTACCAAACTTTTTTCCGGAACAACCCTGTCTCCTCGAAACGACACACTAAACCTTTATTTTTTCCGTGTCCTGAACGATTCGCGCGCGCAAGCGCAGTGGCGGCGGTGAATCGTTCGGAGGCGAACCGATCACGTCAACACAACTTACTAAAGCTCACCGATTTTCGTCACAGCCACACGTCTGGAATGCCGCTGCATAAACAATCGAGACTTATTGAGGTTACCGTTTAGAAAAAATGTTCGAAAGTTATATCAGGGTTCCTTTTAATCGGTAACCCCACAATTCATGTCGTTATGCTACTTTTTATAGCTAATAAGCTTATCTGTGCGTGCTGTACAAATGTGAAGTTAATGTCAAATTAAAGAGGAATTAATGATCTATGATTTAATGTCGTCAAAGTACCTTTATTTCTAGTTGCTCATTTATTATTCAGCTTTTAATAAAGTCAATTTTAAAGGATCGAACTTTTTTTTTCCCGGGTCTATAATGTTTCAACGTCCCCGAGAATTTATCTGCAAGGTCACTACGGGACATAGTAGTTAATTGTATAGGATATGAACGATACATAATATTTATAATTTAAAATAAAAAAAGTTCAAAACGGTGAGTACTTATTTCAAATCTCAGGACTGCGGCGCGTCTTGAAAAAAGTGAGGTGCGTGTTTGACCAATCGCGGCGCGATAGTCTTACGAGACAATGTTTTGCATGTTTTGCATGACATAACTAAACACTCATTTCTCACATGAGCCATTCGTTGACTAACCTCCACTTTCTCGGCTCTCTTATTCCTCGCATGAGCCATTCGGTGATTGACCTCCACTTTCTCGGCTCTCGAACATTGCTCATATGGAACACTCTATATGGGTTTCGATTCGAGTCTCGCCAAGAAGTTTGTGAGGCTTTCAATAAAAGTATTAAAGTACACGAAGGTACTGAAAGCGGCTAAGAAAAGGTACGTACTAGAACTGTCGATATAACACCCCCCCCCCCCTATACACACACACACACCAAATTTTTTCGTTTTTTTTTTGTTTTTTTTTTTGGAGCGTTTGAAAACATTGTTGCAACGTGCTACACCAAAACTGCGATGCACCACAAAAATTATTATGACAGCGGTATTTCGCTAAGGGAATATTTTCACGTTACACCTGAGCACGGAAAAAAGCTGGAAGAAACACTAGACGAAGGATAAAATCGTGAGGTGCGCAGTGCGAATCATTTGGTTAACCGGCAATAATACCAGCACCAAACGCGAGGAGGAACGCCGCGACGTTTTCGGCACTACTCGTTTTCCCCACTGGCTCGGATACCGTCGATTCTGGTTTCAGTTACGGTGCAACCAAGAATAGCCAGCACTTTCCCCTCTTTATTCTCCGGACTCATTTCGCCTACAGCGTTATTTTTTATTTTTTTTTATTTTCTCAGTGCATTCCAGGAAGGAAGTTGTTCCTTTCAATAGCAATCCAGGTCAATCGTTGCTGAGCCCGTCAGACAGTTCATTCTTCCTTATATCTGCCAGTTTTTCTGTCCATCCTTCCTCCGCTGAGGCAAGTTTCCGGGACGCTAACTAGGTGGCGCAAGCCAGCGCCCGATTTCAAGGCCTCTGCCGTATGCATCCACCAGGCTCTGGCATCCACCTACGCATCCAGCGGTCCACGAACAGATAAGAAATGCTCACGAGGCAGCGTCGATCAGCCTGAAGGTTGTTTTCTGCCCTACGTCGGCGTCGTAGCCCCGACTAGGAGCCAAGCCCAGCCGGATGACGCAGTCCGAGCCGTCCACAGCCGACCCCAAGCCGGACTGGAGAAGGTGTCCTGCAAGCAGAACGCAGTTAGCTGCGCTGCGTGTCGCCAAAAAGCCCTCCATGCATCCAAAGCATAAACTCGTCACGTGAAGGCAATAAAACTGCTTGGAGCCTCATAAGGAGTGCGTCTACCAAAGATAGTGGCACTAAGACGACGTCTCGGTACATGTTTTAGCTCCCAAAAGATGTCTTACAATAAAAAAAAAAAATGCCGTTTTATTTACAAATGTGTTTCTGTTTTGGCCGTTTAAAGTAAGGTGCCCTCGTTCTACGAACCCTTTTTCAACCTATAGAAGTGCAAGGTGTTTACCAGAGAAACCGACGAGCGAGCACGTGGTGCAGGTGACGTTAGGCCAGGCGTCCTGCTGGTCCCTGCCCAGAAAGTCCGACGTGGTGGCGCCACTGGACACCTCTGCAAAACGGTGCCACTGTGAGGGACCGCGCATTCTGGAGGCGCATTGGGGGACAGCGGGTGTTTCACTGGGTTGCGGAATGTCTCATCAAATTGAAAATTGGAAAACGAAATTCGAGAACCTCTTACGTGTGTAGTATAAACACTAAGGGGAGCGACTCCGTCTATCTTGTCGGTTCCAATGTGTTCTGTGCGCACTGGTCTCATATTTGTTCCAAGTTGATTCCTTTTTTTTTTTTCAATCTTGTAAACCAGTAAACAAACGTTTCCTCAAAATAACTGGCCGGAAGAAGGGATGGCTGGCTGCCAGAGTCGTTTCAATTAAATCCCTGTTTTTTCATCCGGTCGACGCGAAACGCGCGAGACCCCCTCGCGGTCAAAGTCTAAACCTAGTAAGTCGTTGAAACATCAGCGTCCCCAAAAAATTAGGTATATACCTGCTATGACAACGTACCGTTTCTATTTGTAATTTTGCGGACCCAGATGCGCATAATGCGTCATACGCTTCTCAGCGAGCGATTTTAGATGTGTAAACAATTCTTAGTAAAAACTGCATAGAACATGTTAATCAATCGCCTGAATTTGGCGGGCCATGTCCGACAATTGAATAATTTCGAGCCATTGGCCATTGAAGATAGGGATGTAAATTGGTCGAATGCTGCGAACAGCGCATCGAATGTGGACTGCTGACGGAGGTTGGATGGAATCCCCAATGATGGAGATGCGAAGCAGTGAGCATTCTAGACACCCAAGGCCTCGAGCCCTGTTCGACCGATGGCCGTGCTTCCCATTTCATTGAGTATCCCGACCAGACATGACGCAAACGGACATACATTTCCACATTTGGCCTTTTGGGATGGTAAAGCACACAAGCATGGTATTCTGACGCCCCTCATAAATTAAACCTTCGCAAAAGATTTTTTTTTTAAACTCTGGCTGGCATACACGATGCTTCAAGTCACACATATGATATATGTTGACGTCAACGTATTTGTAAAACAAGGTTCAAGGCCCTTTTGGTGAAAGTTTAATTCGCGCACATGGATCAAAGAGATCTACAAAGGCAGCATTCACATAACTCTTTCGAATGCCAGCAGCCACCTCTAATTGCGCATAACCGCACACAATCTTTTTTTTTTTTTTTTTTTTTTTGTGGTGGACGAGAGGCGTGGACAGGGTGGACGTCAGTATCCGCACGGACGACTCACCGAGTATCTGCCTGCGGGCGACCAGGTGCGGTTTGGCGAGTCTGTTGGCCCGCACCCGCTCTTCGTGCACGCGCAAGTGGTGCGCATGCAGCGGCTCTCGCAGGTGCACCTGGTAGGTGCGTCCACGCACCAGCACGTCGCCAGCGAGCCTCGGCCGCAGGCCACGATGTCTGGTCCACGAGAATGTGGACCACAGCTGCACCACACACAACAGGCAGATCGCCAGACACAGCGCCGGCGCCCATCGCCGCCAGGGAAGCCGCTTGCCCATCGTGGCCGCCGAACTGCGGCGCGGGCAGGAAACGTAATTGTTGGGCAACATGTCGGCGTCAAAGAAAAGCTTCGGCACATAGACACTTTCTATATGCTGCCTTCTGTCTCAGAGTGTAAACAATTGTTGCATTGAGTGGGCCAGCTCGTGATGCGCTGGTGCCACTGATCTCTATTGCAGTAGGCTGAATCGCGGTGGGAGAAACACGCAAAAGTTGGAATATTGGAGCTTCTACGCGGTGCTCAAAGGCGAGTATTTTATGATGTGCTGCGATCATAATATCGGCTGTTTGGAGATCGAATCGGTATTTGTCGAGCGTTCGAACGTCCATTAATATATCAAACGTGCCGGAGCGCCCACGGCTGAGCTGGCAAGCTTGCTCTCGTCGTGGAGTAAACAAAGAAACTTGCCGTCATTAAGACCGTCCTCGGGGAAGCCCAGAAGTTGATGAATGTCGAACGAGTTCCACGTTAACAGCGGCTTTCCGGGAGTGAGCGAATTCCGCGTAGCAAAGTCTTCAAGCTTGTCGTCTGCTCAACCCAACTCATCGAAACCGCCACCTCTTATCTGACTGAGCTGCACTACATGTTTCGCCCAGCGGAGTCACTCTCGACCACAAAACATTTATTTATTAACTGTGAGGGTGTCAGTTTTAATGTTTGTTCGCAAGCTATTTGGCAGGCTTCCTAAAAAGCAGCCAAAATGTTTCAGTGCCGGCAACAACTTAGAAACGGGGAAACGGCACTTTTTCCTCGTTTTTCCCATAGAGTCCCTTGCATTGAATGATGTCAAGTGATGGCTCCCGGTGGTGCCACTCGACACCAGGAAGACAAGTCTAGATCCGCGATCCAGCCTACTACAATATATGTAGGTTAGTGGATGGTGCACTCAGCGCGTGACTTGTGAAGTAAAATTGGCGTCCAAGCCTTAGCCAAGGCTACGCGCTCGAGCTGAGTGACAGCGGTTGGCGTGCACTTCAAAATACATAAGAAATAAAACGATTGGGCGGGAAAATGGCTGACATGTCACAACTCAAGTAAAGCGTGTGTTTTGTATGAAGTTACTCTAACCCTTTCAGAAGTCCCGGTGCCACGGTCATTTTTGCAGCACATTTCGGCGGGCGCGAAACGCGCGAACTCCCCGTTTCAAAAAGTCGCGTCTTTGCCACTGGGTGGCGTGACCGTCGCCTCCGCCGGGAGCTCCCAATAGGGAGTTTTAGCAGATGCTTCCGATATCTCCGATAACGATACTCGATGCCAGAGAGGTTTAGTAGATCGTTGCAATACCCCCGATAACGATACCCGATACGATGGGCGCGCAGATGCGGCGGAAGAAGTCTGGGTATCACTATCGGAGTCATCGGGACGATTTACTAAAATTCTCCATTCCGCCGGCGCCTCTGCGCGAGCATCATATCGTCATCGGGATGGTTATCGGAGTTGTCGTATCGATCTACTAAATCCCGAATCGAAGCCTACGCGGCGAGGTTAGGAAACCGTCCCATCGACTTCAAAATGAGAGCTCGGAAAAGGCAGACGTCGTGTTGTCGCAAGTTCAAACAAACATAAAAGGATAAGGAAAAACGATACGCGTTGCCCGGAGACGCTCTGTAAAGCGCCCTGCACGCCGTTCGACGAAGCCTTTGAGAACGGGCCAAAGACCCTTTCCCATCGCGGAAGCACCGGTTGTTCAAGGTCAAGAGCCACGGGACAACAGCAACGCCTGCACGTGATGTTGTTCTGTAACCCCACGACTGCTACGTTGGCACGCGGCACGCGTCGACGGCTCCTCGTCGCGTCGGCGTTCTGCATGCAGCCCGACGCAACACCAAAAGAGCCATTATTATTCAAACCGCACCATGCGGCAGTCGATCGGCGGACATTTGACCTTCGATCAAACACACTTGGCACGTCAAAAGCAGAACTCGCAAACCAGTTGCCGCTAATGACGCGGGGCTATAGCGGTAGAATCGAATGCATTTGCCGAAGGAGTCCTTGCGCTTGGCGCAGCGACGCCCTCAGAGCACCGGCTAGCGACGATTAGTCAGAGATTTTCGCAGAACGTGCATTGCGGGCCTTGCGGGCGTGTATAGTCAGTCGGTGTCCGAAGTGACGGCACGAGCTCCGTAGTTTTTGGCTTTTAATAAAGTTGTTCTCCTCCTCCTCCCCCTCTAATCCGTTCGCCCCTAAGCTCGCAGTGTGGCAGAAGCTACGCACTAGCTGGACCAATCGGGCGTCTATAGTTTTCGCCACGTGATCACACTCCAGTGGCGTAGCCAGGAAGGAGACTTATAGAGCTTCAGCCCCAACCCCCTTTCGCCGATCAAAATTCCTGACTACACCACTAAATCAGCTTACGGATGAACGTAGTAGAGCAACGCCAAGTACTTCCTACGAAAAAGCCCATTATAACACTTAGCACCCTCATTAGGGCGATCTCCAGACCGATCAACGGTTCGGTGCCCGGTCGTTATACGATCTTGGAGACCGTCGGCGAGGTTGTCCTCGGAGAGAAAAGAAATTATTCCCGTTCCAAGGTACATTAGCGATCGGGAAACCGGGCCCCGGACAAAGGGAACTCAGCTTCGGCGCGAATGTTGTCTGTCAGGCCCCGCCACAAACCAGAATAGAAGCACGCAACGATGCTATGGTTTGTTGTTTCTCTCCCTGAGCATGTCATGGCAGAAAGAGTTGCGGCAGTCCGGCGGTGCGCTTAGCCGAGAAGAATTGACGAGGATGCCAAGAAGGTACCTGAACGAAACGCAGCCAAAAGAACCACCGCAGGGCGAGCCATGTACGAATCTCAGAAGGCGAGTGTCGCTATATACCATGTAGTGTTTATAGAACGCTACGTTAGTGAGCCTCATTGGACGTTCGGTGTTTTCGCAGTAGATGAGAAGTATTGCCAGTGCAATACACTCCGCAGGCCGCACGCACGGACGATGCTCATCCCCATCCTAACGGACAGGGGTCGGAGGAACAAGCTCCTGATCCATATGTAAAGCGCAAGCTCGTCTGCTTCTTTTGCAGGTGTTGTGGTGACGTCAGAAAGGTGTCGAGCTCCGATTGGCTCTGATTGAAGGATAGTGGGTAGACCTGAAAGGCAAGCTGCCTGGAGGTCTGCTCTCTATCCTTCAATCAGAGCCAATCAGAGCGTGCCGTCGTTCTGGCGTTATCACAACCCCTGCAAAAAGAAGCAGACGCGAACTTGCTCTCCGGATAGGTTCTGCAGCGCGAGCTTTTGTTCCGCGCGTGCTCGGAGCCCCCAGATACAATTAACGAGGATAAGAGAACGATATCTAATGAGGGAGGGGGGGGGGGGGGGGGGGGGAAGCAACTGAAAGAACTGACTGTAGGGGGACAGCCACATTTGAGGCTATATTAGGCCGTTATCAACATTAATCAACTACACTTTTTGTTTATCTTTTGGGCTTGCAGAGGCAGGCAGCCAATGGACAAACAACTCTCTCTCTTCTGCGGTGGTGTGGGGGGTCCTAGAAAATCACGTGACACTCGTAAGTCGCACTGGGAACAAGCGGCTGCGCCACCACCGGCTCATAACGCTATTGAATCAAAATTAACTGTTGGGCTAGTTGGCTACACATTGTATAAAAATTCAAAAGCGCAAACACCAAGGAAAAGAAAAGGGGACAGGACAGAGCGCTCTGTCCTCTCCCGTCTTCTTTTCCTTGGTGTTTGCGCTTTTGAATTTTCATAAAGCTATAGCTGTCAAAGCGACAAATGCTTTGCACGAGGGCTCGCGCATGCTTCCGTCCGACTGCGCCAATGATTGCTATCTTAACGAAGCATCTTTGCGGCTGACATACGTACTCCACCCGTTAGGCTCTATATATATGGTCATCATGTAGACCATTCCTGAAACGGCTCTCTGACAGCGCGGTGTCATTTTCAGCGTTCGTGCGTTGATTGGCTCACTCTCCGAAGCGACGACAATGCGCGTGCTATAGGCTGTGGATTCGTAGACAGTGGAACCGCGTACCGATAATAGAGAGTTCTAGGGAACCGTTTCTGCACAACCGTTACTGTATGGCGAACCCTCCGGTGTACGAACTATACGCATCCGCTACCGCAGAAGACTCCCACATGCATGCGCAGTTCATATACCGGAGTAAACCACTGCCTGACACCGCACCTTTGCCACAGTCACCCCTTCCCCGACATCACCGGCCGAGTGCATGCATCATGCACGGCCTTCCAGTTGTTCCTGAGCGTCGCGACCAGACGGTCTCCTCGACGCTAATGGTTCTTCGGGAGGGGCAGCACCGTGCTCCGGGGCACAGAGATCGTCGGGAACGCTTTCCACGGCTGCACTCGCCCGTAATTGCCGCGCCCTCGCGACTTCGTGGAAGCGGAGCTGCTCGTGCACGTCGAAAAGGGTTGGCTCGGGGCAAGGCGACGACGTGAGGAACGTCCGCCTCTCGGAGTTCAGAGGTCTCTCCATACGTTCTGGCGCACGGGCGGGATTAGGTTTCTATATAAACTATAGGAAATACTCGATCAATCAACCCGAATGAGTACTGTATATGTAAATGCAAAACTTTAAAGTAGAGCAAACAAAAAGAAATAACTTAAGGTAGATGAATACATGCATATGCCATATACTATATCTTTAAACTCAATGTGTTGCTAATTATAAAACATTACGAAATAATTGTGACGCAGAAAACTCACCGGACATAAATCAAAGCGCGTACGAAGTTTGACATGTTCACAGAGGCAGAAGGCTTATAAGGATACTATAGGTCTGATAATATGCAATAGTTAGGACGCAGGACACTGTCGTATACTCTCATACGTGATAGCGCGAAGGAATTTTAACATAGTTACACGGACACGAAACAGGGGACTATCAATCGCGATGCTGCTGATAACAATGTACAACAAATAATAAGACGAGAGAACGAGCGATTTGATATGGCTTTCTTTTGATGCAGTTTTCTCTCATTCTTTCTGGTACCTTCGCTTACGGCTTTGGTGCGCGCCTCGGCGCCGTTCGCTTTACGCGCACTCATCTTTTGCTGTTAGGAGCAGTGGGCCGGGCGACACTGATCTTACGCCCCTGATGGTGCGAATCAGCTTGTACCGGGACCAACACCCTAGGCGTGCTACACCAAAAGCCTCCTCGGAATGTTGCGGTAACACGTCGTTGAGGGGTTAGACTTTACACCATTCGGCTGAGAATCAGTTTCTCTCGGGATAACAGCCTATCGGTGTTAAAACAACACTCTCTTTGGCGTGTTGCGGCAACGCGTACTTGAGATATTAGATTTTACATCAATCAAGGTGAGAATCAGAATCAGCTATTAGATTTTACATCATTAAGGAGGTTACGACAACACCACCCTTGGGGTGCTGCAGTTACAACTTAAGGGTGTTAGCTGTGGGACAAGCGGATCTGCACCCTCAAAGGTGTGAAACATTCTAGTGTGCAGGGCCGGCCTGCCGTTTGCAGAGTCCGGAGCATCGGGTGCTGCAGTACACCCAGGGCTAACACTCTTACTCGGAGTTACATTCGATCATTCCTAAAGGTGTATTATTCCAAATGAGGGTGCTGGAACGTTGTAGCCATGACAGTGCAGCCATCGGTGTATGCCAGTAAAACACCCTATCCACACTCTTAAGGGTGTAAATATTTTTGTTGAGCACGCCGCGCAATGGATCGAAGCTCGGACGCCAGCTCTTGGTGAGCGGAAATTCGTACAGCGGTCATGGATGGTCCTCGGCCGAAACGAAGCGCGGATTTAGAGATGTCAAGCGAAGCGCTATCTCTTTTTCTTTCTTGTTTTTTACGACCCCGTGGCGCCATCCTGTGTATTTGTTTTGGGGGCCGTCAGCTACCGCACCCCCCCCCCCCCCCCCCCCCCCCCCCCCGAAAAAAATGCCTGGCTACTGGCCGCCTGCTTGACAACGTCGAACAGTAAAGAGTCAGAAAGATAGTTCTGACTCTTAGCAAAACTTTGATCGACAGTCCCCCCCCCCCCCCCCCCTTACACACACACACACACCAAAAAAAAAATGCATTACCATAAAAAAAATCGTAAGGGTGCAGGCGAGCTGGTGAATATTCACCATGTTGAATTAACCTGAGACTTGGGTTGAGAAGCAACATCAAAACGTAGAAGGGACAGTTTAGTTTTGCCCAAACGTAGCTCTAGCCGCTTAAACCAGATGTCAAAGTTTCAGAACAAACCATTATCTTATTCAAAGAGTTACCAACTATTTTCAGAAATCTTCAATGGGTAAATAGTGTAGCCATTGAAATACTGAATGGCTCAGACCATTTCGGAAACGGACCCCAAAATTCCGTTAAAAGTTTCAGAGAAAACGAAATTCACATAACTTTTGAATAACATAACATTGAAAACTCCGTAACTTTGGCATCTGTTCCGGACCACTGGGGCTACATCTGGGCGGACACTCGGCGCTCGGCAATGCGTCGTTTATACTTATTGTAAACGACTTATTTTTCGCGGACTCAATACTTCGCGATTTAGGACAAAGCTGAAGTTCTGGAATTATTCGCGGGTTCTAATTTTCGCGATTTGGTGGGATCTCAATATAGATTCCAATGTGTTTACATTTTTCCGGAATTGTTTGCGGGACCTATTTTTCGCGAATTGTAGGCGATACGCAATATTCGCGAAAATTAAGTCTTTTACAGTATATTGCGTGTGTGTGTGTGTGGGGGGGGGGGGGGGGGGGGGGGGCAGACGTGGTAATTGCGAGCAAGATGCAAGGAAGAGGAAGTTGGGCGTAAGCGCGCGATCCGCCTGCAACGGGAGCGCGTGTCGGGGATTCGAGTGCGGCGTTTGTGCGCAATGAAATACAACCGCATTGACAACGAGCCGCAAAAGGAATTGCAAATAAACTAAAAAAAAAGCTTACCATTTTTTTCTCTCTTACGAGATGAGATCAGTGACGAGGGAGGCGGTATCACCGCTCATTGCGTACAACTAGCAAGGTGCTCACAGAACACAAGAAAAAATGGCCGCAGAAACCACTATTGTGGGTTGTCTATGAATTGCGATAGCATTCGTCGTGAGACTCAGCTGACTGTTAATACGACGACAAACATTTTTAGTAAACACTTTTTGTGTGTGTGTGTGTGAATTCAATTTTCCCGCCAAAGTTAACGGGGGAAACTGAATTGGTGCATGGGTCGTGACGCTAATTTTTCTGCTAAATTTAGCGGGGAAACTGAATCGGTGCATAGGTCACGTGAGGTAAATATTTCCGCTAAAGTTAGTGGGGAACCCGAACTGGTGTATGGGTCACGTGACGAAACTTTTTCCGCTAAATTTAGCGGGGAACCTGCATTTGTCTTCAGGTCCCGTGACGTCAGGTCACTTGACACCAATTTTCCCGCCAAATTTAGCGGGGAAACTGAAAAGGAGAAGGCCAAAAAGGTCCGCGAAACCGGGGGGGAGGGGGGGGGGGGGGAAGGGAAGGGAAGCTAAAGAATGTTATCGCATTAAAAAATATATTCTTTATAGAAAAATATCACGCCGCGGTATCAGTAACTTGACGGAGGCTTATGTAGAGAAGGCGCGCCGAACTGGGATTTTTGGTTTCACGTAAAAATATTTCCAGGTGATCTAAATTATTCCAAGTCCCCCGTTGGGACAAGGCCCTTCATTAGCCTGGCACGCATTAACATTGTTACTATTATCAGTACCTGAACCTGCGGCCCGTATAGTCGCGCGCGCAAAGCGGATTAGTATGCGAAGAGTGGATCTGTGCGGATTATCGGCAAATCGGATTCGTTGGGGCTTAGCGCGCGTTTCCCCGATAACAGTACCCGATGACGACACGACGTTTGCGCAGAGGCGGCGTATCGGTTATCGTTATCGGAGTGATCTACTCAAACTTTCTGTTATCGAAGTCGTCGGAGCGGCCTTCTAAATCTCCCTGCCCCCCGCGCGAGAAACGAACCGGGCGGCGTAGAAGCCGACCGGCACGTGCTCAACAGAGCCGCAGAAAGGCACTCACCTTGAATGGTTCAAGACAGCTGTCTGAGCGCCGCGGTCAACCTCGCTCGGGGAGAGAACGGATCAGAGAGCTGCCACTCGTCTAGTTTTCTTTTGGCGCGGCGCACGAGCCAACGGCTGCTGCCATTGGCCGGCGGGAGCCGTGACGTCACAGCCCCAACTGCTACTGCTCGCGGCGAGGCTGACGCAAGGGAGTCCCTCGGTTTCGTTTGACGGCTCCTCGCCGCCGCCGCCGCCGCCGGTGCGCCCCCCGAGGGTCTTGCTTCATGACACGATGAACCACAATCGGACGTTACGATGCAATCCAGCGTTGGGAACGTGTCACGTGACCAGGTGCCCCGCGTGCCGCTGTGCCCCTCTCAAAGGTCGTGCGAGACTTAGCAGCACTAAATCAGATTCGATGCCCCCCCCCCCCCCCCCCTTTAAAGGGATATCCACACTCCTCACGGAAGACAGAACGGTAACCGGACAAAAAGGCTCACCGGACAAATGCTAACCGGACAAAAGCTCTCCGGAGAAACGTCCAACCGTCTTTTTTGACCCGCACAGAACACGACCGGTTCTAACCTAACCTAACCAAACCAAACCTGACCTAACCTAACCTAACCAAACCAAACCAAACCTAACCTAACCCCTGAACCCGCTTTGCCGCTAATCCGCTTCGCATTGCATTGCCACGAAATCGAGCTTGAAAAACGTCGGAGAGAATCGTGTTCAACTCTCGGTGTTGAAACGATTCATTTATGTTATACTTCCGGGTCGGTGGTTTCCTATTTCCCACTCCAGATACCTATAAGGCCGACGATATTAATAGAAATGTGGAGACAGTGTTTCCTGTTTCTGTCTTTCCGTCTCCAGTCAGATCTCTGGCAAAGCAGCGAGTTCAGACTTTGGATCGACGTCCGAAGAGTCCGCCCGAACCGCAAACAACGGCAGTGACAAGGCTAGTATAGTAGTATCATCCACTCCTACAACACACTAGGAAGAATTGCCTTAACAGGTAGTATTTGCATTATTTGCATTATTTGTTGTGTTATTTGCTGACATTAAAGTCGAAAGAGTTCAATATGAGAAATACGAAAGGTTCAAAAGACGATCAGTGCATTCTTCACGAAAACACCGAAGCCAGCTTCTTCTACCGGAGAGATATGATGCAAATAAAGCACAGTAACGTACGCAAATATTCATTGAAAAAAAAAGCTAAACAAACGTAAATTAAAAAGAACGTAAAGTTAACAAAAAAAAATTCCGATGACTTATTGTGTTGTGTTATTTGTTTTCACCAAAATATACTAGTTCACATTATTTTTTCTTTTAAGTATTGTTTTTAATATTACTTAGAAATCACAGGGAAGAGATGTTGGTTCGGCAAGTTCTCCTCACATCTGACGAAGGAAGAACATTACGCTAGAAATTAGCGTCTCGCGTAAGTATTGACTCAACTACTCAACTTAAATATATGTAAGTATAATAAACGCGAAGATTTAAAATGCTCGTTTACGAAGCACCCAGCGGAAGCTCCTCCCACCCCTTTCCACTTTAGCAGAGCAAAAGCTGGAGAACATGTCACCTCCTCTCCAGTGTTCGCCCTGCCAAAGTGGAAAGGGGTGGGAGAAGCCTCCACTTCCTTCTTGACCTACTAGGACTGATTAGAACATGAGACGCAAATTATACGCATTGTTTCTTTGCATTCCTATTTTCATCTCTTTTTTTATGTTTGTGAAGTCAGGTTAGGAGGCTTTGTGCATCCCTTCATAAATAACAGAAGTTTTCAAATCGGAAAAAAAAATATCACATTGCAGGTTATTTGTGTTTATGTTTATTTGTGTTCTTTGACTTTACGGGTCCATGACTTAATTAATGCACACACGGAACGTTGTTAATGAAGGCGAAGCAATTCCCAAATTCTTGGATATTCGCGCCTTGTGTTCCCTCTCGGCAGCTCAAAAGGCACTAAAAACTTAGTTGCAGCCAAACAACATGCATAGCTTTTTTCCGCATTTTCCAGTCAAAATTGTACAGATACAGAAACGTAGACGAATTTTATTCCTATACCCCACACGTTGTTTTGCATTGGGTCCTATGAAACACCTTGGCACAACCTCGAATTTCTGCCCCACCGTAATTAGCGAGGACTCTAATAGCGCCGGAATCATAGCACGCATCTAAATTAAAATTTATATATATATATTCGTAAGTACTTTTTTATTTCTCGGGTACGTTTTTTTTTTTTTTTTTTGTTGACGCCAATACCGGTAGCCCCTGTAAAGATGTCATTCCCGCGTACACCGACGCACTGCGGGCAAACAACCTTCACAAACGCCAACCTTTTCGGCCGAAGCATCCGAAGAGGTGAGCGTTAAAGGGGTCATGAAACGATTTTTCTACTTCTTCCTCCTTAGCTTTAATCCTCAACTCAAATGCGAATTGTGAAATCACGTGGTCGTGACATTCCTTCGGCACCGGTGCGATGACTCCTAGCTTCCACCGTGCTTTTTATGCACACCATAGAACTTGTCATTCCCCAGTGACAATAAGTTCCGTCGGGCACTCATTGGCCACGAACGCGAATTCAAATATTCGTCGACGGATTGATTGTTGACGAGCGCATACGTCCGAGTGACGCAGTTCTCGTGTCCAATGCATCAGCTGGGCTCTGCTGACGTCAGTTTGGCGCCGGTGACGCGCTTTTGGAACCGCGGATGTATCATAGTAAAAAGGCGGAGAGCTTTCGAAGGCAAGAAGGTACAAAATAGTCCGCTATATGTTCAAATGTTCGTACCGAAAAGCTGGCTTTTGACTTTCTAGCCTCTTTCTTTTGGCCAACTAAACGATATGCGATAGTAAAGTCCCAATTTAAAATTATTCATCCCAACCCAAAATTCGTTTCATGACCCCTTTAAGCTCTTCTGCTGTCAAAAAAACAAATTTTTTTTTTCGTTTCTTTTTTTTTTCTAGTTGACCTTTTTGGTTTTTGTGACAGAAATCGAAATACCTCAAAAATACGTTTTTGTTGTTTTTATTTTAGATTAAAATTTATATTAGATGCATTGAAAGAAACAAAGACCTCGCGGCCTAATGTCGTTTACCAGGAAAACTATGGACTTTTACGCATTGGTACTGAGGATCGGAGCTTAATCGCACACATGACCAATACCTCACTTTATTTTAACGCTCCCTCGCCCGTACTAAAAACGTTTCATTTTTTTTTTTTTTTTTCTTTTTCATCAATTTGCGCGAGTATAAACAGTGTAGGCTAGGTGGCGCAAGCTGCCACCCAACACAGCGGGTGAAGCAATACACAGATAGACACACTATCTATCCATTTATATTCACGATTTTCGCGAATCTTCTCATTTCAACAACGTGTTCAATGAATGGGGTTGTATAGTCGAACCTGTATCCCTGTGGCTCCGTAGCCAGCAGTGGATAGTTAAAGGTGCAACTCACGGTGAAAAGACTTGCGTCACTTCGATCTTTCACCGGCGTTTCCTCAGTCCTGAGACTTCCCGCAGCGCGTAGTGCGCTGCGAGATGCGTTAGCTGCCAACTTCGCGCATTCAACAGCGTACCCCAACCTAGCGACCTCGCTCCCCAAACACACAGCAAGGTACGTAGTAATGACCTATGCGGTAGTTTACACTTTTTGTTTTCACGGGAACTGATTTGTGGCCATACACGGGGGCCGTTTGAAGTACGGCCCGCCGAGTTCAGCACTTGTCGATCGGCCGTCAGCTGTGCAGGTCGCCAACAGCATACCGTCGACGTTTGAAACGTATGCACAACAAACAAGGAAAAAGCAAACTAACAATAAAACCGATCAACAGTTCATCTTAAGATGACTGGAACGCTAGAGCCTATGTGGGCACTAGGACGCATTGGAGAAGAACGAATGGATGGATACATGCAGCTGAACCCGTTTGAATCGGGGGGCGGCTTGCACGACCTAGTCATTGTTTCTAAAACCAACAATGAAACGTCTACCAAATACACAAACGAAGGCAAGCGGGGATACATCCGACAATGACACGTGCCATCTGCTTTTGCAGGCCATGTCGTACATGCTCCAGCACCTCCACAATGGCTGGCAGGTGGACCAGGCCATCCTGTCAGAGGAGGACCGGGTGGTGGTGATCCGCTTCGGCCACGACTGGGACCCCACCTGCATGAAGATGGACGAGGTCCTGTACAGCATTGTCGAGAAGGTCTGCTGCCTTTCTCCTTCGCTCATGTGGAAGCTTCGACTCCTTTGCCTTGGTAGCTTCGAGGCAAAGTGCCGGCCTACGAATAGTTCCAGTCCTGGCCCAGGCGCCCGCAGTATGACGGAGGTTCATTGCAGAGAAGGCGCCCTGTAGTGGAGATTTCGGTTGCACCTCGAAAGAACTCCAGTTAGTCTGAACTTATTGGCAGACCTATGCTGGAGCATGTCAGATCCCCTTCGCTGGTTTAGCAAATCAAAACCCAGCATTTGCTTTTCGGTGCACGCTCAACGCTCGTAGCTACGATCACAGGGACAATTTGTCAATCACATGATGTCACTTGATGAAAATAAGCAGTGCTCATTTGTCACATTCAAGGAGGCTTGAGCCCATCGTGTATGGACTGGGCTGCACACTTATTTGGCTTTCCCGTCAGCTTCTCGGGGAGAAAGTTTTTAATCTGGCAGTGAAGCGGAGGCTCCGCTTGAGAAATATTTCTTCTCGAGACGCTATAAACTTGTAACTAAGCCCAGAAGGTCAGCGAGACCCCTTTACCGTCTAAACCGAGTGTAGAAGCGGTGCACAATGGATCGCTGCTCCCACACTGAAACAGTGCACAACACACAAGTGCTGACTTGCTACTCAATTTATGCACAAAAAGAGGAAACCGTGCTGACAGTCAGGCAGTCCAGAGTGTCACTCGCCACAGAACACCATCTAGCTAAGGTGTCTTTGGCTTACCTAAACACGAGGTTTCTGTTTGAAGCAATGTCACTGATGGGTGGAAAATGCAGCAATCCCCCAAGCTATTAACACAATGTGCTTCCAAAATTTTGAGTCATCTTGTCTCGATAATGCCCAATTATTGTAGTGCCATTAAAGGAGCACTGACACCCCAAAGGTCGTATTATTTTTTATTGTATAAAATGATGCAAGTTATAGTAATAGATACGCAAAAAAAAACGCATTGCAAAAAAATATTTCCGCGCGCGCGCGCCTTTTTATTTTTAGCATTTATATTTCCCACGCTCACCTCCTTGCTTCTTTTGATCGGTGACGTCAAAAATCAGGAAATTTAGAAGCTTTGTAGGCGACATTTCTATAACATTTAATAACGGCAATCGTAAAACATGTTTTTTAACGCAATTGCAAACGCACTACGGCCCCCCTTTTTGAAATACCAAAAATCGGATTTCGTTGTGATGTCGCCTCCTGGATTTGTATCCTCCCTCGGAAAACTTGGCGGCGCTCCACCAGAGGCTTGTCGGGGAAGAAACCGGTTGTTTCCCGCGCTGGCGCCATTCTATCCTGCCTGCTCGTCTACTCCTCGCTTCGGGTCGCGGTAGCAACGGCGGAGGTCCCAAAGAAAGTCGAGTCGCAGGAGACCGCAAAATTTGACTCACTGCACTGGCACAGATCACGCGGGAACTTCAAATTTGGCATTTGGAAATTGTTTTTTTAATTCAGAAATACTGAATTCCAAAGTTTCGAATTTTGAGGCTAATGTCCCGGCATCGTTTTCAATCGTTTCGGATATTTAAAAAAAAAAATATGATTTTGATGTGTCAGTGCCTATTGAGGATTCGAGAACATGAGTAGGATATTGCAACGTGCGGGGAGGAGATGACTACCCACCGTAGATTTCAGTGAAGAATCATGCTCGAGAAAACAGGCATTCAGGCACCGGCTAGTTTGGCCCATCTAGCTTCTACCACACGTGGGTGGCTATGGCGGTTCTGCCAGACTTTCAGCACATTTTCTTCTTTCTTTTGCGTATAAATTCAGTTGAGAGTCAGCGCTTGTGTCATGCATGTTCCTTTTTTGCTGCCCTTTTTTTTTTGTGTGCTGTTCTGTTTGCCATATCTTTATACCAACACGCCCAGCTCACCACACTTCTGCACTCTACAGACCTTTTTCACAAGGGCGCCGCCACCTTGAATTGTCGTCACTTCCCGTGTGGTCGAAAACATTGTTTTGCCGTCGCCACACCAATAGAAGACATTTAGGATATAAACATAACCGTCGCACATTCCAGTTTTGCCTCCCCTCTATTTTCTTACTATTTACAGGTTGAAACGTTTCATTTTTTTCGTCGCCCACACCGGATATGTCTCTTAGGTGGCCGGGGACGAAAGTATGCTAAAAAGGTCTATAGAACTTTGCAAAAAAAGCTCTCTGGCCGCTGCCTTTTGCGACTCGGTCAGAAATTTCTGCCACCTGCCCGAGTTGTGGAAACCCGATCGATTGGCGGGGAGGCAAAAAATTACTTTTGGTTTCTAGGCTAAGTGGCGCAAGCTACCACCCGTTATAAAGAGTGCAGCCGTGAGCATATATCCATTCGTGTTTAGTTAGACTAGCTCAAATATTATTCGAGCTACACTAATTCAGCCTTCCACTCCGTAATCCGAACGTCCCGACTCGGCCCCCGTGCAGGTCAAGAACTTTGCCGCCATCTACCTGGTGGACATCTCGGAGGTGCCGGACTTCAACAAGATGTACGAACTGTACGACCCGTGCACGGTCATGTTCTTCTTCCGCAACAAGCACATCATGATCGACCTGGGCACGGGCAACAACAACAAGATCAACTGGGCCCTGGAGGACAAGCAGGAGATGGTGGACATCGTAGAGACCGTGTACAGGGGGGCACGCAAGGGCCGAGGTCTGGTCGTCTCCCCCAAGGACTACTCGACAAAGTACCGCTACTGAGGCGGCGCCGGGTGGAACCTTTTTATTGCCTGCGTCTCTTCTTGGGCCCCTTCTTCCGCTTGGCCATGGGACGGCTGCACTGGCCCATCTTTTGATCCAGGGCCTTGAGCCTGCAACAGGATGCGGCAGTTCGGCGTCGGCACGCTCCGCGGGGCACCGCGGCGGGAACGACGAAGACGTCGCTCTGACCGAGAATGCTCGTCCTCGGAGTTCCCCCGCTAGACATGTACGGGGCATGCCGCAGTCCCTCCTCCGAGTAAATGCTCGCGACAAATACGCGCAAATCTTGCCGTTTCGGTGTCTTTTATTGGTGTGCCACGCGCGGCCTGCGGAATTTGCAACTGGTGCGCTACCTGCGGCGCGTCCGATTTGTCGTCCCCAAACTTCTCCCTGACGACGTCGAAGAAGTTTTGTGCTATCGCATGATGCGATCCTACACTCTGTTGTAGGTAGGATTTTGTGTTTTCCAAGTTTATGTTATGTGAAATTAGGAGGGTGTTTTTCTAAGTATATTTTTTGCTGCGAGTTCGGGGTTTATCGCAGTACTGTCGAAACCGGTTATAACGAAATAGGGGATATAGCGAAGCGATCAGGATTTCCCATTCCCTTTTGCACTTCCTTATAACCGAAGTCGGTTATAACGAAATAGTGGATATATCGGAGTGATTCCCGACTCCCGTTGACTTCGTTATAACCGCGCTGGACAGTATGTTTTTGTTAGATTCCCAATTCTCCGAAATTCTAAGTTCAATTTCACTCCACAATGTGTTTTTTTTTTTTTTTTTTTTCGGAATAAAATAGATGTCTGGACAAAAACATACACTAAGTTTGCAAACAAATATCATCAATATCAAGAAATATTTCTGTGGCTGCATATGGCATTGGTGCCCTTGCATATGGCACCACTAACTGTCCCGAGACAAATCTTGAAAACGAGCGGTGCTCAAATAAATGTTGGTACTTTGAAATGGCCAAATCCCTGGTCGCAAAAAACATTAAGCTTCCCTCCACACACTATGGAACTCTAGGGGTTCACATCTTTCCAGTGCTATAAAAACACAACTCCTTCTCCCTCTAAAAAGCACAGCTAGTATGGTTTTAACTGAAAACTGGAATTGTTGTTTTTTGCGGAACGCGTGCCGGCCGGAGCAAATTCCTCGAAGCGACGGAGACTTGTGACGGCCCTTACCGTCTCTTGTGGCTGTCGACGGCCCGGCCCTCCTTGACGGCCTCGTCCAAGCGGTCTGCCAGGAACTGCTGACCGCTGTCCAGGCTGGTCACGGTCACCGTGTGGTCAGCCATGTCGTAGGTCACGGGCTCGCCGTCGTCCTCGCTGCCTGCGTCCACGGACACGCGTTTGAGTGCTCGCGCGACCCATCCATGCAGCCTCGAAGGAGGACCCAAATCAGAAAAGGCCGGTTTCACATTTGCGTTTGCCTAACCCACTTATGACGAGAGAAGACGCTCGTGCCACCTGGCAGGTCTCCCCCCAAAACACGCTAGATGTGCGCGTGGCCTCCGAGATTTTTGGCGCGCAAGGCTCATCTGCGGCCCTCCCGAATGCTCGGCAAAAGGAGCAAGCAGTGGAGCTCCTCCGGAGCTCCGCGATGTGGGGCGAGTTTGAGCCACGCCGACGTCGCAGCAAAAAGCGGCGTGGAAAAACGAAACAAATAAACCGTGCCAAAGCTAGGGCACGAGCAGCGTGACATTTGAACTCTAGTCTAAATCACTGGCACGCCCCGGCTTATCTTAATCTACCTCTTTTTCCGGTTTTAAGAGCAACCCTAGGATTTCGAAGTGCCGCTTTCTCAGAAAATGAATGGGTGTTGTGATGAGAAGCAAGGAGTATAGTTCCCACAAATGAGCACAATTTCACTGCCCACCTGGCAAACATACTACTCCTTGCATCCCAGCAAGCCCAAGCAACGCAAGCAAGTGAGCAGGCTTGATATATTAAACTAGCGGCTCGCAGCTATTTCCGCAGTACGACGGCGTCGGGCATGCTGACTACTACACCACACAGCCTCTCGTACGCTGAAAAACCTTCAGCCTAGTTACATGCAGTTCGCGGGCTGCCTAACAGACGGTGCCTGAGTGTTGCGCTTTGCACTTGAGCATGTTGCACTTGAGCTTAACGCAAATTGGTGAGCCAGTCTTTATAGACCGGAAAATATGGTAGTCATATCTACTGGTTCCCACACTCGACGAATCGAATTCTCGTCTCGTTGGCCCGTCAGTTGAGGGGCACAAAGGAATCTGCAGAGGGGGCACGGCCTAGTCACTGGATTCCAGAAAAGCAGTGCCAAGCTCCTAGTTTGGTCACCATTTTGGTCCACTGAATGAGCAGCTTTTCTCTAACCTCTCCATTGCTGGTGAGCGGATCCAAATTCACGGTAACAGATTTATAGATACATTTCTTGTATACCGAAACTTTGTTGTCCACACGCCGGCGAAACGAATGCGTACCGCATTGCCATTGTGTGCACCGTCTGCTTGGCGGCACTAAAAAATAGTTTTCCAGTCTTCAAAAAAAAAAAAATAATTGTGAGAGATCTGTGGAAATAAGCATGACTGACAAGTTGATTACGTACATGGTGCCAAAAACGCTTATTTTGGCGAGGGGCACTTTCAGCGTGCTGATGCTCCACATCCATTTTGGCGCGGCTGGTTCAGAACGACCCTTTCGAAGGTTTGAAAGGACTGAAATTGCGATTGCCATGGCAAGAGACTGATCAGCCAATCGCCCAGCGAGGGTTTGTTTGTCCGCATGTTAGTATCCGTCTGCGTGCTGCTAGCAGGCAGGGAGGGCAACGGTGCTACTTTCCCGGGATGCAGCGACTTCGAAACAGCCGACAACGCCGAGGCATTGGAGCTCAGATCCCACGGGCCGTGGGCTCGGATGGAGAGGAGGGACTCACATGGGAGGGGTCTGTCCTCCAGGAGTTTCTGCAGGACCTCCCGCTTCTGCAAGGACAAGGCTAGTGACAATGGTGGACATACATTTTAGAGCGCAGCTCTTAGGGGCCCGTTTCCGGCTTGAGCGACGTCGCCGTCGGCGTAACCGCGCGGTGCATCATGGGAAATGTCCCATAATGCACCGCGCGAGCCCCCCACCGGGGTCACGTGACTTCGTGGGGGGGCACGTGACCCCCCCCCGAGGTCACGTGACTCCCCTGAGGTCACGTGACCCCCGCCGATGTCGCGTGACCCCCCGATGACGTCATCGACACTGATGACGTCACCGTCATCCACATCGTCATCATCACTGATGACGTCATCATCAGTGATGATGACGATGCGGATGCCGGTGACGTCATCAGTGATGATGACGATGTGGATGCCGGTGACGTCATCAGTGATGATGACGATGACGATGTGGATGCCGGTGACGTCATCAGTGATGATGACGATGCGGATGCCGGTGACGTCATCAGTGATGATGACGATGTGGATGCCGGTGACGTCATCAGTGATGATGACGATGTGGATGCCGGTGACGTCATCAGTGATGATGACGATGTGGATGCCGGTGACGTTACCGACATCCGCATCGTCATCGTCATCATCACTGATGACGTCATCAGTGACGTCACTGATGTCGTCACCGGCATCCGCATCGTCATCATCACTGATGACGTCGTCAGCGACGTCACTGATGACGTCACCGACATTCGCATCGTCATCATCACTGGTGAAGTCATCAGTGACGTCACTAATGACGTCATTGGTACCCGCATCGTCATCGTCACTGATGACATCATCAGTGACGTCAGTGATGACATCATCGGCATTGGGGGTCACGTGACCCTCAAGGTCACGTGACCCCCCCCTGGTTAGTCTAACCCCCCCCCCCAGCACCCTTCCCTCCTCCTCCTCAAGAGCTGCGCTCTAATTCGGCGTTACAGGGAGTTGTAAGCGGCTTTCACTTTTGTTACAGATAAATAGAGCTACTAGGGATTTTCGTAGACCATGTATTAGCATGTCTACTGTTATTTAAGTTTAAAGATTACGAAACTGTACGGGCTAAGAATAAAGCACATGGGTTTTTTTTATGGCCAAGCGCACCGCAAGGTTCTTTTCTCGTGAAACTAGAGAAAAAACACTTTGACCCAGTGAAGCATTTACCTTGACAGAAGTAAGCTATGTTAGACAACCACACCACTACCATTCTGCCGTTCGCATCCTGTAGAAAGTCGCGTACCGCCGCCGATTCGCCATTTCCCACGTGGTCCGTCAACAAACCTAGTCCAGCCTGGTTCTTTCACGGGAGCAGGATTCCGCTCCCCGTTTATTGGTACAATAAAACAACGCTACAAAACACTCAATCTAAACTACAAATACACGCGGCATTACACAAATATTTACAAATGCACGTTAAGCCAAAAGCTAAACACAAAGAAGGCCCCCAGGCCTCGTGTCCCGCGATATCCTAGATCCGGTCGCCACCCACCTGCCTGCGTCCCGGTCTCGTCCGAAGTTCTAAGAGGCTCTCCGCCCTCTGTCTACCGAGTATATCCATCGATAGGCGAGGAGCTTTCTCCTCGCCCACCACGGGGCGCCTGCAGCGCCATTCGGTGGCTAGGAGAAAAAGCGGCACGTCAAGAGCCGAATTTGAGATCCCGATACACCCCCCGGCAACACGACCATGCGATCGTGTCTGAGGCGAGGCAGCCACATAGCTGCCTTGTGGCCAAGATCAGCAGAATGGTTTGATGGGCGCCCTCGCGAATGCACGGTGCGTCAATCCGTAAGTAACAAACCAGATTTGTAATCGCTCGGGTCAAAATTTTAAAGGCACACGTCTACAAATCTTCTCTTATATTTGCAAAAAAGATAGCAACACACAGGGTGAACCGCAAGTGAGTGATGGAGGCCTATACACGGTTCGCATGTTACGTTATAGCACCATGTTTGTGGTCATTCCTGCTCAGTCTTGCCACTTGGAAAACTGAGTTCGGTCAGGCAAAATGCACGCTGTGGAACGAACACGCTGGGCAGTAAAACCTAGGCAATGGCAGCCGATGCAAGCCATGTATTCGCCCTTTTTAGAGGGCAGCTCTTAGGTGCCCGTTTCTGGCCTGAACGCCATCGCCGCGTGTTGCATTATGGGACGTTTCCCACAATGACGTAACGAAGGTCACAAATGACGTCACGACGAAGGTCACGACCTTCACGAGTGACGTCACAAGGGAGGGGCATACCCTCCTCTCCATACCCTTCCCTCCTCCTCCTCAAGAGCTGTGCTCTAATTTGGCGTTACAGGGAGTTGTAGATATCTTTCATTTCTTCGTTTGGCAACACAGTCGGTGGTGCCGTCTGTTGGGTAGTGCAGGCATAATTCTGGTGCGTGCACATTTTCTCTTTCTTTTTTTAATCATTATTCTGCCGTAAAAGTGATCTACGACCGACGGCACTACAAGCGACCGTTTCCCAAAGGTGGCACATAGATGTGATCTCGCAGAATACTGCAAAACCTGCCGTCCGGTTCAGAATTCTCGTACTTCGAATAAATACTGCTTAGACTTATTCCTCGACATCTACAAGCTATAAAACGTGCAATAGTTCTTTCTCCGTGCAAGGGCAGTCGCAAAAACAAGAAAAAAAAGAGAGAAGCAACGTTCACTCCCTCGACTCGCAACTACAACAAGCGGCCACGTGATCTGGAGCCAATCATAAGCCACCAATGTCTATCAAAGCCACGCACTGGGGTTGATAGAGCACGGTACACATGCAGACTTGCACACACAGTTAAGGTTCGGCTATTCCCGTCATTGCAGCGACTGGGCACGTGCCACTACCCGACGAATGCACGTCGAGACATTGATTGTCACGAGCCCTTATCGAATGCTCGCGCAGTGCTCGTGTCTATTCTACGAGCTGCATTTAAACGTCGTCACCGCGGGAATCGCAAAGCATGATGACGAAATACTGGCGATGGCATGACTGACGACGCCAATGTAGCGATTTCCAACAACTTTGCCGTCAAGTTTTGCAAAGGACGTACAGAAAGAAAACGTCCCCTCTTATCCTTGAAATTATGCGGCGATAAAGAAGCTTCTTGGTCGGTGGCATTGCGTGCAAGTATACTTGGGTTCCACTAGTGCCAGTAAGCTTGTGTAAAGTGAGAAACATTCCTGACCAATATTGTTGCATGTTTCCATGTTGGTACCACCACGTCTAAACTCGCGTGTGTAAGAGTGACTACAGTGAAATCCTCTTAAAACGATAATAGGAAAGCCCGAAAATTCAATTGTTATAACCGATTATCATTGTACCTGGACTAGAAACTGATCGTTTCTACTCTAGAAACTGATCGTTATAAGCTGTACATCGTTATATGTGGATTGCACTGTACATGGCTTGCGCTGATGACACATCATCGGCCGTTCCAAAGGACCTTGCTGCATTGTGCACATATGCCTTCTGCAACCTGTATTTTATGCCACTGAATTTTTTTTTTCTTCGCCAAGACCGAGTAGGAATGACCATGGTATGCTGTAACGACATCACATGTAAGTCGAGGGGTAGTGTGCAACGGGTGGTGGTGGTGACGAACAACCGAGACGCTCGCTCCTCCATCCAACACCGTGCCAGTGGCGGGAAAGTGCCCCACCTCTGCCCTGAGTCGCCTCTTCTCTTCCTGGACCCTGGCCTTGAGCTCCTCCTGAGCCTTCTTCTGCCGTTCCTTCTTGCGCTTCTGGAAGCCCGTCAGGAAGTCCCTGAAAGGTGCAAAAGAGTTTGTCGCAATTGCATGTTTTTTATTAATATTAGAAGGATTAATTCTGATGCTTTGTACAGGTTGCCTACGATGGATCCTAGCGCTGTAAAACGAGCCGGGAAAATCGGCGCTTGCACATAGAAAGTTCAAAGTATTGTCAAACGTCCATAGAGGCAGTGCATTTTACCCAGTGAAATTTCAAGGCTAACTCCCTCTTTGTGAAAAAATAAATAAATAAAAAATGAGGTCAACAAACGTGCCTGGGTCAACGGCAGACGTGTTCGCAGACGACCGAGTCGGCGTTGGTTACAACTGGCGCCATATCCCGGAAGGCACAGTGAGCAGACGACAGAGTTCGTCGTCTGCTCGATGCACTGTCTCGTCGAAAGGAATCGAGGTACAATGTTAGGGCCGAAAATCTCGCAAAAAAATTAAGATTTATTAAAAAAAAAGATCAAGAACATTTGCACGAACACGTTATGACGTGTGGGGAAGTGACTTCGTAGCGGTGACACGGTGTTAAACTGGAGTGGCTCGCAAAAACAAGGGGAGCACACGCAACCGCAACTGCACTGCACCATAATCGCCACGATAAAGATGCTCATTATTATCATTATTATTTGCAGCTGCCTGCCGACACTTGGTACACCACACAGCGAGCACACGACATCGGCGATTTTTGACGCTTCACCACGAGAAGCTACTGGTCATCACGAACGTTTAGCGCTTCTGTTGGAGATCCAAGTAACAACGCTCTACCACACCCAGTACCTTTGATGACAGCGATTCAAGTCTAGGAAAAAAACGGTCAAAAACATCCGACCACTCGCTCGTGTGCAAACAGTTTGCTATCGCTGGAAAAACAGAAGGACGTTGCTAATGCTTTCCTTGACAGCTCACCTACGTTCGTCTTCATCGAATATCAGGTGGATCTTCTTGGGGGCCCTCCTAGCACGCTTTTTCTTCATGGCAAGTGCAAGGTGTCACATTAATCAGCGTTCTTCGTGCGATTTTCGCTGGAGAAGTCAACCGCGCTGGCTCGGCTTCTAGCTTGGCTTGGCTCGTTATTATGGCTCAGCTGGCACCTTATTTTGATTGCAGAAACGAGAATTCGCAAAGGAGGAGTAATTTATATGTTTAGGATAACTCATTTATTAAAATAAAAGCTTTATAACTTCATAAATGTTTCAGATGTTTTCATCTCACTTGGCAAAACTGGTTCCATTTTACACAATTTTTTCCACGATCGCGGTTCGAGAGTGTACGCTCAGCGGGCCAATCGTCGTCCTTGATCCGCGTATATTTGGCATTTAAAGCAAGATGGCTCTCAGTATAAATATAAGAGCGGCTATTTCCACATCGTGTGCGAGGAATAAAGGGTCGTTCGGGGTTCTGTCCACGACGCCCGTCCTCCATTCGATCTGGCCCGTGCGGCGTCCGTGCGCGAGCGGCCCAAACCCCTTTTGGCGGCTTTGGAAGTCCCCGTGCGGCCCTCCATCGGTTGCGGGGGGCCGGCATGCTGACGTGAGACAACGTACGAGACATCAACATGACCAGCAGGTAACGCAGGGGGACCCTTTGACGTGCGACCCCCGAAGTCCCCCCGAAATCCCGATCGCCGGAGGCCTGGAAAGCTCGAAGGGCCGCCGTGAGCCCCACTGGCGTGCAGGCGATCGCCGAGTGATCGTCAATAGCGCGTTCAGCGTGTCGCTTCGTTGGAATCATCGGTGTCGCTTTCCTGAGTGCTCGTGACATTTTACAAGCGGTGAAAAATCGAAGACAAAAAAAAAAGAAAGAAAAGAACAGAACAGAAGCATGCGGTCCTGGTGAAACTGCCACGAGCGAAGTCCATACACGATTCCAATGTTTACAAATCCACATCCCAGCTTGAGATCTGTACTGTTCAGCACGCTCATGTTCGGCGCTTTGCAGAGCATGTGCCATTCGCACGGATGCTAAAAAAGAAACGGCACCGACCAGAAGCACTTTTCTGGAAAGGTTTATATAGTGCGTGTTACTTTTAAGTACGAGCGTAAGAGAAGCTGCGAGAGCGATCTCTGGGCTGTCAGCGTCCCTGCAGCCGAGCACGCGCGCTCATACACAACAAGCATCGTTTAGGGCAACAAGCTCGTGCTTGTAGCTTAGGCTTCACTCACATGAAAAGTGAACTAAGCTAGAGTGATCATGCAAGTAATAAAATATGCTTGCCAAAGCGCTGGCGACGCGAAAAAGTTTCGACAATAAAGGGGTGCCGACGAAACATCATCTGGCGGTCAGTGTCCACCAAAATACGCGCCAAAAAAGTGTACTTAGGCTAGGGAAGCAGACGTCCGTGACGTATTTCGAAGACTCGGTGCTTTGGAAGTCGCCATAACTTTTCCTTACGGGGGGGAAATGGATGTACAGACAGACACTGGGGTTTCATCGGGGCTCTGGCCGCAGGTTGGACCGGCTGTTCCTGCTGCTGGACACGGGGTCTTCGCCCGTGACCCGGCGAGCGGCCGCTCTGCAGCTGGGCGAAGTGCAGCGCCTGCACCCTCATGAACTGCACCACCTCCTCGCCAAGGTGGGGCCCCCTTGCCGGAAGATCCTTTGAGCCCCTCGGACGCCGATTTAAAGACCCACGTGCTGGCTTGGTGCCTCCTATTGGGTGTTTTCATTGACTTCATGACGTCCATCACATTGTTGTTACGAGAGCATGTGCCGAGGGCGAACGTTCGAAAGATGTATTCAACACCATCAAATGGCGTAGTGCACCGTGAGGTTTCATCCCGCCGACAACTAGCTACACCAATGTCACGTGAAAACTCCCTACACTCTGTTCAGCCCCGAGTCAACGGTGTGGGGGAAGCTAAATGCTTGTTGAGCCGGTATTGCGTCCATCTTGTGGCACGTGATTGCACTCTCGCTCTTACCCAACATGTTGACGGCAGGTCCAGGCGATGAAAGGGACGTGTATGGTTGGCCCAACGATTGTATAGCTCCCACCGCACCGTCAGCTGGGGAATTAACAAATCATAGATAGAAGGCCGTAGTGCCGATTTTTGGTGTCGCCCACAAAGATCAGCGTGGGGTACAAATTGGACGCAAGTGGTCCGTTGGCGTTTGGCCGGAACTCCCGTCTGCGCCGGTTGAACACGGGCTCCACCCAAATGCCGACACAGCAGTCGTGACCGATCGGTGCCCCGTGCTGACCTCCGGTGGCTGGCTTAGAAACTCCAGCACTGTGGTCTCATCATCTAAAAAAAGTTGGCTGGCCAGGCTTTGCTTTGTTTCATCTTGAAGAGGCACTAAACTACTCTCTGCGACAGTCTATTTACAGTCGCAACTCAATCTTTGGGCTCTGAACACCCTAAGAAACCAAACATTACATTCATGCGTGGCCGATTTCTCTATTAACATCGGCATCAAAAGATTGGTTACCTCAGAATCATCGCAGACACCAGGCGGTGCCGTCACACGAGTGCCCTTCCTTGTCTCATGGCGCCATCTGGTGTCAATCTTTTGACACAGATTTTAATAAAGAAATTAGCCTTGCACGAATATAATGTTTGGTTTTTTAGGATGCTTAGAGTCCGCAGACTGAGTTACAACCGTCAATAAACTATCGCAGAAAGTGGCTTAGTGCCCCTTTGAGCTTGGGCGCTGTCAGAGCTCAGAAGGCGCACAAACACATACACACACACTCTAAACCTAAAGTTACGGTACACTTTCCACACTTGATTAGAGAAGCCGGCAGATAACCGCGCTTGAAAAGGCAGCTAACGGCACAGTGTTTTTTTTTCAGCGTGACTTCGTCGGCCCCTTGGCTCATAACGTCCGCTGTGCGTGGACCTTAGGTTTGCACATTTTGACCTTAGGACCTTAGGTTTGTGCGTTTCACTTTAGGTCCACGAGAACTTAAGTTAAAATGCACTTTAACAAAGGCTGTCCCCTGCTGAGGCCCTCAAACCATCGTTTCGTGTGGAGCAGATTGCCTTAATTGCACGTCGTCTGTGCCCCCAGGTGCGCAAGTACCTGCACAGCGCATGTTGGGACACGCGCATTGCGGGCAGCCAGGCGGTGGAAGCCATCGTCTCGCAGGTGCCCCAGTGGGACCCTCCAGCAAACGAAAAAGGCAAGCCGGTCTTGCTCCCCCCTTCCCTCTGAATCTTTTGGGAACCTGACCCTGGGGACGTCCCCCTTTGCAGGCGTTCCGGGGGGCGAGGGAACGCCGTGTCGTCTTCGCTTCGCACACTTTGACATCCGCATGGTGATGCGGCATGGGGCGGACCTGCTCGCGTCGGAGGGCAGCGAGTTCGACCTTGAGGAGGACCCTCTCGGTGGGTGGCGGGACGGGGCTGCTTGGGGTCGGTTTGAGGGATGATGCGTCCCTGGAATTCCCTTCTGGCGGCAAGGTGGGATTGTGGGGACAGCTTCGTACTGCTCGTTGTACCCCTTTTGGAGTCATAGGGCATGCATAATGAATCTAAAGGGAAAGGTCTGCCGTCTTGCGACACATCTTGGCTGCTTCGGAACTGCGGAGCATAGAGGCATACGTCGGCCTGGTTGTCAGGCCCAAATTGGTGGCGAGGCTTTATTGATTGTGAAAACGCAGCGAATTTCCACTCGCGAGGTCGGTGCTTAGTCTTTTCTGCCTTTATTTTGTGAGTAATTGCTGGCGTCATGCGTGGTTCAAAGTAAAACCAGCACTCGAACAACTTGAAGTTCTTGTGGCAGGGCTAACGCGCCTGTCCTTTCGTCTGCTTTCTTTCATCGCTCTTCTGTCACTCTCATTCTCGTTCTTTCTTTCGGGACCACCGATGTTGGTGCTTACGATTTGCCACACTCTGCTCCTGTCCTTGCGTACTGCATGCATAACCCTGTGGCACGCGCAGTGGGCCAGTCGAAGGAGATGCTGGCGCACCAGCGCCGTCTGCTGCACCAGCGCCTGGGCCTGGAGGGCGCCGAGCGCATGGGGCTCCTGGACTCCTCGGAGCTTTTCTCGGCCGAGGACCTGAGGGGGGACGGCTGCAGCCGCTCCAATGCGGATCACCCCGTCTCAGACAAGGTGTGCATTGACCCGTGGGGGTCATCCCGGGCTCTCGGGGGGGCCTTATGCCCCCCCCCCCCCCCCTTCCTCCTCCCCTAGTCTCGTTCGCTCATTCCACACAGACAAACTGTCTAATCAGCTTTGAAACAAGCGCGTTTGAGGACAGATCCGGGGGGAACTTTCAGAAGTGCCACCTGGGAAAGTCCCTCCTAGTACTTAAGTGTCTGGAACGCGTCTTTCACCGGTGTATTTGCCGGTTTATACCTCCCGTGCACCGAAAGTGATTCCAAAGTGGCGACAATTAACATTGCAGGAGTCAGCATGCCATTCAGTCAGATGTCACATTCCTGGCAGTTGATCACAGAAGTTTTGGCAAAAGGGTGAGGAATGCAAGTGTCACTGTCGTTTCCTCATCCCAACCCTTGACTGCCGAAGCTTCCTTGAACTGCCAAGCTGGAGAGTGACTTACGGTTTGACGCTGGAGGTCGCTCTATATGGAAACAACAGGCACCTACTGTCTCCATACCTGCCGCCTCGTCATGGCCAGGATCGTGGCAAGCAACAGCACGACACTGCCACGACGTCGCCGGACGGAAATTGAGGAACCACAAATGGGGACGCGATAAACACGCCAGTCGAAGACGCTTTCCGGGCGCCATTCTGGCAACGGCCGACATTTTCGAGACGCGCGGTCTACTTACCAGCAGTGAAACGAAGTGTTCATCATTATCCCTCATTGTGGGCAACCGTGCGAATGCCCTGTGCCTGCGTCTGGGTGCCTGCAAGTCACGTTTACTCTGCGGGCTGTAGAAATTGAGACGAGGCCGCTCACGTGTCTGCAGCGTGATCTTGCCGAGATGCTGGCCCAGCAGGGATCCACGGGGGCCCAGAAGCGAAGGGCTAGCGCGGCTGCGGAAGCGGGGCCTACCAAGCGCCCCGCGGGGTCCGTCAAGGAGGAGCCCCGCGAACAGGGGGAAAACTTCTGGGACGAGGTGAGTCGCACCTTATGAGTTAACATGGGTTGAGCCTCCCAGAGGAGGAACGTCTCTGCAGTTTTGAAGTAGAGGAATGATGTACTAGTCAAGACTTGGACGCGAATGCTCGACGGAGATCTGTCTGGTTGGGTGGAACAGTTGAAAAAGGAGGACGTCCGACCGAGCCATAATTGGGAACCCAACGTTTCGAGGCTTCCACGGCATCTTCTTCGGGTGGCTGCGGCGACAGCCGTTAAGGAACAGTATTTTTGTTTTCGTCTTTTCTTATGGTGCAGCATTTCTTTCCGAGTCGGTGATGAACACAATCAGCTTCCTCGGCGCTTTACAATTCGCCTTTGTCCATTGGCTTCGAGATATTGCCGACTAGAAGAGAAATGTACCGCCGTAAAAGAGGGCGACAACGAAAATACTGCTACTCAATGGTTATTGCCTCAGTCACCCCCGAGGAAGAGGCCGAGGAGGACTCGGAAAGCTAGATTCCCAGTCGGGGCCTGGCTGGACGTCCCGTTTTTTTTAGTAAATGTAGTCGAGATGCGCTCGTGAGACCGCGAGGTCCCAGGCTGTCGGTCGTCCATTCATCCATTCGCGTCACGTGATATTTGTTTACGCGCTAGTGACCAATGGGTGCCTCCAGTTTGTTGCCGCTTACAACGCTTGTTTGCCTCTTGCGACAGTTGGGATTCTGAATGCGAGGTTTCAAGCAGTACATTCGGGAGATAATTGCAACATCGTTTTGCTTTCTTGCAAATTTTTTTGGCAAGCATGAAGGTAAAAAGCACTTCTTGCTTTTCACATTAGGCACGTCGGTGAAAGCTGGTGACATTTGGCAGCATTAATTCTGCACAACAAGATGGTTTGAGGTGTTCAATCGAAGGCTCAACCAAGAGTGTTTGCTGGCGGGGCTGGTGGTGATGCGTGAAAACCCTTTTTCCCCCCCAGGGTGGGGAATGGCCCCTGGAGGCCTTCACGGAATCCCTCTGCCAGGACCTGTTCAGCGCCTCCTGGGAGGTGCGCCACGGAGCAGCCACGGCCCTGCGGGAGATTGTGCGTCTGCACGGCCAGGGGGCCGGAAGGTGCAGCCGCATGACGAGGGAACAGGCAGGTGTCCTATAAAACTGTCGTTAAACGCACTCACTAGGAGGCGCAAGCCGCCATCCGATTTGAAAGGTTCAGCCACGTGCGCTCGTCCAACCATTCTTGCATGCGCCACAGATGGAGGCTGCCAACCAGCTGTTCCTCGAGGACCTGTCCCTGCGGCTGCTCTGCGTCCTGGCCCTCGACAAGTTCGGAGACTTTGTTTCGGACCAGGTACACTTGTGGGAAGAGTTAAAGAGTAAAAGCTGGTTCACAAACTTGCGTCTGACTTCAACCAAGTGCACCCCAACTGATTTCTAAGTTTCTTGTGACTGTTTACAATTTGCTACGCGCACGGTCGTAAGCTGCCACAGGAAGCTTAAAAACTGGTTCTTAGCTTCTTCAATCATAAGCAGTTGCAAGTAGGTAAACCAGCCTCTCACCTTCCTGGAGGACGAAAAGACGTTTCCCGCGATTTCAGATAAAATTTCAGATACCTGGCAACACTGATTTTAAGCAGACAAGATGGCTGCAGGGTCGTTACTTTGAGCCATAGCGTATTCAGCGTCTTCAGGAAGCACAGTGCCAAGGGCAGCACGTTCGGGGCTGCCGTCAACTCCGGTCGGCTGTGGCTCGGTCGGTTGACGATTGGCCGATTCCTGGCCTCCGGACAGGTGGTTGCCCCCGTGCGGGAGACCTGTGCTCAGTGCCTGGGCCACATCCTGTCCCTGGCCGGGGAGGCGGTCTCCTCAGGGGTCCTGGGGGTATTGCTGGTGCTCCTGCGCTGCCCCCAGTGGGAGGCCCGCCACGGGGGACTCCTAGGGCTCAAGTACCTGCTGGCAGTTCGCAAGGTGGGCACCGCATAACCCCTCCCTGAAAACGAGGCCATAGCGCCAGGTTTTCTACGTCGCTTGCTGGAGGCCAGCGTGGGTACGGTGCCTGGGACAAACGGGTCTTCGGAGGGCGTGTTTTTTTTCTACTTTGTTTTTTATGGCTTGTTGAGAGTTAATCATTCCTCTCATTTTCACCCGATTCACCTTCGATTTTAGGTCGGCCATCTCTCGAGATATTATGGTATGCCGCTGCGCCATTGCCAGGGTCGTGGCAGGCAACGGCGGGACACTTCTGCGACGGGGCAGAAATCGAAGAACCAGATTTGAGGACACTTTTGGTTGTACACGAACACGGCACTAGTATCCAACTTGTTCCCCCGCTCTGGCCTCCGACAGGTGGCGTTGATAATCCGGCGCCACAGCCCAGTCATCTTAAGGCCCTTCCCCACACTTGCATTTGCTTAGGACCGAGCTCTCGCGATTCTTTACAGCAAGGGGCACGCTGGTGCCATCTATGAGGCGACTCTGGAACTGCATTTCACTAGAACGAAAGTTTTGCGGTGTTTGCGAGGTTGAATATATGTGCCGTCTACGAGAAATGGTCGCTCAATAGTTTTTCAAGCCAAGAAAGAAAGAACAATGTGGGGAAAAATCGAAAGTATGCTGAAACTTAAAGTGTTTCACGGCTACCCGATAGGTGGTGCCAGTGTGCTCTCTTATCATAAGAGAACCCAAGAGGTTTTAAGGCACACGGTCGTATGAACTTACAAGTGTACAAACCAGTTTTTGGAGATGTGGGCGACCTCCACCGCGGTGGCTGTGCCGAGACCCCTTCTTTCCACTGCAGGATGCCTCACTGCTGATGCCCTCGGTGTTTGAGCCCATCTTTGGGGGCTTGCAAGACCCAAATGACGACGTGAGCGCCGTGGCGGCCGCTGCACTCCTGCCGGTCACGGACCACCTTGCCAGTACCCTGCCACACCAGGTGACCGTCTGCCCCGTGCTAAGTCTTCCTGTTCTGTCGGGAATGTTTTGGTTGAGGAAAAGAGCAGTAGGTAATGTGTCTAGCAACTAGTGCAAATGGTGCAAACCACTTGCGCCAGTTACCCGACGCAATGCGATTGGACAAGTGCTTGTGATTCAATGGTCCGATCGTGATCGGACCGTTTGCGACACATTGCAGTTGGATATGTTTTAGGATCCAGTTGTCCAATCGCGAGTGGATTGTTCACGGCACATTGTGATCTGATGGTCCAATCGTGATTGAACTGTTCAGGGTATATTACAATTGAACCGGTGCTTGCTATCCAATTGTGCAACCGTGATCAGGCTGCCGGGAGCCCATTGCGATCGGACCAGTGCTTGCAATCCGATGGTCCAATTGCAATCGGGACTGTTCGGGACACATTGCAATCAAACCAGTGCTTGCGATCCACTGTTGTGATTGCGATCAAACTGTTCGGGACACGTTGCGATCGGGCGGTGCTTGCAATTTGACGGTTTGATCTCAAACGGACTGACGCCTCCAACCGGCAACCAATGCAATCACTGGACCGATCGTGACGTCGTGGCGCCTGCTCGCGAGACGCCGATGCAGACACCGGACACGTGTAGCGAGCCACAGTTTGTTGCGGGTGTGCCCAGGTTCCTCGTGTGCTGCGCGCCCTGTGGGACTCTCTTCTAGAGCTGGACGAGCTGACCTCCTCGACCAGCTGCATCCTGCGTCTGCTGGCCGCGCTCTTGTCCCAGGAGAAAGGCGTCGCCCGGTGGGTGTGCCACTCGGCAACCTTGGGGCTGGGGGGCATACCCCTACAGTTCATAGAATAAATATCGAGGAAAAGGTCCGCCATCTTCTCGTGCACTTCGGCTGAAGAAACGGCAAAATGTGACTTGTAGGGTCGGTGTCTAGTTTTGACTAGGGGGGTTAAGAAAGCAGGTCAAGCTCTTCCAACAAAGCCCTCCACTCTTTCCACTTTAGCAGAGCGAACTCTGGAAAGGGGTTTGTCCCGCTTTTTCCAACTTGCAACAGACTATGTAGAACGCAAGTTCGTCTGCTTCTTGAGCTGGGGTTGCGGTGACATCAAAGTGCTGAGCTTCGATTGCCTCCGATTGGAGGGATAGTGGGTATACCCTGAGGCAGCTAGCATTGAGGTCTACTCACAATTCCTTTGTCAAAGCCAATTGGAGCTCGGCGTTCTGACGTCGCTGCAGCCCTTGCGCAAGAGGCAGACGAACTTACGCTCCACATACTCTCTGACAAGGTGAGAACAGCATGGAGGAGCTTAAGAGCTTCGTACCTTCAGCAACGCTTCAGCATCTCAAGCGTACGTGCGCAGCCAAAGCGGGGCACAAAACATGGATCACGTGCAGAAGGCCGGGCATTCAAAAGGTGTGCCCTGCCATTTTCACTCTGTCAGTGGCTATGTGGCTTTACTTTACAAGAAAATAGTGGCACTGCACACCGCATAAAAAGAAACGAAGTCGAAGAGCGCTCAAACAACTTCAACTCGTCGCAGCAAAATGAATGCGCTTAACCTTTCACCCGTTTTCTCTTTCAATTTCTTTCTCGCTCTTTTCCTCGATACCACGGACATCAACATCTCCAGTTCGCCACGCTCTGCCGAGATCTTCCTTGTCATAGGGCGCTGCAAAGCTGTGCCCTACGACGCGAGGGTCTTCCGACCTAACCCCGTTGCCCCCCGTGCAGCTTGGGGGAGGAGCAGCTTCCCCTGGAGCAGTGCCTGCCCCGCCTGTGGAGCTTCCTGTCGCACAACTCCGTGCTGGTGCGACAGTCGGTGCTGCGCTCCCTGCTCGTGCTCACCTCTAAGGAGGAGGGGCACCAGGTGAGGTGCGCCGCCACTGCAGTGCCCGCAACGCAACTCTGACTGGCGTCTTTACCGCGTCCAAAATTGTGGTCCCCCGGAAACCGAGGGACCCCTTTCTTGGACGCGGTAAGCAGATCGGTCAGAGGCGCGCTGCGGGCGCAGTACGGCTATCGCCCTGGACAGTGCCCTGACTCGCCCCGTCTGCCCTCTGCCAGCCCCCAAGCGACTGGCTTCCCCCAGTGCTGCCGGACATGCTGCGGCTGCTACTGCAGCGCTGCCTGGTGGAGAACTGCCCGGACACTCTGCAGCTGATCTACCAGGTGAGGGGGACGAGGGTGGGCAGGGGCGGGGGGCCATTTCTCGTGGAGTAAAAGGTTTCCCTTGAGAAACCCCCGTTCCATGTGGAATATAATGTTCCACAAGAACCTTTTGTTCTGTGATAATAAAATGTTCGACAAGAACCTTTTGTTCTGTGATAATAAAATGTTCCACGAGAACCTTTTGCTTCGAGAGAACGAAAAGTTCTCGCGGAGCGAGGAAGCACCAGGCAATGCATCTGCCGGCGGTGGTAGTGGGCACTTGCCAAGGGTTCCTCCCAACCGCCCCCCTCGCATCCAGGTGTGGTCCCAGCTGGTGTCTACCGCTCCCCTGGGTCCCCTGTTGACGGCAGCCTGCCCCTGCCTGGGCTCCTGGCTCTGCCTGCTCATGCACCCGGCACACCTACAGGTAACGCGCAGCCTCCTCGGCACAAAACGAGGGCGTCGGACACGGCGACGCATGTCTCTCTTACCATTGACGTCGTCATCTCGCAAGTCAGTAGTGCGTGCCGCCTTTCTCTGTGGTAAAGACAAACATTTGTGCATGAGCAAGTGCATTGCATTTTGGTAGCCTTAAAACACTTCCGGTCTGCATACGACTAGAGCGACAATTTTGCGGTAGTGACGAGATACAGTCTACGCACCGTCTATAGATTGTGGCCGCTTGTAACATTGCGTGAATCATTTCAAGCAAACAACAAAACAAATGTTGAATGAACAAAATTTGGGAATACTAGTATAGGCACTCGGGCAGAGTTCCAGGGCTACCCAAATGGTGGCAACAGGGTGTACTCTCGTAAGCCGTCCCCAGTGGTCGCTGCGCTCTTGGCCGTGCTCTGGTGCAAATGCGTGAACCGGCCCTTGGGATGTCGTCAAAAAAGCTTGCAATATTTGGGCGTAAACTGAAATGCGCTACGGATTAACTTGGGTGGCCCGCCGCCGGCGCTACGGATTAACTTGCGTGGCCCGCCGCATCTGCTGCAGCCCGGGTGCTCGAGTGTCGTTGTGCGTCTTGCAGGTGGACGTGGTTGCCCTGCAGTGGCTCGTCCTGCCCCCGAAGGTCAAGGTGAGACGTCTGCTGGCACCTCCTCAAGCATTGCTTGCGCGTTTGCCGAAACGGCGTTTACGTATGCGAGGAAGAAATCCTTTGGCCTTTCTCCGACGAGTTTGCATCACACTCTTGCTACTTGAGCTTTGCGGTGGGGGCACGGAAAGGATACTCAAGCGGTGCAGTCAAGCGCCTTTATGTCGAATGCATCTACCACAGAAACGCATGTGTAACAAAGTAAGACAGAGTCCCGGCCATTCTCGTATATGTTCAATACGTGTTTCTCTGACTACTGCAATGAATTCTTGTTTAACGGTATTACGAATTTTCTAGGTGAAAAGTAATGGATTTCACGTAAATGGTCGGTCTCGAGCGACGTGCGTAGAGAATAGGAATACTGCTGCTGCGGCGACGGTCGATGCTGGCACCGTGCCCCTCCGCCGCTGTGCCACACGTTTGTCGGGTCTAGATAATTTGTTAGTGTGTAACCTGGCATCTAGATGGTGCTACATAACTATGTTGCTGCATAGAAAGCCTGTACACAGCAACATTGTCATGTAGCACCATCTAGACATGAGGGTGCACACTAACAAATTATGTGGATCCAAAACCGAGAACGTATGGTGCGGCGGCCGTGGCAGAAACAGCGCGACGGAGGCGGTGAGCGCACGCCACCTCATGTGCTCGTGCGTGCTTTCGTTTTGTTCACATCGTTGAGTACGTACCACTCCGCTCCAAGATGAGCTTTTTTCAATGCTCCAACCGGGCATTGCACGCATTTGTTTTCTTATTTTGCACATATGTCAGCACATTTGAAAGGACCCGCGCAAACCAGGGCATATGAAAAAAAATGTTTTTGTCGGCAGTCACAACTTTTTATGCTGTCTTGTCATTTGTTGAACCGACATGCCGATCGTCGTCAGAATCCAAGATTCCCAATCTTGCTCGATCGGAGACCCATATTGTTCCATCTTGGAGAACATGCGGTCGATAAAACATGAATCAATCTGCGACTCTACCCGCGACGTCAAAATCTAAGCAAAATCAGTAACTCCGCACAGAAAGAAACGTACCACCCCCCTCTTTTCGTGCCAGACTGACGCGAAAAAGAGCTCAGCCGGCTTGGTTGTGCACCTCTCCCCATCCCCGCTGCGCCCCGCGCTGCAGCTGTCGCAAGCAGAGTGCGTGGTCGATTGTGCCGTGTTGCCGTTCAACACTTCTTGATGCCACTTTCTGCTAACATATAGCCGCACATGCGGAACATTGTTCTCACACACGCACGCTCGAGCGCAGGGGGAGAAGCGTGGCCGCCGCGTCTCCGACCCCCCGGCCCTGGAGCAGCCCGTGTACATTGGGGGCGCAGAATCCCTGGGCGACCCTCCCCAGGAGCGTGAGCGCCTGGTGCTGCAGTGCCGCCTGATGGCCGCCAGGTAACGTTTCGGGCTGCAACACCTCCTTGCTACGGTTGCGCGAACATTCGAAATTTTCGAATATCGAAGTGAATAATGCCACAGTCAATTCGAAGTATGAATCAAATAGGGCTATCTTCTATTTGAAGTACGAATAGAATAGGGTTATTCGGCAACTTCGAATATTTTCGAAGTATTTCGAAGTTTAAAGTGCTGCAAAACATACCTTAATTCAGAATAAAAAGAAAAAACGTATGTACTCCAAATGAGTTCACCAGCCAAGGCTGGAACAAAAGTAGCAATAAAAATGAGAGAAACGAGTCTACTCTCTTGTATCTATTACGGATTGCATTTCTAATATCTAGCACTAAAGTGTCTGTGGAAATGAGTCTCAGCATTCTTTCCCTTAAATAAACAGTGCCTTTCGTGACCACGTTTCTCGTTCGTTGTTTGTGACCTTGACCTTGATTCACTATTGTGGACGATTTTTTGGGGTATTAATGAGACACGGTTATGTTGAAATAAGAGTAATTGTGCAGGAGAGCTGGTGAACGACCATGGTAGAGAACCCTTCAGACCTCATCACGTTTGTAGTTTCAAAAGTTCTCTATCATGAACTGTACTGACGGCCGCAAACCATTTGCTTCGCTTTGAAATTATTAGATTCAATTTTGAAATTATTCAAACAAAAGAATTATTTGTTTCGTATCTGCTTCAAAGTAAAATATTACCATTGGCACATCCTCATCCCGCACCTTTCCGAATTTCGGCGCTCGTCGCGACGCACGCAGGCTGCTGGGGCTACTGTCCGGACCGGTGACGCGCCCCATGCCGGGGCTGGAGCAGCCGCTACCCCCCACGGAGAGCCCCGTGGAGTGCTACGCCCGGCTGCTCCTCTTCCACCTAGGCTCCAAGAGCGCCCTCCAACGCACCATGGCTGCACAGGTGCTGGCGCACTGGGTCCGCACTGACGAGGTGGGTTTAACGTCCTTCGTCGTTTGCCATTTTGGGGAAGGGCCGGTTTAATGGAGACACTCGGCAAACCTCGTCGGGGCCCACGAGGCCATCCAATACCCTCAAGGCGGGGGGCCGACGTTACCATCTTTCAGAACTGCGTCGGCTCGGATGAAATGAAACGTGTGCTGCCTCCCCAATTCGCATTCAGAAAGCTAGACTACACTAGAAAGGTTAGAGAGAGTCTGTGCAGAGCCGACGTGTTCAAACATTCTTTTTTATAGCAGAGCTGTTAAGGACTAGTTTCCTCTCTTTCGTGTCTGCCACCAAATAAATGTTTACGCAAAACTCTGGACAGCTACCGCCGTCGCTCATAGATGGCGGCAACCTTTCCAGCATTTCCGCTCTGGTAGTGGAAGGGCTGAATTTCTCTAGGTGTCGTCCTAGACGTTGTCCTTAAGGTCGTCCAAAAGGTCGTCCTAGAAGTCATCCTTGAGGTTGTCCTTAACGTCATCCTCAAGGTCGTCCCTGAGGTCGTCCTAGACGTCCTCGATATCATCCTAGAAGTCGTCCTTGAGGTCGTCCTAGACGTTTCTGAGGTCGTCCTAGGCGGCGTCCTCTAGGCATCATTTTCGAGGTCGTCCTCGAAGTCGTCCTTGAGGTCATCCTTGACGTTGTCCTCTAGGCATCGTCCTTGAGGTCGTCTTTGAGGTCGTCCCACCATAATACAGCTTCGCTGGTCTTCCTTCACCAGAGTGGAAAGGCTGAAAGTTTTCACCGTTTTTCAATTGTCTGTCGAGTGTTGATGTTTGAATTTCTGCTTTTTTATGTTTAAATAATTTCCCCCTTTGTATGAGCGTTGTAACTGAAATTTGTGCATGCTCGTACCGAATTTCCCTATGTTTGTAACTTTATGAAAGTGTAAAAGCATCCCCTCCTCTCAAAAATGCCTTTCTAGGCACTGCGAGCGAGGTGACCTGGATAAACATGCATGGGAAATTGCTAGGCAGTTGTGTTTTATACGTAAAACGTTTGGGCTTAATCGTTCGGCGGTTGCAATTTATAGCCAAGTGCATTGATGTTAGTCCGTGTAGTGTGGAATTGGTCTCTAGTGCTCAAACTCGGGTATCTAACATCTTTGCTCACTCTGTTCATCGCCGAGATTCCATGCGGCTAAATGCCTACTTTCATGGCGCTCCTCGTGAGATAACTTAACGTGTACCATACCCACTTACAGCAGTTCCTGGAATGACGCGACATCTCTGCTCACTCCTCCGTCAGTGCGCCCTCGCTCAACCACCTCTAGCCGCATGACCTCCCCCTCGCCCACCTCTTGCCACGTGACCTCCCCCTTTAGCCAATCAGCGTCGAGCTTCTTTCGTTCCTACTGCCCCCCATCAACCAACCAGCATCAAGCTTCGCGGTCGCCTTACATTTTTGCCACTTTAGTTCCCATCCTATATGTCTCTATGGGAGGAAACTCCCGGTAATTCAAACTTTGCTTTATTCAAACAAATTTTCGGTCCCCCTCAAGTTTGAATTAATAAGATTTGACTGTAGCCACCGACAGGACGAGCATGACAGGGCATCTCTTTCGGGCACCCAACTTGCAGCATGTGCTCATTGCCCTCCACAGTGCTTTGGCTGTGCGTGTGCACCGGGGGTGGGACAACCGAAACCCTTCCCCGCCTTTCTTATCCCGTCGGCAACTGCAATTCATTGCACAAACGCCACATCCGCAGGGCCACGAGTGTCCGGCTTCGGTGCGGGACCGCGTGCTGGAGTGCCTCGGGGAGAGCATCTACTTCGACGAGATGGCGGGGGCCTTCACCCGCCTGCAGCAGGACTGCCGGGACTTCATGGCCCTTCTGAGACATGCGGGGCTTCCCCTCGACGCCTGCTTCCAGCCCGGGTGAGCCTTCCAGAGAAGCGTCCGCTTTGGAACAAACTTTTCCCGCTACGCCATGCAATCTTGTAGAGACTGCATAGACAAATATGCCCTCCTTGGTTAGATCTAGAGGTACAGTCGAGCCCGATTAGATTGAACCCGGGTATTTCTGACTACTGGAAGAGCTACCACATGCAAGCGGCTGCTCAGTTGGAGGCGTGCGACGGGACAGTGGCACCATGCTGCGGCTCCTAGCAGAAGCGTTCCGCATAGACCACCGCTGGACTGGAATAGACATCCTGTGCAACAACCTACTTTTCTAATCGATGCCAACTTATCCAAGCATGGCGCCATACTAAGCATTCGGGGCCACGGTCGGGGCTAACTTTTTTTTACACGAGAACCCGAAATTGAGAACAAAAATCCCATCCAGACGCCGGTAAAAATCGCCACGATCATCTCAATCCCAATACGTCTACTCAATCCACCGGCGAGTGAAGAACAATCCGATAATAAGAGGAACGAAAAAGAGTTCTCGTGTAGATTTGAGTGTCGTCTCGTAGTGATTTACGGACCGTCGAAAGCACAAACGCTTCGTAGAGGCGCCTGCCAGCGCAGATAAGTGAAAAACATGGCAGTGTGATGTCATCGTCGCTGCTCACGACTGTGGGACGCGCAGTCGAACCAGAGCTCTGAGCAACTCCTGCAAATGAAGTGACGAGAAGCGTGTCTGGAGCGATGCCAGACATCGGTAGGTTTCAAATGTTGCGACGCCAAACCTTGACTCCGGATCAAGATGCAGAAACGCGGCTGCTGGAAAAGCGCAGACGCAGAAAGACGCTACAGGCGCATTGGAACGGATCAAGGCGGACGGTGCTTTACCGTGCGATGTAATGTGGACGCCGTCACCGGTGGTGCTGCCAGCCAGCAGCCAAGGTGTTGCACGCTCCCAATTGGCCTCCCGATGCAAATTTAAAGCTTGCGTCAATCTAGCACAGAAAAACATTCCAAGGACAGAAACGCTGCAAAGCTCTTTAGTGCGAATTGCCCGCTTGCGGCAGGTATTGCAGAGGAGAAGCGAAAGTGACTCCTCGTTCTCTTTACGAGTTGAGAGAAAGAAAGGATGTCACCCTTGTTCGACACCTCCTCGATAATAAGGCCACAACGATGGATTTCCTACCTCTCCTACCAGAGGCCTGCATGAGGGGCAGCCTGAATGCAAATACTGCATAGTAGGCGTGTGCAACTACAGCTGAACCTCGATTTAACAAAGTCACCGGGACCCGCTAATTACTTCGTTAAGTCGGGAACTTTGTAAAATCGAGGAAGGGAGACCTCGCCCATAGGCTGCGCGGGGAATGCGAATTTCTTCGTTAAATTGGGATATTCGTAAAATCGGGTTTCGTTAAATCGAGGTTCAACTGTAGTGGATTTTGAATTCGAAGTGAATATTGATTTTGGCTGAATATTTTCCAGCTGAATATTGAATAGTTTCTCCAAGCCTTTCACTCTCGTGCGCCATGCTTAAACGAAAATTCAGCCAAACTCATGAAGGTTGTTCCCAGCCTTTCCACTTTAACACTCAGTTAATTTTAGTATAACTATATTTATGAACTGTGGCAAGTAAATGACAATTTTGTCGTAGCTGCAGTATTCTAAGGGAGGGGATTTATAAATCTGCTTGCTATATGCAAATAGTCTTTCTTTATTTTGAGTCCTGACAACAATAAGAGAGGCACGAATGATTAACGCGAGTTGTTAAGACGTTGCTGTCTAACACATACTCCTGCATAATCGCGGCAGGCTGGCCCCCTTTGAGGGCGCTTCTTGTCGAGCACCTGTGCACTGTTGGGAAGCGATACTCCTGGAGCCCTCGAGCTCCACGGGTATTGCTTCCCCGCAGCGCACTTAGTGGTGCCAGCCTGCCGCGATCAACACTTCGAAAAGTATGAATACTGCAGTTCTTCTCGAAGTGAATATCAAATAGTGTATTATTCGAAACTACTAAGTATTCGAAAATTCAAATACTCGCACAACCCTACTCGTGCCCTCACTGATTAAACACGAGTTTCTGCTGAACACTGACACAGCACCTTTGACCATTCTGTACCCCTTGATGCCTCGGGAAGGTGGCCCAGAAAATTTAGGGCTAGGTCCCTGTTGTCTTGAAGGTGCTGACCCTATGGTCGTGGCTGAGTGAGGATGATGCACCAGTTGATCATAGCTTCAGCCCGCTCATGCTAGGGTAACTGTATATCCTCCGCTTGCAGAGACCGGTGCAGCAGTCTCCCCTTTTTGATGCATACTCAACGTCGCCAGTGTGCTACAACAAGTGGTGCACCATCAGTAGCTCTCTTCCTCGGAAGCGTGCAGCCATAGTTGTTGTCTGCTTGTCCCTGGATTGCTTTCGCACGTGTGACCCTTTTTCTGTCAGTGAAAAGTTTGCCGCGAAAGGAACAGGAATCCTCTGCTCTAGTTCTACCGTTTAGTTACTCTAGCTCATGCACGCGACAGGGCGGTGCTGACAGTGGACCAGGCAAGTCACCTGGCGACTTCGGTGTTCCAGACCCTGATGGAGCAAGCGGAGCAAGGGGTGGCCAAGGTGAGCCACCCTGCAAAAATGTTCCAGAGGCCGGGACTCACCACGATAGAACAAACTACGCAGACTTTGCGTAACAAACCTAACAATCTAATCGGTCGTCAACACAGCACCCGTCTCGAGGAACATAAGCGTGACGTGCCAAAAGCCACACGCCACAAGGTCAAAGGGGGAACTAATTGACTGCCGTTGGATGACGGGTCACTGCTTCAACTTCGAGAATGCGTCGAGCTTGGCGTGTAGACGGAAGTGGGGCCCACAAAGATGCTTGGAGACGTGGTGCATCCGGAGTGATTTGTCGACTCGGAACGCCAACCGTGCCCCCCTTCTCGAAGGGCGCACAGACCTCCTGGTCTGTGCGCAGGACTACTGGTTGCGGTGTTCTCTAGTCCTTGCCAACTTGGTATCGCCGACGATGTCTTCGGTATGGGAGACGAAATCGTCCGATTAGATCGTTATTTTCGTTACGTAAAGTCGGTGTAGTTTGTTTTATCGTGAGTCACCCTCCTAACCCTACGTGTCGGCGCACTCAATGCCTTTCTTTCCCCAGAGCCTGGAGGAGAAGCGGCAGTGCTTGCTGCAGACGGCGTTGCAGACCGGAAGGGACCAGCTACAGCTGAGCACCATGTGAGGGACGCTCGGTGCGGGGTACCCGGAGCACTCGAGCTCGGGGAAACCCATTTTGCGACTCGTGTGCCGGACACGTGACTTTCTGGCCGCTCAGTTTCTAGCGGCACGTAACTGGGAATTGGTGGAAAGGAGCTCTGCTTAGGTAACCATAACTCTTTGCACCTCAAGAAAAAAAAGCAGGTTTTGCGCATTGTTCATACGCGGCGCAGAGTAGTTCTCACAATATTTGGTTGTCGGAGGAAAACCAATACTTTTGCCGTCTGGAATGTGTATGTCTTGATAAGATAACGTATATGGAATCTAAAATTCACCTATGTGTAGTATCTTAATTTTCTACATAAAGCAGGAAATTAGCTATGCTCCGTGAGGAGCCGGACTTTTTTTTGCTACAGTTCTCGAGGTGAAAACGGGTATAGCTGCTTTAAATGTGTAGGCCAAAATTTTGTAATAATCGTGTCCTGCGGTCGACGCTGATTTGTTATTTTTTGGTCGGCGCATTTCTCAAAAGGCTTTTAGACGCAGGTCCTATTTCGAAGATATTGTGCACCCTTGCTGGGCTCTCCGAGCCACATGTGAAACGAAAAGCCGACGAGGAAAGGCTCGCTGCTTTCCTCGCGCCGCATTATTTCCCTCTTGGGAGCGTCGAGCGGAATGCCGCGTCACTCCCCTCCTTCGGTGTTCTGAGTCGTCGTCTGAGCAACCGTGACACCCCCAGGGTGCAGTCATCGCTGGCGGGATTTCTCGTGTCCCTGGGCCAGCTACCGGAGCGGCTGAACCCGGTCATCCGACCGCTCATGGACGCCGTGCGCAGGGAGGCCAACCACCAGCTGCAGGTAGGGAACGTGCGGCCGGCCGGGCTTGTGGCAACGGCGACACTCGCATCCAACCCCCTTTTCTGTAAAAACTTCGACTACCAACCATCAAGATTGCGACGACCGACGGCGCGATGCGCTGGCTTCCACAATGTCGTTTGTTGCCACTCTGTGAGACGGGACGGCATTCGAAGAAGCGTTTCCGGGTGCTAGTTTCGTCAGAAGATGCCGGCGTCTGGAAAGACGCGGGTCGTCGGGAAGACGACGGTAACCGAAAAGACATCGGTTGCGGAAAGTTTCGCTGCGGCACGCTAAAGACACGCGGGTTGCGACGTTTCGCAAAGAAAATGCTCAAGTAAAAGTGCAGCAGGCACTTCATTAAGTGCAGTTAATATAATCACTGTCTAGAGGGAAAGGTCCCGTGCATTTCTTCCACTTTGGAACAGCAGGGCACAGAGGTGGACATTACTGGCGACACTTCGATATACACAAAGAAGCAGGAAGACGTCACTCGAAAGTTCTGCATCGAGCGTTTTTCTAGCTTTATTTTGCACAGGAACGCCGACGTCCCACGCTATACCCAAACACAAAAAAGTTTTTGAGCGCTCAAACAACTCCAGCTCGTCACGGCAAGACGAATGCGCCTAATCTCCCGTCTGCTTTCTTTTTCCGCTTTTCCGTCGGCCTCTTTTTCGTTCCCTCTCTCTCGCACCACTGATGTCTACACTTACAATTTGTCGCATTCTGCACCCGTCTTCACCCCGTCCCCGCTTTATCGGAGCTCACCCTTACGCCCGTAGACTTAGCGAGGCGCGCCCCCGCGTTGCAGCGCCAATCCTGCGAGCGCCTGGTGGAGCTCCTGGGGCGCTGTGTGTCCCGCGAGCCTTGCCCCAACGGCAAGGTGGTGCGCAACCTTGTGGCCCTGCTGTGCTCTCCGCACCCGGACGAGCCGGCCGACACCCGGCTGCCAGGCATCCTCACCCTGGACAACATGCACAAGGTGAGCCGAACCTCTCGCACCTGTTGGAGCCCCCTCGCCAGGGGCATGGGCCGGCAATAATGGGCGCCAAGGGCTGTGTGTCCTCAAAGGTCATCCTGGCGGTATCTCACACTGCCTGGCGATAGTTAGAAAAATTTGAAGGAGGAGCAAATTGGCTTCGAAGGGCGAGACAATGAATCATACTTTCGGTTCTACGCTAGGGGGCACAAGCTACCGCCCGTTACAAAGGGTGCAGTCATTGGCGTCCATCCATCTATGCGGTTCACACATTGGCGTTTGGACACGTCTGGGTTGCCACTGCTCGTGATCGCTTACGAGGACACATGGCGCCATCTCTCGGTTGCCCTGCAAGACTTCCTGGACAGAAGAAGTTGCACTACGTGCAAGATCACATCTAAGCACAATTGACGAGAAGTGGTCGCTTGTAGCTAGGGTTTTGCGTCTTTGGAGTTTATTTTTCTTCAAAAGGGGGCTGTTTTTCCGGGGTTTATTATTTTTGACAAGATCAATGTTTATTTTCAGTGCCAGGCAAGAGATCTGGGCTTATCGGGGATAATTTCTTAAAGCAACTTTATATCTATAAATTTTTGACCCCAAATGACCCCCCTACCCTCCCTTCCTTCGTGTCGTCTTTTCTTCCAGGGTTCATGGAGCTTCAACCCTTAAACCAAACACTTGAAAATATGTTATCCTAGCACCTAGAAGAGGTGTGGATAAAAAAGAAACATCCAAATTCACAAAAAAAAAAAAAAAAAAAAAAGCTCCAGATAAATATTTTTTTCCGTCAAACTTACGGATCTCAATATTCAATGGCAGCTCCGATTCGGGGTATTTGCGGTTTTCTCCGATTTTGAAAAAAACACTTCGGGGATTGTCCTTCCGAGTCTATCGGCATTTACCGAAGACACGGAACCCTACTCTACCATTGTTGTAATTACTTGACGGGCACAAGGAAAGAATGACACGTGAAATGTGTGTAGATTGGCAGATGGTACCTGTCTATTCTCCCATCGTAAGCAGTCACAACAGAGGTCACGATGCAGTCGATGATACTCAAGCGTTTGAACCGGCCTTTAGAGTGAGTCGCCAGGTGGCACAAGCTGCTACCTGTTACAAAGGGCACAGCCGCTATCATTTATCCATCCATCCGGTGAGAGCACCGCCGTCCTCTTGCAGCAGGTGGAGAGGAGCAGCCTGAGGAGAAGCCTGTCTCGGAAGGGCTCCGTGCAGGCAGTTTCGGAGGATTCCACCTGTGCGGACGAGGCAAGTGCTGCCCATTAGATGGCTGCCAAAGCATTTGAATCGCTCCTCTCTTTCAATGCGGTCGGCCAAATGAGTGAAGTCATCCATAGAGTGTAGTCAGCCGTAGAGTGTCACCTACCGTGTGCTGCACAGTCGCGTTTTAGGTAAACAGGTGCTGACACTCCTCACGATCGCAGATGTTGGCAGGCGAGTTAGCCAACCCAGTGCTCACTTCAATTGGGGCAGCGTGCTCGTGCTTCTGGTATCAACTTCGCCCGCGCATAAAGTAAAACAGTCTATTGGGAGCGTCTGACACCCAAAGGGGGCGCGCAGAGCCGTCTGGCGGCACCGCCAACGACTGCGTCCGCGTTGCTTCGCACGGTGAAGTGCCGCCTGCCTCGGCCCCTTCCGGTGCACCCGCGGTGTCTTGGCCACGTCTGTGCCTCCCCGCCAGCCGTGTTTCTCGATCTCGCTCCAGAGCAAAGGTTTGGCACCTTGACATTTCGAAGTGCATTCGCGCCTAGCGTCAATCCGTACTTGTCCTCGCGTCGTTCAATCCGCATGAATTGCTCAAAGCTTGAGTTCAGTTGTGTTCTCCGCAATCATGAGCGGTGACGACGGCAACGCGCCGTCGCCCTTTAGTTTAAGGCGGCGGTCCCAATTATCATACCGGTGAAAGTTTTGCTAATGTTGCTGTTTTCGGTGCAACTGCCGCGTCTGTGCACGTGCCACGTATTTCATTCTTTCAGAGCATAATATTTGTAAGCTTTTTGTATCATCATAAAACAGTTTGAGAATATTTTTTTTTATTTTAATGCAGGCACGGGTTTGGGGTTTAAAGTTTTTTTGTATAAAAACATCATGTTCTAGAGTAACTTTTGCAATAAATGCAAACAGCAAACTAGGCCTTTTTCTTTATTTTTTTTTTACTTAAAGCGGCCAAAGCGGAAACTGACGTTTCTTCCACCTGTCGGAGATTGCATAATTGACCACTCTTTGTGCTTCGACTTCTCACGCTGCTGCACTAGAACCTTCTGTGACACTTTCAACATAAATTTTATGACACTTATGAACATTAATACTTATAATATTAATAATAATTTATCCAGAAGTGCATTGACCTCCAAGTTGATTAGCAAGTCAGGTCAAAGCCAGCAGGGGCTCCTAGGACCTGACTCAGCATTAAAATAAATTTAAAAAGCTAGTGTTTTAGAATAAATATGGAAAAACCGAAAAGTTGAATTAGCTTCCTGTGATGAATTTTGTCAAAGTTTGACAAATTCTTACATGTGACCTATGTAAAGTATTTGAAGAAACTTGATACAGTCGAACCTCGATATAACGAACTTCAATGTAACGAAATCTTCGATTTAACGAAGTATTTTATTTTTCATAATTTCTTGCCCATAGACCCCATGTATTTTTAGTCTCTATATAACGAAGTCTAAGTCTATAACGAAGTGCCATTGCCATAGAAGGCAATAAATAAATCAACTCTAAAAAACAACTTCGCAAAAAAATTGTGGTTAAAAAAAAAAATTATGCGCAAACGCGAGCGCTTGATAGGTTACTTAACGGGGACAAGCCTTCCAACGTTCCCAGGCTGCCCGAGGATGCGGCGCCGGTAGCACCGGCGAGGCATGCGGCAAAGCGGATTCCGCGAGGTTGGCCAGAAAATGCCGAGCAAAAAGTTAACACGGCATACCAGCATCACCACTGACATTCACTGATAACCATAGTCCACTCCACTGCACCGCGGGTAGCGCGGGAGCCAACTTCAGCGGGGGAGCGACGTGATGGCGCGACCGCACGGGCAGTGCCATCTAGGAGAAGACCGAAAAGACCGATTATCGTCTTGCGAGCGTGGGCGCAAGCGGCGCAAGCATCACTGTGGGCGCAAGGGTGGCAAGGGGGCAAGTAAACTGTGCGGTGAAGAGTGCTGTGTAGGTTGGAAACATTGGCACCGCCTAAACTGCCTAAACTAAACAGCTTTATTTTTTAACCGGGCGGTTCACTTACGTGCTTGCTGCCATAAGGAAACGTAAAGTTCTTTCTTTGGATGAGAAAGCAAACGTTTTGGACGCCATCCTGAAGAAACTGCCGAGATCACGAGCACTCGGGAAGTGCTCGACGCAATGGACGTACTGAGGAGGTACACGGCGTCGCATGGGCAGCAGGATGCCGTGCAAGCGCTCTGGGCGCTCGAACGCCGTATGACGCCGCTGCTACTGTCGGACAAGGCGCAAGCAAAACTCGCGGACTACTTCGCCCCTAAATAAATGTCATTTTCGGTGAGTTTTCATACCCGTAAAATGTTTCGGAATTTTTTTTCGCATGCTAAAGCCAAATTTCGATTTAGCGAAATTTCAATGTAACGAAGTAAATTGCGAATTTTACCGACTTCGTTACATCGAGGTTCAACTGTATCTCCAAAAAGATCAAACCCTGCTCCTTTAGTGCCTATAAATTCAATAATATATGTACAAAATAAAATTCGTTATATACAGGGTGTCTCCCCAAAAAGATTGGCAGGGTTTTTTTTCACCGCAAAAATTAACTTCGCATTGCCGAATGCTAATTTTCGCTCAAATGTAGCGCTAGAGTTCCGAACCAGGTGCCAAGTTTTCAGCACTAACTGTTACTTTATTCGACAGTTATACGGGATTTTTCTAAATCTTTATTGGAAAAATACCGGCCGAAAGGAGCTCTTGAATAAATCTTATTGCGCCAGTTACCGCTAGCGCCGCATTTTGGCTTAGAATGAACGTTCAGCAACTCATAGTTAATTCTTGCGGTGAAAATAAATAAATATTTGGTGGGTGCATGCTTTACATTTGAATGATCAAACGTTTCAAAAACTTGGCAAATTTGAAACATATTTTCTTAAAAACCACCTTTCTTTTTACTTCACGTTTTTCCAGTAACAACGTATGATTGTGTTTTATCAGAAAATATAAATAGGAAATATAGTCATTTGTTTGTATGACAGCAAGTGAAAATTGAAATGTTTCAGTAGTGCATTGTGAAAGCATTCTCGCATAGGTGATATTCTGGAGAATATTGTTGCATTAATATGGTTTATTGCGTAAAAAAAAATAGTTAACGCGTATGCCTAAACATAATTGAAATTGTGTTCAAGTAGGAGTAAAAGTTATTGCAATTTACCATAAAGCTTTTCGTGTTCCAACGCACACTTCAAAAGATTCAAGCTTATTTTCCGGTTATATACACAAGGTACTATATTTTATTTACATTTCATAATAGATCACGATAATACCTTGGTAAATGAAGCAAATGTATTTAACACCCCTGAATTTGTACGAAGAATTTCCAAAATATATTATGGTAAATAAAATAGCTCCGTATGAGCTTTCTGGTGATATCAAGGTAATTAAAATATCTTCAATAGTCCTCTCATAAGAACTTGCAAAACTTTGCTGGAAATCACCAACGGGCAATTGTTAGACATTTTGTTCTATTATTTTATAATAGGACAAGGTTTTTCTTTGTATTTTTTTCTCATTTACCATAATAAAACCTATTTTTAAAGTGTCAGAGAAGAGTCCTAGTGCAATCTTGAGAAATAAGTACAGGGTGTCACAAAAAAAAAAAAATTTACATGTTTTTTTTTTTTGTTGTAAAAATAAACTAGGTAATCGCTGATTGCTTATTGTCTGCCCAAAGGTAGGGCTAGGGGTCACAACCAGATGCCAAAGTTTCAGCCCGATCCGATAACGTAATCAAAAGTTATAAGTGGTTTTCTGAAAATTTCAATGGGAAAATGGCGGCCGACGGAGTTTTTAAATACATGGGGCTTTATGGTACCAGAAACCGAAAACGGGCAAAAATGGGCTCCATTTTCCCATTGAAATTTTCAGAAAATCACTTCTAAGTTTTGATCAAGGTATCGGATCGGGCTGAAACTTCGGCATCTGGTACTGACCTCTAGCGCTACGTATGTGCGGAGAATGAGCGTTCGGCGATGCCTAGTTTATTTTTGCGATAAAAAAAACCTGTAAAAGTTTTTTTTTGTCATCCCGTATATAGCGAGCGATCAAACTTGCGACCCCCACAGGTGGGAAAAACGTTAGTTCTGGCCTCGGCCGCTTCAATAGTAAATAACGTGGAAACAAAACAAAAAAAGTCTGCCAAGCTTGTCGTTTACTTTTTCTTTCATTTCAAGAATAAAACCAAAAATTATTTGTTTTTGTAAAAATTAAAATATTGACTCAAAAATTGTGGTTGAATTGAGATGAAAACATCCAGATACTTTTTACGCTTTGATAGCAATATGGTATGCATGCGCAAGGGCGCGGCGAAGTATCGAGTATAGCTATCGTGGATATCGGAATGATCTACTCAAACTGCCTAACTTAGTCGGCGCCTCAAGGATTACAGTTGTCCGTGGGCACAGCTTTTATTTAGGCACTTTCATTTAACCAATGCACAGCACCTTCCTGCGAAACAGTATTTTTAGGCAAAACCTCGAGACTGGGAAAAAAAACGAAGGATGACAACAGCGGACCAAGTCCTTAGTTTTTCTCTCCATTCTCTCGGTTTTGTTTTAAAATATGTTCAACCATCCCCAGCTAGTTCGAGCACCAACTTTTTGTTTATTGAGGCAGGTAAGCTGACATTCTTTTTTTTTACTTATTCACAGAAAAGCTTGCATCGCCGTGAGGCATTATTGCAAGAGGTAGGTTACATAACTTTTTTTTTAGGAACACAAGTAATGCAAAGATGCACTATATTTCTCTGAAGTCTGTAATATAATATGAGAACGACACCACTGAGCATCAGAGGACATCTCAAACATTTGCCGTGAACGCATCTATTGGCAACCTATTCCACTCTTCGATGGTTTTTGGAAAAAAGAAATAAGCGAAAGTACCAGTGTGATAGGGGCATGGTTTGTAAAAAAAGTATCTCTATTGGTTAGAAGTTTATTGTTGTAGATATCACCTAAAAAGTTCTGCCTAAAAAGCTTTCCGAGTTCACTCGGTTTCTCCCTGTGTACGACCTCCTTCGTGGTAGCGACGCTCACTCCAAGTTCATTTTGTTTAATGCAAACCTAGCACATTGGTTCCGTATATTTTTAAATTTGTCTATTAATTAAACTTGATGCATATCTCAGACAACCGAAGCATATTCGATGCACGGACGAATAAATGTTAAGTATCAGGTTTCCCTAACTTGCCTCGAAGCCTGTCGAATATTTCTTCGTATAAAATTTAACATACGTATAGCGTTAGGAGCTATCATTTTAACGTGTCGCTTCCACGATAAATCACTAGATAAAATAACACCCAGACATTTTATGCTCGAGCTAACTTTAATTATTTCAGCTTAATTAAAAACTTCAATTCAACTAGAAACTAAGGTCGGCTGCCACACGCAATGTGCACGCAAAATGCTTCTGCCAGGAGCCGCTCGGCGGCGCCACCGCCCCGTCGCACGCTTCCAATGGGAGGGACGCCGGGGAACGTTCGCTGGGTGCGGGACCGTACGCTTTTTTGTCGCCGGCGGCTGAACGGGGCACGCACGCCCAGGGGGTGCAGCGGCGGGGCGCCGTGATGGCGCTGTCGCTGGCCGCCGAGTCCTTCGGTGCCGACCTGCCCGAGAAGCTGCCCAGCCTGTGGGAGGCAGCCTTCCGCCCGCTCTTGCAGGACGCCGTCCGAGGTGAGTGGCAGCCGCACCACGACGCGGGCTTCGTGGTCGCGCCGCACGTACGTCGTGCGAGAGTTCGCCTCAGACGCGACGACGGAATTATGTGCGGATGCGCCTCACAGATGTTTAAAGCATGTTTGTTTCAAGAGCATGTGTGTTTCGAACTTGTCTGCAAAGAGTTCTCATACGACCAGTGTGATAGGACCACCAAAGAAGGAACAAATACGCCAAAGACTGTGTCTATGGCAGACTTTCTTTTGTATGATGTCGGAGCAGTGTGACCGTGGTCCTAACGGGGCGTAGTGCTTAGCTTACCAGAACTGCGGACGACCTCGCTCGGTTCCAACTACCGTAAAATCCCATAAGGATGCCAAACCGAAATGAAGAGACAAAGGGTGAAAAACAGGAGGTGGACCGTCTTTGGAGATGCAATGACAAAACCTCATCACAAATTAGCGATAAACTCCGAAGCGCCCGCTACAAACCACGCGACACGAGGACCGATACCACAGGTCGCAGACACGGAAAATTCGCGTTTCCCGATGCAATGAACACACCGGAATTCGCCACAAACTTCCATGTCGCGGGAAAGGATACCGTTGACTGCAGATGCAGCAGGTTTGCCTTTTGTGGTGCAAGGGCGCGTGGGAACCCGCCGCGAACTCGCATTTTGGGGGAACGGATACTGCAGATCATGGATGCAGCAGATTCAAATTTGATGGTGCAATGAGCACGCAGGACTCGCTACAAACTGGCCTGCCACGGGAACTGATATCGCACGCGCAGAACACAGATAAAAACGCGGGAACCCACTACGAACTCGCATGTCACAGGAACGGATACCAGAGATAGCGGACGCAGCAGATTCGCATTTTCCGATACAATATACACACGGAAACAATTTGCGTGTCACAGGAATCGATATTGCGCACGCAGATTGCGGACAAAAACGCAGGAACCCGCTACGTACTCGCCTGTCGCATGTACCGGTACTACAGACTGCGAGGTTGATGCGGCTTTTGTCGGACATCACGGGATGGCTGACAAGAATTGGAGAGTGGGCTATGTTTCATTAATTTTATGTTACGGGTATTTAGCCAGAAAAACGGGATGAGTGATCTCTTGGCGGAGGGCATTCCTACGGGATTTTACGGTAGAGATGTTGCAAACCTACCAAAGAACTGCATTTAATTTTTTTTTTCATACTTCTACCGCTAAGTTTGACGAAAATTTGACGGAAGTTTGACTGTTATGCACGCATAAGCATAAATTGAATACGAGCTGGCACTGCTTGGCAGAGGATGGCTTGAGCATTTCATGGGTACATCGTTTCACATTAACAAACTAACTAAAATTGTAAGTTTACTTTAGTGTTACATTAACGTTGGCGAATATTTCCTCGCTTAGTGTTAAAAATTATTTTCCTAAAATATCAATTTTTTGTGTGGACGTCGGGCAAGAGTGTCAAGAAAGTCGAACTTCGTCGAATTTCGCTCAAAGTTTAAAAATTGAATACGGTACACTCCGAGAGATTACTCGGAAATCGGTTGGTTGGCTCATGCTTGACGAATGCTTCCATTTGCCTGCCAATTTTGTTTTTCTAAATTTTATAAGAACGAGGAGTGCCATGGAACGAATGCGCATAATCCGCCCCACAAAGGGAACCGGGCAATTTGTCCGGGGGGGGGGGGTGTCCCGATCGGTAGGCGCCTCCCGTCGAGAGGGCGGGGGGGGACTGACGTTTCCCCGGTGCAGCCGCAGATGCGGCCACCCTTTCGACCAGCCTGCAGCTGCTGGAGGTCGTGGGCCCCAGCTTGCATCCCAACCTCTCCCCGCAGGTGAGCTCGCTCGGACCTTAACCGTCCGCGTCCGTCCCGTCCCCTTGCTCTAGCTCGACCTTGAGAATGTTTGCACGTCCCTATGCTGTACCACGGATGTTCCACGCAGTGCTGTGGAAGCCACGGGTGGGAGAGTGAAAAAAGAAAGTTTGAGTCGGGGTCTTAATCTTTTAATTAAATTAAATTAGTTTTATATTATTTGTGGACACTCCTCACGTATGTTCGAAGCCTGTTTGATTCAAACATGTGTATGCCTCGAACATCTCTGCGGGTAGTTTTTATATGACCACTGTGACAGGTCCACTAAACAAGGTAAAAACACTGTCTTGTCGCGTGTGGGTGGGCTATCTTGCCCCTGTGTCCGACGGGCACAGGCGCAACGTCCGGGATACGTGGGAGAAAGTCCGAAAAAGAAGTGAATTTCTGCTTTTTAAACGCTCGCATTGTGCCAAATCCCCTCCTAAGTACCGAGACCAGTTCAAAGTAGAGATTGTGCGCGAGAGCCCCGTTGGCAGTTGGAGGGAGTCGCCTCGCGTTGGCCTGCGAGGGGCAACATAAAAAATCCGGCACCACGTTCCGATTGTCTAAGCGGTGTCGGTTACGTTCTGTCCCCTGCACCTTTGACAATGGCATGTGCAACTCACGAAATGAAGTACCGTATTTTCTGGTCTAGAAGTTGCACCGTCATATGAGTTACAGACCTCGATAAATGGCCGTTTTCACGGAACGGTCGGCCCGTGAGTCACATCTTTGTACGAATTGCGCTACTTTTGGAAAGATGGAACGTGGTGTCGTGGCGGCCGGGGACCTTACGCCACCACGCTTTGGACCCTCCTTGGACCGCCGGGAGAGCAAGCCAACGGCGGGTGTCTTGCCGTTCTTTTTTTGCCAAGAATGTCGATACAGCCTACATCTTGCACAGTAAAGGTCCATACTTGTAATAAAACAAGGTGTATATAAGACACACCAACATAAATTTGGAGAAAAACAAAATATGACTCTTACGCCGTAAAATCTGTTGCATAGTTTCCGCGTTAGGGATGTCGTGTTTTTCTCGAGAGAGAGAGAGCGGCGGGCAAGAGGGCACGCCTTCCCCGCAGCTGGAGTCCGTGCTGGGTCCCCTGTGCTCGGCCCTGGAGCACGGGTCCCCGTGGGTGCGCCACCTGTCTTCCCGGTGCCTGGGCATGCTGGCCCGGGTCTGCACGGGCCCCACCATGTCCCTGGTGACGGGACGCCTGCTGGCGCAGCTGGGGGCCTCCCACGACCCCATCCTGCGACAGGGGGCCCTCGAGGCCCTTGCCTGTATCCTCCTGACCGACTGGGCGACTGACCCTTGCCAAGGCTGCGGCGTGCACTCCCGTCCAAGACGAAACCCTCGTACCGTGACGCGGTTTCTGGAACGCGCCTCCAGCTGTTTGTTGCATTTAATGCGTCTTCAGAAGGGGTCCCTCGATTCTGGCGACATCTGACAGCGTGACACCCCTGCTTTAGGGGCGTCATTCGTTGCATGGGCAGAATTGGACGCCAAATGCACCGGTCGAAGACACAATCGAAGTACCATACCCATGCTATAGTCCCAGCTGCCTCTCTGGTCTAGGAACAGGTAGCACTGTCATGCTAGTTAAAGTCCAGCGCAAACAGCTAGGTCATTTCCATCACTCGTTAACTAACACCATCGTGAGATTCTTTTTGCAGAACAGTTTCTACTCGTGCTAGAACAAAGCAAAAAGCCATGGCCTTGCAGTGGTAGCTTGTTTAGAATTGATAGTGCTGCAGACCTCGTCGGACATGCCTGGCATTGGTGAGAGTTCAGAGGCGAGAGTTTGGTAACTCAGATTTTTTTTTTTCGGCAGCCTCGTGGAATTAAATTGGAGAAGAAAAAGGGGCTGGGCAGGTCTTTCAAGATCAATCCCCTTTTAACCATCAAAGTGGAGATTAAATACGAGGAGAGGTCAGCCTTGTTCGTGCTCCTCGTGGAACTGCATAAGGGAAGGAAAAGGGGCTGCAGGCCTTTCGTAGTCAAGCCCCCCGTAACGAAGTGGAGTCTAAACATGAAGAGAGGTCAGCCTTGTTCGTGCTCGACTTTCAGGCGTTTAGAAGCGTGCGCTTTATGGTGGCAACCGAACACTAAGCTAGCTCGATGTCGGCCAACTGTGGCGGCTAACCTCGGGAGTTTGTGTTTCTCGTCCCGGGGGATCTGCGAACATCCAGCGGGAAGGGGCACCTTTCTGGAGTAGCCCGTGTGCGTTCCTCGACTCCCAGTCTAGGTGTGATAGAGAGCCTGGGCCTGCTGGTGGTGCCGTACATTGTGCTGCTGCTGGTGCCCGTGCTGGGGCGCATGAGCGACCCGGACCCTCAAGTGCGCCTCATGGCCACCCACTGCTTCGCCGCCCTCGTCCGCCTCATGCCCCTCGACGTGAGTTCCAACCTCCCCCGACGTTCTGGTGGAAGGGCCTTGATTGGCTGGTTCGGGGTTGCCCAGACGTATGCAAAAAGCCATAGAAAAGAGTCATTATAGATGGAGAACTGCAGTGAAAAGGGGGTGTGGAAGTTTTTTTTACTTTATCTTAGTTGGCAGTCACTGATATTTCTACTCGTAAAGCGATTGCTGAACGTGTTACTTTATTGTGAGACCCCATTCGTGAAACCAGCGCTTTCAAGTCGGGTTCGAATGGCATGCACTCTTGGGCAGCTCAGTTAGGTGTTTGTGCATCAGATCCTGACACTGTTTTGGTTTTACCACCTTTATTGTTGATATTACAGCTGTGCAGCAGTAGGTTTTTCTGAATATTGACAGAAGTTTCTGGCCCGCAAGCGTGAAATAGGGACACTTTGCTCATGGTACCTGCCGCCAGAGTCCCACAGTTTTCTCACGCTTTGCGCCATAAAGCCCGTAATCAACAACAGCAGTTTTCTCATAGTGCAGGATCATTTCAGCCCTTTGTCTGCGTGGACTTCAAGGAGTTCCACTTCAAACACTCTTAAATTTTGTGCGACGTTTTTCATGATTGGGCAGTCACCATTCAAAACGTCTACCATAAAAGGATTCTTTCTGAACGTTGGTGAGGGGTGGTACACTAACTAAGGAGCAGTGAGCTGCACTTGGGCCGCCGAAGATCTGCAGTTTGAACTCCCCCCCCCCCCCCCCCCCCCCCCCCGCTGGCTAGTTTGCTAAGGAAAAATGTTTGTTGAAAAGTCACATTTTTAAGAAGCAGTTTTAAGCACTTTACAGAACTCCTGAGGGATGCCGTCAGAAAGTTTTGTTCCTCTAACGGGAGTTTTTTGTCCAAAATAAATTAGTTTCAGTATTCTGGCATCATCTAAAGTGAAATATTTTTCACTTTAAAATGTATGGTTTTACTTTTTTTTCGCGTTCATTTTTAGTTCAGGAGAGTTGTCATTTCACAATGAAATGATGTGTCGAGCCATTTCTTGGAAGTCTCATTCTGAAAATTTGTTAAGGGCGTGGCTGTGAACCTACTTCCTTCATTTTGATGTTCTTTTGGCATGCAAAGTTGCCCATTAACCTAATAGTGAGTTCGTTTCACACGCACCGGCACCGTTCAAATTCTCCCCCAGAATGCATCGCACTCGCAGAGTGTTGCACGGAGAACTGGACTCAAACGAACTTGCCAAATGCACCGAGTGCAGAAGACTGTTGCTGCCGCCATCTATGTTGTAGAAAAGGTACCGACCTCAATACGAAACTAGCACTTTTTTGTCCGGAGTGATGGGTTGGATTGCGAGAGTGCAATCGCTACCAACGTTTATCTACAAGTGTTGGTCGCTGCAATCTGTAGTTTATAGTTGCGATGACTTTAAGCAACTCGGCTGTTGTAGAGATAGTTACAGACGGCGTAAATTTCCGCAACCAGCTGTCTACAAAGCTGCTGCATGGTTGCAATCATTCAATTCTTATAACCGTTTACACTGAAGAAAACTGATGATGCTGTCCGAGCAGAAGCTTGATTCGTTTGAGCATGGTATTATGCGTGAACCACTGAAAGGGTACGGCTTGAAACAAGTCTGTTGGAATATCCAGCAAAACTTTTCGTGGGACTTTCGATTTCGATCGTCATTACAAGTGGATCAGATATTAGCCTTGGTGAGGGCGTCGAGAAGGAGAGCTTTCTCGAACAAAATACGACGGGGCAAGTTAGCTGACGTAGGTAAATGTTAAACATGATGATGTTGCCCGAGCCTCGGGTAAAGTCACTATGTTTAGCTTTCTCTGATGCTTATTGGGCAGTCAGAGGTTTCTTTTGGGGGAGTTTTGTCGACAAATGTTAAATTTTTCACCCGCACACGGATGGTGATAAACATCTCGCGGGCCGCTGATGCGTTTGTTCCGAGGATTTCTTGACACACTAGTATATTTCAGCGTCTGTACGGCAACAGAGCGACTTAAAACCTGCAAATAAAGCATGGGTTGTCAATTTCTTTCTTCATGGAATAGCAGACGCTCACAATTCAAGTTCGCGTTTGATTCCGTTGCCCGCGAGATGCGATTTCTATCAGAAAATCTACTTTTTTCCCTTTCGGTTCCGCGACACATCGTAGCAGACGAACCCCCGTCGTCTGCTCCCGCTCCTCGCCGGCCTCGCTGGAGCGAGGCATGACGGGATTGCATTTCGGCGCACGCCCGATTTTCTCGGTGCAGCGGGTGCATGCACGCGTGGGGTGTCGCCGCTGAAACAAACTCGGAGAGTGCAACCGCTCGTGGAGTGCCTGGCGAAACGAACTCGCTTTACGCCGCGAGTTGGCACGCGTGGACACAAGTGCCGTGAAACAAACTCGCAACTATAATGCACGCAAGAAAAAATTCATTTCTTAACTGCATTATTTTTATAAAAAGGTTGCATAATTTTTGTAATTTCTCGCAGCTGTCTGATCCAGGTGTCTCACTATATGTTTCTCATAAAAACTAGCTCTTATCATTATCATTTCTCAACAATAGCATTCCTTAGCACATGGAGTGTTTTTCTATATATATATATTTATATAACTTTTCAAAGGATTAATTTAAGACTTGAAACATTGCATGGCAGTGTCTCTCACTGCTATGAGCATTCCCTGCAATTTTCATGCAAACATCTAGTGGCTACTGCAGTGCCCAAGCGAGAGTCCTCTGAACAGTAGTCTGCAATGGCCCCCAATTGCGCACCCAGTCGTCAACATACAAAGCCGTTCAGCCCTTGAGACAGCCAATGCCAAGTGCGAAAGCGACGTGCCATAGCAGGTCAAATCGACATTTGTGCTTTGACAGTGCAAGCTCAATCTGCCTGTGAGGTATACAGCAACACTAGGTTACACTGTCGATGCAAAATTTAGCCGGTGCGGTTCGACTGCTATGACCTGGAGTTTTTTTTTTTTTTAATGTACACCATGCAGTAGTGATACACAAACACATACCAGTACAATGCTTATCCAGATCGAAACGGGCGGGACGCGGAGATAGAACCCAGGATCCTTGGGTTCCGCGGTGCGAGCTTCCACTCCATATGCTCTGAGCTGCGGTGCGCTGTAGTTGCAGACAGGACGAGCGAGGCAGGGAGGAATTTCAGTTGTTGCGCAGCGACACCAAGATGGACGCGTAGCAGCACGTTTGCGCAGGGCTCATCTTCTGGTGATGTCGCCATAATACGCTCGGCCGTTTGTACCCAGGGAGGCGTCGGGGAGAGCCCCGATTTGCCTGAGGAGCTGCGCGAGCGGCGTGCGTCGGAGAAGCACTTCCTGGAGCAGCTGATGAACGCCAAGCACGCTGACAACTTCGAGGTGCCCGTGCCCATCGGGGCCCAGCTGCGCTCGTACCAGCAGGAAGGGGTCAACTGGCTGGCCTTCCTGAACAAGTACCGGCTGCACGGCATCCTGTGCGACGACATGGGCCTGGGCAAGACCCTACAGTCCATCTGCATCCTCGCCTCGGACCACCACCTCAGGGAGCAGCAGTACCAGGTGGGGACGGGACGCTGCATTCGCTGTGGTCACTGGTGGCTTACGAAACACGGGGCATGGCTTAAAATGTTTAATATCTCATGCTTTATGATTTGCTTCTCGGTGTTCTTATTGGCCAATGCTTCAATCCTATTGGCTTCAGAGTGATAATAAGATGTAGACTCGCCACACCCCGCATTTATTAAATTGTATGTGACTATATAGGGGCTGGCAGATCACAACTAAGACTCTCAGCATACGCACTCTTGTCCCAGCATGTTCTGCATTGCAGCCTTTAGACCGGAATTGGAAGTTGCACATTATGAAGGCTGGATAGAGTAAATAGAATCGGTCCAGCCTGACATCTTCCTAGAATACGCAGGGAACCGGATGGGTCTTTGACGAGACATGGCTCAATATGTTGCCTTGGGTTTCAGTGTGCTCTCAAATATTGCGCACATCTGCTTCTGCTATGCAAACTGCCCCGGTAATTTTTTGTGGTGTTTTGTAGTCTTCTGAAAAGGTAACAGTTCTGTGTCCCTTGTTCTGACACGACACAGTGCAAATTGATGCTTTAGATTTCAATCTGTCATTGAATATTGCACATGTCTGCTTCTGCTATGCAACCTGCCCCAGCAGTTTTCTAGGAAGACTTTCAGTCTTCTGGAAAAGTAAGTCTGTTGTACCTTGTTCCCAGGAAGGGGAGCGACCGGATGCCAAGCCTCTGCCGTCCCTGGTGGTGTGCCCACCCACTCTGACGGGCCACTGGGTCTACGAGGTGGAGAAGTTTGTGAGCTCCCGTTACCTGAACCCACTGCACTACACGGGCCCACCCACAGAGCGCCTCAGGTGGGCATGAAGGGGGCGCTGCCTCTGCCGACTCCCTGGCGCAAGGTTTCTCGTCCAGAGTTAGTGCTCAAGAGCATAGAGTTATATATGTATGCTACAAATTCAACTGGTGCTAGTGTGCTGTCGCAAATTGAAGCAGACAGCAACCAGTCGAAAAGTGACTTCCGGTAATGCATTTCTAGAGCAAAAAGTGAGTGCATTTTCTCCCTGCGCTCGACTAAAGAGCAAACATCTCGAATCATTCCTACGTGCTAGGTAGCTTGGAATGTTTCTCAGGGAGGCAGATAAAGTAATTGATCAGTTGCAATGTTTTTCTTTCAAATTTAGGTCATTAAAAACGGTGCTAAAACGGCTTCGTACATGTATTTGTGTGCACTGTCGGACACTGTTTACGCGAACACGACATCGGCGCTTTTCAGCATGGGGGATATACGTGCCAAACGAACGAAGGACATCTAGAAAACCAAGAGAGATGGCAAGAACTATGCAGTAACACTGGTTCAGTAGCTCTATGTGCATGTACGATCAAAATAAGTTGAAGGCCACATAATATAGTCAGATTCTTAACAAGTACCGTTTTCTTCTTTCTGCTTTGTGCGAATATGCTTCTTCTACGTTCAAAACATCACCCGCACGCTCGAAATCTTTGATAACAAGGGCCCGATAAAGGCTTCTCTGCAGAGACATAATAGGAAGAGACGTACACCTTCCTTTCATAGCCTTCATACTTTATTCTTTACGTTTTGAATGTTTTTAACCACTCGTAAAGATGCATGTCGGGGTTGTTTTCATTAGCGACAGGACTGGCATATTAGCAATATATAAGCGTTACCGGAATGCTGGCGAACCTTGAACACACTTTATATTCCTTCCGATTGTTATTTGGCTTAGAATCATTGCTGGCTTTTCACACACCCGCTGTGGAACACAGGTTGGGGTCTGAAATATAGCAGAGCTAAACATTCTTCACTCATGAAGAAAAATGTGCCAACGAAAGCAATTACATTTTTACAGTGTTAATAAAGGGGCATTCTATTCGGTATGACCCAAATAAAAAAATTGTGCCACGTTATTTTCCGGCGAAAACACAAAATGCGCACGCGTTTTCCCATTGGAATGCACAGGAGCACGCAAAAGTAGGCTGGTTGCTGTCTGCTTCAATCTGCATCACGGAAGTCGCATAGACACTGGTGCCATTTGAATTTCCAGTGTACATTATAATAACTCTATGCTCCCTAACACAAACTTTGTCATCCAGAGTTAGTGCTCAGGAGCTTGAAATTTCTTGTTCGGAGTTAGTGCTGAGGAGCACAAGGTGTCTTGTCTAGAGTAAGTACATGGGAGTACAAGGTTTTTTGCGTGGAGTTAGTGCTCAGGAACACAAGGTTTCTTGTCTAGAGTAAGTGCACGGGAGCACTAAGTTTCTCATACAGAGTTAGTGCTTGGGAACACAAGGTTTTAGGGGCGAAGCTCCTTAGGGTCTAGCCATGTCCGTATGTCTGTCCGATGTCCGGCGTCGGGTGCTCGTGCTCCCTTGCTCGTGTAGAAAAAAAAAAAGCAACCGCATCTCCACATGTGAATGATGTTGATTGGGGCGAAGCTCTGGTGGTGCTTGTCTGCGTAGACGGTGAGCCGCAGCATGCCGGGCCTTTCGTTCATTTTTATCCATGTCAGAAAGAGAATGTGTGGTATGGAACATGGTTATATACGCATTTGAGCATTTGACCGCAGCGTGACATGGATAAAAACGGACGCAAGGCTCGGCATGCTGCGGCTCAGCGTCTACGCAGACCAGCACCACCAGAGCTTCGCCCCAATCAACATCATTCGCCACGTAGAGATGCGGTTGTTTTTCATCCAGTGTTAGCGCTCACGAGCACAAGGTTTCTCGTTCTGTTAGTGCTTGGGAACATGGTAATGAACTTTTGGTAAATCAACCTTTACCAAAAATCCCAGAATGCTGTACGCAGTGCACAACAAATTGCAGGAACGTTTTGTTTGTTGCTTGCTTCCGCAGCGTCCACCACGTGACACTGAAAAGAGAAAATAGTGTAGTTGCTTGCCTGCACTTCTTCCATTGCCTTTAATGTCGCATCTCATCTACTACAGCTTGTTCTATACAGGCTGTTCCCTTTTGGTGTCGTGGATGAGCAACGCCATCCACGACACCTCACAGGAGGTATTTTGGCAAGAGGCAGGCAGCAATGTATTTTAGCTTAACCCCTTGCCTACTAATAACAACTGTCACTTGCTCCACCCCTTACGGATTATAAAGCTCCGACCACGAGTGTGACTTGCGTTTTGGTTTCGACGCTTGTTTAGCGCGCTCTGTGGCAGATGGCAAAACCACCCCTGTTGCTCCATTTACCTTGGGCAGTTTGCTCGTTTGTTTTGCTGTTGGCTGAGAGAGAACGCTCCATTTAGCCAAGAAAAAGAGGCAGTTGTTTGTGAGCGTGCACGCTGAAACAATCTGGTTTTGGCGCAGAGCTCCACTTCAGCCGACAAAGAGATATACAAAATCTTTTTTTTTAATGGGATTAATGCTCAGGCGTATGTGACGACGAATCCTTCGGCCTTTCTGATTATTAGGAATCGGACGATAGTTTGATGGGCAGTGAAAAGAGCGATGAAAACGATGTGACTCCTCCAAACATTCCATCAACTTTGTCGTCCGCACGTCAGTGGGACTCAGATGTGAAGTCCTGATTCAGAGCAACATATGACACCTGGAAGTTGACGAAATATTTTCGTCTCACTTTAATGCAAATTGTCTGTTTAGAATAAAGAATTGCTGTACGTTCCTTGAAGAAAAAAAGGAGTGGGCAAGTTATAGCTCATGGTCGTTGTTGGTAGTGCTGAGCTCTAGTTGGACAATTTTTCGTTATTCTGTGGGTTACTAGACAGTTATATCAGTCCACACATATGTGGTATCTTGCAAAACGAGCGAGGATTATTAATGCATTTGGTTTTGGGTGTTGGTTACTCGTGTCCTGTCCTGAATGCCTTGAACACTGACAACCATTCGAAAACGACAACTGCATGTCCAGGTAGGGTAGATGTAGCATGCAGAAGCATATTTTGGAACACTGAAAAGAGCCATTGTGGTGGGCACCTGTCGGTAATGCCTGGCGTCACCAAGGACACGTGAGATCTCTGCTCGTGTTGGAAAACTCCCTCAGGTTTTTTTTCGGGGATGTCTCGAAAACTTTTGGCTACCCTCGAACGAAAACTTTTTGGCTACCCTTGCCGAGGCTGAAGCCTCGGCGAGGGTAGCCAAAAATGCAGAGTGCGCTGCTTCTTACTTTAGAACTTTTTAGTTGTTGGAGCTCTGCCAATTCTCCAAGGCACGAAAATCTGAGAGGCGGATTGAGGTACCCAGAACAAGGTATTAACAATCATCCATGGACAAAACATTCATATCAGCTTATGACGTAAAATTAATTGACTCATTAAAAAGCTCGTAGATGAGTCACCTAGCCCTATTCACCACCTCCCATCCTGAGAGGTGGCTTCTTCCCGTCCTGATGGCCGCACACGATCGGTGGCGAGCCGTTGTCACGGGGCAGGCTGTCAGACACAAAAATGCAAATGTTGGCGTTGCAGAAATGACGCTCTCCCACAGGCTGCAGGGCAGGGCCCACAAGCACAACCTCATAGTGGCCTCGTACGACATTGTGCGCAACGACATCGACTTCTTCGGTGCCATTTCCTGGAACTACTGCATCCTGGACGAAGGGCACATCATCAAGAACGGCAGGACCAAGGTCTGTCCTTTCTCCTCACGCACCCGTTTCTCGCCAAGGATTTGTTTCGAGTGTGCGCGGGGAGCGTACGTGTGCAGCAGCTCGAGACTGGTTCGCACATGTGTGTTTGACTGTGGTCAGTTGCGTTGCCAGATCTCGAACCCGCTTATGAGAGAAAGAAGTGGCGCCATCGACCGGCTAGCCCTGGAACGCAGTAAGCCCCTGTGTATGTAAAAGTAACGCGATTCATTATTAAGAAATATTTCTACCTCACCGGCACTTCTGCTCAAAAATGGCTCCGTACAGTTGGAAAAAAAAGAGCCTGGTAGAGGAAAAAGTGGGTTTCATTTTCGCTTACAGGGGCTTTAGTCACAAGCGGTTGCTACACAGCTGATCGCACGGAAACCGAAATGTGTGAGCCGGTCTTAAAAGGGGCACTCGAGTGCTTTCTGTAGAAGCTTGTTTTTGATGGCATATTGTTTGTTGGGCTTTAGTCGATAAAAATGACCAGTTATAGATGGCAAGACGTTCTAGTAAACTCGTAGCAACGGAAATAATCGGGCACTATCTTCCTCCGGGGGGTGGGGGGGGGTCATCCTGGGTTCCCCACCATCTCCATAAAATTTCACCAATAAAAATAGTGAATTGCGTGACAATTCCGAACGTTACTATTATTGCTCTCTCTAGGTACATTGTGCATTATGTTTTGAAAAAACATGAAATCTTTGGGCGTAGGAGAAGCAATACAGAAATTACTGTTTCAAAAGCACCCTTTGACAAAGCGCCTGGTATCTGCTCTAGGGTGCTGGAAGGGGACGTGTTATGAACTTTGATTTATTTTGTAGAGAAATGGACCGCCCATGAGTGTATTTTCTGGGTTTTCTTATGCTTGGAGCCCGTATATTGAGTTATCATTATAAATAGACTATCTCATAATCCCTTTGAGTGTCCCTTTAAAAGCTGCATTCTTTACCCGTGCCCTGCTCTGGGAGGGAGCAAGTTCCGGTGCGATTGGGGTGTTGACCCGTTCTGCCCCGGCGTTAACCCGTTTTGCAGCTGGCGCGTGCCATGAAGCAGCTGCAGGCCAACCACCGGCTGATCCTGACGGGCACCCCGATCCAGAACCAAGTGCTGGACCTGTGGTCCCTCTTCGACTTCCTCATGCCGGGCTTCCTGGGCACGGAGCGCCAGTTTGCAGCCCGCTTCAGCAAGCCCATCCTGCAGTCAAGGGACGCCAAGTCCTCGTCCAAGGAGCAGGAGGCCGGTACGCTGCAGCCTGCCCTCGATAGGATTAAAACGTGACGCCCACCATGTGACCACGTGGTGGGTCACGTCACGTGTCCCACCACGTCAAGTCACGTGATCATGTCAAGTCACTTGACCACGTCATGTGATGTGGTGTCGGGTCACGTGATGGATGTCACGAAATGATGATGTAATGTCACGTGTGTTATGTACTTGGTTCTTATCAATCTTTAGCCCTTTGCAATCATGAGTCAGACATGGCCCAACTTTTGTTTCAACATTTGTTGGAAGTTTCTTTAATGCTTTATTCTTGTTCGAGCTTCTCCCATAGAAACCAAAAGTGTACGTAAACCGAAGACTTGTGTACGCTTTGAATTTAGCTGGCACGACAAAGTATTGCCTTGTTTTCGCCACACACATTTTATGGAAACTTGTTGCGTGATTTTGTGGAAAGTGAAGATGATGATAGAGAGTATAGTACTAAATACTCAAATCTGAAAACTACCTGAGGAAGTACTAAATAGTACTCGAAAAAAGTAACTTGATACTTTCAAAACACTCTGAAGTTACAATTTATTCTGAAATTTACTGTTAAAGAACTATGAAAAAAATTATTATAAAAAAACGCCATTACCAAAACACTTTATTGGCTGACAGGAACAGCTGTTCTTCAAAATTTGTGTCCGACAACTTGCCCCCGTTTTTAAATGCATGTTTGCTGACGCGAAACAGGCGCTCTATGAAGACTGGAAAGGGAGGCCACCCACGCGCCAACAAATTGAGCAGTAGATTGCGAGTAACTTACAAAGTAAGTACAAGTTACTTGCAAAAATGTATTTAAGTTAGAGCACTAATACTCACCTTCAAAAGTAATTGTAGAATACCAAATTATTCATAAGAGTATTTAAAATATGGTAACTTGAGTACAGTATTTAAGTTACACACAAGTCTGCAACAATGCAGTCCGTCACGCACTCGGCACTCGTGCATAACACTGAAACACACGACAGCCACAAGGTCTTGCTCAGTGAAAGCCTGATCGAATGTGCAAGAATTGTTGCAGCGTGCTAGACGAGTTTTGACTGGAGCTTCTTGACATGGACCCAGAAGAGCACCGGAACCTGCGTCACGTCAACTGGACAAAGTTTCTGCAGTTTCTTTCGTGCATGGAACCAAGAATCGCGCAACAAGATGAACCAGCGAATGCACAAAACACAACGATGTGCCATTTTTGTTTTGATCGTCAAAAAAAAAAAAAAAAAAGAAAACATTAGACTGTTCCTAGGTTACCTAAACGCTTTTCAAGTCAATCTCCTGCCAAAACTCCACAAGTGAAAAGGGGCTCGACCTTATCAGACTGCAGAGAAGGTGCGAATTGCACGAATCTGTGTTGTGCCGGTCTCGTGGTACACAGTCCGCGGACAAAAATCTCGATTCGGTTCGTCGTGTGATTCGGCTATAAACAACACCGGGAAAACCATAGACTTTGCTTGCGTCGTAACTGCTGCAGACTTCCTAATGGTGCCGCCGCGCCAAGGCCGTACTCTGTACAATGAATGAGCTCGGAGGGAATGGCTGGCTTATTGGCTCGCAACCAGTATTGTGCCCACACTTACCACCAACAAGAGGTTGCCAGTGCCGCGCGTACACAGTGATGAGAGGATCCTGAGGTGTGCGAACATGCTACAGTTGTTGCTTTTCCTTCTTCGCACATTGAGGGGTAAAAACTTCATTTCTTCCTGCCTCGTCAGCTATGATTCCTAACTACGCCAAAGTAAATTTAAGGAAATAATTTCGCAGATGCTGTTTTCATTTTGAAACAGTGTGACTAGATATGGACGAAGAGAGACTGGACGTCTTGAATGCTAACAACTAAGTGGTTTTATTTTCTTTGCCGTGACCCATTTTCAAAAAATAATTTCTGACCAGAACGACCATGAAGTTGGTGAGGGTGTCTGACCGCAAAGGAATAATCCTTCTAAACACGTCCTAAAACCTAAACGTGTCTTAAACGCACTCTTCCGACACCACATTTTTCGCAAGCACGATGACGCACTTGCCCTTCCAGCGACTCCGCAAGAGTTCCCTCGCCCTCCGCTGCCACACCACCACTAGGGGCAACCTTGTCGGGCCAGCCCGGTCCCTCACATGTGACAGTGTCACATGACGAGACGTCATCTGACGCTGTGTCACATGACGTTATGTGACACTGTCACATAACATGACACTGTGACAGTCATGTGATGTGACATCACAAACACTGCCACATGATGTGATTCATGTGACACCATGTTACATGACATGACATTATGTGGAACAATGGGACAATCAGATAATGTGACATGACATGATTCATGTAACAGTCACAAGACCATATGACACTGCATCACATGGCGTGACGTTACACACTGTCACAATGCGCAATGCTAAGCAACACAGTGTCACATTACGTGACACCACGTGACTACCCCCTTATAATTACGTGAGTGCATGTTTAGTGTGCCAAAGGACACGCACGACTATTGTACAGATCTCTGGCACGAACCAGAGACAAGGCATAGTTTTTTTACAAGTGCTGACAACCATGCATTGTTGCGAGCACTGGAAGAACAACGCGACCTTCAATAGGGCTTGGGTGTCTCGTGAGCTTGGAGCATGCCCGCGCAGCCAGAGCATGACGAAAGGCAAGGAGCGCTTGCTAGAGCCCGGGCTTCGGAAAGAGGTGCCCTGCCATTCTGGTCCCGTCAGTGACTCCGGCCCATGCGTGCCTGTGCAGGGGTGCTGGCCATGGAGTCCCTGCATCGGCAGGTGCTGCCCTTCCTACTGCGTAGGGTGAAGGAGGACGTGCTGCAGGACCTGCCCCCCAAGATCCTGCAGGACTACTACTGCGAGCTGAGTCCCCTGCAGGTGCAGCTGTACGAGGACTTCGCCCGCAGCCGGGCCAAGAAGTCCCTGGACGAGACCGTCGAGGCCGGAGGAGACGGCAGCCATGCCATGCCCCACGTCTTCCAGGTACAAACCTGGAGGGGGCCAACTCTACCCTCTCCTCTATTGCACACTGATGCAGTGGAGATGTGGAAAGGGCAGCTACCCTCTCCACTCTACTGTGTGTTGAACCAGTGCAAATGTGGAAAGTGCAACTGCCCTCTCCACTTCTGCTGCCTTCTCTGCTCCACTGTAAATTGATACGAGTACAAATCTGGAAAAGGCAACTCTACTCTCTCCACTCCCGCTGCCTTCTCCACTCTACTGTGCATTGATGTGGAACGAATCTGGAGAGGGTAACTGCATCCTCTCTTCTTCTGCTACCTGCTCTACTGCCAGGCCACTCACACGGGCAAAATCTGAGTTGGCATTCGTTAGAGTGCAGTTTTGTTTTGTGCAGGCGCTTCAGTACCTGCGCAAGGTGTGCAACCACCCGAAGTTGGTGCTCAACGCCCAGCACCCAGAGTACGAGCGCATCCACGCCAGCCTGGAGCAGAACAAGACTCCGTTGTCCGACATCGGGCACGCGGCCAAGCTGGGAGCCCTCAGGTCGGTCGGAGCGTGCCGTCCTCCAGCTCTTCTAGGGAGCCGGCCAAAGTATTCCCCTGCGTCGTTTTATGCGTCAGAACCGATGCACGGTTTTTGTAGAGCAAGAAATTTGACCCGGTTAAGATAGTGCATATGGAAGTTGGATTTATGTATAACGATCGTCTTTTGACGCATCGTGCTATTCCAGCAAACACTCCAGCCGTGTTAACAAAATGTGCAGGCTAAATGAATTGATGAGCGTGTGATTGGAAGTCTGGAAAAAAAAAAAAAAGAAGAAACACGTAAAATAAGTTTATTCTTTCTTCCCCGAAAAGGTGCCGTAGAACTCCGTTAATATGTTTCGTAGGGGACTGCTCTGAAAAAACAAATGTATGATTCTGGAAAATATGACACAACCAATTATGCTCGGGGGGGCCCACAGCTCCCCCACATCAGCCACAGCTTCTAGCAGGTCGGCACATAGCGCTGGAGCCGTTATCATCTGTTCGCTGTACTGAAAGCCAATTTCCTTTTTAGCTCAGTAGCTAGAACGCTGGGCTAGTCTTTGAAAGGTCCTGGCACTAAAGCTCAACCCAGGCGAATAATTTTTAATGGCTCGCCAGTAGCCTAGAGGGTGCGAGTTGCGCTCCATCTCAAGCGGGAGTCAATTTGTTCTCGCGTAAATATTCTCCCCCAAGTGGTGGGTATTCAAACTGGATTCCTAGGGAGCCAGGGGTTCCCCAAAGCACCCACACGAGTTCCCCCGGGACCCAAATTTTCTAGGCAGTCCCCTGCCCATAAGTGAAGTGTCGTTCCATTTTGAGTGCCATTTTAGCAGGTATCTACTACAAGCCGCACGCACTATGAGCTAACCAGTCTCCCCGTGTGCATTATTGTTTGAAAGGTGTCGCTGCTTTTGTTGCATCTGTGCTGAGCTCTGGGGAGGTTCCCTGAGACAAATGGACATTCCTCAAAATCTAAAAGTTTGAAAATTCCAGCCTTAGGCTGTTACATCTGTAGTTGGTGACAGGTTCAGAATCCAGTACAGTAAACCCTGGTGAACTCCAAGTCATAAAAACTAGGAAATAAATGAGATCAGTGGAGTTTTCAGATGAGTGAGGTACGGAATTTTTATTTGTACTGATTGGGGTGCATTATGTGTATGTGGAGATGAGATGAGACAGCAAAACCAAAAGCAGAAACAAAAATGCACGCACACGCGCGTGCGTGCACACACACACACACACACACACACACACGTGCCGGAGGGGGGGGGGGGGGGGTCGGGGGGTGCATGTTGAGCACCAAACTCCAAGCCAAGATTTGGAGGAGGAGAAAAGAAGTAGGACAAAAAATGTGCACTTTGCCACGTGCATGACAGGGGACTTTTTTCTGTTTTTGTTTTGTTTTGCCTGTTTGTGAGGTCTGCTATGATGCAGAACTTTCTTCTTTTTTCTCTTCGTGTTTTCGTTTTCAAATTCCTGCTTCTTTGTCAACCAGTGTTTTGGTCTTCGTTGTCGCTGTGCCCTGCCTGTCTTTGTTTTTTAATCTTTGTTTGACAATATCTTGATATATCTGAAGTCCCTCCCGAAAAATTTTCGAGATAAGCAATGGGTGAATGCATCCTGCCTGCAGGAGTTCATTCTACAGCAGAAAGCAACAAGCACGTGCTGAAAACAAGAAAACCACTTGGTTCTCAAGGCCCAGCCGACTACAACCATTCCTGCTGTGCAGTGTTTCTGTTATCTGGAGAACTATAAATTGAATGTTTTGATTGCCCCTTAGAACAAGGGCAGCGATGGCCGCCGTCACCCAAACGAATCGTCGCCCCTGACGCCTCTCTGTCGTTGCAGGCAGCTGCTGCTGGACTGCGGCATCGGCAGCTCATCTGGCGGCGAGCAGGAGAGCGTGGTGCACGCCCACCGGGCTCTCGTCTTCTGCCAGCTCAAGAGCATGCTCGACATCGTGGAGAGGGACCTGCTCAGGTAGGGGGGAGGAGGGCGGGTCTGCCGTGTTGTACCGTGCAGGCCCAGTGACTCGTTTTCGACGGACAGCAAGCGTAGGTTTCTCGCCGTGTCACGCCGCGACTTTCCAGGGAGGTGTCGCTAGGCGGTGGATTAGGCATGCCGAATTTTCAAAGGACGAACTTGCCTGTGTAGAAAGTAAGAAAAGAAGAACGATTTCTCTCGGTCTACGGCGTCCGTCCGCAAGTTACGCGTGTCCGACTGGCGTCGTAGTCAACGGACGGCTACGGCAGTTGTCCCAAAATGTACCGCAAGTCGCTCTCTGGAACTGCGCTGCCACGCCAAGAGTAGACACCTTTTTTTAGACAGAAATGTTGCACACTTTATGGGTGTTAGTTGCCGGAGCGCGATTTTGTCATCTTTCCGTACGAAACGCATTAAACGAGCACAAAATTAGCAAAAAAGAAGGCTTGCACGATTATTTTGGCTGTAGAGGTGACGGCTTTTAAGAACCACTGCCTGCGTCTGTCGGCTGTTGCAACAGTTGGACGTGTGTCGTCTTGCAGGGGGATGCCGTAGACAGAGAAAGAGTTACTATTTTTTCCCATTTATTTGGGTAATTCCACTCCTTGAAAATTCTGATACACAGAACCCACCGCATATGGGCACCTCTGTACTAAATTGCAGCAGGAAACGAGGAAAAGTCGATTCTCGCGGCTTGTTTAAAGTGTGTTGGGTTCCTTGGGCCCATGCTGCAGAGAAATCAAGCACGTCTTAAGCGCCTCCCCCCCCCCCTTGATGCAGGGCGCACATGCCCGGCGTGAGCTACCTGCGCCTGGACGGCAGCGTGGCGCCCGGCCAGCGTCACGCACTGGTGCACCGCTTTAACACGGATCCCTCGATGGACGTGCTGCTGCTCACCACTCAGGTCGGGGGCCTGGGCCTCAACCTGACCGGGGCCGACACCGTCATCTTCGTGGAGCATGACTGGAACCCCATGAAGGACCTCCAGGTGCGCTCCCCTTTTTGCCCCCACGGTTCCCTAAGCGGGACGTAGACAGCCTAGTTTATGGGCCAACGTTGGCCAGGGTATGTTTGAGGTTGGGCTGGTCTCTGCCTATGTTGGGCAAAGGTTGGAACAGTCATTGGGTCAAGGTCGGGCCAACATTGGCCAGGGTTTGTTCGAGGTTGGGTTGACCTCTGCCAGTGTTGGGCAAAGGTGGAACAGTCATCGGGTCAACGTTGGGCAATCATTGCACAGACCTGGTCATACGTTGGGTCAAGGCAGGCCCACATTAGTCTTGATATTAGTCTCAATAGGGCTGCCATCAGCCAAGGTTGAGACGCCGTTGGTCAAGGTTATTATTTGAGGTTGTGCTGCCGTTGTCCGAGGTAGGACTGGCATTAGTCAAGGCCGAGCTGTTGTTGGCCGATGTGGGGCTTCTGTAGTAAATGTTGCATCTCCCACGGCCGTTTGGGGGCAGTGTCGAGGCCGAAAGAGCACCCTTCCTCACGGAGGTTGTCCGAATTCTTGCAGGCCATGGACCGTGCGCACCGCATCGGCCAGAAGAAGGTGGTGAACGTGTACCGGCTCATCACTCGGGGTACCTTGGAGGAGAAGATCATGGGGTAAGGCTCTCTTCCCGGGCACTGAACACCCGTTTGAGTCGTCACTCGAAACCTGTTGCAGTCCTTTGCCAGAGGGTATCGTAGTTCGTCTTTTTAGTCTCAGCTCTTACCTGCCCCAATTTGACAACCACCTACTGTGGTCAGTGTCACTTGGATTGCAAGCATTTGCTTTGAGGTGCTGGTTTCCCTGCTTAAAAGATAACCCGCCGTTATTTGACAACCATCTACCATGGTCATTCTCACTTGCCAGCATCTGCTTTGAGGCATTGGTACAACTATAGTAACCAAGTGCAGAGTCTTCTCGCAGAGAAACCCCCGTCATCACGATGAGCTTAAGAGTCGAGACACTGTCCTGCCGAGAACATCACGGCACGAGCGAGAAGCAAGGGCTCATACCACCGTCTTGCGTGCGCAGCCTGCAGAAGTTCAAGCTGACAGTGGCCAACACAATCATCACGCCGGAGAACAGCAGCCTGCAGACGATGGGCACGGACCAGCTGTTGGACCTGTTCACCCTGAATCCAGCCGCACAGTCCCCGGCCCCCAGCAGGGACACCGAGGGGGGCCCCAAGGGGCTCAGCCTGCCTGAGCTGTGGGACTCCACCAAGTACGACTCGGAGTACGACCTCACCAGCTTCCTCAACACCCTACGGCCCAAGTGAAGTCCTCGCGCGGTGGATGGCGCTCTCACTAGGACCTTTGATGCCAATGCGGACCTTCGGCTTAACGGCTTGTGCTTGGGGTCCCTTCTGATGGAAACCTCTCGGGGGTGGACAGTGCCCTCACAAGGTGGGTGGCATCCTTATTGGGTTGACAGTGTCCTCACGCTGTTGATGACAGCATCCTCACAATGGTGACGGCGTCCTCAAGGGGTGGGCAGCACCGATCGCAAGGACCTTTCATGCCACTGTGGATGAGGAACCCAGTTAAACGACTCGTGCTTGTGGTCACTCGTGACTGGCGTCTTGCGAGGAGCGGTCCTCGGCCACGCAAGCGGGACTTTTCTAGGGATGTCAGCCACCACGTGCAAGTGCTCTTCGATGTCGTCGAAGCACCTGTCTACGTTAAACGTAAAGTCGGCCGACGGCCTTTCGACTAGTGCCAAGTTGCGCACAAACCGTCGCTGCGCTCGCTTGTTGTTGGAGGGAGGCGTAACTTAAGAACCAATAAAACACGGACAGAAATAATGCGAGTTTGAATGAAATATGTGTCTGTGACTGCTTTGCACTGAGGAACCACGTGAGCAAAGGCACGTGGAACCCCGAATTAATGTCTGCCCATGGTGAGGATGGAAACGGCGAAACTTATGGGACGAGCAACGTCTGGAGATACAACAGCAAATGTGTGGGAGCCTGCTACGAACGCCGATAACACGCGAGCCGATACCGCAGTTTGTGAAAGTAGCAATCTTGCATTCCAGGATCACACTTGAAACCCATCTCAGATTTGCAAGTGTGTCATTTCCGAACCAGCTTGCCTGCATTCTCTCACTTCTTACAATTCTAGAGAGCTATCTTTTTTTATTGCGAAGCTGTTTATGGCTAGGGTTCTGGGAATTTTTTGTGAGCAGTGACTAAACATTTTTCACTCTTGCTGCCGCATGCACCTCACGCGCATGCCTTCCACATATTAAAGATTCGAAGTAAATAACGGAAATAAAACATTGACGAACGCACATGCTAAATGCCATTCATTTTAGGCTTTTACTTTAGAACGGTTGCCGCTGCAGACGCCAGCACGTGCAGCGTGTGCTACACATTCCCTGCATTCTCCTTGATGCTTGGGTAATTTAGCAATGGGTCTATTCAGTGGATTACTTCTCAATAGGCACCATTATGAAGATCAGTTGACTTTCAAGTAGATATTGAAGGTTTCTCAAAGATATGCCGCTGTGGGACCCGCGTCGGCCATGTCTACGCTCGCACCGCCTTCTCTGTGTCGTCGTTCCAAGCCGCTTGCGTGCCCAGTTTTTTTCCTTCTGCTCTCCCGGGGTAGTGGTCCCGTCGCGCATGTCTACTTTCCACCGGGTGGCAGTCCCGTCACACGTGTCTAGTTTCCTCCAGCTTCTCAGGGCGGGTCTGTGTCGTGTGCTAAACAGCTTCGCTGGTTATCCACCATCACAGGGTGGAATGACTATTGATCTTTTTACTTAAAGGGCCCATAAAACGAATTTTGGGCTGGATTAAATCAATTTATATTTGGATATTACTAATAGCACATTGTTCAGCGGGCCAAAAGAAAAAAGGTAGAAAGTCAAAAGCCTGACTTTCGGTACGAAAATTTGAAAACACGGTGGAATATTTTGTACCTCCTTCCCTTCGTAAGCTCTCTGGCTTTTTACTGTGATACATCCGCAGTCCCCGCAGCGCGTCACCGGGCCCAAACGCACGCCACACGACACCGGATCTCAGTTATTCCCTTCACCCCAAAGCTGACATTGTGGTGGAAGCTACGCGCTTGCCGGACCGATCAGCCGCCTCCCTTTCATCACCTGACCTCATTCTCTGCACGTCGGTACGCGCGAAAGAGAGTGATCACGTGGCAAAAGTGTGGCTGGCCCAACGAGCACGTAGCTTCCTCAGCACTGTCAGCTTCGAGGTGAACGGTGTGGGGAAAGCAACTTTTGTCTGAATTTTGAGCGACGGGCTAATCTTTTAGGGGGAGAATGGCTGTGTCCAGCCACACAAACGAGAGTCCGAGCAAGAGGGGACTCCCCACTTTCCGTCTTCTTGAACTGTTTGGTAGAATGCGCGATTTTTGAGTTGATGAGGGAAGCTAAACAGGAAAAATTTGGAAAAGTGTTTCTTGACCCCTTTAAGTTGCTTTCTCAATCCATGTAGAAGTGACCTCCTTACAAGTGGCTGCAGCACTGGCTACTTACGTTTCACTTGCATCAGCAGCCCACACGCCACGCATGGTGCCATGCCGTATCATGCAGCAGCAGGCACGCGAATGAGCAGCTTTCATCACCTAGCCAAGAGCAAACATGAAAGGCCTGCAGACCGCATGCCTCTATTGCCGTCGACTTTGCGCCACAACCTTCCACCCGACACAGTGGTGTGTGCAAATAGGCGCATGCTCCCTTGTGTGTGCACTACTGCAAGTGGCAATTAGCAATAAAGATGGCAAGAGCATATCACACGCTTGTGTAGAACTAGGATTTTATATACTGGTACCCATTACTATATTAGTACCAAGTTTACACGAAAATCCCAAAGAGTACCGTTCAGAATTTCCAACACTATTTTCTAAATTTTGACTTTACAGCGGGCTGATGTATGAAATGGTAAATAAGAAATCTTGGAATGTCGTTTGTAACAATAAATTATTTTGCTTGTCGCTGCATTTATTCCTACGCTGCAATTGATGTAAAACAAGGTACTATGCTGGTCTTGTTGGAGGCGTGACCTGGCATTGCCCTCTTACCTACCCACTTTGTGATCCCAGAATGTTCTCTTTAATCTGAAAGCATGGCTGGTGGAGCAAGTGCTGGTCGACACGACAATGAATCTGGCGGGGCAGTTTAGGTTTCGGTATTTTTCACCCTACAGATGGGCAATCTTTTGGGAGAGGTACTCACCCTGGACTTTTTGGTAATGCGGAATGTTTTGAAAAAGTCAATATCAGGAATGTTAATTTCTTTGGTGTGATCCCGAGCAGGTACTCCTTGTAAAGGTCTGAAGACAAGGGAAACAACGGAACTTACCATTTGAAACTGAATGTTGCAGAGCACTTTGTTGAACAGCAGCAGACAAAGCTCAAATGTGGGCAGACATTTTATTGGTCTTTTATATGAAAGAAAGACATCAAAACGATGTGGGCGGTGAAATAAATTATGCCGGTGTGACCACACACAAACGGCTAGTGCCTCAACTGGACGGGATGGCGTCGAGTATCGTGCAGGCTTCTTTAAAAATAACTTAATGGCGAATCGTCGCAAAATATGTACCGCGTGGTCAGTACAACAGCAAAAATGTTTGTTCAATCATCGAAACAAAAACTTGCCAAATTACATAGATTGCATAGATCCCAGAAGTGAGGCACTCGTCGAAAACTCATAAAAAAACGTACAACCCAAAACGGTGATGGGTGAAAAATGTATCGCACGCATGCGACACAAAATGGAGTCTTTCTGGAGATAGAGCAAGGTGCACAAGCCAGCCACCATCAAAGGCCTGCATGCCTCGCTCGGAAGGTCCTAGCTGCCGGGAAGGCCTAGAACTCGTCGTGCTTGACGCCGCCGGCATGTCCCTGCTGCTGCCAGAACTCGTGGGGCAGGATGCCCATGAAGTAGTCTGGGGCAGCAGCCAGTTCCTCCCTGGTCAGCTTAGTGTCCTGGTTAATGTCCCCGACAGAGATGAGCCTCCAGGCCTCGCCTTCTTCCCGGTCGTGGCTGGGCAGCACCCAGTCCCTCATCTCGTCCATGTTCAGGGCACCGTCCTTGTCCTTGTCCAGGTAGGTGGAGAAGTGGCTTTGCTGGGCCTGCAGCTCGGGGAAGGCACATTTTCCCATCAGCCTATCTTTTCTCGTGTCCCGTGTGGCATCGCAGACTCGAGACGGATGCAAAAAATAATTAGTCACTGGCTCCTTCGAGTTAGCAGCAGCAACTACAGTAATGGGTCGTTGAAAGGGGCTACTTCCCTTCGCTGAACTGCAGACGATACTGCAGAACTTTACTAGCACAATGCCAGCACAGTCTCATGTCCACTCCCGGCTTTCTTTGAGTCTAAACAAAGCTGTGGGCAGATTGGTAATACTATGCCTCAAAATAATTGATTCAATTCGCAAGGGAACCACAATGATTTCCTTGACGGGTCGGATAGGTAATCATGTTGTGTGTATGTTTATATGGCGAGAAGTTAGTAGTCGGCCTCAATGGGCGTCTCATCTCTGGGTCGGATCCGTGCAATCAGAACGGTCGGAACGCCACGATTTCCTCTGCTCGCACACCTTGTGGGAAAGGGTGCCAGCAAGGAACACTTTCCTTCAACACCTTTTAGATAAGGATGTAGTACTTTCTATGTCATCCACCAGAGGCCAGCATGGATTGGACACGAGTGCTGTGTCAGCATTTGGATGACACTCGTGTCCTTGCTGACTGAAGCTCGAGTCCCAGCCAAATGCCAATGCAGCACTAGTCTCCGGTCTGTGCTCCACACTCACCTCCGTTTGGTGATGTCAAAAATTGAACACTCTAAGGCCCTGTTATCTAGCAGATGTTGGGCAAGGACGACCCACCTGTGACCAGTCCTTGTCCTTGTCCTTCTCCGGCCCAGAGACCTTACGCAGATGCTGCATGTACTCCTCGAAGGAAACCTCCCCACTCTTGTCAGAGTCCATCATCTCGGTGGCCTCGAGCACCACCACGTGGCGCACGCGGTCATCCTCCTCCGGATGCAGGAAGCTCTTGAACTCGGACTTGTCCAGGGCACCGTCGCCGTCCGCGTCGGCCAGCTTCCAGCGGCGCTCTGTGCGCTCTAGCATCTGGCGGCCGGTGGCTCCATCTTCCCCCTTCTCCTCCAGGTCTGCATGCAAAACGTGCGTTCTTGAGTCACTAGAGCGAACACGACCCTCAGTAGCAGCCACCATAGACAACAGGTCTTCAGTGTCTGTAGAACTTCAGTCTACAATTGCCCAAGGTTCTAGACTGCAGTACTTTGGTTGACAGTGACCCAAAGTTCAAGGCTGGAGAACTTTGGTCTACAATGGCCCCAAGTTCAAGGCTGCAGAACTTTAGTCTACAATGGCTGCAGAACTTTGGTCTAGAATGGCCCAAAGTTCTGGGCTGCAGAACTTCCGTCTACAATGGCACAAAGTTCAAGGCTGCAGAACTCTGGTGTACAATGGCTGTACACTTCGGTCTACAATGGCCCCAAATTTGAGGCTGCCGAATTTAGGTCTACAGTGGCTGCAGAACTTCGGCCTAAAATACCGCAAACTTTGAGGCACCTTGTACCGCTAGAAAGCTGGAAAGGGTGCCACGACACCACCTTTTCCTCTTAAGAAGCGTGTTCTGTATCGCAACAGCAATCATCTGGACTATCCAGTTTCTGTTTGTATTATCTCAAAAGAAATGCTGAATCGTCTATCATCTGCTGGCATGTACATAAAATTGTCCAAATTAGTTTGGTTTCACTAGGCGACATGGAAATATTCTTGACACAATGAATTTGTATGACCTCAAGTCAATTTATTACGTGGAGCAAGCTAATGAAGCTTCAGTGCTCCCCCCCCTCTCCACCTTCCCCTCCCCGTATGTAAAAAAAACCCTTATGTACCACGGATGGATTTATTAATCGCCGCGAAACTACCAAATTATTAACTAAATACAATTTTAAAAGGCTCGAATTCTCAGCAATAAGCAACTTGCCTCGTCTAATTCTAAGCACAAAAAAATAATAAAAATAAAAAATATTGCACTGGACATTGTTTTGTTTTATCTGTTTCTCGGCTCTTCTCATGTTCAGTCCAAACATTTTAGATAGGAAAAGTGGAGGGGGAAAGAAGGGAGGGGGGGGGGGGTTGAAATTGAGAAAAGACGCGACGAAGACCTGCGCCACCTGGCCATTGATTTTACTTATTTCACAACTCTTTAATTCAAATTATTTTATTGACCCCCGCCTATATTTACTACCGAACGTTCCCGACGCAACCGTGGTGTGGTCCAGGCTGGTTACACCCTGGGAAAACACGGATGCCCTTCCTATCTAAATATATATTTATTTATTTTTTACTTTTTTTCAGATACGCAGGTCAATTTATATTTGTTTTCAAGTGGCCGCTAAAAATAAACAAATAAATGCGGGCACGCAGGAAGGCGGCGGCTCGTCTATTGATACTTGCATGTAAACGTGGTCACCGCGGACGGGAACAGACTTTGATCGCTTTGAGCCATGAAACTCGAAAGAAGATGAGCTGTTTGTTCCCTTTGATATTGTTGCCGAGAGTACCCTCCACGTCGAAAGTAGGAAACGTACCATATGCATTTTCTTACTATCTTTACGTCGCGCAAAGTTGGTGCAAGTTTAAGAGGATCGCGTACGTTTTGCACTGCGACAACGATACCGTCCATACTGCGCAGGCGCCATCACGCAAGCGAGATTCCGCCATGTTGAAAGACCATTTTCCGGATAGCTCTCCAATATGGCAGACTCCGGTGACATAGCACAGGAGGAAAGCGAAGACGTTACGACGCTGATGCACTGGGTCAAGCGTACTGTGATGGTTGACTCGTGCCAACAGACGACGTACGAACGCTTTGCCATCTAGCGTGACCTTGGTTGGCGCCGAACACGTAAATGGTGGTTTCGCGCGCTTTTTGAGCGACCTCCGGCGCGGCTGTTCGCCATTCACTGTTCGCCATGTCGTTTGCAAGCCTTCGGTGAAACACTGTTTGTAAACTAGAACAGTTTTCACACTAGTATACAGATGAGTATAAAGAGATCATACTCTTCAAGGAGTAAAAAGAGACCGGGAGGCTGTAGAGCGACCGACTGGCCTCCGCGATTTTCCGACGAGCACATGAACTGCCTGAATATCTTGGAGGCGAACAGCTTGCAACCACCGCAGGTTCTTCGAAGAGACACCTCGCTCATTTTTAGAACTCCTGTCCACAAACCTAGCGCTCATATAAATTCTGCGGCGTAAATCATTGGGGCCTTGCCAAGGTGCTATGGTTAGATCTGTCTGGAGGCTGAAAGGGTTTTGTGAGGCTTTCAACGGAAATTACCAGTTTCCCCAATAACCACTTGATTAATTGAAGTTTGTATTCGTCTCGTGTATATTTGGCACGTAGCTTCTTTGTACTGTGGAGCAGATAATGTACAATGTCGGCATTCCAGGAGCTCAAGGAGGTTGGTCATTTTACCATCTCGATAGCCTGGTCTACGTCTCATCTTGCGCACGCAACAAAGCTTTCCTATTGGTTACTCATAATGACGTAATTGAAGAACTGAGGAGGAAGCTCCCTGGGAAAACCTGAACTGCTTTATCTGTTAATAAATCAATTACGCACCGCATTAAAAAAAATTAGGGGCATTATTAGGAAATATAATATATGTCGGAATAATGAAGTAATTATTTTCGAGTAATTAATTTTTATTATTAAATTTAAGAGCATGATCTTAATTAAAAACTTGATGGGCGTCATTTCCAGAAAGATGTAAGGCGTGGGCATATTTAACAAAGTTCCGAAAAAGAGTACTTAATTTCGACGCGTTTCTAACTTCAGTTTTTTTTTTTTTTTTTTTTTTTTAACAGAGCGCATCTTTGCGCCAACGGTCCTGCCCCACGTGGCCAAGGCTCGCAGCTACGGCTACACCGAACAAAATATTGGTACAACCGTACTACTACAGCGGAGTATTACAGCTTTGCCTCCCTTGTAGGAAGAAAGAAAGCGTGGTACGCGTGCGTTCTGGGCCTCGACCGCGGAGAGCAGGACCGCTGACGCAAAGGTGCGCTCCGATACTTTTTTTAAACGTCGTGATGCAGGAGCTTTACATTTTTCTGGAATTGGTAGTCATATTCTATGATGCCCAGCAAGTTTCTAATTGAAACCAGGCCCTTAAATTCAATACAGTCTAAGCTCGTTATAACAGACCTTGGTTTTGACCAAGATTTTGGTCTGTTGTAAAAGGAGTATGTTGTATGCAGATATGAAGTTGAGTCAATGGCGCACAGAGGAAAACCAACCGAACTTCACAAATCGGTATGTTATATCCAAATGTCTGTTGTAACCAGGTCTGTTATATTGAGCTTAGACTAATGAAATAAGTTATTACTCGAAAATAAGGATGACTTCGGATGACTTAATTTTTCCGTTCTTTATTAACTTTTCCATACAGGCCCCTGGACAGGGACCAAAAGATATCAACCCATTTTGTGCGTGCGTGTGTGTACGATGCGTAATAGCTTTCGCAAAACCGAATTTGCCGGTGTTTCGTGAAAAATCATGTATATAATAAAAAACTAAAATTACAAGAACTTTAAAAAAAAAAAAGTTTCACGACTTTTTTACATGAATTCTGACAATGCCTAATCCGTTTTATTGGTACTTTGTCAATTTCGACGTCGTCGACTGACGTGCACGATTGCTCAGCAGATTATGAAGACTGCTGTCTTTCCATGATCCATCACCTGAAACAAACCCCCTTTGGACGCGTGCGCGCCGTCTGATATTGTGCAAAAAAAGACGGGCTGCGCATGCTCCGCGCGCGTTTTACAGCCCACTAGATTAAAGATGGCAGCGTGCACGCAGCAAACGATTATTGGACATGATAGTAAACCCCAAGACCAGGGTGTAAGATAGACAGATGGGGAAACGAGAGCGAAATAAGCGACCAGATTGTGTCCCCCTCGGGTTTCTCTTTTTCTGTGGCGCCATCTATGTGGAGCACCGCGAACTCTCATTCTAGGTTGGCGACCGGTGGCGACCGGCTAAACTGACGGAGATGGTTTCTCGTGGATTTTCAATGAAGGACTGTCGTGCTCTCGGTTTATTTTGCGCACTCTCCCATAAAGTTCCATGCAAATCCGAATTCCGATTTTTTTCCTCTCGCCGCAGCGCCATCTGTTGCAAATCGGGGGTACGCGCAAGCAGACGAGTACACAATCCGGTCACGGCGCTGCGGTAGGCTTCTATGGGCCGTTTCCCATAGAGTTATTATAATGTACGCTAGAGGTTCAAGTGGTTCAAGAGAAAAAAGGGGATGGACAATGCGTCTGTCATTTTCTTACTGCTCTAAATATTGATGGACGCATGGTAACGGCTGTTCGCTTTATAACGGGCGGTAGCTTGCGCCACCTGGCCTAAAAACCACTTAGGGTTTATTATTATGTTCAATATGCACCAGCTTGTCTGCACTTTTTTTTTTTTTAATGCGAAAGCATTAACTTTTTCACGGAGCAACCTGACGTCATTAGTTTGAAGCGCGAAAACGGCTCCTAGTTTCCGCGATCACCTTCAGTTTCATTGGCTGGCGCGCGTCGACGGGGCTCCCATTCGCCGCTGTGCCATGGCCTCCAAGTTGCCGAAGCGCGCGTAGCGCGCGCGCGCTAGTACGCAGCAGACGACAAAGGGAGTGGACGAGCAGACGACAGAGGGAGCGGACGGGCGGCTTGCATGCTTTCGCATTCACAACTCATAAGACATGCTTAAATGTACCTCAAGCCTTTTTTTTTTTTTTCGATGATCGATTATTGGAATGGTCAGCTTTGAGCGCACCTTTGTCGGGGAAGGAGAGCTTGCGGTAGGTGTCCCACTTGAGGACCTTGACTCCCGGCTGCTTCTCCTCCATGTCCTTGTCGAAGTAGAGCCACTGCTTGTCGATGCTGTCGTCGATCAGGCGGCTGTGGAACTTCTTCAGGTAGGCCTTGAGCTCGGCCGCTGTCGCGTACTGGTCCTTGTCCGTGTCCAGCTGCTCATCGAACAGCTTCTGCAGGTGCGTCTTCACCAGCTCTGTTCACACGCCGGGGGGACAGCAAGCGCGCACTGCTTTAGGTTGTCTCCGTGCTAATTTCTGTTAGCGTACTCTAATAACTGTCGTGATCTTTATTTCGACCTCGCCGCGAAAGGCAAAAAGAAAATATATATATATATATATATATTGTCACGAGACCCCACTATCTTTGTACATTGCTGAGCAATAAAAACATATGCCTGTTTTGGTCATCTCTGATCAGGACCGGCCTTACACCATCAAGTGCCCTGGCCCAGGCGTTTGCCTCCCTCATTTTGTGTACGCCCATATCTACTGAATGCGACTTCGCTTAGTAAACGTGTGAGTTGTGGTCCAACACGCGAACGTTTTGTCAGCCAAGAACCGCATTCCGAAAACGAACGGCGATCGAGCACATAACATCGTGTCGTGCGCTGTGCTCAAATAAATTTTTTTTTAAAAATCAATAGGGGGCGCGGCGGCGCTTCTCCATTGATGGTATCCTGTGCGACCGTCTAGATCGCCCACCCCCTAGGCCGGTACTGTCCCTGACAAAATTATCGTAACGTCGGTGCAATCGTGTTTATACCGAGACTCGTAGACTGATGCTGCACATGACGTCACGTGGGCCACGTGACGTGATCACGTAGCGCACCACACACAACATATGCCACGTCACGCGACGCCGATGACGTCAATTCAGTGTCGCTTTTCTGTGTCGGCCTTTTTGCTACACAGCCTCCCCTGTAAAACGCGTTTCAAAAACGAATTGAAGGACTTTATGGTCTCGGTAAACAGCCAGTTTCCCTTTCGCTGCTCTGGACCATATGACCCCGCCCCCGTGTGCTGCCTCGGTCTTTGATGATGAAAGACAGCGCGCCCTGCTTTCCAGTCAGGGTCCCTCTCTACCCCTTCCTTGCTGATGCTCTGTGCGGCAACCTATTCACGTCTTTCTGCCCTTCACTCTCGAGCTCTGTTGGGGGCGAGAGGATTTATTGCGGGCAGGCTCTTTTGCGCGGGCCCAGTCATATGAGTGCATCTCGAGAACCATCTCCTGTGTGAGCCCCACCTGTCGCGCAGACACTGACAGAAGAACGCGTGCCCGTCACGAAGCACACGGCTCCTCATTCACCTGGGTCGGGCGGCTGGTAAAACTGCTGTTGCTGTTGTTGCTGCTGCTGTTGCTGATTGCCAGTCGGCGGTGCGGGTGTGCTCGCATCATCTCCTAGCACCGCCGTGGCGGCTAGTAGCAGCACTGCCAAATAAACCTGCATTCTGAAACAACAAAACAAAAAAGCGTTAGGATTTTTGGTATTGTCCTTTCTTTCAACGCAGACCTGTGAGCCATGTATTCGAATACATGGCTCGCACTGGACGCACTAGTAATGGCTTGTATAGACGAACAGAGCCGAGAAAAACAAGATGGTATCAGAGTTGTGCGCGCCTGCCAAACACCGGCGCAAGAAAAAGTGGCACAAGCTTTCGGAAGCAGCAAAACACATGAAAGAAAACAGGTAGGAGAGGACGACGAGGTGATGCTTGGTAAAGACGCAGCGGCACGTGTCAGGGAGGCCTGGAATGGACAATACAGCTGCAATTTTATTTTACAGCGTATGACGGTTTGACCGAGAGATCAAAATACAGCTGCAATTTTATTTTACAGCGAAGCTGTTTATGGCTAGGGTTCAGTGGATTTTTCATGTGCGAGACCAAAAACTCTGCGCTCGCACCGCCGCACGCGCACGCCTTCCCTGTATGAAAGATTCGAAGTAAATAACCAAAATAAAGCGTTGACGAACGCTCGTGCAAGATGCCATCTGTTTTAGGCTTTTTGCTTTAGAACAGTTACTGCTTCCTGCTACAGACGCCGGCACGTGCGGCGACGTCTCGAGACCGTTCAAGAAGTGGTTAACGCAATTTGTGTTGGATTGCTTTGGTTTCATCTGCCACACAAATTGCGCAAACCCCACCACTCACCACCGGTCGTGCATAGATTTTACTCTGGCTAAGAACGTGCTCAAGGTTGTACCCGAGCCGATCAGTGTGTACCATGGCTACCACAAGGACATCGTCACCACCATATCGACCAAATGATCCACCGATCAAGAGAAATAATGACCACCGATCGAGATAACAATAAATGTGTGTGTGTATCCTTTCGTCACGGTGACCACCGATCAAGACAATAAGGAGTATTCACTGGGCACCATTTTTGTGGGTGCTGTCTAGAGCGCATGCTCAGAACGAGCCCACATTAATAGGCTGCTAAGACCAGCAATCTTGAGGGTGCAGAATGCACGTTACAAAAGAACTGTGGAAGCTCGCCATCAGCACGCGCTCAGCAGTCGCGCACACAGCTATGGCCGCCAGTGAATACTTCCTATTGGCGACGTGCGCGACCGAAAGCGTCGCTGTGGTCGGCCTTTCACGATTGGCCCAAAAGCTGACTATGACGTCGGAAAGGGTATACCATCGACGCAAATAAGAAGAATGAAGGAACTTTAATTTCGACGGTGTTGGCAGTGTTCCTTTGAGAGCGCAATGATTTCAGGCTTCCACCATGCTATTTACAAACACCATCGAACTTGTTGTTCGCAAGGTAATGACGTCACAAGGGGGAACCATAGGAGGGCGTCACCAAAACATCTCGCCGCTAATAAGTGTGCTCGTACCTTTGTTCAAAATTCTGTCACGTCTGTGTCGCGTGCCAAACAGTTTCGCCGGTCATACACCTTTAGAGTGGAATGGCTCATGATTTTTTTTATTGGCAAGAACATACGTCTGTGACCTAGGGGAAGGCTTCAAAATGGCGGCTGGTAAACCTGGCAGACCCACCAGCAATCTAGCCCACAGTACGCCAGCGAGAAGAATAACATTGTTTTGTAGTTGTTTCCTTGTACGCGAAGCGCTGCAATTTATGGGCAGTTGCGAAACGCAACCCAAGTATTATTATTATTTTTTTTTTCGCAACAGAGCAACGTGACGCGTCGCTGGAGTCGTCAGATTTTGATAGAGAGGCAGATTTAGAAAGCCGCGGGGTTTTCTCTCCTCAGTGCGGGGGTCGAAACGAATGTACTCTCGGTGTTTCTGCGTCATTAAAAAAAAAAAAAAAAAATCATAATAACGTTTTATTTACTTAGAAAGTTTTATCAATGAACGCGTCTTATGCTTGTCAATTATTCCGCGTTCTGAGTGGTCATCGTACGTTACAGGAAAAGGTAAAGAGAGGTGTTGGGTCAAGAAAGATCCGACTTGGGACGCAACCGGTTCTTGACCGGCGGCTTTCGCGCGAGAAGAAAAATAAATATAAAGGCCCACAATTTTGGGTTGCTAAGGCTTATTCTTGATAGTTGGGCCCGCATTTATTTACAGGTCTCCCGGACGCACCACGCTCCACGGCAAGGGCCAACCACCTCCCGTTGCGCTGACTCTTCGTCGGCGGTGTACAGACCTAGCTTGTGCGCAGCCAACCAGAAAAGAGAAACAGCCAAAATAGCAAGAATTGCGCCAGACGGTCGGTCCTTTATGTCGACCATCGCAAAATCAGTTTATATATCTTTAAAAAAAACGCGTGTGCGCATTTTTGGAAATGTTGAATTCGGCACGTTTTATTTTGTTCTCTTCTGTGCGTAAATATCCTCACTAAAAAAAAAACTAAAAAAACTATTATTTTGTTTAATTAACAGAAGAGCGTGTTGGTGCTTGTCAAGATTGAAGAAAGAATAAACATGAAGGGCGAGGACGACACCCGTTGCTAGCTGAAACATGCGGTTGTGTCGTCTTTGTCCTACATGTTGATTCTTACTTTGTTTGGCTGTTTTTTCATAGAGGTTTGTAAAGAGCCTCGGTCTCTAGTTAGTTGGTGGGTCCCTGTTTAGATGCCCAAATAGGTTCCGTCGGGGCTGCGACACAGACAGTGTCATAAAGTTATTTATTCACCATTCCGTTCCCCAACCGCCTGTTTTCATAAAAGTGTAGCAATATTTGTTTTCGTAACACTTAAAAAGAAGTGTATCAAAGTTTGTTTTCTACAACACTTGAAAATAACTGTGTTAAAAAAAAAAAGATTTCTATATAAAACATATATGTTTTATATATATGAACATATGTGTTGCAGAGCGTACGTCCCGAAAAACGTGTCAATCTTGGCATTATTGCAACTTGAAAGGTGGTCGGTCCAAGAATATCTATTCTATTTGTATTTTTTTAGCATCTAAACGACATATGAACGAAGTTAGAAAAGCATACTATTTTATTTTTTTTATATTTCAAAGATATGCAGTTTGTTTAAAAAGTGCAACATATTCTATCTCAATTTCTTTTAAAGGGACACTGACACCCCCCAAAATTTTTTTTTAATTTTTTGCCAGGCGCTTTATTATGGTGTCGGAGGACTACCCAATTAATATTTTGCAACAGAGTAGCGTATTTTTTAATAAAGCCAAAAGACGCAACTGCGCGAAACCGAAACCGAAACCCGACGGAGGTCGGAGAAGTGGAGAGAAGAGAGCGAGTGGCGGAAGTCACGTGGCTACACCCGACCGTGTTTTTTTTTTTTTTTTTTTTTTTTTCTCCTTCCCGGTAGCAGACGACATGCGGCGTACGGGAACTGTTCGCCGTGGGATTCTTTTGCAGTTATGTATGTTCCGCTCGTTGTTCTGTACTCCAAGATGAGTTGTATTGTACATTGAGGAGTTGGAGATGAGTGGTGAGTGCCCGTGGTGAATTTTGATCGGCTTCGAAAAGAATACACCCAAGATGTTGCGTGAAGAGCTGGCTCACATGTCCTGCGTCCGAAACAGAAGTGGCATTGTGCGACAGAGTTTCCGAAAGATCAACGGGATCGGGACCAATGGCTGGCTGCAATTCCTGTAGACCATTTACGGGCACCTCGGAAAGCGGACGCTACCTGATTTATATGCTCCTTGCATTTTGTGGAAAGTGATTACATTGAGTTCGCAGGTGTCAAAAAAGAAATCCCATACCATTGAATTCAGCGACGTGTCGTCCACAACATTTGTTTCTTATTTTTTGTTTTGTTTTTTCAGTGATAATGGTAAAAAAAAAAAAAATGTAGACATCGAAAAACATGAAAAAAAAAAAAAATAAAGTTTCACGGAGGATCGAACCCGGTCCTACGGCGTGTGAAGAGGACGTCTTTCCCACTAAGCTACTGGGGCACATCGAAAGTAAGGGATCTGTTTCCTTAGTAACAAGTCAGCCGATAAACTGTAAGTTGGAAAGTTTGCTGCCGATTTTCCTCTAGCAAAAGCACTCCCGGGTCGAAGTCGGGATCCACCATGCATTGGCGACATTCTCACCTTGTAAAGAAATCGTACGCGTGCATATTCAACTCGATGTAGACACGTCGGGCTTGCCGTTTGCGCGAGCGATGTCTTCAGCCACGAGAAGGGAGCGACGGCTCGGCGACGTCTTCGTGCAAATCGGTTTGGTGGTCGGGCGTGTCGTACGGAATGAATACCAATTCTTTTGATTAGTCCCAAATTTCTCTTTTAAAGGCAGACAGAATTCGCCAGTACCGCGAACGACAGTTCTGAAATAGTGGTCCCACGCCCGTCGTCCGCTGCCATCGCCGTCCCTGCGAGTCCCACGATACGCGAATCGACGCACGCACAGAATGCTTCCGGTTGTTTGTGCAACTTTTTTTTTCAATCAACGTATTTGCAGCTTTTTAGAAGCCACAAAAAATGGGTTTCATATTTTTTTCTATTTTTAATATTGAGTGTGTGCCTTCAGTGACCCACGACTTCGATTAAATTTGGTGGTCGCATCGATACCTTAGAAAACGGCCCGTGACCGCGGAAAAGAGAGTGAGCGAGACTCGAACCGGCCAGTTCTTGATCGGCGGTTTTCGGGCGGAAAGAAACCGAATTTCGAGCCGCAAATTTTGTTCTGGGTAGTTGAGCTCTCATATGTCACGTACAACTAAAAACCTCGGCGAGCATAAATGCCCTGTCAGTGTCCCTTTAAATAAACTTTTTCACAAATATTAATCATAAAGTCTTAAACCTTATAAAGTCATATCCTTAGCGTTGTTAGAGAAAAGAAATGACCCCCTCATTTTAGACGGAATCGACATGAGCATTCAGAGAAGCATATTGAGGTACTAAAGACGGCATTTAATTAATTGTAAACTTTATGATAACATTTAATAGCGCCGGGTACCTCTTGAAACTTGTTGTCCACGATAATCAAAACGCCTCTAAATAAATTTTAAAAAAAAATAGTGTCGTTTCTAAACATAGTGGAAATGAGATTTTCACATTGTCACGTACACAATCTCGTTTGTACGCCGATTCCGCGAAGTTGGATATAAATCCGCAGGTCTGCACGTTGCCTGCTAAAGGTAGAGTCACGCGATTAGGAGGACACCGCACGGCGGAATGCTTCATCCCGTTTTTTCGGACGAGCAAGCGCGCGAAACAAACCGAAAACTGTAACCGAAACCATATACCCCAAAAAAATGCAGGCGTGCAGTCACTTGCCAAATTCGACTGCCGGACCAAAAGCTCTCTTGTCGCGGCAGTCCACGGGCACGCACGAGTGAATAAGAAACAAAACCATGCCATCGAATGCTGGAGAAACAAGATTTATCTTTTGTAACTTGATGGACGTTCCAAAAGGCCTCACCCGTGTCAATTAAAAAAAAAAACAATCACAGAAAAAAAAATTTTTTTTTTTTTTTGCGAATGTGGTTTTAATGTAATTACGTTTATCCCCTAATAGACCCATGCCTTGTCTAGCCATATCGTCTCATAGCCGATGTCTTGTCTAGCCCCTAATCGGCCCATGTCTTGTCTCGCCCACGGATCGGCCCATGTGACATGGTCCGATGTCTAGCGTGGCCCGTATCACCGGCGGTTCCGGCAAAGGCCTGATCAGTATGCGAAGAAGCGACCGATCTCTGGACCGCTACCACCAGCGGGGAGAGGGTGCCCTTCTTCCGTGACGTGTTGGACGGGTTCATCCGTGACGCGCCTCCCGAAAACAATGCGATCTACCGGCAGCTTCCACGTTGCAGCGTCCACGTCGCCCTCCTCTCACTGTGGCGAGCGAGAACACGGGCCTTGTGAAGTGACCAGCTCCATCCGAAGATTCGGCTTTTGTCTTTCCTTAGTCGCGAGTTACGCAACAATTCTAAACCAAGGAAACTTTTTTTTTTTCGCTTTAGTCGGTTGTACACGCTGCTTGACCAAGTCGCATCCGCATTCTGTTGCTCTGCGTCCTAGCTACGAATTCATTTCGCCGCAATAAATAAAGCAAACAATAAATAAAAAGCCCCCCCAAGAGAAATGATACATCAAAGAAGTTAACATTTACTTCTTTCATCGAGTAGTTGTGCCGGGGGTGATTTTATAAAAGAAGGCAGTGTTCGAGGCCACCGAACACGTGCTAATTGCCCGTTGTAACTCGTTAACCTGACATAATATCCTGGTAAGTGGCGACGACTGCCGAAGTACAAGGCGAAGAGGCCGGATGCTAAATCGACGTGGCCATTCAGAAGCACACTGTTCCTGAACCAATGAAGCCGCCTGCAGAACGAGAAGACCCGGACGTCTCGTGCGGTCATCGTCTGCAAAGCTTTCTCGGCACGTACAGCGGATGCTATCCCGTCTCTAGAATCTGAGGCAGTTTATGTTGAGGACAGACGTTTGCCAGCGGCAGAAAGGCGTCCCGGGAGCCAACTTACCTGGATTTCGCGTCAGCTGCCCCGGCCGCCTGAACCCGGTCTGTGCAACGACTGTTCCGTGCCGCTGTGTCAGGAGAGGCTGCGGAGCTCGCGGAGAAGCCACGTGGACCTGTCAGGTAACTTCGTGACGTCAGCGAGCCGGATTATATGCGGCCGGGCGCGCTCCTCCTAGCGAGACCGACGCCGGCGTTCGTGTCGGACGCGTGGAACCGGACATTGTTTTTTTGTCGTAATAACGGGAGCGGCGATAGACTCGTGAGGGTGGCGGTACGGGGCGAAGACACTGAAACCGAAACCGTGTAGTCGCAGACGACGCGAACCGACGTGCGCCGCTGTCAGTTTCGATTTCGAAGACGAACTTTGCGTAGCGAAAGTTTCGTGTGAGCGACGCCGAAGCAGCAAGCACGAGCATGTTGCAGTAAGCGATGTTTGCAGTGCACGAGCGCGCGTGCTCAAAAGAGAAGTTGAAAGCCTGGAGCTGTCACTCTTGTAGCGTCTGCTACGCTCACGATGGACGTGATCGCTCGGCCCTACCGTGTGCCAACGAGAAAGTTTCGATGCTCTTGAGATGGAACGAGAGCGGAGAACTTGCGGGTCGATGAAATGGGACGTATTTGATGTTAGAGGAGACAAGCGCATGGAAATTGAGAGTGTGCCACTCTTTTTCATATGGTACTCGACCGGTGCGCGGCAATCCGCGGCTGCGATAAGGATACGCGAAAATAGGCAACGAGGTCACCGAAGGGGCGCGTGCACTCGGTGAAGACGAGACGACGCGGTTGATCCAATACTAACCTAGAAGTCAAGGCCTGCGCCTTTTCCCCCAAACGTCATCACTAGAGATCCACGCAGCGCCTGCTTGCTTGCGTCAGCACCGCCGCCAGCGCGTCTCGGGGTCCACCGACGATGACGTCATAAGCGAAGGCCTTGTCTTCTACGGGGTATTGGTTGATCGGGGACCCCCACTGCGGGTGCCGGCCGATACTTGTTCACTCGCTCGCCGCCGCCGGCGGCTGGGGAGAAAATCAGCCGTGCTATCAGCTTCAGCCCGAACCGTTCATTAAGAAGGTCCGATTATCGGACGTGGGTTGTCCCGGTCTCGGAAGCCGCATATCGTATTCGAGGTGAAATTTCGCAACCTTGAACTTGTACGCGGCTTGCACGTGACATCATTCCTGCTCGGTATTGCCGACAAATTCGGTTGTGCCAGGTGTATGATGCAGAAGGGACAAGTTTAGCGGCGCAACCACTAGAATGGCAGCTGTTGTGATGTCAATGCAAGCTATGTATAGGTTCTGACCGTGTCCGGCTTGTCATTACGTTTGCTCATCCTCTGACCTCTCCACAAAGTAGCAAAAAGACAAAAAAAAAATTATACCAACAATGTATCTTCATCTTGGTCGCGAAACACAGGATGTGCAGTGTTTGGAGCCGTGTGGGCGTTTCTTCGCAAGCTTTTCCAAGCTTGGGCGTCACTCTGAATTTGATCAACTTTAGTAGGGAACCTAGATTTGCCGCGCAAAGAGAGATTTCCTAATCAAGTGTTAGTCACAGTTCACGCTCCAGATTGGATGCCATCCGAATACACTTATGACATCCATTCTGAATTATCATGTGCTCCACTTCTCCTCAGAAAAAAAAAAAAAAAAAAAAAGTTTCAGTATGCGCTTGTAGAAGCTGGCATTACTTTTCTACCCGTTAGCAAGAGGTATACAGGCACCACACAGACCAGGAAAGGACTTTATTTGAGTATGTCAAGTTGCGGGCAAGGCAAACTTTCTGCAGTGACGTCCAACCAGACTCGATGGCCTGCTGCAGTACCTCAAACACTTGAAACTCCCAGCGGGAAAGGAGATCATGCAGTACAGAGCCGAAACACGTCGGCAGGCGAGTGGGCTCCACACTGCCCCATGCTGCCTCCAGCTAGTTTCTGGCACATGTTGCACATACGTGTGGGGGCAGGGTGGCAAGTTCGACCAGTGTAGCCCACCGGTGCACACGCTAATGTTGACTTCTTTTTGCTTCCTCTTCAACGCTTCTCATCTGCCCGTGTTGTGCACGAGACATCATCAACTTCTCAGCTGAAGCTTCCAGCCTTCCAAGATGGCTCCGCTGCACGAGCACCTGTGGAGCAATCACCTCCCCAGGCCCATGCTTGCAGCTGTCCGGGTGGTGACGGAGTAGGAGCCAACTCGACAGGTTATGGCACCCTTCTACCACTGGTACGCAAACCTGATGATCAATGGTGTCACACAGTCAAGGTGGCTTACGGCGGTGGGGGAAGCTCCACCCACTTGCTTATGTGACTATGACCTAGGGCAAGGGGCCGCACAAATATATGAAGGAGAAAATGACGGGCAAGCAGTCCTTGCCCAAAAGAATGCTGCTATGAAATATGTTTCGATGCCTGCTCGCAGTGCAGATTGTCTTCTCCCAATGATCTCGTTGTGGGGGCCCTGCCCGGAGGCCTGTCGGAGGGTTACTGTGGGGGCCCCTAGAGCCCCAGCAACTTCTCGATGGGGTCGTAGCGCCACTCATCCTCTTTGAGGCTCTCGGCTGCCGCCCGCAGCTTCTGCAGACGGTCCTCATGCAGCTCTGTAAAGGGAGTGAAACTCCTTGCCAGGCTCTGTATTCCGCACGTGCAATGAACGCTCACCCGTCGGCACAAGGTCACCAAAGACGTAAAAAAATTTTCAGGTTCCTAGCCGCGTCTGGTAAATGAACTACGACATGGGCCGAGGCGCAGCACACTGCTACACAGACTACACGCCGCCATACTGTAGGGTAACCATGACATCATGATGCATTAGAGAGTTTTCGTGGATCGTTTCTGCCGTCCCGCAACACTCTCTGAACCTGCTACAAGATCTGGGTTTCTTCAGTCAAGGCTAGCGGCACGCAGGCGCAGTAGCGGTCTCTTCGTTGAGGACAGCTTAGCGGAGGAAGGAAAGCGGTTTACGAAAACTGCCTATTGTTCCATAACATAATGTAGTGGTATAACATGCAGGGACACCACAATGTCGCGTTATAATGTCATTTGACATCACAGTGTGAAGTGACACTTAGCGTAGGAATTTCACAGCCACAACTACACTACAGGAAACACATCCGATGATCCGCCGTGAAACCCTGCCGATAATGGCTGTCGCTGTAAAATGTCTAAGTGAGCCTCAGCTGGCAGGAGCACACTCAAAAGTATTGCCAGGCAGGTGAATGCACACACGTTACAGGTTCTAATGTTTCCAATTGCGTGAGCAACAGACGGCAGTGATGAAGCTGCTTTTTTGTGAATCTCGGCTGCTGGAACTCTGCCACATGCCTACTTGCACCGCTGCAGTGCGCAGTAACAAAGATGCCTACCTTTCTCTAGAGAAGCGAGGCTCACTTCCACGTCGTGTTCGAACCGGATGCCTGCCTTGGCCGCGACCACGTCCATCTTCTGGGAACCTGGACAATGGAGGCCACGCTAAACCACAGACATAGGGCAGCGACCTTTGGCCGTTTGACGGTCGTTTTTCAATGATGTTAAATCACCATCATGAGCTCCTATGAGCCCGCCTGCACCGTTTAATCGCTTTTCAAATTTCCTTCCTCCTAGAGCGCGGCAAGTATAGTGCACGAACAAAATTCGAAACACCACACGAAAACTAGAAAGCGAAAGGATAGACACTCTAGCGTAAGGGCGTCTGTGTTTTTATTCCTTCGCTTTCGAGTTGGACGACTTTGACGAAGCGACTTTCAAAAACCGCTCGTCACACCCGCAGAAAAAGTCGTTTGTAAGCGCGTTCCAAACACGTTAGTTTGCGAGATCAAGTCCTACTCACAGGCCGTCCCGATTACGTATTGTGGTTTTTCTTTGAAGAGGACTTTGCGAATATCGTCCATATCGTCTCCCGGACGCGACGCCATTTTGAAACCAGATATTGGATCGCTTCGGCTGGGGCTCTCTTTGACAGCGGCTAGCCGGTAGCCGGTAGCTCATAACTTTGTATAGTTTTGGTTTCGGTTCGAGCAGACGTACTCTAGGGGTGAGGTTGCATGACTTTGCGTTTAGATATCTGTGGTTACCGCTGACTTTGTGAGCATGGCTACTTGCTTCATTCTTGTGTCATCTCTAATGGTAGGAGCTGTGGGAGTAACAAAACTGAAAACCTTCGTACACTACATGGTTATCATGCAGTTAAATGCAAAGTTGCAAGCGAGCTGGACAAGAATGACGAAAATAATCTCTGGAGTAGGGGAACAAGAGGGACAAAGGACAAAACACAAATCTCCAAACACAGTTAGGTGACTGGTGCGGACCAGGCGAAAAAATCCGCCTGGTCCGTCGCGCAACAGTCACCAAGCTGTGTTTGAACCTGGAAAAAAAAAAGTAGGGATTTTGCCGACCTGAAAAAAACGTAGGGATTTCGGAAAAGGAGAGTAATGACATAAAAAGGGTGGTGAAGGAGAAACTGCATTAGTCAGGCGTCTTTGCAAGTAAGCGCCGGAGAAGGCAGATTCATATACGGCTATCTGAACGTTGACATGTTGACGCGCGGGTCTGTCTCGTCTTTTGTTGGAGAGGGGTCCCTATCAAAACGCCGAAAATCAAAAGGCCGAATTATGAAAAGGCCGAACGTCTGAACGCCGAAAAGTTGAAAAATTGAAATGCCGAAAAGACATAACGCGGAAAACCACGTGAAAAAGAAATGACGCGTTTTCCGCCAGATCACTTTCCACTGACACGAGCCTGTTTAACCCGTTCTGCAAAGGCACCAGTAACAGTAGATTAAACTGATGTAGAATTTCGTATTTTACTATGGCACCGACGATGGGAGATATTGGTTGGCGTCTTCCGGCTCATCACCACCATGAAAAAGGAGCAAGCTAGAGTCGAAGACGACATCAAGGGAGAGATCAGAGGCCAACCCCGCCGCTCACAAAGCAAGAAGCAAAAGTTGCGCGAAATTCGTCTGCCAGCTGCTCTGGGCAACCGGCACAATGTCGGCGTCCTAAGCTTTCTTCGAGAAAGTGCACACAACTTATCTGTCTGAAATGCAATAAACGAGAAATCGCTCTGCTATGCGACGAGATATTCAGAAATATATTTTTCCTTTCTTGAAGGCTTGAATTATGCGAAGCCTTTCATCGAAAGCGCGTGCACATCGGCCGGCGGAACCTCTCCCCTAACTTTGATCACATTGCCAAGAAACTTTATCTTACACTATAACCAGGTGATGCCAGCATTTTGATGTTTCAATGTTTTGCATTTTCGTTTTTTTTTTCCTTTTTTTTTTTTAATTTACGGCTTTTTGTATTTTCGTTTTTTTTTTTTGTTTTTTTTTTTTAATTTTTGGTGGTTTAACTTTTGGCATTCCGATAATTCGTCATTTTGATTTTCGACGTTCTGAATGCCACCCGTTGGAGAGGCGGTGGTATTTCCTGTCTTTAGGTCAAGTTGGATCGTGCGGGGTTTTAGGAGAGAAAGGGAAAAGGAAAAGGGGAGGTGGAGGAGGGTGCAAACCGTCAGTGGCGGTTGGCATATTTCTCTCTCTGTGAAATAAAATTGTTTCAGCTGCGTTTTGAGACTTATCCGTGTCAGTTGTGTTGATGATAAAGCTATAGTCCTTTGCAAATCAAGAAGGTAGGGCGAGGGTAAGACGGGCCGGGGAGGAGGAAGCAGACGGAAAGCTGGAGAAGAGAGGGGGAAAGCTCCTTCGCTCTTTAGCGTTCCGTCTGCTTCATCCTCCCCGGCCCGTCTTACTCTGGTCTTACCCTCGCACTACCTTCTTGAGTTGCAAAGGACGAGGTGGAAGCTCCTCCCACCCCTTTCCACTTCAGCAGAGCGAACGGTGGAGAGGAGGTCGCCTCCTCTCCAGCATTTGCACTACTAAAGTGGAAAGAGGTGGGAGGAGTGGAAAGAGGCGGTCGTGACGGTTATCCTCCCACCAAATGTCCTACAAGCTCGGTACAGATGCAGTGAAAACAATAATCTCGCACCGGTCACGCCTTTTTAAAAAAGAGATCAGCTCGAAACAAATCTAGAGAAAGGACAGAACGAGCGGGTTGGTATGGATAAGTAAACTTGAGGAAGAAAACGAGAAGGGACGGACAAACAAGTTTGTCCGTTTGTGTTTGTCCGTCCCTTCTCGTTTTCTTCCTCAAGTTTAAAAATCTAGAGACTCTCTATATTGAAATACAATGCAACAATGAACTTACCTGCAGTTGTTTCCGAAGGTTTGACGAAGCTTTCACGTTGGCCGATAACGTATTCGTACCTGGCGGATATAACTTGCAAGTTACGGTGATAGGTCGGGTCATGGTCAGGGGCGGATTTAGAGGGGGGGGGGGGGGGGGGGTCCGGATGTCCCGACTCCCCTCTTGATTTCTGCATGTGTAAAATTTAGGGCGTGAAACGAGGGAGAGGGGGTTCCTAAACATATGGTACGTTGACCAACACCTGAACCCCCCTCAGGAAATGCCTGCATCCGCCCCTGGTCATGGTAACTCGTCCTCGCAGGAGCTCATGGACTGGGGTGGAATTCGCCACAGAGCTACTTATGTAATCTGCTGCAAATAGGATTCGCCATTCCCTTACCCACAAGACTCTCAAGAAACAAAGATAGACAACAACAAAAAGGTGTTGTTTTTGCACTTCCAAAAGCGGTAGTAACCGATTCTTCAGACTGTTCCCTCAAGGTCGAGAAGTCCGTTGCAACCTAAGAACGAAGGGCGAGGGTAAGACGGGCCGGGGAGGAGGAAGCAGACGGAACGCTAAAGAGAGAAGGAGGTTTCCCCCTCTCTTCTCCAGCGTTCCGTCCGCTTCCTCCTCCCCGGCCCGTCTTACCCTCGCCTTTCGTTCTTAGGTTGCAACAACCGAGGTGCTCGCACTCTTTTTACCAAGCAGCCGTGTATCTTATGGAGAGAAACACTTCTGCCAAAATTTTTTCTTAGAAGACATAGCACATGGCATTGACGTGACATTCAGGGTGACGATAATCTGGGCGAGGCAGGAGAGAAAAGTAAACACAAAATACAAAAAGCAAATAATATTAAAAAAAAAAAAAAAAAAAGAAGACCATTTTACCACAGCGCAGCGTCTGCTTTCCACATCTTTCAACCCCCAGAACCTTCGCTATCGCTAGTTCCGGGGATTAGCGAGAAAACCTTTGCGATGTCAATCATTTCGTAGAAAGTTAAGCATTCCATTTACCGGTGTGTCCTGTCCTTAGTTCGCCTTCACGGGCTTTAAAATCTGCTGGCCTTGCTGCAGTGTGCTGTGCGCATTGTAAAGCCGGAACATCCCAGACAGGGTTTCACCCGGCAACCGTGACCAAGGTCCAGCAACGTCCTCAAAGCTTTGCCTTTCGGGGCCGTCTTCGCATGTCTCGTGGTCCCACGTCTCAAGATTTAGGCTCAAGTTGCAACTTTTTTTTATTGCCTTTTACCATTTTTTTACACCAGATAAATGGCATGTCCTTTTTTTTCAAACTGTATATCACATTTTTAACACGAGTAATTACAAAATGTGTAATCTCCTTGAAACTACTGCCCTAAAGTAATGCATTACATTACTTAATTACCCGTCCAAGAAAGTAATTCATTACCCATTACCACGAAAATGTAATTACTCTAATTTTATTACAGTAATGTCATTACTACTGCCATACTTTTGCTCTCGGAAGTGTTTCCGTGTTCCTTTATTGCGATAATATGATATTCCCCCCTCATGCGGTGCTCTCAATGGAGTGCCTCGGCCCATTAAGGAAATAAAATTAAATGAAATAAAGAAATTTCCCTCTTATCGCGTTTCTTTTTCTTTCGCAACTCTTCGATGATTTTCATCCATCAATCGTTTCCGAACAAGGTCGAACGAGTTGTTGGCGCCGCATCCATTTAGACGAGCACGGCAGGTATTTATTTATCGCGGCGAGGCCGTGCTACATCTTGGAGCCGAACATCATGTAGATGGCCATCAGGAGTCCGAGGACAATGCTGAAGAGCTGCAAGAACCAGACCAGAGATCTGAGTAGCCGAACGAGAAGTATCCCGTAACTTTTCAAAACGACACACAGGCGGCTCTGACGTCCTGCCGCTGTCGTAACTGCGCATGGGCGATCGCGGGCGTGTTCGTAAACGGCGCGTTGGTCTCTACGCAAGGTGCAAGGTACATTACCCAAAACATGTTAACAGGCAATCGTTACAGCGCTGAGGTACCACGTTGAATACTATCGTTTTCAGGATGGTAACGGTCTGTATAGAAAACAGAATGATAGTTGAGGCGAGGGTACATATAACGAAGCGTAGCAGGCGTAAAAGCGGTCGGCTTCACAGCGGAGCTGTGGTCAATGCTAGTTTCCCCAGGATCGTGTCCGTCAGCAAACAAATGACGATAGAGAACTCTGGACAGGTATGCCGCCATCTATGGGCGACGGCGGCAACCAGACAACCGGTTGTCTGGTTGCCGCCGTCGCCCATAGATGGCGGCAACCTTTCGAGCCTTTCCAATCTGGCTTGCCGTCTTGCGGCCGGCCATTACTTCATTCCCACCATAGTACAGCTTCGCTGGCCTTCCTTCTTCACCAGAGTAGAAAGGCTGAAAGTTATTTTTTTATATACCTCTTTTTCTTTTAAGTGTTGATTTTACGGACAGTATTTGATTGCCTGGAAAGGCCCATCGGATGCGTCCAAGGACACTATAGCTGCGAAGGCACGCGACGCAAGTATACACCTACAGCCATAAGCGCCAACTACGGGGGGGCAGTGGGGCTCGTGCCCCCCCCGGACGGCTTCACGGGGGGGCAGAGCCCCCCCCGGCCCCGGCCCGGGATTTTTTTTAAAGAGCTTGGCTTGGGTCTGCGCCCATCGACAGTGGACTGTTGGCCGTCCTGACTGGCAGCTATTTCACAGGGGAATGTTTATTCCCGCTTCTTACGTCCTTTCAGGCTTTTAAATGGTGGATCTCGGGACAGTGACAGGTCAGACATTCAGTGGAAAATTCCCCTCAGACGGAGTTAGATGCGCGGAATATGTTGTCTGAATGAACAGCTGAAGTGCCCGCTTCAGCTATGACAGGCTAAAAAAAGTCTTGAAAGCGTCGCGACATCTCTGTCGGTTTTTAGACAACAAAAATGCTTCTGAGAATAGGAAGCATCCCCGACACAGTGAGTCAGTGACTGATTCTGCAGACCTGCTCGCCAAGAAAAAAATTTTAATTTCTTGCGCGTCTACAAATGAATGCCCTTTCGGCCAAGAAAATATTGTACACATTTTTGATTGGTCAGTGAAGGGCTTTACTACCAGTCTTGTCACCGAACAGCGACTCGAATACTCGTCCAGAAAACAACTTTTGGCGGAAAAATTTGTAACCCCAGCTTCGCACAAGGTATAGTGGTATCAAATGGTCTTTGCTACCGTCTGAGAATTATTTTTGGCCCTCTTAAAATTGAAGTCAGTCGTATAATTAAAGCTTCTTGTGCCACCATTACCCCACTCTCCCCTGCTGCATGTGTTAACAAAATAAACAAAACATGACAATAAAATGCACACCAGAAGCCAAATAACAGCATCGCAAAACACAACAAAAACAAAGGGACACTGCTTTGAAACAAAAGCCTGTGGGGAAGAGAGCGATTGGGCCTTCGGAGTCTCTACGAAGGCCAACTTTGGGGAAAGAATAATCATCATGCCCGATACGTGTTCCTTTTGTCATTTTTAAAACGTTTGTATGGACAGTGCGGCGCTAGGCGGTACAATCCGCTCCCCTTTTCCGTTTTATTCTGAATAGGCTTCACGAACATTCCCAGGGAAGGCATTCATACATATACGCCGCAAACAGTCAGTAGAATAGCAAGTGCTTGATCACTTCCTTTGAGGCAAGGTCACCGGAGCTTATTACCTGTGGAAACTATTTTATATTAACTCCCTGGGTTGAGGCTTATTTGACAAAGAGACGGAAGCAACTGAAGGATCGTGATTGGAGTCCCGGAATAACGAGCGGGGCCAAGCGAAGTTCAATTGAAACTTAAACCGTGAGCCGACACGAACACCGCAAATGGAAACCTAAACTCAGAACCCATTGACATTCTTGAAACGTAAGCCGTTCTCATAGGAAGTCGACTCGCCCAGTTCCGACTCGGCTAAGAACGTGACAGTTCGTCCGGTATCCTGTGTAAAAATTAAGACGAATGGCTCTCCGATGGGTCCCTGCGTTGAAAAGCGAAGTGCAGCTCGTCAAAAAGTAATTACACGAGGCGGCGCACCGAAAGGAACGAGCATCCCGGACAGCAAGGTCGCCGCGTGGGGAGCGTGCCTCCAGGCGGAGAGTGCGCGTAGACAAGCCCTGCCGACGGCAACTTGTGTCTGCTAGGGATCAAAGGATTAACACTTTTGGTGCGCCTGCGTATCCACTCGGGGAGTTTGGTACTATATGGGCATCTCAAAATACACTTTACACACAAAAAGCCCCCAAAATTTAGATCCTTGGTGCAACAAGTAGGAATATTCCTGAAATACGTGTTTTACTGGTCACATTTATGCAACAAAATTTTAGACCCGAACTACCCCTGCAGAAAAAAAAAAGATTCACTTTTTTGTACTGGTAGTTTAGTCTTGCAATATGTTTGCATAAATGTGGCCAGTAAAACACATATTCAGAGAAATTTCTACTGGATGCGTCAAACCGCTGAAGTTTCCGGGTCATTCTTTTGCGGAGCGTCTTATTTGGGGACACCAGGTAGTTAGCTGTCACAATGTCCGTGTCCGTTTGTTTATGTCCTTGTCCCTTTTTCTCCAGTCTCCGGTTTACCAAAATGCTCGGTAAAGGCTCCGACTGCTGCAGGTGACCCTTATGGGGAGAACCCACGCAACAAATAAAACAAGGACCTTCTTCTCCTCTCCCCCCCCTTTTTTTTTTGAGCCACATTCCGGGTCTGCCCCCCCCCCGGGAAAATGGAAACTCTACGCCGCTGCCTACAGCGCTGATGATACCCAGGGCTTCGGTGTGGCCATGGCTGAAAATCAGGAAACCTGCGCTGAGGAACAAGAAGCAGCCGCATCCGTAGTAGGTCACCGACTGGGCAAACAAAGAGAGAGAGAGAAAATAAAAGGAAGAACAATTGTAACTATAAAAACACTTAAGTTTTTTTATTATTATTTTTTAGCTATTTACTAAACACGATTTCAGAATTCCAAGGCTTTGAAACTCTTGACATGTTATTTAAAATCAAAATAGCTATTGAGAAAACGCAAAATAACGGTTATGCCAAATCCACCATTTTTTTTTTTTTCGGGCAGTCTAGAAAGCACGGTATTTTATTCGTTTTTTTTTTATTTTTTAATATTTTTGCTGGCGTGAGCTTCTTTAGCATACAAATTCCACACACCATCAAACTTCTTGTGACCCTCTGAAGACGAGCTTGTACGTACCCCAAATTACAACCTCTGACGTCACGTTTCAGTGTCGCCACTACATCCCCTCAGCCGGTCAGGCCAACTTCTAAAATTTCATTACTTCGCGAAAAGGAGATCACAGTGTTTACTAATCTGTTCAACTAATTTTGAGACAAATCAGGGACTAAAATTTAGCCGGAAAAGAAACCTTCCTGGTAGCTGAGTTGCAGAAAGATTGGTTCAACAGATCAATATATGCAGCTAGCCCAGCTTTTAAGCCAAATTATAGGTCAAACATTTATTTTTATGCGAAAGTATTGCATGCCTCATTACGCGAAAATCTGGCGTCGTCGGCGGCGTGACCTTGACTCTAGCGTGACCGAGCGATGATACCAAAAATGGCCGATGGCGCAAAGAGAAAAAAACACGTCAAAAATGCTCGCGATCGTAGTCAACTTTCTCTGGGAGGTTCTTATGAACAAAGTAAATTAACGACTTTGATTTGGTACGTTTCGGTATGACGAAATAATCCCCGGAGAAGGGAACAAGGGGGACAAAGGACAAATACAAATCTCCGAAACAGCCGTGTTTGGAGATTTGCTGAGAATCGAACCCGGGCTTTCGGTGTGCGAGACGAGCACGCTCCCCGACGCCACGGCGGCTCCACGGTTCCGGCTGACTAAAGGTGTGCCCAGTGATGCTTTCGCATCGCCACACATAAGCAGACTCTGGCAAATTTTTTTTCTTTCGCGAAGTTATATTATTTTAAAATTTTGTCCTCATCGCTTTCCCACACTCCGAACTTGTTCTCGACGGGTTACAACAAGTTTGGTTGAATGCCGTAAAAACTCACTCTAGCAAAAAAAAAAAAAAAAAAAAAAATGCGCGACCTATTGTTTTTTAAATATACTGCGCCTGCTCAACCTGAAAGTTTTACGGGTGAGAGAAAGTGCGGGTGAAATGTGAATGTTAGCTTTGGCGTGGCGCATTCAGTTGCGGTTTTCTGAAGTGTTATTTCGGGACTCAGCATCAGAGGAGGGAAACTGAGGGAGAGAAGGAGAAAGGGTTCGGGGAGCGTCAGCTAGCACCGAGCTCTGATTGGAAGGATTAGTGGAGAGACGCAAAGCCAAAGGCCAGTTACCTGGCAGTTCTACTCACTGCTCGAACGCCTCCGGCGTTCTAACGCGAGACACCGCGCGATGAGCAGACGACGCTCTTGCTCGCTCTGATCGGCGCGCCTAGAGACAAGGGCAGCCCTACCCACTAAACCTTCCAATCAGAGCTCGATGCTCCGTCGCGACCCCATCTCCAACTCTCCGTACATGATATCCATATCAAAATCCATCGAAGGCCGTCCCTCGTCGAACTCGAAGGAACTCACAAAGACGGTGATCGAGCTGTCGAGACTGCTGAAGAGGCCCTGGCAGGCCAGGTACACGCCCATCAGGGAATAGGTGAAGCTGATGTAGCGGACGTACATGAAGACGTCCGAGTGGTTCTTCGTCAGGTTCACCATCAGGAACAGTGCCATGGACAGCGCCTGCCGCGAGGCACTCGTTGAGCCGCCGCAGATCCCGACAGCGTCCGGCGTCACGCACTCGGTTCCCAATGGCAAGCACTCCCGCTTCGGGTGTTCAATTCGGTTCAGTGCATTATGCACCAACGCGCTTCTGTACAAACAAGCCCACACCAGGCGTGGGTGACTGCGCATGCGCAGAAACCAAGTTCAAAAGAAGTGCGTCCACGCATGCCTTTTTAGACTTAGGCTAGGTGGCGCAAGCTACCGCCCGTTACAAAGGGTATGATGGCAGCGCCACTGCGGTACCGATACCGACCGTGACATCGGAGGGTTAAGTCTGCATGCGTGAGCCGATAAGATTGCCAGAGAGCGAGCTTCCCAAGCTGTCGTTGAATATATACATGACTGTAAACAGTGAGAGTGTCCGTATATAACAGTTTGATTAATTATCAAGATGCACATTATACATAGCTTGCACGTGACGTCGATCGCGGCCATGCCGGCATTTTATGTGCCACGACGGCCGCGAGCGTTCGGTTCACAGTGCTAGTTTCACACCGCAGAAGTCGCAGTTAGAAGGAACGTAGAAATTAAACATTTTTGATGTGTGCCTTGCGAAAATCACAGAATTTATCCTGGTTAGTTGGAGTCACCAGTGATTTCCCTGCACCCCCTAGGGAGTTGTACACTCTCTTCTTTTTTTTTTTTTTTTCCTGAAGGCATTTGTTTAATTTGCCACGACTCCTCTATTCTCAATGCCCCCCCCCCCCCCCCCCCCCCCCTAAACATTTTGACACCCCCTAATTTCAATTCCCGGGGAAACCCCTGGTTGGAGTACAATCGTTTCAGGGAGAAAATTCCGTCTATAAACAGGGAACGCGGGGCAATTGACAGCAATGGTGTTGAGAAGAAGAGGAGGACTGGTATATTTTGTGGAAAACAACAAAACAAGCAAATTGAGTTTTTTTTCTCAATGGACAGAAGTAGTTTGTCTATAGAAAGGGTACATTTCTAGACTTTCCAGACCACATAACGATGTTTCGTAGGGGGCTGGATTGGAGAACCATACCATGATTGCTGTGGCCGACATGCCCTGTCTGCTCTGACAATAGTACAGGTCCAGGTGCACTCCTCCCTGCCATAAAAAAGAAATAGAGAGAAATATGGAGTGAAAAGATAGAGCAAGGTGTTACAAACACGCGCAAAGAGGAATCGCCACTTTTTGCTCGTTCGTTGTAAAGCCCAAGCGACAGGCGCGATCTGCAGCAAGTATATACGGGACAACCACGCGCTCAAAAAGTTGAAAGCGCCAATCGCGACCATAAATAATATAGATTGTTGCAAGTTAAAGGGTAATTCGGGTAAAGTTTTCTTGATTTTAGGGTTATGACACTTTTTAGTGAAGGAAGTGTCCCCAAATTACAAATTGACCTTTTTTTATGTTTTGTAGCCAAAGCTACAAGCGCGAGTGGACACGTGGCTAGCTTTGAGACGTGCATTTCTAGCCCGAGTGCTCGCTTTGTGGAAGAACTTATCAAAGCAGTGACTTCGTGCTCTCGTGC